GTACATCTGGGACGTTCAAACACAAATAAAAGAAACTTGGCGTTTAGTTTTTTATCATGATAAAATCGATATTGATTACGGTTGTAAAGAGAAAAAACTGCGGAAAACATTAAAAGCTGAAATGATGGATAGATGTGCTCTTATAATGACACAAAAGGATGGTTTTACTCTCTTTATTAACATGAGTGGAAATCCCATTGACTACGAAGCTGTGAATTGCGGCATTTCTCAGAACACAGCCGATGATGGTAAAGAGATATTCTCGTAGCAAAAAAAAACATTTCAATCCAATCAATAAGGTTTTCTTTTGTAGAATTATATTCTCTCACACGTAAATCTAATGAATCACCTTCTTCATATATTCGCACTGCACCTCGAGAATCGCAACCATTCTATTCAACTATTCGTCTTACTATTTCACTTTCCAATCAATTTAATGAGAATAATATCATGACACATCATAGTGATGAATATAATTGCGAACAATTACAACGTTTAAATTCATGTTATACCCAATTCATTGAATTCTTCCATCGAAATCATATAAATGATTGCTTTGGAATCATTTTAAGTATCCCATCCACAGTCGATCATACCGTTACAGCATCGTCGGTAATGCCTAAGGGTGCAACGTCTTTTATCAAACAGTATTGTTGGCAAATGCTAATGTCAATTGGTTATCGTTTTCAGCAACGGTTAACAACAGATTTTATTCACCAACTGAATCTAATCGATGATGATGATGAATTTTATCAGGTAATTGCTCTTTTCGAGATGTGTAACATTGCTACCTGACGAAGTTTTACTTTTGATCGAAGTCTATTGAATTCGAAAGACAAAATCAGATATTATTATCATAGGTTTTATTATCTAGACATCACTACACATATGGCGTCGGTCAAGTGAATATTATTTTATCGATTTACTTGATGAATTACGTCGTTATCGAGAGAAATTAGCTGCTTTAACAAATGCGCCATCATCATCATCATCACCTACTGCTTCGTCCCATAGTTTTCAACAACAAGGAGTTAAAAAAGAAGAAGGCGATCAAGAACGTTGGAGTATTCACACACCACCACGTCATTATGCCTATGTACCATCAGTGACATTGACGCCAACAACGATTTGTGTAAATCCATTTAAATTGGTCAAGACCAATCGTGTTTTACGTGAGCCACAGTTCGGTGGTAATCTCATGTTTGCTCTTGTCGATGTCAAAGATGAAAATGGCACGATGGATTTGTTTCCACATGACTGTATGTTGACGATGAGAATGATCAGTTCATATGTATTGTTGTTTTGCATGTTGGATATTTAGATCGTTCTCTACGTTGGAAAACTGAAATGTTACTCGAATCAGGCTTCGATTTGGGAATCAAAGGTCGTACTTATCGTTATTTACATCATTCACAATCTCAATTGAAAGACAAACAGTTCTGGTTTTATCATCATAACGGTGAAACGAATTTCTCTTTTGAAGAAGCATTCGCATGGATGGGTGATTTTCAAGAAGAAAGAATTGTTGCTAAACATGCTGCACGTATTGCACAATGTTTCACCAGCGCTGAAGCAACAATTCAAGTAGAATAGTCGACTTTGATCTTATCTTACTTCGTTCTATTGTTGTAGGTTCCATCAGATAAAGTGGAATATATTGAGGACATTCACACAGATGATCGAAAGTATAATTTCACTGATGGCGTTGGAACGATGTCAACGATTATACGTGATAATGTAAGACTACCGCTATTGTCATTCAACTGAAAGATTACCATTCGCCCACTCATTAGATCAATCCATATCGACAATTTTCAGCTATTCAAATTCGTTATGGTGGATGTAAAGGAGTCATATCCGTGAATCCTGATTTAGATAACTCACCCCATCAATTACGTATTCGGCAATCGATGAGAAAATTCAAATGTTCGCATGATATTCTGGAATTATGTCGTATTTCAAAACCACGTGAATGATTCATTTGATTTCATTTGACTTATATATATAAGCTATCTCTTTCTGCTCAGGCCCGTTGTATTTGAATCGGCAAATTATTGTTCTACTCTCTCATCGTGGCATTGATGATCGTACATTTCTTTTATTGCAAAATCAACATCAACAAATGCTGTCCGAATCGTTAGTATATCCTACACGTGCATACGAGCTGTTAGCAGAGAAATTAAATCGAAATTTATTTCCTATGCGCACATTGATTAACGATGCACATGTGAACATAATTCAAGAACCTTTCTTTCGTCAGTTAATTATAACAACGAGCAAATTCGAATTAGCACAAATGCGTGAACGTACACGTTTGAAATTGCCAAGAAATACCGCGAGAAATATGATTGGAATCGTCGATGAATATGGCATTTTAGAATATGGGCAAGGTACAAACATGATTTCATCGAACTACTCATGATCATATATGTTTTGCTTGTTTAGTTTTTATCCAGTACACAGAATTGCATGGAGATTTCTTAGATGATGAAAATGGTAGCAGCAATGATCCATCGTTAACACCACAACCGGAAAAAACCATTATTCTTGAACAGCCCGTTGTTGTAACTAAAAACCCATGTCATCATCCAGGCGATATTCGAGTTTTTTCAGCTGTCGATGTACCACGCTTACGACATCTCAAAGATGTTATTGTTTTTCCTCAACGAGGTAAACGGCCACATCCAAACGAAATCTCAGGTTCAGATCTTGATGGTAATTCCACTAGAAACTCCTTTTCAATCGATTGAAACGATTTGCTTTAGGTGATGAATATGCCGTCATTTGGCATTCGGCATTTATTCCTAAAACGCCTAATGATATTCCGTATGATTACGATTCTCAAACGCCCATGTTACGTGTCGTCGATCGACCGGTTAATCGAGCAGATATTCAAGCCACAGTTTTAGATATCAGTGAACAATCATGTGTAGGAAAACTGTGCTCACTGCATTTAGCTAATATGGATGTTTACGGTGTGGCACATCCGAAAACATTAGCTATTGCTGGACACATTTCTGAAGAGCTAGACGCACCAAAAACGGGACAACATCCATTAACACCAAAACAAATCGCTCTTTTACAAGCAGAATTGGGAAATGAACGACCCGATTATTTCGACAAACCTTATTATAAACTTTACCCATCCAAACATGTGCTTGGTAAGTGAAAAGAAGCCGTTGTCATTCTTAAAGTTATCCAGATGACTCTTCTAGGTCAATTATTTCGTTCATCTCTTCGCTTTGAGCCTAATTGGACAGCGATTCAAATTCCACCAACAACTATATGTCCAGCGCCAATCGATTCATTGCTAGTTCATGATATGCACAGTGATTATGCATCATCCGTTGATGAATTAGCTCGAACTTATCGTGAAGCAATTATGGATATTATGTATGTATATCGCTTTTCATCGGATGTGGATTTACTTTGTCGATTTGATTCATCTTCAACGCAACACAAAACACCGCTAAGCAAACAACAAACCGAGTCGGCATGTCTAATTGCCGATTCTGCTCAAGTCGAATTGAAACAACTGATCCGACGTATACGTCGTTTATTCTATCATGAATTTCGTTTCTGCGACAAGACACATTCCAATCGTTGTCATACAAATTGTACTCAATGTGCCGAGAAGAAAATGGCGAAAGCTAGCGCACTGTATCTTTTGTGTTATACAGACACACGTCATGCTCGACGTATGCTAAGTTTACCATGGTTATTTGCATCCCTACTGATTGAAACAAGAAAACTGAATATTAAAAAGCAAACGAAATTATGTAAGTTTAGAAATAAAGCAACCACGTCGAGTCGATCACTCTGCTTTTCTTCTAGTATCACCTGCACTTGTTGCACAAATGCTGGAAATACAACCATATCGTTTAATTGGTCAATCATTACATAGCGCACTGGGCATTCTCTTTGATAAATCAAAAACCTTCTATTTCCATCATACATACGTATCGAACAAACCAAATGTCGTCACCGTTTCACTCGGACCAACATCAACAGCCAAACGTCTGTTATTGAAACGTGAAATTTCTTTATTGGATTATTTTATTCTGGAAATTCTTCATCATTATGTCCATGAATCATTATCAAAAGAACGTTCACCAATAACAGCATCGAGACCCTTACTGTTAGAACCGATTTGGCAACACATACTAACACGATTTATTCTCGGTGAATGTTCACCATTAGTTTTGATTACAACACATTCAGATATGAATTCAACAATCAAAACTTGTGAAAATTGGTCCGATGAACAAGCCTGCAAAACACTGCAACGTCTATTGGAAATTACTGTTCAATGTGCTGATCATGGCAACGATTCCACGGATTACGCACATGCAAATGAATATCTTATTTGTGCACTTCAACAAATGGCTACAACTGGTTCGTTATTTGCAAATGCTTAAAAGAAAAGCCAACATTGGTTTACCAAACCCAGTGATATATAAATATATTTATTTATCCTTTTTTCTTTTGACACGAACTATTTGTATTTGATATCAGACGAGTAGTCAGTGTGTGCTGTGATGATTTTTCAAGCGTATTTTCTTTTTCCTCTTCTTCTTTTGTTGCTATGGACAGTTCTCACATTTCGAGGAATGTCGATGACTGTCTATGTTTCTTTTTTTCATATTTTTTGCGTAGAGTTGTAAGAAAAAAAAACTTCTGAAAAATAGACTTTAGACTGCAGAAAAAAGTAAATCTAGGCCGTCAGGATATCATATCGAGAGAGACAAGTCTGTAGTAGAATGTTCCAGCAAATGATATTTTTGCACTCTCAATTCAAATGAAATATGAAATTCAAGATAGTTCTATTGATGTGAGATAGTATCGAGATTAAATCAAGCTAAATTAACTTCTATAGCCTTTTCTTATTCAATAGGCAGTGAGTAGAGAAAAATATATGCATCCGTACTCTTTGATCAAGCACAATAATTAATGAAGCATATCAATACCTAATGAATGATGCCTGGAGTCAGTAAATCGATCTATGTAATGATTGATATTCTTAAATGAGCAAAGAAAATGTATTCAGTATAAAAATAGTCAGTTAATCACGTTTTCTTTTTCATTGGCTTCTCCACAATATATTTTCGCTCTCGCCGGCCTTCATCATTCATCATGTACTTGCCATCGATCATACAATCTAATCATATAATAATAACTTCAATTGAATTCCAATAAAGAAAAAGAGAACAGCCGAAGAGAAAAAACGTGTCTACGCTGTGCTCTCGATTACTTTCAACGATATTTGTAGAGATCCACAGATGATGCCAAGCAATACAGCTGCTATGTCAATGAAAGGACAAATGGAATCTCTTGAGACTAGATAAAAAAATGCGAATTTGTTTTCATAAATAAGTTTATTGAGGAATAGTTTTGGTTGTGACGAACATTTATATTGGTAACTACATGACTAAGAGCGGATATATATATATATATATATATTTATAGAGGGATAAAAGGACAGAAGAAGTTAAGTTTCGCAGAAATAAGTTATTTTTCTTCTTCTTCTTCCTCTTCTTCTTCACCTGGCTCTTCATCTCCACCATCGGCTGGATTTTCATCTTCATCTGGTTTGGCAGGTGTTGGATGATGTCCACCGCTAGGTGTTGGTCCACTTGAACCACCTTCGTCTGTTTTGGTCAACATCCATAATTTACGACTACCGGCCTTGCTTTCACTTGTTACGCTAAAACCGGCACGTTTGAATGTTTCCAAAACGTGTGCAGCTCCATCGGTGCATTGTACACCTTTTTCGTGATCACATAATTTTTCATTTCCACATGATTCTTGTAGAAACTGGATAATTTCTGGTTGAATACGGTAATTTTTCACACCAGTACTATGAACAATTGTTGGTCCTGATTGTTCTTGTGATTCTTCACAAGAGATTGTTATGGTTGTATTCATTGCCAAAGCCATGATTCGTACTTTTGTCTAATATACAACGCAAAATGATAACAAATTTTACTGTATGAATGTTTTACCTTTATATATAGATGAAAGGAGTAGACCTTGAAAAACAAGTATGTGTGTGTCTGTCTGTATGTGACTTGAATATATATATATATGCGTTTGTGTGAGCGAGAACGACGAATTCACCATTTGCCTAGCATCGGGAGTAGAAAAAAAAGCCGAGAATCAGGAACGCAAAAAAAAATACGCAAAAAAATGAGAGAAAAAAAAGAGAAAATAGTTTCTTTTCTTTATGGTATGTTATTTGACGAAAGCTAAAAGTTTTTCCTGCTTACTAAAACATGTGCTAATATAATTCTATTAATCGAACTGAAAATCTCTAACAATATAGAGCAAAATTTCAATGTCTATTTATCAAAATACCGTGATGATTTTCATTTTTCACTACGAAGATTTGTCTCACAACGATCTTATATTCACATACTACAAAGAATTAGTTTAGTAAGTTAAAGAATAGTATTTCTCGGTGTTCTCGTTCACTCCGAAATTCCATCCGCTCGCACTGTAAACAGAATATGCTAAAGTATTTTGTTTCATTCTGTACATTACAACAAAATATGCAGCAGCATATGAAATTTATGCATGTCTAATTGCTTCACAATCACTAGTAATACAACACAAAGCATTGCGTGATAGCATCAACTTGAAATAGACAAAAACAAAATACTTCACGAACAATCAGCATATTTTCCTATTCAAAACGGCAAATTGTATTTAATGGCACAACTAATATGCATGAAGTCACTCAGATGGCACATTTCAGCATGTTAACCTACTTCCATTGTCTCAGAGCGTATTCATTGATTTTTACGTGCGTTTCGCACATCCAAGTAGTCGAACTTTGATGATACTTAATACTGATTGCCTAAAATAATCGTTTTTTTTTTGCAAAATCAGGTCTATTTTCTTTATCGAGTGTTAATAAAAACAAACAACAAATGTCGTTGATGAGAACTCAGTGACAACAACGATTATGGCTTTGGAAAACAAACAAGAAAAGACATTCATACACGAAGCAAATTAGAAAAGATTCTTTTGTTGAGATACATTGTACAAATTCGCGGAATAAAAGTATCGAATGCGATGATTATGAAATTGAAGAATAGAGAAAAAGAAAACGAAAAGACAAAAGGCACAGGTTTTGGTCTTATCTGCTTTGTTGGCACAAACCGTATCGCAGACAGAAAATTTATGAAATGCACTCGATTTTTGACTGATAAGGTTCCTCGTTATTATGTTTGAGCCTGTTGTAAAATCTCCAATGATCGTGTATCAAGAAAACTCTTTGGATTCGTTGTTAACATAAATATATTAATCAACACATTCATAACCACGATAAGAACCACTAGAATTAATGAAAGATCATTCAAACGTCGTAATTTCGTCTCTTTCGCTCCGTTTCGTATATCACTTTTGATCAATATGTATAAAAGAAAGCTCAAGCCAAGCTGAATTACAATCGACATGGAAACAAGCACCAACGATGCAATCCAAATTCTATCATGTTGTTTTTGTAAAATCAAAGTTCGCAATTGCATTGCATTACTTGCTGATAAAAACCGCAAAATATGAAAACAATTTCAGTACAAAGTTAAACTTACTGACGATAGCCAATAGCAACAACATGATCGCTAATAAAAACCGAGAATTGGATTTATTCACTATAAAATAAATTTCTTACCAATCGTCTTCTTTGTTGCATAACTGTTGTAGTTACACGTCGTTTCAACCTAAAAGAACGAATAACACGTAGATAAACAAATTAAACTTATCATTCGAGAGACTTTTTGACATTTCATTTAACAAACAACAATCGTGAGTAGATCCCGTTCAATAATAACAATTCGTTGTGTAAATGTCACATGCACACGTATTGTGTCAACAAATCATGTTTCAGACAGCAAGAGAGATAACAGAAGAAAGAGAAGTTCAACGGCTCGACGACTGCACAAATTATCGAAAGATTAGATCTGTTTGCCAATGGCAAAAAATCACTCTTTAACTTGTGAACAAAAGGCACTTGAACACACATGACGTCTGATGTGTACAACGATATATGAATCAGTAAAGTGATCGATAACTATTATGATTTGCATAAGAATCAATGGAAAGAAATCATCATTTCATTCCACTATTTGCATATAAAATCTCTTTTAATCGTACTCATGAAATTATATTGCATAAAATCTTACCAATATACACATACATGTTTGACAAGCAATACAAGCAAATATAATTCATTCTACTTCTGTTTACTTAACGTCAGAGAAAACCTCGTCATTAGTTTTTGTAACGTTTGATTGACATCAATCACATGCAAAAGATTCGAATGGTATCTGTAGACAGAACAACAAGAAGACAAAAGCATTCTTCTTGTGTTAATGAGAAAAAAATCCGAAAGATTCTACCAAGCAGCTGTGATTATATGTGTAAATCTCGGCTTGGGCGGTTTCTTTCGTGAGAATCAAAGTACTATACAATAATCAAGCAGATGGCTACACAGAAAAAACTTACGTTTAAATCACCAGTAGTGCTCTCCTGATCATTCTAGGAAAGAAAGGAAGAAAACAAGGACTAAATTCCTTCAAATTCACAAAATAATGAATCAATAGAAAATCTGTTGTGCAAGATTATTCTCATGTGAAACTTGTCTCAATATTTACCCTTCTTAATCTAGTATCGATTGTTCGATGAGCTGAAGGATCATCCATACGTATTGGTGGTGTAGGTGGTAGAAGATTTTCGTCTTGTGCGCTCTGTTGATATTCCAACCGAACGGGTGGTATTGGACGAGTATTACTGCCAACTTCAGGATACATGGGTGGAGCAGATGGTCCTTGATGATAGTTATGTGATGCCATTTTTGTATCAATTATGTATAACTGGAAAGAAAGAAAAGACAAAAAAACTTTCTGGATAGACTATACAAACTTAGGAAACATAATCAATCATGTATTGTGAGTAACACATACAAGTGATCCGTCGTTTTCCTCGTGTCATACTCTTTCTTTTCTTTTCTCGTTCACTTCTTTCTCTCTCTCTATTTTTTTGTCTCTCATACTTGCATGTCAAGGTTATCTTATGGTATGTAGTCATATCAAATACCTCTCTTTTTCTTTCATCCGAAACATCAAATCAATTACAACGAATAAGAAAAACAACAGATCGGATATGCTTTACCTGTAAAACACTTGTCTCTTGTGGCAATATATAGCTACTGATGAAATGTATGATACAGATTATAAGAAAAATAGACTTGCCTTCTCTTTCTCGATATTGAAGACGAAAATTAAATAGGAGTGCAGAGAGAGAAAAAAAGAGTGAATAAGCAGGTAGACAACGATGACAAACATTGAGCGAGAAGAAAAAAAACACAAAAAGAAAGAGAAGACAACCTTTGTTATGGATGAGGATATCGGTAACGGCGGCGGAGGTTTTTTTTTCTATTTCCTTTTCTCCTTTCGACAGTACATAATAACATGCGTAATTTTTTTTAACAAGAAGTTGTTTTTCTTCACATACGTCACTAGAATTTTCCCTTTTCGCGTTCTGTTCAAGTGTATGTATTGATACCCTCTGACACTCAACAATAGAAATACACTATTGATCACGAGCCATTTCTAATTAACCGACGGCATTGTCAGAAAATAAAGGTCATCTCAAGAGAAGAAAAAAGATAAATAATCAAGTTAGAAATAAAATACGAAACACATTTTCGCATCTGACGCCTTAATCGACATGGTTCACACGCGTCTTTAGTCGATATACGTCTTTATCAATTGTCATTAGGGCAACATTCTTCTTACGTTAACTATGAGAAAGAATATGTTAAATAAGAAATAGCAGTCGCTAGTCAATCACATTTTCGAAGCGGATACGAGGATGAGTAATACGACAGGAAGAGTAAAAGAAAATGTTCTTCTTTGTCCAAATGCGAACTTCTTTAATCAATCAAACTTAATGTTTTATTAACTCTCTTGAGAATGTCTATGACGAGCAAATTTGATTCGATCATATCTTTTCGCCATCATTCGGGAGGAGAGAGAGAACAACAATTTGTTTTGCTTTCGACAATCACGAGAGGCACAACTCTATTAACAATCGCTCGAACTCCATATAGATTATTCATTGGGTTAGCATTCATTTTATTTCTTTTTCGTGCGTCTTAAAAATTGTTTTCAGAATTATGAAAAAAAAGCAACAGATTAAATTGCACATCAAATAAATCAGCTTGAATTCGTCGTCGTGTAATGCCGGTAATCGTGGATGAAATCATTAATGTTTTGGGTGAAGGATGGTAAATCCTAGAAATAACACTAGTTTATTACGTTCTTTCTCAATCAAGTAAACCTACCGTTTCGTTTCGACTGTAATTCTCTAGCAACAAGCGTTTATGTTTATCATTCAGATTGTTTTGGTTATGCGTTTGATTGAGAAAATGCTGTATAAAATGTGCAAAATTATTGTTGGTGCTGTCGGTGGTCAGGATGTAGAACAATGTTGATATAATATCATCACGGCATAGTTCATGCGATCGAGCAAGTAGCACGGAAAGCAAAAGAGAAAGTAGCGCTTGAGACATTTGTTGACGAAATATGGATTTCGTATAGAGACCGCATTTCAATTGCAGTTCGTTACAAGACGACAGATTTGTACGAAATTGTTCGATATCTGCTTGAGAAAATGACCAGGCGATACTCTAAAAAAAACGCAAGGAATCAGTTTAAACTCGGTGCTTAGATGTAAAGTGTCGAATACGATTGGATTGGTAAATACCTCCATCAATTGGATAAAACTTTGTTCATTAGCTGTTGTTTCCGCCTCGCCATTGAATGTTGTCAAGACAGTACCTTTGAAAAAATATCGCCAATTGTTGATCAGTAGATTATGAACGAGTTTGTAGTAATTTTCTCGAATGTCCAATGCAAAATTCTGAAAATCAAATATGTGTCAGTGAATTTTGTCCAATAGATTTTACTTCTCGAATAGCTGGATACAATGCCGATGTGCATAGTTCTATAATGGTGGGGAGAAATTGTTGGGCTAGTTTACTATTTCCTGGCTCATTGACAAGTAGTGCCAGAAATTCCAGAAATCTAGATACGGGTAGAATAACGAATACAGTTTTTGCTTCTTCGGAGTCGTGTTTACCTTGAAATTGCGGCATGAGCATTAGGTTTCGGTTCGCGAAGAACTGTTCGAACATTTTCTCTAGATAAATTTCAAGTTTTTAGGGAATGCATAACACTTCGAATCGATACGAACATGTTGAACGCAGCGAATGTTGTTTGCAAGATAGTATTAAGTAATTCTGCGCCCATCTGTACTCGAAATACTTCAAAAACGGTCAATAGCAAAGAAACAAGCGCAGTTTCACAATCTAGAATATAGAAATTTGCTAAGCGATCTCTCCGGCAGCTCAACCCACCGACCTGGATCACGATTGATGATATACGGAAGGAATCGATTGGAATTGATGATTAAGCTTTGAATTGACTGAAAGAAGTGCTGGCGAGTTTTGTTATTTTCCATGCGAACGGACTCGATCAGTTCTGTCAGCAACAGCATGTAGTTAAGGAAGGAGTGTTGCATTAGTTGAGAAGTCGGCTCTTTTAAGATCGCATCCAGCGGTTGAAAAATCGAATGGAAAAATTGCTCAGCCGATTGTTGATCAGTTAAAATAATCGATGCAATGATTTTGATTGACACTTTATAAAGCTAGAAGAGAAGATTGGGATTAGATGAAATGATGGGAGGAGAGAGAGAGTTTACTTGAAAACTAGTTTTGCTTTGCACGGCAACATTCCACGTGAGAATGCGATGAATGAGAAGTTTAATTGAATCGAATTGATCAATAGGTAACTGCTGACGAGTGAGAGGAACGAGCGATGAAAGAAGAGAAGCAGCTGATTGAGCAATAGATCGATCCGAATTCTATCAAATGAAGAATATAGACATTAGTTGACTTTATTTGGTCTTCACATACATTCACATCGATTAGCGGTACACAAGCATCGATAATATGTGTGATTAATTCCTGAATCATTCGGCGGTTATCTTGATTTGAACTGTGTAGAATTAACATTTGACTGAGCCATTGAGTTGTGTTAGTAACGCATTCAAAAGATCGGGTTTGACTAAACGACACTCATTTTCGTTAAACATCATCAACACATTTCGAGCACGACTCACACTTTAATGAATTCTTCGTGTAGTTCTTTCGAGGAACATTCGATTAGATCGAATCGAACATGAATTATGTAAATCATTAATTGTATAAATCTAAATAAGAAAGGCCAAATTGTTATCCTATCTCGAGTGCTCCTACTGATGAACAAGTGTGACACGAGTTTGGACGAAACTCTGCTGTTGATTATTGTTATCCAATAAGCATGTGTTAGCAATGCGTGAAAACGCGTGAAGTAAATGATTTAGACTGGTCAATATTTCACGACAAGCATGGATGGACTCGTTAGTCAGGTGAAACTGCTGTCGGGGAGGATCTAGTGGAAAAAAACACAGAGAGAATGGTGAAGATTTGTTTTTATAGGAGCAAATTACCAGTTGATGATGTTTGAACTAGTTTTTGAATAGTTTTATATTTTTCAATGTCGGGTTGTAAGAGACTTATCTAAAGAATTCACAAACGGTTGAAATAGTGAATGTTACGATAATCCATTCTTACGAGTAGATGTAAAATATTGGAAGGAAGAGTTGGAAGGTCGGTTAGTTTGCTTAATAGATCAACGCATTCTCGTATATATCGATCTGTAGCTGTTTCAGACTAGAAATATAAAGCCAATAACAATATTTTTGCAAGTGTGATGGATATATACATCATTTAGATCGGTCGTTTCTTCCAAACTTTTCGCTTGCATTTGTCCATGATGAACACGTTGGAGTAATTCTTGACTTAGCGAACGTAAAATTTGTGCATACCTATTATTTACAAAGAAATCTATTCATTTCATGCCGTTCTTCGTACAAGCTGTTACTTCTCAAATGAGTTGTCTCTGCTCATCAATCGACTTTCATCTTTTGTTTTGATATATTCAATAAAAATCGACCAAATGTCCAAACAAGCATAGAATCCATCCTGTGTCGTCTACAATCAAACATAACTCACAATGAATTATACAAACAATTCGTGCAAAACTCACTTGGTGAAAAGTGAATTTATACAAACCATTAAGTAATTCGAACATCGGAAAATGTTCAATTGTTTCACAGCGCTTTAAATGAAGATTGAAAAGTGTTCGTAAGATTTCTATCAGTTTAACTTGTAGATCAATTGTAAAGTTTTCGTTGGCAATCGCAAGTAGTTGTACAACATGATGAAGTGTTGAATGTAGGATCGAATCGTACTGACGAGGGATGTGTTGCTTAAGAATAATTTCATGAATGCAATTCAGTGCATCGATAGACCAAGTCGATGATACGAACCGAAACAATTCATCGATGAATTCAATTGGAAAGGGTAGAATTGAAAGACGATTAATCAGCCGATCAAAACATACTAATGTTTGTTGTTTGATTAGTGAAGAATCATTTGTTAGTGCATTGTTTTTCAATTGTTCGGTATCTTTCTTGAGTAATATTTGAATAATTTGTATAATATGTGCGACATGTTGGTTGAGCGTAGTTTTCAGTTGCTGACATCGTTTAACTGTACAATCTTCATTGAACTGTCCAAGTTCTTCGACAGTTGTTGTTAAAAGTGCTAAACCTGAGAGTATTTGTGTTTCGATCAACTATTGGAAAAGAAAAAAGAACGCTTCGTTGTTTTTTTTTCTGAATATTATCTCTCAACCCTGACCTTACGTGATAACAAGTTTGAAAGTATTCGTCGATCGACCATTGTTGATCACAGCGTGCTATTTGTACAATAAGAAAAGCTAATTTTGAACGAACGTAAGCGGGTATTGATTGAAATAGATGAGCGTAGAACCACAAGAGTATCTGACGGATTTGTTGCTGATCACCATACCGATGACGAATTGAATATTCTAGTACTTGAAGCAAAAAATAGATTAACAATGGTGACATTACAAGAGTTTGATTCTGTTGCTGTTGTTGAAACGCTGCTAATGCTATTTGCCAAGAATTTTGATCGATTAAGAAACGATTCAAATGCTCATGTAATTGTTGCTTATGAACAAGGTCCGTGCGCGGATCATAGTACTCTGTCAAAGCCTTGGTTAAATCATCCATTCTATCTATAAATCAAAACAAGAGAAGACAAGTAGAGTTCAGTTGTAATTTTCCTTTATTTTATAGAATAAGCAATGATATAGAATATATATATTTACAATTATCTCCCTTAAATCTTCTGTTTTTGCTATCTAAATGAAAAAAAACTGTCACTGGGGAGATAGGAATAGTTCTTTATGTGTGTATTGAAGATTCAATTGACTGTTTTCAAAACGGAATCACTGTCGTTGCTTTCGTCAACTGTTGAACTTTTGCCTGATGGAACAACAAATTCTTTGAGAATATGTTGAACGTCTGGATCACTCTTTAATGCACTAGTAAATACACAGCCAACAAAGACGTGTGTGCCTAAAAAGATGCAATCGTATTCTTTCATTAAAAGAAGAATTTCGTCCTTATACCATGTTGTAAATGTTCGACAACACGACAGCAACCTAAATCAACGATATTGACACCAAAGTAACGAAAACGTTCATCAGTTTCAAATAATGTATCTGGTGTATGTGGACCATAATAAGGTCGACCGCTCGATGGATCAATGAAATCAGCCCAGTATTGTTTTGTACCAAGATAAGCACACATTTCATGTGCTAGTTTGATAAACTGACCAATTAATTCATCTCGTTCTTCTTCAATTTTCGGCGACCATGCCGACATATCAGATTCTGTCTTCAATATGATTGTTATTGCTGTTAATGGTTGCATTAAAACATTATAATTCAAAAATAAACGATGTAATTCATAACGTAATAATGCTGGACAATCAAATGCTCGAATTTCTAAGTTATCATTGGTGATCAAACTCGAAAGAAATTCATTCTTGTTTGTTGGTGATGATAATTTCATGTGTGCGCCCATTAATTGAGCGATTGAATCTTTTTGATGATCGACAGGTAAAGTCATTGTTAGAATTTCGTCAAGAAGAAGTTTACCATCGGTACCGTATAATTTTGGATCCAGTTTCGGTATTGGTTTACGAGGAGTAGGATTCAATGCACGATCTGGTCCAATACGTCCAGGTAATAGAAAACGTGGATTAGGGTCTCTCAGTGATGGGTTTGTTGTATCAACAACTAAAGGTGGAACTGTTAAATTTTCTTGTGCTGTTAAATTAGAACCATCTAATTGATCGACAAGATCCAGTAAAGCACGAAGTGTTTTACGTCCGACAATACGTGCTTTTAAATCAAATGGATTTGGTTTAAAGGAGGATAGTCGACGTGTTGGAGAAAGTAAAAATAAAGATTGAGGACGAATGTGTGTTAGAAAACGATCCATTGTAATCTATAATTGACTGAATTTACACATATATTTCGTTCGTTTTTTTTCTCACTAGCTCTTCTATCTAATAGCTGATCATGCGCTCGCTGTGTGTGTGAGTCATGGTGTCGTGTTTTTACTCGCTATTCGCTATTCTATTGCGCGCTAGTTGTTAATAAACCACCACCATTGCATTCGTCGTTGATTCGTTCTCTTTCCTCCTCGTGTCAATAGAGAATATCTTTTTCTGCTGTGGTGCAGACTAGGAGCCGCATAGCATCATGGCTTCGTTTTTTCTTTTTCTTTTAATCGTCAGATTAGTACATGAAAGCAAAGAAACAGCAGCTGGAGATATCTTTCCTTTTCGTAATGTTTCATTGGACTGGTCTGTACGTGTGGACGACCTTGTTTCTCGTCTTACAGCACATGAAATCATCGATCAAATGGCGTACGGAGGTGGATGGGATGCAGGTGTTACACCTCCTATACCTCGATTGAGTATTCTTCCCTATTCATGGGGTACTGAATGTCTACGTGGTGATGTTAGTGAAAATTCCACAGGATTTCCGCAAGCAATTAATCTTGCTACGACATGGAATAAACAATTGGTCAAAGCAGTAGCCAATGCTACAGCATACGAAGTACATGCACATTATAATCTTTTTACTAAAGAAGGTTTATACGGCGTACATCGCGGTTTGAGTTGTTTTTCGCCCGTGGTGAACATTATGCGACATCCACTATGGGGTCGAGGTCAAGAAACGTACGGCGAATGTCCATATCTAACAGGAATGTTCGCTATTTATTTTGTTCATGGTCTTCAAGGGCCATCAACTGCACGCTATCTAAATACGAATGCAGGCTGTAAACATTTCGATTCTCATAATGGACCCGAAAATATTCCAGTTTCGCGCTTTTCATTCGATGCACAACTCTCCGAATACGATTGGCGTTCAACATTTCTTCCAGCGTTTCACGCTTGTGTCAATGCTGGTAGCTATGGTATTATGTGTTCGTATAATTCTATCAATGGTATTCCATCGTGTGCCAATAATCGTCTTCTAACTGATATACTTCGCCAAGGAATGAATTTCACAGGTTATGTTGTTGCTGATGATGATGCTCTTGTCTCGATCCATACTGATCATCATTATGTCCAGACAAATGAAGATGCAGCTATTGTAGCACTACAAGCTGGTGTCAATCTGGAATTATCTGATTCGCCAGAAGCAACGATGTTTGAATTATTGCATCAAGCATATGATGAAGGCAAAATTAATAATCAAACATTAATCCAACGTGTCAAACCATTAATGTACACAAGAATGCGCCTCGGAGAATTTGATCCACTTGAGATGAATGATTACAATAAAATACCTATGAATATTATACAATGTGAATCACATCGCAATCTAGCACGACAAACTGCATTACAATCGTTTGTACTTTTAAAGAATCACGGAAATTTCTTACCTATTCGCAATCCAAGTGTATTCCGAAATGTTCTCTTTCTTGGACCAATGTCAAATAATCCTGTTCAACAATATGGTGACTATTCACCCATCGTTGATCCGTACTACGTAACAACACCGTTGAGTTCCTTACAGGATAGTTTTGCGAATACCAGTTACAACGAAGCATGTTTGGATGGAGCTAGATGTTTAAAATACAATCAAACAGATATAATTCATTATTTGAAGAGCAATCGATTTGATTTGATCATTCTTTCACTTGGAACAGGACCTGATATAGAAAGTGAAGGAAATGATCGTGCAACAATGAACCTACCTAATAATCAATTACAATTACTTCAAGATTTATTGAATACCATTGATCCGATGCAAACAAAAATCCTCTTTCTAACCATTTCGGGCACACCAGTAGATATTCAGCTAGCAGAACAATCGAACCAAATACAAGCAATCATTCATTTAGGATTCGCTGCACAAGAACTAGGTGAAGCACTGAAAATGGCAATTATTGGCGATGGTGCATCAAAGTTTGGTCGATTACCATATACATGGCCAAAAAAATTAAGTGATTTACCTGGAGATTTAACGCGGTACGATATGACAAGTGGCTTCACATATCGCTATTCAAATGTCGAACCATTATATTCATTTGGATATGGTTTATCGTATTCGAATTTTTCCTATTTTGACCTTCGTTTTAACGCCACAACAATCAAACCTGGCGATGGTTTAACAATCTATTTCAATGTTAAAAACACAGGTGAACGAACATCTGACGAAGTTGTACAAATCTACTTGAGCATTTCTCTAAAAAATACTTCTCTAGCAAATGTTTCACGCGCACAGTTAGTTGATTTCGAACGTTTGTCAGACATCACTCCACAACAAACCGTTCCCTACCAAGCAATAATCAGACCAGAACAAATGGCTGTATACGTCGATGGGAAAGGTTTTATGATTCTACCAGCCACATTGAGATTTCAAATCGGAAGTTTCCTTCAACCCTACCTATCAGGCAATGTCACTATCGACGGTACGGAATACTCCGTTGGGCAATACATTTCATACGCTAGTTTGTAGACTGTGATAATTTTATACCGATAGTATTTGTGATCATCAATCGATGCTTTTTTAATTTATCCACAAAATTCTTTTTAAAAAGATAACAAGTTGTCTAAGAAAAAAAAACGCAAGGTTCTTTTGTTTTCAGCAGTAATTAAAGACAGGAAGAATACCGTCGGGAAGAATATATATCACTGTAACATTAAATAATAAGCCTACGGAGTGAGCATGAAGAAAATGAAAGTTAGTAGAAAAGAAAAGGCAAAACAGTAACCCATATATGCTTTTGTTTGAAATAATAATGTTATTGATCAACAGAAAGAGAAACTAACAAGAACAGTTAGACGAGAGAAAAACAAATTTTAATAGAATCGCGTTCGTTGATATTGGCGATTGTTCATGTAATAATATGCACCGACACCAACACCGACACAAACAATGATCAAAAAGATGATAAGAAAAAAGATTTTCAATGCTGACCAACCGGATCCTTTGGGATCATCAGTGTGTTCACGTTCAGGTTCAGCACCTGGCGCATTAGGTATGATAGATCGACGATCTTCTGAACGTCGTTTCTCGCTTGAATCTAGTTGGTATGTATGTACGGAAATGATATCATGGTTATCAGATAAATCACCAGTTGCAGCTGAGAAACCGAAATAATAATGCGTAGGCAAATGAACATCGGAAGCTGTAAAACATTCTTTCCAAACATTTTTTCCTTCAATGTCAGTTGAAATTGTTAAACGATCATTTTGATAACGTATAGCCACTAGTGTGTCGGTATCTCGACCGCGGAAAGGTGATTCACAACCACTTATGATTGTATGTGTGCCATCACGATCATGATCATAATGAAGTGAACCGTTGTTAACCATCGCTGATATATATGGATGAGCATGCTAAAGATACAATCATTAAATGAACTCAAATAGAAAATCTTCGTAGTCCTACATTATGAGGACCATTGTGATTGGAATAGGTATCCATGATGATAGCTAAACCATGAAAGTAATCTGCATAACCAAAAACAGGTCCTAGAAAAGAATTGATTGGAGACCAGTTCTTATAAAAATCAATTTCCGATGCGTACCAGTTAACTTCGGATCTCTGACATACCAAATAACAAAGCCATCGCCGAATAATTCCTTTCCACTGCCGTGTACTTTATAGTGAATATGCATTTCCCAATCAGGATAAGTAACAGGGATCATGTTCCATAAACCACCAGCTTTACTTTGGGAATCTGACGTTAAACGTATATATCGGTCGGTGACAATAGTATTGCCAACTAAATGCCAGTATGAGTTCGCCGTAGAAAAAACTATATGTCAACATAAAACGAAATCAGATCAATGTACTCATATTTCGTAAACAAACCAGCTGGATAGGGTCGATTCAAACTGTGTTCGCGAATTTCAAACGAATTTTCATCGTGATCTTGTTCGTTAGTAAGATTGATAAAAAGAAAAAATAGAAGACACGAAATGTTTGAAATAGAAACCATCTGAAAAGTGAAGTAATTCATTGAATACCTGTTTTTTTACAATTAGAACATATCGAAACGAACGAGCGATGATAGATATCTCAATCAAATGTATATGTGTACTATGTGCACATTTGGTGTTATGTGATTGGATAAGAAAATTCTTTAGACACAAGTCCATAATCCAAGCATTTTTCTACATAAATATTAGTGAAATATAGAACATAATTGTCTATTCAATTTATCGAATAAAATGTGAAAATGAAAACGAATCTCTAATTAACGACAACTATGGTGCTTGATTTTCATTGGTCGAAATTTTTTCGACTTAATAGAACAAGTAAAATGCAGCATTAACATTAATTGTTCTATCTTCGTCATAGACAGTTACATTATACTCGTTCATAATAATTAAAATCGTCTCTTCGTCATCGAGCAGTTGGTCACTGAACTATTCCATTGCCATTGTCTACATTCGCCGATTGTATATCAACATTATTCTCGTATTCATCGTATAGCATTATCTCTGACGAAATTACTTGATCAATGACAATGTAATTCTTTTTCTTAGCTGTTCTTTTCGATTCTCAATCTGTCTTTTCGTCCGCTTGGAAATAAGTTTAAGTTTTGGAGACTGTAATAGATAGAAAACAGAATGCCAGATTTCGAGTTTTCTGTCGGTATGAACTTCCTGTGAAATTTTTCAGAAATCAGGAGTTTCTGTCGAATCAATAAGGTCGATTTATCCCTTTGAGTTGAAAAATAAGTTAGTTCTGATTAGTCATCTTGTTGACTGACAACTAATACTATTTTTATGTAAGAGTGACAAGTTTTTTTTGAGACACTATCACTATATGCCAAATCCGTTAGAGAATAGATAGGTATTTCAGATGAATTTCGACAGAATCTTTTCATGCTGTCCGGGAAAATACCTTTCCAGGTAATAAGTGTCTTTCTGTGAAAATTTCAAGACAAGTTTCATACAAATAGTACTAGTTCGAATGAAGTTCTTTTACTCTAAATTTTAAGTAAGCTTTTCTCTGTAGAGAACCAAGCGATTTTAGTGCTTTTTTATTCCAGTTAAACCTTCAAGTGATAGGTTGAACTAGTTAAAATCAGATTATTTCACTAAACCATTTTAGTCCAGTTGTCTGGGTATATACTCTGTACACCATAAAACACGATGTCAGATGGTCGAACCCTCATGAGAGAACTGCGAAAATAACTATGATTTTCAGTGATGACAATCTATAGATGACGAGTTGGAATAGTAAGATTTATCTTACTTTGACACAAAAAACGAGGCATTTGTCTGAGAAAATCAAATCTATTGTTTTTTTTTAATAATCTCATTAGCGAATTTCTTTCTAGATTAATTTCCTTCTGATGATGGACATTAACAATGGTTGGTTCGAACCTCTGAATCATACTTTAACAGTAAGTAGAATGAACGACTTGGCTCTCAGATCAAGATTTGGACACTCTACATCTGTTATACGATCATATTCTAGCTCAATACTCAATCTACTACCATCAATAGCACCAATCCCCCATACGATCATGAAGGTATGCTGGTGGATGATTATTTTCTAGAAATAATCGAGCTTTTCTTCTTTCAGCATTCCTAATATATAGGATTAATTGACTGAATATTAGGGAGGGTTTTTGCTGAAACAACGGAGAGAAAATGAATATTAATCGATTGTTTATTTTGTATTTTAGGATCCCCAGCAGCAAACGTTTGTAACAAAACATGATTTAGAACTACTACATAAGAAAATCATCGCGACTGAGTAGGTTATTCGTTGAGATATTGTTTTCAAGATACTATTGAATGCTTTTAGTTTAATTGTACAAAAATATCAAGACGCTAATCGAGCCCTATCGAGACTACAAGCGGAAAACGACAATCTTCGCCAACAAGTGGATCAAATAACAAAGTAAAGCGAGAAAAAAAAAGAATTTTATCTAAAATTTCTTTGGATTTTTCTTTTAGTGAATGTTGTATCTTCAGTAAACAAGTAACCGAGTGTACACAAGAATGTGATAGTTTAAAAGAGGTAAACGGTCAACTTGAATAATATGAGAAAAACTGTTTTGTTCTTTGTAGCAAATTTCGATATTGAATGGTGAAAAACGTGAAATGCAACAACAGTTACGTCTGTTGCAAGATGAAAATACCAATAATTATCATGAAATCATGGTTTTAGTAAGTTTTTAAACAACAGAATGTCTCTTCTAATAACATTCAAACTTCATTTAGAAACAATACGAGTCATTGAAAGGTATCAATGATGATTTGACAAAAACTGTCGAACGGCAACAAAAACATCTAGCCAAATTACAACTCCAAGTGCAACGCAAATCACCGATTGTTTACAAGTATGATACATAAGATAGATAGATTTAATCAATCATTCTTTAACTGTATATTCCTATTTAGACCAAACAAAGCCAGTAAAGAACCATCTGAAACCGGTACGTTTAGTTGCAAATGAAAGGTTTCTATGAATTTAAAGAGTTATTTTTCATGTTTAGATATTGCTTTGGTGAATTCACAGAAAGCGGTTCGTGAGTTGAAGTTAGCACTTGAACGTCTAGTCAGTTTTATACAAATATCCAGTAAGGATTTGATCTGTTCGTATGAGCGATGTGTTTATTCTTCTTTTTACGTAGACATTGAAATCCCAACCGCTTTGAACATTCGCCCTGTACTCAAAGCTTATGATATTAGTGACGGTAAATTCAGAAGTTTAGGTTTGTCTTGATAGTTTTCATGTTTTCTGGTTTAGATTTTTTGGAAATCGAAGGTGAAATCTTCCGTAAACCGGTGAAGAAGAAACGCGTACGTATCATGCAAATCCTTTTCCATTTCACGCACGATCTGATTCTATTGTTTGTAGAAACCGGTTGTTACTCAAACGGTAGTTCAAGAAGAAGCAGATGGCGATGACGAAGACGATGCTGATGATTTCATTGAAGTAACTGACACGGTGCAAACTCCTGTTGTAAATACAAATGTTCCGGTGGAAAATACTGCTGAAGAAACACCATTGAAAACATCCGCTCGCTCGAAAAAGCAGCAAGAGAAGAAGGAAACAAAAAAGACTCGAACTTCACCGATAAAAACTCGTCGACAAACCGAATTATCCAAATCGGAGAATGCAACGACAAATCTTGCCGATATGGAAACTAGGCTGGAATTGGCTTTATCTCAACCCAATGAACCCGAACCTATCTCACCTATGCGATCGTTTTTCAGTGACGATGATGATATCGACAATAAAACAAGCGCGTCAGATAAACCACAACTATCAACACCTGTTTACAATCCACTTATCTCGAGATCGACAATTAACCCTCCAAAAACCAATTCGAGTATAACTATTATTCCTAAATCATCGAAACCAATTTCAAGCAACGTCTCATTTTTAAGCGACGATGATAATGAGGAACCACCACAACAGAGATTACCACCGATAGCAACATTTATTGCGCCCAAGTCAGCTAATGTTCCTATACGAGTTGATAGAATTACTCCAATGGAATCTGAATCAACAGAAAAATCAGCAAAATACACGTCGTTTCTTAGCGAAGAGGATGAAGATAATAAGTCATTGTCATCTGCTTCGACGCCGGTTACCATTCAACCATCACCATTTCTACGCCAAGAGAATATTTCGCCATTAAAAACCAATGATGCAATTCCAGAAACTAACACTAACACAACGGAGAAATCGTTAGCATCAATGACTCCTATTCTTTCGAGTGATACTTCACAACAATCTTCATCGTCACCTATGGAAGAAGATCCAGTTTTATCAATAATTCCTATGAAAACGATCAATCCGAATCATATTAAAATTGTTTTGCGGTTGCTAGATGTTTTAACACAAGTTCCACCACCTAAAAAACCATTACGATTGGTTCGCCGTCGTATTCAACGGAAAAAGGCCTCTCAATCGAAACCTATCGATGAGAATGTGACTACATCAACTAGTGAACTTGCCAACTCATCACCACCAGTTCCAATCAACGCCACGACTGACAGCACAATGGAAGCTGATACGATTACGCCAACTGAAAAGCAAGCACAAGTGATTGAAGAAAAACTAGTGAATCAAGTTTCTTTACCAACCGAAAAACTACCAGAGTTCACGGAACACAGTCTGGATACAACAGCAGAAACTTCACAGCCAACAGTTGCAGAAATTTCGCCAGATGATCAAATCCGTATCACCACAGAAGAACGATTAGAATCAGTCGATACTCGACAAGAGATAATTCTTGAAACTGTAGAACAGCATGCACCTATCTCAGGTGAAAAGGAAGAACCAGCTATTATGCCAGTTGCTGACAAAGAGCCAGTGCGTAATATCAGAATGGATATTGTGCAAGAGAAGATAGTCGTGCCAAACAAACCTTCGATAGTATTGCCATCTCAGGAATCCAGGGTAAGAATCAATTGAGGAAAAAGATGCTTTTTGAAAATTTCTTTTTTATTTTATAGCCAATTATCGAAACAACACAATTCAAGCAACCATTGCCACCACCGCTTCTCATTCCTCCAGTTCCAAGTAATTATAAATATTCATTTTAATGTTTTTGAAATATCTCATTTCTTTCCTTTCGGCTTTTAGAAACTCTCGAACAAAATCGCCTCAAACCTCTTCAACTCTCTATTATCACCCGTCTTCTCAATGTACTCACCAATCTACCAGTCAAGCCTCTCACTCTCCCAACATCATTCCCGACTCGGAAACGCAAACGAAGAGTCTCTGTTAAGAAGCCGTCTGTTCCTCTTCCTCGGCCACCAACTAACCCAACATCTCATTCACCAGTTCGAATGCAAACTCGATCTTTAAACACCATTCGTTCATGTCTTGCACGCTGCAATCAACCGGTAACGAATATTAGAAAACGTACAGCTACGTCAGCACTAGCTTCAACATCATCAGTGCCCTCAACTGCTCCTAAACGAATGAAATCGATGAAAATCGAACAATCTGCAAATGAATATGATTCGATTACGAAGTTTCTCAATTCCTTGACCAAACAAATTCACGATGAAGTAGGTCAAATGATCGAACGGAAATTACATGAGGACACTTCTCTATTCAATGATCATATCTATCGAATCATCAGTGAATTGATGATTAACAAATGTAGTATCATTTTACCACTAGTCAACCAACTTCATCCATACGAAGAATCAATTCAAGTATTATTAACTTTTATCAATAGTAAATCGACTACATTTCCAAAACACTTCATCGCAAAACTAAATCAAACATTTGAATACGACGTGAAACAACACCAATCCACAATTCACAAGCGCATTAAAACCCTCAAGTAAGCACAGTATCATTTGCTTTAGCGCCGTTAGTTGTTAGTTCTGAGAGTACAGATAAAATATCGCATAAATTCACGTCACTTTATGCGTAGTTCCTTTTAGTCGAAAACATACGATCATGTGCTTTACGGAGATAGCTGATTATTGAGTGCAAATCGAAAACATAGCTATTTTTATTCTTGTCAAATGCATTCTATTTTTTAAATTTTAGTCGATTATTCTTTCTCAGTTGTTCAATATTTACTTTATCATCATCAGGTGTGGCAATCTATGCCAGATTATTTGATATTGGTTACCATCTTCCTCATGCTGTACTAACTGATGCTTTATCATTCGTTTCAAACGTATATTCATCGTTAATATCGGTTGATTGTCAAACAAATTCATCGAATGTTTTATTACATCAAGTCCTATTCGATATTTTCAAAGAAAGCAAAATTAATGTCTCTCTAGAATATCTCGAAAATCTTCTCATTGGATATCATCGATATACACACGATCGCGAAGATTTGTTACGTTGCTTTGTGCTCATCTCTCGTTCTCAAACATGGCCATGGTGTGCAGGTGAATTATGCAAGAAGCTTCTGTTTCCATTGTTGACTCGAATCGACGCCCAGGATCGACAGCGAGAAACAATTTTAATGATTTTACAATACGTTTTATATCTATACAAAGACAACGGAGAGTTTCAACGTGATCTGGCCTTTCATGATCAAACGAAACAATTGTTATTATCGTTAAAGACAATGACAGATGATGAATGCAGTGTACGAGACAGAACTCTTTCCATTTTTCATACTTGTTGTCAAATAAACGAATAAAAGCAAGAAAGATAAGGGAACAGATAAACTGTAACGATGAAATAGAACACTTGGCCTAGAAACCATAGTCTAGAGTTAATTTTAGGATTATTCTATGCCCTCAATGACATCGAACTCGCAAATATCTTTCATCATGCTTATCATACGTGCAATTTAAAAATAGCTGCACAGGGTTCTTATCAAAATCGGTAGTCGTTCCATTAGTACTTTACTTTTCTGCAAAAAAAGGGGTGTGTCGAAAGGGGTAACAGCCCTTGTGATTCTATTGGATGTCAGCACGTATGTTCATTTTCTCATCTTATCTAAAAATTATTTATATAAAGAAAAGAGACCGTCACAGTAGACATTTATTTCTTTTACATCCAATTATCTTTCATTGCATTTCGTTTTGATTGTTATACAAATCGAAAGGTAAGAGTGTTCACCAATTGCTCTAAAGAATTAATGGTGCAAGTTTATATCGAAACCCTTTGCAATACAATACAATCAACGTCAAATACTCTCATATACCGCATATTTAATCGTCAACGTCTTAAGATTAATCTTCATAATTGATTCATCATGAAAACAAATACTCTTCAAGAGACACAACGTATACTGGATCTGATCGCAAAGCGCAGTTTGAATGATGACGGTAATCAGCTATTTAACTGTTCTGTCTGTGGAAAATTGTATTCTTTTAGAGAAAAAGCAACTAATTGATGAAACTGTTGATAATTTCAACAACTATATCAATCCAGGATTTCTAAAATATCGAAAATCGTTCTCACCGGACTACGTTGCAGGTAAACATCTTCGATATTCAAAACATCTCTCACTCCCTTTCGGTCTAGTTGAATGGTCAGACAGCGGTTCAACGTTTAAATGTGTCAAAGGTATTGAATACATTGATTGTTTAGGTGGATACGGCATTTATAAGTAAGTTATACCAACCGAGCTGTATTTCGACCCTTCTAAATTCTCATTATATTTTAGCGTTGGCCATCGTCATCCAAAAGTGTTAAAAGCAGTTACAGATCAATTGCAACGTCAAGCATTGCATTCTCAAGAACTACTCGATCCATTACGTGGCTATTTAGCAAAAATTCTTGCTGAGTTAACGCCTGGAAATTTAAAATATGCGTTTTTCACGAACAGTGGAACGGAATCCGTAGAAGGTGCGTTGAAAATGGCTATGTCAGCGACGGGACGTCGAACAGTAATTGCCGCTGTTGGTGGTTTTCATGGAAAGAGTCTGGGATCATTGAGTGCAACCTCAAAGTAAGATCCTTACGGTTCTAAACATTAATTCCGACAAAATTCAATACATATATTTAGAGCTGTTTTTCGAAAACCATTCGTATCATCCTTAATCAATATGCGTCATATACCGTTCAATGACTTGACTGTACTGGAACAAACATTGGCTTGTTTGCAATTTACTGGAGATGATGCTGGTAGGACTCATAGTGGTTTGTGAAAATGACTATTTTTGCTGATGATAACATGTTTTTAGCCGCTGTATTACTCGAACCCATTCTTGGCGAAGGTGGAATCATTTTGCCGAGTGATGATTATTTTCCAGGTGTTCGTCGTCTGTGCGACAAGTATGGTGCTATATTCATAGCTGATGAAGTTCAAACTGGTATGGGTCGAACAGGAAAGATGTTCTGCGTTGAACACTGGAATGTAGAACCAGATATCATATGTTTGGGCAAGGCATTTGGTGGCGGTATAATGCCAGCAGGTAGATCGTAGAACACATAATAGAAAAAAACAAAATTTCTTTTCTTGTTCGTTTTTCAGGTGCTTTTATTGGATCTGAAAAACTATGGACAGCACTATTTGAGAATCCATTTTTACATACGACAACATTCGGTGGTAATCCACTAGCATGTGCAGCTGCCATAGCCACAATTAACGTCCTACTTGAGGAACACCTTTGCGAACGAGCTAAAACTATGGGTGATTTATTTTTAAGTAAACTCAAGTCAACAATCAAACCGTATACACCATATCTAACTCTTGATGCTCGCGGTAAAGGTTTAATGTTAGCATTAGAATTCGTCGATACAGATATTGGTTTCCGTGTAGCCAAAGGTTTATTTCGAGAAAAAGTTTTAGTTGCTGGTACATTAGTTAATGCGAAAACCATTCGAATTGAACCACCATTAACAATCACTACGGAACAGATTAACAGTGTTATTAATGCTTTATCCAAAGTACTGAGAGAAATTGCTAATAATATGAAAATTCAAGTAACAGACGAATCAATCGCGACAAATGTTCTTCAACGTACTGTACTTTCCCGACAGTTGTAATACATTTCTGAAAGACTCAATGCACTGATTTCTTTGATTAATCTGTATAAACTTTTTTGTTTCCTCTTTAAAAATAAATTTCAAATGGATCACGTTATATGTTCTTTTTCTTCTTTCGTTTCTCCCATCAGTCCGTCATTAACGATAAAGAAAACAAACCGTTAAACTCCCCACAGATTGTTCATCTACTTAGCACTAGATATTCCGAAATAATGAACCCAAATCAACCGTTCACTTCTCAGACGAATGAAAATGGAATGTCACGATCACAGAGTTTCGGTTTGTATCCAATGCAGTGTGAAATTACTTTTACGTGTTTTTGTTTATGAAGATTTTTCGGCGTCTCAACAATCGATACAAATATCGAATGTTATTCAGTGTGACCCTGCCCGGTTAGCGAACTTTTTAGGACATTGTTCACAGGTGAATAACAAATCTAACCAGAAGTTAGAAACAATCTACGAAAATTTACCAGCGCCACAGCAAATTGTAAGATTAGAATTCATTCAGACAGTTTACATCTTTTCTTGTCTTTTATTTTCGATTCAGATGTCATCCAACTTCCAATGGGTAAGATATCACATAGAATTTTGTTCAAATTGGAAAGATTTTCTTGGCTCTAGAACCAAAGCAAAGAACAACAATTATTCGATAACAAGATCGCATCTATTCGTGGTTCAGTTAGTTCGTGGAGTAGGTTGCATCAGCTATTATTGTAACTGTATACATCGTCTTCTTAAATTCTAGATTTATAATTCACATTTTACGACTGACGTTTTACTTTTTTTTTGTTTAACAAACTATATTGTGTGATGATAATTATGAAATAAATATAACGAGGTGTACCATAGCGACATCTGTGAATGAAAATTGTTTGTTTTTTTCACTTTTCAAAGTACTCTGGATGATCTTAGTACAGAGTATTGGCTAAATGCTTTTAAGTTAATCGGATGTCGGTACTTTTGTACATGTCGAAGAAAAGCTGGAGACTTGATCAATTTGCCTATGGCTAGACGTGGCTATGTGGTGTGAGATACTTTCGCATGTTCTCTTCTCTTTTACTTTCGTTTTTCTCTCGTCTCTGTAAGATTCTCTCTTGATTGAGTTAACCAATTTTGATTATTCGAAATGAGATCTATGAATAAAGTATCTTTCAGATTTTAGTTTTCAACTAACAAAGGGAATAATGTCGAATCAACGTTCAACAGCTCAAGATGAAGATTTACTTCTTCAAAACTTCAGTCGAAACGTTACTACGAAATCGTACGCTTTATTCTTTGGTAATGCTGCTGTTGTTTCAGCCATTCCACTCTGTAAGTTTCCTATGCAGAACGTCTTCGTTCGACAAAACTCTTTGCTCTCTCAGGGCTCTTCTGGCGTATTCACCAAATGGATATTACATCTTACTTCATTCATTTCATCATTGGCACTGCTATAAGCACTTATTTCCTCAATTTAGCTTATCAAAATATGAAATTTATCTTGAAGCATAAGTAAATAAGGGATTTTTATTTGGACGTTTCTCGAACATACGAAATTGACTTTCTAGAATCGCACAAAAACGGGAAGAAGCTGTCAATCGTGAAATATCGAAATTGTTTGCTAGTGACAAATCTGCAAATAAAAAAGATAAAGATGAACGGTAATGACCGTTGATTTCGTCTTTTCGACTGGTGTTTATCATTTTTCATTTAGGGTTTTAACACGTAAAAATGAGGTCGCCGATTTCGAAGCAACAACCTTTTCAATCTTTTATAATAATTCTTTCTATCTTGTCTGTCTCATTGTTTTATCATTTTTCGTCTTCAAAAACTTTTCTCCAACTGTTAACTATCTATTTTCCGTTGGTCTCTCCACCGCCATTGTTTTTCTTTTTTCAACTGGAGAGAAATAAATAGCAGTAGAATCGACAAGATATTCTGTTTATTGTTATTGTTCTTCATCGTTTCTCGGTTTACAAATCAATGTCATTTGTGCAATCATCTATCCTAAACTATTTTATTGTGTTTTCTTGTTCCATTCATTCTTTATGTTAACTATCATCAGCAGTAGTTAAGACATGGTTAAAAGAATAAACGTAAAACAATTGCATGAGTACTCATAAAGTTCAACGAACATTGCCATTCCACTAGGGTCAACTCAGTACGAATATGTAATTGATTTCTATTTCAAAGACATTTCGGCACAAATGCTAGATCTAATATTAATTAAAACAATAGATAGAAACAATATTTGCATACCTATTTCGAAACCTTGAGTATGGAAGAATAAGACTACGTGGCCATTGTATTTGTATTGAACTATTGTCTGCCTGTCAATCAATATTTGTTGCCCTACGCAATTTCATTTTGAATATATAGGCCAGCTTTGAAAGGAGAAGAACGAAAGTTTTACTTAACAACCTAAACGGCAATCAAACGCTGAACTTGACCAATATGAAAGTTAGTATCAGTACATTCTCTACCGCTGTACTTATGCTTGCGTTTCTCGTGTGTGGTAAGATTGAATTCGGATAAAAACAGATCTTAATTGCGAAGATATCTTCTAAACTAGAGAATCAAGCTGCTTCATCATGTTATTCATGCAATGATTGTGGCACTAATTGGGATATATCAAAAGCTAGTGTCGTTTCAACATCAGGTCCTAATGATTATTGTCGAGTAAGTAGATGGACTCTTGTTCGCTTCATTTTGGACTTTTTCATATCGTCTAGAAAACCGTAACAGGACCAATGGTGAGCAAAGACTATACATCGAGTTGTACATCTGCCAATCTTCTCGGTCATGGTATTTTCTGTTGTCAAACAGATTTGTGCAATTCAGCAAATCGACCATCAGCTACAATGCTTATATTTCAACTGACAACTGCTCTTCTCTGGATAGTATATCGTTATCTATTTTGATGTCTTTGTGTTCGATTGTGATGTGATATATATTCGAGCTTTAAATAAATCAGATAGTCTTATTATTCAGTTCATTATTGAAATGTAAGTTTCCAACATGGAAGTGTTATTCTTCCATTTTGAAAATATGATTACTGGGTTCACAAAGTTGTTTTCTTTTGATGAATTTCCAAGATAAAATGGAAAAGGCTTCTGTTTTTTCTTCATGCCATTCTCAATTTATGGCAGAAAACAATAATTTAAAAAGATAGCAATCTAAAATGAAAGCAGCGCAAAGAGAAAAAAACTTTCTGAACAGACTTCAAAATAGCTTGCAAAAATTTGATTTTCTCTCAAGTTAAAAAGAAAAAAGCTTACGCACTGTTTGCAACCTCTTTTACTATTCTTGAACTGCATCCAACATGAACACGATCTTGGCATTTTGCATCTGTGTCGCTAGTAATATTTCTCTTTCGTGATTTTCAATGATCACTAAATATTGGTCTTTAGTTGCACTACCGGTATCAATTCACGGGCTTCAATGTTATTCTTGTGACTTGTGTTCGGTACCATTCACCACGAACAATGCAACTATTGTTTCAGTTAATGTTACCGGTGCGTCATGTACTGTAAGATTAGTTCTATAGAAATCTATCGATTGCAAGATTTGCTAATGTCTGTCTTAGAAATATGTTTTTGCATCCTATGTCTCCAAAGGCTATGCGACTGACTGTGCTCAGGTGAACGTAAATGGAATCGGCACTTGGTGTTGTAAGATGTCCTGTAACTAACACGACACGAAACAAACTGTTGCTATTTTTCTAGGTTCTACTGACTTATGTAATGCTGGTCAATCCATTGGCTCGTTTGATTCAAAGAGAATCCTTGCAACATTTCTGGTTGCTATCGGTATCATGAAAATGATTCATTCTTAAATGTAAAAACAGAAAATTTTTTCCGCGCACTTTTCATCTGCTTGAGAAATTTATGCATAATCATTTTTTTGCGACTGCCCATACAGCTTTAACTACTAATTCAAGAAATAAATAAAAACGCATTTGTCATAGCTTTCCATAGAAACTCAATCGATATTCTCCAGGTACTTTGCTCATCGAAACAGCAATTTTACTTTCAATTTATTTAATTGTTGCACTTAAGAATATCTACTAGTAATAACACTTGCTTTTTATAACAAAAAGTGGAGATGATAGCTATATTTAAAATTATGACAATGGCCACCCATACCTTTTTATATCAAACAAAAATACTTCGGAAGCTTCTTTATTTCAAAGAGAACACAAGTAGGTAGTATGATAATTTAAGATACAAGGAATATGAGGCATCTATACGGTACGTTTCTCACAAGTTTTGCCCGTCAGTACTTCGTGATTTTTCAAACCATGATACAAAGTCAGGAGATAGGTAAATACACATTTTTTATCCAATTGGCCATGTATAAGATCGCTACTATCCAATAACGGATAAACTTCAGCTTTTTCTCTAAAAAATCACAGACGATTCAAAAGAAAACAATATGAAATTCTAAACTTACTCGGCAAGACGAAATGCTAAATCAAAATTCTTCTGTTTGCTATCGCTATTCAGCGCATTGAAATCGAATGCATCGGGAAAATAATGATGAATTATTGCACAGAAGGCCAAACCATCCGCAAAATCACTTGTAAAATTCCGGATTCTCACTGACTAAACAGAAAAACAGGAAATCGAATAATAATAAATCATTTTTACACTACTTCATAATCCCGTGTCACATGTTGACACCATTTTAATAACCGTTCCTGCGCTTCTCGATACGACGGTCGTGAATTCGATGTCATCTACAACAAGAATAATCCGAAACAATATACATACAATTGAAAGAGAAAGACCGCGACACGTTAAATTATACACACTGTCGATCAATGATTCGAACTCATTCTTCTAACTATGATAGAAAGACGAATGATTATATATGCACAGATTATTTTGTTTTGATATGTCACAATTATGTAAGAATAAATACTTACATGATTGAAATAATATTGAAAGATAACAAACCTGCTGACTGCATTAGAAATATTCTGCGTCGAATTATTATGGGAGATACAAAAAAACTGACACTTCGATGAATTGAGTGAAGAAATCTACTTTTGTTCAGTATATTGATAATCTTTATGTAAATGAAATTGAGCTCGCTTGGTCGACGAGCGAGGACAAAAAAATGTGTGAGAATACTATTATCATCATTATAACATAACTGTTTCTTTCTGCTCATCGTTTATTCGTGTATGTGTGTGTGTGTGCATGTAAGTAAACAGAGTAGTTCAAGCCATCTAATCAATTTCCGGTCGCGTCGAAGGTGTATTGAATAAAGAGTAAGTCTCTAATCTTCACGATAGGCAAAGACTATCGATTGTTATGCGATTTAGTAGTACATACGTATATGATCGAATGTCAATAAACGAAAAGATCTGCTGGGTTATTCACGTCCTTATATGATAACGAAGAGGATCATCTTTTTAGGATGTGTAATTGTATTAGTAATTGCGAGAACAACCTTATCCAACATAGAGATATACCATTCTATTCGACATGGATTAAAGCAAAACGTATTAAGCAGTTACGAAGGATAAAACTTGAAGAACTTTCTGAACAGAGTTCTCGCTCAGAATCATCAGGTAATTGAAATGAAAAGAATTTGACTTTAAAATAAGATAAGCATGATCAATTGCTACTGCATATCTGTACGAACTAGATGTCGCTATCACCTAAATTAGATATTGTTCATCCAGGTTTTCTATTGGTCGATTAATTGCATAACAGATATAAAAGAGACAGTGCCTTTTGTTTATCATCTTTCGTTGAATATTCGTTCATAACGATCATATATTTCTCTGAAGAATCGACAATTCTTGATTAATAAAATGTCGGGATCTACCTCAAAACAACCAAAACTTGATGGTAGGATCTAATTTAGTTATCAAGTTTTTTTTCCCAACATTATTAAATTTTAGAAGTTGAAATGCAAAAAGCATTTGAAGTCATTGGCGAAGTTCAAAACGAAATCGACCGTCTTAACGAACAAGCCAGCGAAGAAATTCTTCAAGTTGAACAAAAATACAATAAACTTCGGCAACCTAATTACAAAAAACGTTCGTCATTTCGCAATAACATTCAATCTATAATCATTTGTTTCCAGGTTCAGACTTGATCAGCAAAATCCCATCATTTTGGATTAGTGTGTTTCTTAATCATCCTCAACTATCGGGCTGCCTAGACCAAAACGATGAAAATGTTTTACAATATCTTAAACGTGTCGATGTTGAAGAGGTAAAGAAACGAGAGAAAAACAACTTTCTAGTAATAATTTTCTTTTCAGCATGAAGATATCAAATCAGGCTATCGTATTAAATTCGTAAGTTTTTCGTTCGTGTATTTTGATTTGTTGGAAATCATACTTGATTTCAGACTTTCGATACAAATCCATACTTTGAAAACGATTCAATCGTTAAAGAATATAGTATCACTGAATCAAGCGAAACACAATGCAAAGCAACGCCTATTCGATGGAAAAATGTATGTTTAATCTCGGCGGACTGACAAATATGGAGGTTTGTTTTCGTCTAGGGAGCAAAAAACGGTCAATCAGCGACCAATCGAAAAACTGACGGTGACAATTCGCGTAAACGTTCCCATGATCATGAAAATGACAATGAACATGGTGCATTTATGAGTTGGTTTGTGGATACTACTGGTGAATCAGGCAATGATGAATTTGGAGAAGTTATTAAAGATGATATCTTTGTTAATCCTCTTCAATACTATTTGGTAAGCGACAAGAAGTCGAATTTTTTTCTCAGATAACACCTTTCCCCTTCGATAGGCTGCAACAACTAACGATGAAGACGAAGGTAGCGGTGGCGAGAATGACGACGACGAAGATCCTGAAGTAAGTTGACATATGAAGTGAACTATACGAATAAACTTCGATACTTCTTCTTTCACTAGGGCAACGAAGAAGAACAAGAATAATGAATATGATTCACTCCTACGAACGTTTGTAGATTCTACTTACTAACATATCTCTCCTTCTTTCTTATCTTCTACTTTGACTAAATCATTTGTACTCGAGATGTTCGAAAGATCAATCCGGTTGTGTTCACGTCAACAATATCTGCTTTATTCAATTACTCTTGTCATTTATTTTCGTTTCTTACTATTGTCTGTCATGTCTATCATGGAGAATAAATAAAATTTTTCTCATTCAGAATTCAATTCATTCACTCGTATATCAATTTTATAGACAACGTCCATAGCATGTCGAGTCTCTTCAAACTCTTGCTAATTGTACTGATGAGTTCATTTTCTATCAGTGATGTCTTTGATACTGGCCGACAAAAATATCAACAAATCGAACTGCTATCAAAATCTTCAACAGAAACATCCTCATGTTGGCATCGAGTATTAACAATGTTGCACGAACGTTGTTCATTGGATCAATTAGATCAATATCAATCATTGATTGCTTACCAATTCACTCTTTGCCATCTATCAACAATGAACTCCGATTTGACAAGTATTGCGTGTGATGAACATCGAGTTGAGTCATGCGTTGAAAAACTTCATCAATATACAAATGCATTCATTGGTAATTAAACTCATTTTGACAATGACGACATTCCGTGAGGATTGTTTACTTTAGCTTATACGGAATTCTATCCTTTCGTTCAAAGTGTTTGTTATGTTCTACATGAAAAGTCATACCAATCGGAATTGACGTCACGTCTGACATATTTCCTTGAAAATTCTCAAGAAACAATAACGAAATTAGTTTCCTCGATTCAACTGCAGACTGAACTAACACAGAAAATTAAACATCAGCAATACATTCAAGAAACAATTCTCACAAATGCAATGAAATTGAAAGATTTGGCTCGAATAAATATGGATAAAACACAAGATATTCTCAGTAATGTCATTCAAGCTGCTCGTCATGAATACGATCTACTAAAACAAGTAGAAAATTGTTCTTGAATTCAATTTTGATTTCATTCATTGGAAGTAGATCTGTGCACTTTCACAAACAATTCAAACGATCGTACGAATTACTTGTACATATTCATTTTGGTTCTATGCTCTGTCAATGTTCGCTATTTATATGATTACCATTCCGAAACGAACAAATCGAGCGAGGTTTTTAACTTGTTGTAAATTGGTTAACAAATCAGTTTCTTTCGTTTGATGCAGGTCAATGCTATTCTCCGGTATGTTTCTCTATGTTCTCCTCGAACGATACCTTCAAATGTCAACGGTAAATTAAAAAGATCATTTTTCCTATCGTCATTTTTGTCTCTCTTTCTGATAGATAATCAATTTCTATCAGTGGCGTTTGATTTGTTGGACATGTTGTCTATTGGTCCTGATTCGATTCGCGTATAAATATCAAAGTCGAACAGAAATACATCATGAGCAACTCCATCGTATCTCAACGAATCTTATGCAAACCGAAGCAACCTTCCATCGAGTATCAAGAGAATTAAAACGTGCACGTTCACGCTCACGTTCGCGTTCTCGATCCATTCGAGCAAGACAGCGTCAAACTCAACTGCCTTCTCCACGTACGTTAACACAACTATTCGAATTCGATTATCCTTTCGGTTCACTTTTTAGTTGTTCAAGATCGTACTAATGAAAACAAAGAAAATACTCAACCAATAGACAAGATCCCTCCTTCGCAAAGTCATCTTATCGACGATGAAAACGATCAATCATTTATCAATCATACAAACAAACGTCATTATAGTCTGCTGCTCTCTCGCGAGTAAGTTCTTCTTTCGTATGTAAAATATTCAAACTATTTATTTAAAAAAAAGACAATCTAGATCGTCGAAGCCGATACAAGTTCTACTAGAATCGAAAAAAGTCAATAGCAATATATAGTGATTTGAAAATGAATCAAACAATATCTAGTCTTTCTTTAGTTAGGGTAGAAAAATGTATTTAGAGAAAAGTGGAATTGTCCACCGTTGGATACATGTTCAAATTTCGACATTCGGTCAGATTATATTTTTGTAAGTCATTGTAAGATATTAAGCCTTCTGCTGGCTTCACAGTCTTTTGAAGTTCTTTTGCTATCTAAATTTCAATAAATCTCAATCAATGAAAACATTTGTTTGCCTTCTCTTACTTGTTCGTTGCTTTCCAATACGCGAAGGAGATTTCCACCTATAAGTTTGATGATATCATCATCTGTCCAATTATCTTGTGCTAGCAAATATTCAATTAGTTTCGGGAATTTTGAAACATCTTCGAGACGTTTTGGCGTACTACAATAAAGGACGACATAATTAAAAGAAAATGTTGCAGTCGAAAATGATCGACAGACTTTTGAATACCATCAAAATCCCCGCCTAAACCGATACTGTCAATTCCAGCGACCTTTCGAATATGATTAATATGTGCTAGATAGAAGATTATTCACAAGGGCAAGTAGGAACAACGAAGCAATTCATCTTACCAGCAACATCGGCAATCGTGACAGGTTTCGAAGGATCACATACGAGAAATGATGGCACAAATGTGACCATGACGATACCCTTATTCTTTTTCTACAACGAAAAATATCAATTTCTTCCGCTGGATTGCTTCCATCAACTGTAAATCATACCACTAATTCAAGTACATCATCAGGTACATTGCGCGTGTGGTTACATAGAGCATATGCTGATGAGTGACTGAAGATCACAGGTGATTGCGTGACATTAAGTACGTTGATCATGGTTTCTTTTGAGACATGTGATAAATCAACTAACATTCCTAGTCGATTCATTTCTGTCACGATTCGTTGACCAAAATCAGTTAGACCATTATTTTTTATCAATGTCGAGTTCACTCGATCGACTTGATTTTGATCAGCCCTATGTAAGAATTCAGCTTTGAATTAGTTTTACCAAAGACGCGACTTACCATGGAGTATTACAATTATGTGTAAGTGTCATATATCGCACGCCCAATTGATAGAACAATCTTAGAACAGCAAATGAACTTTCGATGGCTTGTCCACCCTCGACACCGTATAGACTAGCAATACGTTTGGCAGCGAATGCCTGTCGAATTTCTTCAGCAGTTTTAGCCATTTGAAATACATCGGGATGTTTTGCGAGTAGACGATTCATCAGATCAATTTGTTCCATAAAACTTACTGTCGCATCTTTTCCTTGATGACTACAACTGGTATATATTGACCAGAACTAGAATTTATCGAAAGACGAGCTTTCCTCGACAAGATGCGTGTGTCAAATATGAGCTAGAAACCTGTCCACCAACTTGACCGAGTCGTAATCGGGTTATATCGGTATGCGATGGTGTTGAGTTCTTCACTGGATACTGAGTCATATTATGCAGATCTAAGTCATTGATTTTATTTTGAAAATTTTCTCGAATGAGCCATGGCCAATCGTTGTGCCTGAAATAAAAATTTCTCTTCCACTTCTCATCTTCGTAAGACTTTATGAATGGTCCGAAATGATACTCCGCCAAGGTGATCACAGTGTGTTTATTAAGTGAACTTTTGATAAAGGTTATACACTGTTATCCGTACATCAGATAATCAAGTGAGAAATCTTTTTTTGAAACCTCGCAATGACATTCTAAGCACCCTATCATTTTACATGAGATATTTAATGAAAGGATTCCGACTTCACCGCTGAATGACATTCAAAAAGAAAGAAAGCATGCACAATGCTTACCCATCGATTAGAGGATTATTTGCGAGTATCTGAGATGTTCGTTGTTCCAAAGTTAATGGAGTTGGTTTCCGTCTACCGGCGACCACTCCGACAATCACACCAACAACGAGACTAATAAGCAATATAGTTCCCACGCTTCCAACAACAATCAGTTGTCTTTTCGTTAGTGCCATTGTGTTATCTTAGCAATTGATTATGTTGTCTCGATCACGACTGTGGTCGGCCTCGTTGCACTATGTTGTAATAGTCCAATAAGCGAGAGGAAAATGTCTTAACTATCGAGAGAAATGAAAAGGGAAGAGATAACAGTATTAAAAAGAGAGAACATTGATGAGAAGAGAAAGAGAAGTGACAAACAGCAAGATCAGTACGAAAGCTATACTTGACTATTGTACATCTATGTTGACGACACGAGAATATGCATATCTTATTTTCTCTTTTCCGTTATAAAGTCTTCAGTCAATAGATTTGCATTCATGCGGTTATTGTATATTTCCTCTTTTTTTTTGATGATGTCATCCAACGGGATTGATCAATGTGCCCTATAAATCATTCTCGCTCTTTTTCCTTCTATTAAAAATCATGCCAATCTGATTCTTGAAGTCGAACTACGCACGGATACGAACGTTTGTCTGTGCATTTATTTATAATAAATATCTTTCTGTATGCATGTACATTTGTCTTTATATAGTTATTTTCGTCACACACGCACGCAAAACAAACCATTCTACTGAAGAAACGATAGATCATAACATGAGAAAATATACACACTTGAAAATGCAAAACTGAAACAAGAAATCGAAGAGTGTGTATTGTGCTAATCGTTAACAAAAAAAACGAAAGATAGTAATACGAGGTGAGAAAAGTTAATAAGGAGAAATCCATGGTACATGTATTAAAGTTAGCAAGAAAATAACAAAATTGGAATGAATGTACAGAAAAATATAACATTCGTGCAAAACTCAATTATTATTGAATGTCGTGCGCATTTGACAGACAGATAGACAGAACGAGATAGGGATAGAAAACGAATAAAACAAAACATGCTGTCACCGGAACATCTATAAATGAGTTTTCTTTTTGAGATTGTTCGTTTGAGAAGAATGAAAAGTGTTCATGTACACAGAGAATATGGCACAAAAATAAAAACAGTTATTCTTTGTGTTTATAGACTTTCGCCTCCAAAATCAGTTTTTTCAATCTTCCGTTACTTTACGACGGCATGTTGGACATGAATCATTTTCCTAGAAAAAGTGAGAATCGTTCATGACATATGATTCAACAAAATGAAGAATAGCATACACTCAACCATGTGGATATGCATGGCAAATGAAATAAATGTGTACAATGTAATTTGTTTATGACTTCTTGATCGTCAAATTCAGTTAAACATATCGGACATTTTTCAGCTAATTGAATGGATGTCGTTGTGGCCCTTTCATTTACAAAGCTGATCTTTGGCAATGAATCAATTTCTACTTGACTCAGTCGTGGCGGAGGCAAAGTAAAACTTAATATACGTGATAAACGTATCATGTTCTAAATCAATAAAGATTGATGTAAAAGAGGATGTCAAGTGAGTGCTATTTACTTCTATACTGTCGAATTCGTTTCGTGTACCCAAACGACCGTAGATAAGACCGAAAATAAGTTGGTCGAAATTGTTCATCGCTCCTTCCAGTGATTGTATGGAATCGATGACAATCTCGATGGCACGACTTAAGCGTATATGTGTTACACCTGGGATGAAGTCTTGAGAGTTTATAGTTGAGGCGGAACTTGACGATGAGGTCGATGACGCACTCGATGGAGTCGCAGTTGTAGCACGCGAACTAGAGACAAAGAAAGAAATGAATATAGATTGACGTAATGAAGCTTGTCGTCTTACCGAATATTGAAACCAGCGCCGGATGTTGCTCGCGATGTTCGACCAAGACCAGCTGTTGTTCTTGTGGATAGATTATCGTTATCGGCTGCTAATAAATTGTATACTGATTCAACAATAGTGTCAGTAGTCGGTGAGGTTACAGGTTGTTCATCGTCTTCGTCAGATATATAAACAAGACGATACTGTCGTGGCTGAACAACAGGCGGTGGAGGAGGTATAAGTGGAGTAACTGTTGAACTGATAGGAATTGTAATTGGTATTGGCGGAGGTAGAACAGGAGGTGGAGGAGGTATAAGAGGTGAATGTGTGCTACTGGCCGGTGCTGCTGATGTGTGCGTAGCTGGAGTTATTGGTGGAATGGGTTGCCGAAAGCGTCGTGGTGCAACAGTTGGATATGCAGGTGGAACTTGAGGTAAACGAATTTGTGATGTTGGACGACGTGTGCGTAGATTATATCGTTGTCGAGTTGTCAACGTTGTACTAACGGATGGAAATCGCGTTAATGGATGGCGCGGATCAGGTGTCAACGACCGATTTCGAAGTGAGTAACTCGTACGAGGCGCAACAGGTGGTGGTAGTCCCGTCGGTGGTGGATTGTTGCGGTGCCGTTTAGGTGGAGCATTCAAAGTATTTACAGTTGCTGGAAGAGATGGCATCGCAACTGATGATGAACCTATTTCTGAAATTGTATTTGATACTGCTACAAGTGTTCCTGTTCCGATTGCTGTTGTCGTTGTTGCGTGTCGATGATCAACATTGTTTTCAATCACATTCGTTGATCGAGTTCGTTTTCGTGTTGCCATTGATCTTGATGGTAGCGATGCCATAGAAGAGTACACGGTTCTGTATTTTTCAAAAGACAACAATCAAGGAACTGTCTAAAAGTTGAATTTATTTGAAAAGTCTATAGATGACATTGATGGTTGACCTTTGGATCGTTTACCAACTTGCTGGAACAATAAGAGAGTTTGTTTGTTGTTATTGCTCACTATTTTCTCAACAGTTCATTCTATAGCCAATAAATGAGAATTGAACAATAGATGGCGCTTGAATTTGTATGGGAGGGTGGGTTTTTGCGGAAACATGAAGAATAATTGATTCATGATGTTTTACATCTTTTCTATGGAATCAATCATTTATAGCAATCGCGAATGCAACTTTTGATAACAAAGACAATTGTAGTCAAAATATGAACAAAGTTTTTTTGTCGAATTCGGTGATAGATAGATACGTTTTTCGAGACAAAGAATACTAGATTTTATGCTGAAGTTGTTTTTGAATTCAATAGACACGATGAATACCAAACTTTCTTTCGCAGATGACGTATGAATGAATATCGTTTCCAGTATATGAACATTTTCTGTTTTCATTGGTTCATGATCGATAGATAACCGAGCGCCACTAGTATATCACTGTTTCTTTTATTGTCCTTTTGTCATGTTCGTTCGTTTACTTGTTCTTTTAGATCACAACCATCGTTCGTTGTAACGTCTCAAGTCATGAACCCATGTCAAGAGTGAAACCAGTATAATTGTTGACAAATGGCGACTACTGCTGCTGCTGCGGATTACGACAGCATAGTCGATTCAATTTGGAAAGATCGAATTGAACGAGCGTTAAAATACGTTAGTCGAGCAATCGATTTAAAACAACGATCCGATGCTGCGTAAGAAGATTTGTATACGAATCCAAATGATTTGATTTTCCTCTTCCATCACAGACCATTGCTTGCAAAGATTGCTGAACAATACAATCGCATTCGTCGACCACGTATTTTGTCCGAAATGATATCCGATGAAAATCATTCATCTCTCTACACGAACTGTTCCTTCGATGAACTTACTGGTGATAAAATGACCTGTTCGCTTTCGATATTACCACAAATCGATCAATTACCAAATATGTTTACTTATGTTTCCCTGCAGAGCAATTTCTTAGTAAGATTTCTGCTCGATGACGTCACTAATCAACATCGATTTCTTTTCTAGTGTGATACGATTACAAATCTATCTAATTTAGTTTTTGATGAAAATGACGAAGACGTGAAAAATCTTCTCATTTCCATACAGTCAGATTCCTTCACCGAACAACAGCAATGTAAGGGAAAGAATATCTTCGACATCTTAGAACCAACTCTCGTTTTCCTTTAGCTATTCGACTTTTTTCATCTATGAAACGTATGAATCGTTCATCGAAAACGTCATTTTTAAATGATCGGAACAATGAATTTATATTCGATGAAGAACATCTCTTGGATTTATTGAAACGTCTCAAACAACAAGCAGAACACACATCATCACCGATGACATCGGATGACGAAGCCAATTTGTTCAATTCATTAATTAGTAAGTCCTCTCCATTTCAATGTCTACGAAAAGCGAATCTCGACGTATGTTCTAGAATTTTACCCATCCTCCGCGGATTTAATCCGAGATCGATTTGGTACGATATTCGAATCAAAACGTTTACCACCGAAAGAATTCACTCCGAATATTGACAATAGTTCATTAGCACTTGATACAACCTTAGAGAATACATTACACTCCTATTTTATGTTGTTCTGCCGACGGTGCCATCGGTACGATTGCTTTTTGCATAAAGATAAGCCAGTTACTCCGATTTTGAATAAACCATCGAAAATGTCCAATCATATCTATCGTCCCTGTAGTCTTCAATGTTATCAAAGAAATCCGAAGTCGTGCTTTCAACAACGACGAGCCAATCTCGAACTTAAACGAAGTTACAGCGAACTGTTGGATAGTAAACCATCGACAAATGGTTTACACTCCAAACGTACGAAATCTAATTTGATCAAAGCCGATGAAATTTCTTCGACATTCGATTTTAATTTCTCTCGGAATGGTTTGCTTTTCAAACCGTCCTTGAAACGCAAATCAACGGATGAATTAGCGCACTGGTCAGTAAGTGACAAGTCATTATTCCGTGTTTTTTACAAAATCTTTGGCGACAATATATGTATGATCGCTGATCTGATCGATAAGCCATGCTCACAAGTTTATACGTTTCATTTAAATGAAATTGAAATCAATGAAAAAAAGTTATTTCTACAAAAACAATTATCATCCATTGGACCTTTATTAGACATGACGACATCGGATTCGATTGATGTGAAAATAAATGGTGTCTATAAGAAGAAGATCAATGGTGATTCAGCCGATATGCATGGAATGGAGAATGAAATGAATATGTGCAATGGTGATGATAAGGATCATCAACAATTAGTGAGAATTTTTTCTAACGACATATAATTTTGTAGAAAGATTTGTTCATTTTTAGACAAATGGAAATCGATCTTCATCATCATCGCGTCGTTCGCATTCATCTTCGCTTCGTCGTCAACGTAGTCACCAGCATCTGCTACTAAGTCATCATAATAATTTGTTACAAGAACAAAAACGGCATACCTATTATCCATGCGACCATGATCGTTCACTCCCATGCAATGAACACTGCTATTGTGTTCGTTCGGGGAATTTTTGTGAAAAGTTCTGTTGCTGCGAGTCAACCAAATGTGATAATCGCTTTCCTGGTTGTCGTTGTCGATCATCTTGTACCACAAAGCAATGTCCATGTTATGCTGCAGCACGCGAATGCGATCCGGATCTGTGTACACAATGTGGCGCCGATGATTTTCGAAATGGAAATGCTAACAGTGACGAATTAATTACTAGATCAACGTGTTCCTGTCATAATGTTGCCATACAACGTAATTTACATAAACCATTGCTATTAGCAGAATCAGATGTTGCTGGTTGGGGAATTTTCACTCAAGTGAACATTCAACGAAACGAATTCATTGCTGAATATTGTGGAGAAATTGTAAGAAGATGTATACATGTGTTTTCAAGTTTTGAGTTTGTTTTGTGTATACTTTTAGTTAACGCAAGATGAGGGTGAAATACGTGGACGAATGTATGACATGATAGGTACAAGTTTTCTATTTGATCTTAACGAAGAATATATGGTTGACGCGACGCGTCGCGGAAACAAAATTCGTTTTGCTAATCATTCAATCAATCCGAATTGTTACGCGAAAGTCATTATGGTTAATGGTGATCATCGAATTGGAATCTATTCGAAACGATTCATAGCAGCAGGAGATGAATTGTTTTTTGATTATCGTTATGGTGCCAATCACCACTTACGTTTTGTTGGTGTAGAAAAACATGATCATGGAGATCAACCTGATACACTGTTGCTGTGATGTCTTAAATTTTGTTACCTTTTTCCATTCCGTAGTATTATTATTGAATTCTGCTTTTTTTTCCTTTTGTTTCTGTTTCGTGCATGTTCAGATTTTGTAGAGACATTCGTGCTCATCAATGTAGACTAGATTGATCTTTGCTTTTGCTTTTTGTTCTGGATATTCTGATTGTTGTACAATATTTTCCTCTGCGTTCGATAGAAGAGAACATGTGAATGTCTGTTTTCTGCCAAGGAAACATTTGTTTAAATGAATATAAATTATGGAGGCCACGTCGATTGTGTTCTTCAAAAGACAAAACATCAAGAATTCGGCGGTTATGCACTATATTTGATGCGTGAGAAATGAACTTTTAATCGAATCAATCTTATACATATATTCGACATAATCTTTCTGAGAAAGTTCATTTTCAAATGCGAATATTTGCTGTCGAATCTCATTCGATAGTTTATCTCGACAAGAACATTGAGTATCTAACAATAGATATGTCGGCATATCAATTGAGCCGACTGTATGGTACAGATGATGTTGGTGAGTTCGAATGTCTCTCCATGTCTGACTCAAATTTCTTCCTCTTTTTGCATCTTCATCATTTTCCTTGTCAATATTGAAGCTGATCTCCCACTTTTTATGGTGGTCATTTCGTCTTTCACAACCAGTGCCTAGAAAAAGATCTCGTCGATCCTATTGCTCGTCCGAGGATTCGACATACACAGCTGATGAGTCGCATGAGTTTGTGTCCATTTGAAAGGACTGGTCAGCATTATATCATTTTGAAAATGAATGCATTCGATCGAAGGAAAAAAAACGAGTTCTTCGCGCAAAATGGTCGTCTTTTATTGTACTGTAAATTATTCGAAGATTTTCTAGCTGAAAATTATTAACAAAAATGGGTGCGATTAGAACCTAACCATGGCTTAATGTGATCGCGAAGATTTGTATAAAATGAAGGCGAGTATCATGTAGTAGTGTAAGAATCACTCAAGTACGAAAGTTACATATGTTGGTTAGCAATTCATCGTTCGCAGATAGCTATTATATATTGTATTGATATGAATCTATTCCTGACAATTGATGATCTTGAGTTGTTGCTGTAAACTGTTTGAGCACAGCAAATATCAGATATATAGAAATGTTCTCTGTCGGCCACGCAATCGATAAAACAAGCTCATGGTAAATGAAAGAACTTACAATCGACTGTAGTCTATCACAAGACCAACGAGCTTTCTTCTTTCACTAGTACAAAGCGACTAGTATTTTGATGATACAATTTTAGATGTTAGTCGTGGTGATGAAGTATGCTGAGAGATAAAAAAATTAAATGCTGATTTAATAATCTCATCTGAAAGGAAATAAAACAAATGTTCGGTAGTTTATTTCAATCAAAATAGATTTCACAGATCAAAACGTTTATAACTAGGTAAATCACCCGAGAAATTTCCATTAGCTAACGGACATCCGTCACCGGTTATACCGCCTGTTCCCCACCATTTTGGAAAATGTATATCGTTATTTTGAAAAACGAAAAAGATCAGAATACCAGAGATGGCGACGCCACAACTCATCGCTGCTGAGAATAAGAACGCATACTGTTTCCACCAGGCATGTGCATAACGAAAAAGTACAAAATTAAAAAATGCACCAACGATGAACCATGTTAGGTATTCACCAGCTGGTGCTGTTGGTATCAAACCTACACCACACAGTAACACAGGAAAATGAATATATTTGAGCCATTGATGAGTTGGGTATTTTCTTATTAACAGCCACGCTGGAATCGGTAGGATTGCACCGAGAGGAAAACCACAAAGAAGGGGGAAATACAGAGACGATGGGCCAAACATTCGAGTTGGACCAATAACACCCCAAATAATCGATGCCGAATAGAATGTTGTCGGTTTTGGACATTTCCATTCGACATTGTTTGGTGTACAGATATGCGGAACATGATCGATGAGATACATAGCTACTATATAATTGACCAAGCTAGTGATCATGGTTGCAAGAATTTGAGTTAAAAACATTGTACGAGGAGGAATCTATATGGAAAATCATACGGTCGATCAGTCGATATCTTTTGGAAACACAAGTCACCTTCATATAATGACCGTATTTTAAATTTTCAAGCAAAGATATCGCTTGTATTTGACTTCCATATGCATAAGCCTTAAACACTATATTAGCGATGGGCTTGCCAGGAATAAGAATGCCAGCAATAAATTCAGATACAACATTGATTCCTACAAGAATATTGTACGAGAAAAACGTGTAACTCTCAATCCATCTTACCGAAACTCATACTTGATGTCGCTAATAACATTCCTGTGGGTAGGATAAAAATTAGAACAAGAAACACAGCGACTACACAAATAATATACAATCAGTGACTTGTAAATCAATCTTAATTTCACAATCATCATACCGAATAAAAAGTACCAAGGCATAAGTTGACCGTGATGACAAACAATCGCTGATACAACAAATGTAGCGAGAAAAAGAATGGTATACCTAAACATTTAAACAGACGATCTGAGTCGGAAATAATCGCATTAAAGTCGACTTATACCAGTAGGATGGTACTTCATTATATTGTGTCATAAGTTTCGCATGAATATCACCACCGATGTTAGTCAAAGATGCTCGATATTGTTGATAAAGTGTTGTACCTTCATATAGTAGAGTATGCACCAAGATAGCGGTAATGGCAGTAAAATGTACTCCATAGTTCATTGCAAATAGAAACGATAAATAAACTGGTCCTATAGAAAAAAAAGTCCTCAAACATTTCTTCAAATTCGATTGACTCAAATATTACTCACCATAACTTTGATAAGCTGTTTCATTAAACTTTAATTGAGAATCGAGTATATTGGTAACATTATAAAAATAACCTTCTTTGTTAAAAACTTGATAGGAAGCAATTGGAAATGTTTTCGCATTCCACCAATTCGAATAGTACGCGATTGGTGTCAGAGTCCACACTAAGAGAACAAAACCAACCATTATGTTAATTTGTGCCCTATAGAACAAACGAAAACGTATGCCTCAGCAACAAAATAATAGGCAAGAGTCTCGTACCATAATGGTACAGCGATAGGTGAACCTAAAAACGACACCAATGAGTTCCAATCTAGCGCAAGTGTTCCCAATCCAAGACCATTGGCACCAGTTATTTGAGAAATAATGACGTTATGAGGAAAAATCATACAGAATAAGGAAAAATACGATAGAACAGGGCAGATAAAACCAGGTATCCAATACCATAACGTTTGAAACAAGAGTGCGAGATAGAAAAATCGAAATCGAGAAGTTCTCAATTGAGATGTATTTAAAGTCTCATCAGCAGAATTCGTTTCATGCATTGCTCGAAATAAAGCACATTGGATAAGTGTTCTCGGCCAAACCACTGACGCAGGCCAAATGAGATATCTTCTTAGAATTCCAACGAAACCGAAACCGAGAATTTGCGATGATAAGATAAAAAGTAAACCAGTCCAATGAGTGATTGCTTGCTTGTAAAAGATGCGTTGAACTGCCAAAACGAAAATACCTTGAGCTACGTTCTACAGTAAATGATAAAATTCACTATTTAAAATAATAATACTCATGAACAAATCCGTACACTAGCTGTACTCGCCATAGTTGTAATAAGACAATGTTCTTTTATGGTGAATGGGCCGGGATTGAATGAAAATGAATAACGTGTACCAAAGGGATGAAATCGTCTGGTGGGTAAGATGACAACTAGTAATTTGCCAAACGGATAAGCTAATAATTGAACCAATAGAGGTTCAATACTCATAGGTAATGTCCGAAAAGCAAAAAACTGATTGGTAAACGCTAGCACGCATGTAAAAGATATACCGAGAAGGCATGAACGAAATGTGAAACATGACATCGTCGGATCGTCATGATTTGATACATTAGCTGCTACTTCTTCAAACGGTGATTGCTCGACAAAAAAAGATCGTTCTTCGTCGTCAACTAAAGAGGGGTCCTTCAAACAACAAGAAAAGCTTTTCTTCGTTCAGTATGATTCGATTTGAATTACTTGAATATTTCTTTCAGCTTGTGGAAAAGTTTGATTGTCAATTGCCTGCTCCGGCATTCTTTTCATTGATAAATCCATATTATTTGAATATATGCACCTTTTCTACCCGTCGACGAGAAAATGAATGATTAGTCACACTAAACTATATATCCTCTAATCAGTGAAGCGTACCTGTTGTGACCGATCAAAGACAAGAGGCTATTTGTCGATCAAATATCTATTAAAAAATACTAGTGTTTGAAAAAAAAGTGATTCTTTGTTCAAGAAAACTTTTCGTTCAATAAAAGAAAACCAGCAATTTACTCCCGATTATCATTTCTTATATAAACATTTCCGATGCTCGGAGGCATAGACGGATTTTTATTTCATTCAATCCAATCGTATTTCTAATCGGGTTATCATGATAATATGTACGCACGCTGGTCTAGAATGCAGAACAAAATGATGATCATAGCACCAGAGATTCAGCACAAACATGCGAAATAGATCGAATGGCATATTCACCAACTCGGAATACGATTTATTCACCTAGCTTTTTTTTTAATATTGAAATCAGGTTTATTCCATCACTCTCATTAAATTACGAATCAGAAAATTTACAGCAAGCTTATTAATGTTTCCTGCAACATTACTTTCCTCCCTTATTCCGTTTGTAGTTGTGTTTGATGTGTATACGATCTACTTTTCCTCTTTCAATAGATAATTTGCCTATAAATATTAGATGAAACGTACCACTTAACGAATTTAGTGCGAGCAAACATGTCTTTTGTTTGAAAAAATACAGAAAATCTCTTTTGATATATCGCTGCGTTCAGAAAGTCGACTCGAATGTTGAATGTCGCTTCTAATTTTTCTTAGAGCCAAATTACCAGTGTTTACTACTTGAATGAACAACTCCAACTTAGGATCTCATCCGTATGCTCTGACATTTTTATATTTTCTTGACACTTGTATGCCATACGAATGAGTATATCTTGTGCATCTTGAGATCTTGGTAACATCATTGTAGATAAAACCATGCGTTTTCCCCTTCTCCGAACGAAAACTGTTAAACAATGCTTCTAGGTGAAGAGTCCTATCCAGTCTTGTTTACAACACAAGACTTTTTCTTCTAAAGCGTTCGTGGTGTTTTTTGTATTAATAAAGCATATATTTTTCTTTCTTCTCTTACATTGTCCTGTGCTTGACACGCAATGAATCAAGGATTTCATTCAATAAATATTAAACAATCTTAAGCAGTGATCCTCTTAGATCCAAATCTCATTTTGTTCAATCGAACATTTTCTTCTAATGATACAGTGAGGGTTCATGTAATACTCTCAAATTTCTTTTTTTTGTTATTACCGTCTGTATACTTAAGCATAATTAACAGGTGTCTTATTGCCGATGTTTAATCTACTGGATGTGTTCGTCGTATTCATTATTTGAAGTAAATGCACACAACATGATAATCGTGATTGGAGATTTGCTTTTTGATTCATTATTTTCCTGACTTGATTTATCTATCGAGCCGAGATTGAATTAGAGAGAAAAGCTTTAAGTATGCGTGCAGCTGTACGCTAATCAAATTAGAAAGAGTCAAGAGGGAAGATCTCCAAAAAGGAGATAAGCACAGTTAAGATGGCAAGCACTTTTTCTTTCTCGCATTTAGTCACTGCGAGAATCGTTAATCATATCGATATATCAAAAACTAACAAGCGAGAAAAGTGAAATTCGGAAAGAGAGAGAGAGAAGCTCATCATCATTTTTCTTAAGTTTATTTCTTTCTCCCGCTTATCAAAATATCATAATTAACTGTATGAGCGAACACTAAATGCAGAATGATGAACTAAACAATGCAAAATCATTCACTAGAGTTCCGACAGTCGAAATTTCTATTGTATATACGAGCGTTTTTTTCATATGAACAGCATTGCCATTGACTTTTTCCATCTCGTATTTGCCGTCGTCTAAGCTTGCTTTTTCCTTTCTTTTTCTTTCTTTTTTTTTTCTTTATGACTCGATTTCCTTCTCGACACTCCAAACGACAATATGATGAAGAAGGAAGAGCGACTCAAGATTCGGAAGATGATAGAAGAGAACACGATGCTTTTCGAATACATTCAATTGTAAAGATGATGGTGGATATTAACAGTCGGATGTTATTCTTCTTGTTCATATTTGTCATCATATCCATTACAAATGGTCAACAACAATCACGTCGATCCATGGTGACAATTGGTAAATTGAATCCCCATGACTGAAAAGTTTTCCGACTTCGTTTAGAAGAGACTTCAACTGACAAGCAGGAAAAGCGTATTGAATATCTCGAGACTCTCCTTCTGATGTAGAAAAGAAACTGTCGAAACAGATTTGCAATTTTTTTTTCTAAAAATTATTCACACTAATTAATTATTCTAACTGCTTTCTAAAATAGACGTCGCATACCTTAGCTATCTAAAGCTGTTCAAAGAGACTGCCAGAACAAATTATTTACACTTACTCAACTAGAAACTAATCGATATCGCCTCTGGCATTGCATCTCGAGAAAACGAAACTCAGTTAGAAGAGACTGATTACAGTTTCATTTTAGTCAACTATTTCTATTTTCTTGTTGTTCTTCTGCTCACTCAAATCTACTTTAGTATTATTTGTTGATTATCACGATCCGCGATTAAATTATCATATACAATCTTTAATTGCTGAATATGAACAAGAATGGATCATTTCGTCGATTTACTTGCAAACAAACACAAAATTGACTATCGAAACAATAACATATCAATCTCAAAATCAACTGAAGCTATTTGAAAAATGTAAGTCTCCTTTGCACGGAACTGCTCACCTACACTTCATTCTAGTATGCTATTTTCTCAATTCAACGACTTATTTATTTGGCATCACACATTTTCGATATCAATCGCCAACGTTTATCCATACAGTTCTGTCTCAAATGCATATTCCGCACATGAGTGTGTCCATGGTGACGAACAGTTCGATGAATAGTTACACATTACAAATGCAAACAAGTTCGGAACATTTCAGTATGGCTATACGTGACCTAATTGATCACTTCGATTGGGGTTATGATCATAATGAATTAGTTTTTATCTACGAAAAGCAATCGAGTATGAATCAGGAGATTTTCATGTGAAGCAATGTTTTGTTTGTTTAGGTTTAGATCTTTTGTCAGATGTTTTACGAGTGAAAAATAATCGTCAACCGACAGTTAAATTGAAGGCATTGGCATTGGATCCCAAAGAACTCGTTCGACCTCATTCAATATTGAGAGAACTGGGAAATAAAGCTGATACAACAAAGAAGATTATTGTTGCGATCACACAAAAATCACTCGATCAGTTTTTCGCTGAAGTAAGAACAATATTTCCCTAAGAAGATCATTATCTTTCTACTTCAAATAAAGGCACATCGATTGGGCATTGTCAGTACTTATTATCATTTACTGATTGTCGGAGTTGTACGTGTTATTTCTCTTGATGTTTTCATCTCTATGTCAAAAGTTCTCTTGTATAGGATGCAACACAATTAAATTGGACACATTTATACGAGAGTGGTGTTCAGTTAACTAGCTTACAGTTAACATCCAATAAAACAAATGCGAACTATCGCGTATGTTAAATGTGTATCTTGATCCTTACAAATATATATATATATATGAATTTTGATGATTTCAGATTGAACTAGCGTTGATTAAAGATGCGTTTGATGCTGTGAAATACATTCTACGACAATTGTTATTTGAAGATGATTTTCCTAAAGAACAATATCTTCATCAACAGGAATGTTCCTGGAGTAAAATGTTAACATTGAATTCCTATGTGGCATTCAAACAACATGTGGGAGAACGATTATTAGATATAAGTCGGATGGTAATTATCTCGAGAATGATGCTCAGCAATGTCTGTTACTCTTCGTGGGCAAGAACGAAGAGTAGTTTGTCTGTAGAGTATAATCGAACAATCATTTGCTCAAACTTTAAAAGAATTATCACATTTTTCGTATCTATAGGCTCGTTCAGTTTTTCTTATCAAGACATTTATAAATGAGATACAATAGAGAGACAAGATTCATGTCATTTTATTTGTAATTGTATAGATCAAGTTTCTTGGTACTACTGGCGTTGTGGATTTTGATCGGAATGGATTACGTCGATCACTGCAATTACGAATACTCGATTTGAGTGAGCAGGGAATGGTAGAAGTGGGTACATGGACACATAAGAATCGTTTATCAATCTCTCAGCTTGGTGTGAAACAGTTAACACAAATTCGTAAACATTTGGCGGTAGTAACACGAGAAGTAAGAAAGCATTTCATTTGAACATTTTCTCAATCGATCATCTATTCCTAGGAAAAACCATATGTATCAAGAAAAGTGGATAGCAATGGTTCGGTTTACTTCGAAGGATATTGTTCGTAGAAATTCACGTTCTCTTCAGTTATTTTTTTATAATAAATTTTTGCTTTAGGTATTGATATGCTCGCTGAAATAGCTCGACGACTGAACTTCAATTATTCGATACGTATCGCAGAGGATGCTGCATATGGAAAAGAGGATGAAAATGGTCAATGGTCAGGTATTATTGGCGAACTAACCCGTCGAGTAAATTGCTTAACATTCTCAGTAAACCAACAACATCGATTCGAAATTCTATTTAGAAGGCCGATTTAGGTATAGGAGCATTAACAATAACATACCCACGTGAACAAGTTATCGATTTTACTAAACCCTTCATGACATTTGGTAATGTAAACGTCGAAATTCTTCTTAGCTAATGAATGTGCTGTTATTAGGTATAACAATCTTATTTCGAAAACCTTTGAGAAATCGACCAAATCTATTTGCTTTCCTGGCACCGTTAACAGTCGAAGTCTGGCTTTTTATGGCCATGGCTTACATTGGTAAAATTTGCTTTTACATTATCAACTAATCGACTCAAAATGTTCTTCAGGTGTTAGTCTATTTCTTTTCTCCATGGCACGTTTTTCACCATACGAATGGCAAAGTCCGTACTCGTGTAAACGTAATAGTGAATATTTAATCAATCGATTTACAATTGTCAACTGTTTTTGGTTTACTATCGGTTCGCTGATGAAGCAAAGTATGTCCAGAGGAAAACGTTTGATCTTACAAGTTCAATTGAATTCATACATTTTTTTAGCGATTGACTATGGGCCTCGTTCGATTTCCACTCGCGTCTTGATCGGCTCTTGGTGGTTCTTTTCGTTGATTATGATCGCTTCTTATACAGCCAATCTTGCTGCTTTTCTCACGACGAAACGATTGAAATCGCCCATTGACGATATTGAAGCATTAGCCAAACAAACTGAGTAATCCTATGGAATATTTCAAGTTGATTTTGAAGTTCGCTTGTTTTAGTATAAAATATGGTGCTTTGAAAGGGGGCAGCACTGAACAATTTTTCCGAGTATGTTTCAAACACCGATTGAATTTGAACTAAGATTTTCATTCGAATAGAGCTCAAAGATTCCAACCTATGAAAGAATGTGGTATTACATGTCATCACGGCCGGAAGTGTTTCCAGAAACAACTGAAGAAGGCATTGAATGGGTCAAGAAACGTAACTATGCTTTTCTGCTGGAGTCAGCTACGAATGAATATAATGTACAACGTAATTGTGATCTTATGCAAGTTGGTGAGTTGATCATTCGTAGGCTTTTCAATTTCGACTAACTGTTTTGTATAGGTGGTCTGATAGAATCAAAAAGTTATGGCATTGGGACAACGCACGGTTCACCGTACCGGGATCGCATATCGAATGAGATATTGCAATTGCAAGAGAATGGTTATCTTGATCAGTTGTATCGAAAATGGTGGAAAGAACGGAATGTGCGTATTGGATGTGATGATACTGATTTTGATCAACGAAAGAAATCCTATACGAATGAACTCGATTTAAAGAATATCGGTAGGAAATATAGGTTCATATAAAATTTCTCATTTTCGTATTCAGGTGGTATTTTTGTCATGCTGATAGTTGGCCTTTCGTTTTCATTTATTGTTACGTCTCTTGAATTTTATTTTAAAGCAAAACGTCGTCGGCTACTAGACGGAGTAAGACTTTTCTTTTGATTTGTGTTTCTACATCGGTATACTCTCTTTTAGAAATCAACGACAATTAAAGAACGTCTCAAACACGATCTGCATTTCGCTCTCTGCACCAGTTGTACATCCAGTCGGCCGACTTTTGTTCACGAGAAAGAAAATCCGGATAAAGCGATCATTCATGATGAAATTTTCGGCGACTTTCATACTAAATCGAACAGTATACAAAGCTTGCCTCGAGGAACAGTTTCAACACGTGATCATGATCATATTGCACTTGTGCCAGTCAACCATCTACCTCGTCATCGTGTCTCTTAATAACAGTATATCCCTCCTCTAGATAAAACTCCTATTTTCATATTAGATAGTTCTTTTCATTTCCTTTGATTGATTCTTTCGAAAATAAATAAAAACGTACGTGAATATTTTAATTTCAACTAAGAACAGGCATCAATTCATGTCGATTGCTTGATCATATGCCTTCAACATACTTTCGTCATCAGTGGTAATGATTGGAGTAAAGAATCGAACGATTAGTCTGCAGTCCTTCGTCTATTGATAACGGAGTCTTTCGAAGAAAATAACCATCTGGACTGATAAAGTCAATATTTTCTCCATTCTATAAAATACAAGCAAGAATAATGAATATCAACGATCTTTTTGGAACTGTTTTTCCTCTTAATGGTAACTTTTTCTCAATAACGTCATTCAGCGATGTACACTTGAGTGCACGTATTATGTACTCTTTTAAGGGAATGGTCCACTACCGACTGTGACAACCTCAGTGGAAAATTCAGCTGTACCTCCACCGACTGCATTTCACATACAACCTGACGAATTGGAGCATCGACCAATTACACGCGAAGTCATGTCGGAATACCTGTCAACACGCCAACATCGTAAAGTGACTATTTTTCATGCTAAGGTTGCTCAAAAATCTTATGGAAACGAAAAACGGTAATCAGTGGTAGACATACTGATATACATCGATATGAAGTGATTTTGTTTGCAGATTTTTTTGTCCTCCACCTTGTGTTTATCTCTCTGGTCATGGCTGGACTAATAATCTTGACAAAACTTGTTCGTCCGCAACATCCTCGACGACAACGACTTTTCCTGAAGAAGAACACTTCCATGCAACGATCGGCATTGGTGAACCATTATTTTCCAATGGCCATGAACATTGTTTATCGAATGAAATGCAGAATCTCGTATTTGAAAATGGCAAAACTCACTTTGGTTCAGCAAAAACACTTTTCATATCCGATTCGGATAAACGTAAATATATCAATTTGAACATCAAACTTTTCCTTACAAATCATCATCATGCATATATTGGATTGTTTGAAAGTCGAAAAATCAAAGTGATCTCAAAGCCATCGAAGAAGAAACAATCAGTAAAGAATGCGGAATGTAAATAATCTCTCGAATTGATTATCTCCATTTGTGATTGTATATGTTCTTTTAGCAGTCTGTATTCAATCAGGAACAAATATTGCTCTGTTCAATCGTCTTCGGTATGTGTACGAGAGATGAATAGAGCGATGGCAAGAATAAAAATTGCTTTGATTTGCTTCTGTAGAAGTCAAAATGTGAGTACGAGATTTTTACATGTCGATGAAAATCAACAATTTCATGCAAGTGCGCATGAATGGGGATCATTTTATATTCATTTGGTTGATACGGATGAATCATACGTTGAATCGAATGAATTTTCTGTCAAGGATGGCTTTATTCAATATGGTTCCACTGTTAAACTTGTTTGTTCAGTAACGAATCAATCATTGCCTTATTTGGTAAGAAAAACTTTGTCGAAGGTGATGTTATTCTTCAGTTTCTGTTCGAAGATCATTCGTAAAGTCGATAAAAATTGTGTGTTGATTGATTCCGATGAACCTGTCTCACAGTTACATAAATGTGCATTTGAATTCAAACACAATCCGTCAAATTTTGTCTATCTGTCTCTCTTGAACGAACGTATTATTGGAATAGCGGTACGAAGCACTGGAATGAAACGAAAAAGAAGTTATTTTCTTTTTATCCTTTTCGTAGAGTAAACCAGATACGGCTGAGCATTCCCGTATTGAAATCAATGATTCAGCTTGTTGGACTATCATCTCAACTGATAAAGCCGAATACACATGGTTCGAGTCTAGAGGGCCTGTGGTACATCCCATAACACCTGTTCCAATGGGAAAACAGATAACTGTAAGTAAAACAGTATTAGTTTTATTCGAAAGTTTGTCCTATTTGTCGTAGATCGATGGCGGTGGTGAAACAGCAACGATTGAAATAACGGGAGAGAATTTCACGCCTGGTTTATCCGTATGGTTTGGTGAAACAGAATCACCATCGACTGAGTATCGGTATGTACTATTTCTACTCAGTTTATCTCGTAAGATTTTATTTCTAATTACCAGATCGACTCAGGTAATTGTTGCTGAAGTACCACGGTTTTCATCGATCATGCAAAATACGTCATGGGTCCAACGATCTGTTTCAGTACCTATCTCATTCGTGCGTCGCGATGGTATCATTTATCTGACACCATTGATATTTACCTACACACCAGAATCAGCGGCTAACTAACAGACATCGTGTGAGTTCTTCGTCGTTTTATTATTTGCTCAATAGTCAGACTATTTGAATGGAATATTTTTATTCTTGTTTATTCGAGAAAGAAAAAACAAGCAAGCAAATGAGAATACAAATATACATTATGACTACACTCATGATAAATGATGCACTGTAGCGTATTTAAAGAAACACGTAGAAAGGAAAAAAAAACAAGAAGAAAATGAGTACACAAAAAGCAACAATAATGAACACAAGAGAGAAAAATATATATGTGTATATGGAGAGAAGAGAAGAAACAAGACGAACATATTTATACCATTAAATTATTTCAATTCGTCATTGGAAGTTTATGTACATGTTGATGTTCCCAAAATCTCAGTTGGTGTTGATTGTATGACTAAAAGGGAAAAGTTGAGAGAGAGGGAAAATATTTGAAATGAAGGTGTTTCGGACGTACTTGTTCCCGATGCTGTCGGTAGAATTGGTTTTTGTTTTCGAAGAAACGCTTTGCGTTGTTTTTCAACTTTAACTAGCGCACTCTTGAGATTAAAAAAGACTTTTTGACAATCACGCATACGATCTTTAAGATGTGTTATACGTTCATCACCAGTTAAATTGTTATCTAAGATGAGAAAATGATTGGTGAACCATTCGTTGCGTTTTGTTTCTTCGAAACTTACTCAGATCAAGAAAATTGTAACGACTCGGTCGATGTTTGAACATGTCTTTCAATTGTTGACGCATAGTCATATTCGATGGTGAACTAGACCGATAATCTTCGTTTTCATATTCTAAGTTACACATATGCAATCATCTTATTGTTCTCTCAAGCTTGGAGTAGTTACCTGGTTGATTCGCTGATCGTTTTCCACCACGTCGTCCTGCTGTTCGATGACGTTTATCTAGCAAATCAAACAACGTTTTCTTTTTCAAAAGAACATTTCCATCAAATGAATTGGCTTTACTTGTGGCATTATCTGATGCTTGTTGTTCAGTTGAATTTGACCTTGTTGGGGTTTGATCACCATTGGAATTGTTGTCTCCACCAAGATCAATGTTGAGAGCAGTACCATGATCCAATTTCGTTCTTTTCTTTGCGGATGCCGATGTATCTTTCGCACTATTTGGCTCACGTAATGTACGTCGTTTCTGTTGTCGTACTGATGCACGGCGGTTACCAGTTGCTGTTAACGGTGGTGAAGTCAATATGTTTGATAGAGGTGAGATAGAATCGGCTAGAAGAGATGTTGTTGGTGCTATGAATGGCGTTCGGATGGTTTGCTGAGAAATTGAAGAACTATCGATTGTTTCTTCTTTTACATAAAACGGATACTGATGGGGATGTTCATGCCTACACAGACAGAAATATGGAACTAAAGAAAATACGTGCTACAACGAATACTAACATATCTGATATTGCAGGAAACGGTTCTTCAACTTGTTCTGTCTTTATAGTTGATGTGGAATCCACCTAAAGGAATAACAGTCATTTCTTTGGTGAAAATTAGCAATAATTTGGTGATCCATTACTTTATTGTTTGATGATGCTGCTCTTGATTGCCTTCGTTTGGGAATGGTAGCATGAACATGATCATCGTCTCGTGCTGAACTAGATCCAATATCATTGTCATCAGTTGCTTCAAATTCACCAGGAGTAGAAAGGATATTTTCGTTTTTAGTCATGGATATACTTCGTCGAATGTTTGTTGATTCATCCGTTGGTAATCGATTTGTATCAGATTGATTTGTACGAACAGTAGATGCAGATGACAATGCATCATCATCCGTCGAAGATATTGTTTCAACATTGGGCCAATCTAGCACACGAAACATAGATATTTCGAAATTGAATACACAGAAAAAGGTAAACGTACTTTCATGTTGACTTCGGCTATTATCGTCAGTGTCCGATTCTTCGGTTTTGGCCTTTTCAACAGATATAGATTTCGAACTTTTCTGTAGCAGATCATCGTCAATCAGTGTTGACGATGAAGTGAGATCGGTCGACGATGAACTAATGACTTGTTGTGGATTGTTCTGTTCATTCGAATTCGATGAAGTTGTTGAATCAAGATGTTGTTGTCGTAATGTATTGATTTGACTAGTGCGACGTGGCCGTTGTTGGAATAGTGTATTCGTATTTGTTGTATCTTTACGTTCGATGACACGGTCTAATTTAACCCATTCGTCATGACTAAACAGATTTTAAACGATGAATGTTTACTGAAACGACAGCCATTTGACTTACCGAGAATTCCATCCGGTGTAGTGTACAAATAGCTCCTTTTTATCATCATTCTTCTCGATACATCGTGCTGGATATTGTTTTGTTCCATGATTGCCCCATGTTACTAACAGAATATCGTTTATAAATATGTCATCGTACGTTAATTGAGTATTGCGATTAGCTGAGATTGTGTCTATTGTCGTTGGTTGATCATTATTACTGCTAGCCGAGGAGAACACAACAATTGATGAGCGTCTTAAAATGAGTACAACTGGACTTACTTGAAAGTCTCGGTGCTTTCTTGCGATGATATTGATCGGCGAGCTCGCTTCGACGGAGATAGTTGTTCTTCGACTTCCGAAACTGATGATGATGTAAAGACGGGTTCAAAATTTTCATCCGAATGCGAACGTTTGTTTGAAGTTGTTGCAGGAGTGTCATTCTCATTCGATTCTTTCACAGTTGTAGATGAGACTGGAAGTGCTAACGGAGCTTCGGGTAATTTCACTTCTAACAAAGAAAATATTCATGATCGATTGACAGATTCGAGTATGACAGATTTACCTGGAGTTGGTTCAGTTGGAGTACTAGTATTTTGTATGCTACTAGTTGGTGCTGGACCAGTCGTTGCTGTATCAGTGTTAGGTGGAACAGCTATTACTGGTGGTGGTGGTGGTGATGGTGATACAGGAGGGATAGATACTGGGGACACATCACGTATAGTAGTCTTTTTCGTAGATTCAGAAACTGTTGGACGAGTTGGAGATGGCAAGGAAGGTTTTGTTTGTGTATCGGCGGCATGTGCTAAAGGAAATTAAGTCAATCAATACGGATTTGCTCTAATGCTTGCACGTACATTTATTGATTGACGAGCTGTCTTGAATTTTAGGTATTTTACTGGTACCTTCTTTTATTACCTGTTTTTTGTGTATTTTATCAATGAGAGTTGTTGGTTTCTTTCTAAAAAAATAGGAAAAATGATTGATAAGTACCGTTTTCTTTGGTTTCATATTAACTTACGTAGGATCCGTATTTGAAGAGATTTTTGGAATTTTCATTGTTGATGCAGCTGATATGGGTTTCGTGATACTATCCTCTTGGCCAGTTGGTTTTGTCTTTTTGACAGGTGTGGAAGCCGATCGTTCTTGTGAAGCATTTTTCGTCGAAGAAGCATTGAACTTTGTTGGTTTAACATGGCGAGAAAGATCCTTTGCTGTTGTTGACGAAGATGAAGATGACAACGACGAAGGTTTTGAAAGTCCCGTTCTATCTTTGCTGCTGCTGTTGATATTGTTATTATTATTATTACTCGTTGATGTTTGTGAATGAGTTGTTTTGGGTTTGAATGGTAATAGAGATGAAGGTGTTTTATTGCTTGACGCCGGCGTACTTGATTTACTCAATTCATTCGATGAATTTTTCTGTTGCTGAGATGTTTTCGTAATTTGAGATGATTTCGCTGATGAAATTACTGGTTTTTTAGTTAACGGTGACGAAATTGCTTTTGGTTCGGTTTTGATCGGAACAGATTTGATATCGGAAACTTTTTTCTTGTCATCTTTGTTCGATGATGTGACAGTGACTTTTTTAACAGGTTGACCTGATGACGAACTGCTCGATTGTGCTTTCGGTTTTGCAATAGGAATTGTTATTGTTAATTTCGATTGTTTGCTATCGACATTGGATGCTGATGACGACGACGAAACGGGTTTGGTACTGCCTGAAATTTTCTTCATATCGGTTTTCGTTGATGTCGAAGTCGAGGGAGTTGACGGTGGATTGGCCTTTTTCGGAATAGTCGATGATAAAACGGTGGACTTTTTCGATGGGGTTTGTGAAGATGCTGGCTTAGCTTTCGATTTCGTACAATGTGATGACGATGAACGACTCGATTCATCGTCGGATGTTTCAGTTTCCGATTCACTTTCCGACTCCGATGAGCTCGATGAGATAACATTCGATGGTTTACTTTTATTTGGACCTTTGCGATTGGGCTTTACCGATGATTTAGGTGTGGATTTCTTTGCTGCAGGAGTTGCTTTTGAGTCAATAGACGCGCGAGATTCATTGCTTTTGCGAGACTAAACAAGAAACACATGGCGAGGAAGAATATCGATAGATTCATCATACTCTTTGTTTCACCGATGCAGGAGATTGCTTCGATTTTGCTGTCTTCTTTTGATTCTTTTCTTCTTCATGCTGCTGCTGTTGTCGTGCACGTATCAAACTTCGTCTCGAATCACTACCCATACTGGTTCGGCCACCGAAATATGCACTCGGTGCGTTCATCGAACCCAATTTCTTCGAGAGATCTTCATACGCAAACAAGTATCTAACGAAAGACACGGAATAAAAGAATTCGCTTCGAAAACTATTCGTTCTTTACTTTCGATAGGCTTGCTCGATTGATCGACCATTTTCTGCTGACACTTCGTCGGGCAAACCCATTTTGATATGAATTGTTTCCCATTGGTCATTTTTAGTTACCTAAAAGCAATCCGTTAGTCATTCGACAAACATAAACTCGAATTCAAACCTTATTGAAACCACCGTACAGTCGAACAAGCTTGAATAAACGATGAAGGTCAAGATCGTAGTTTTGAACTTTAGGAATATTATTTATCGGTGTTCCTAGCAAAGAAAAAAAGCACAAAATGTCACTTCGCAGGCGATCGAGTTTCGAAATGTTGAACATAGTGTATTAGTTGAATCTGATCCGTTAAATGATTAATCAACAATGTTAAGTAATTTCGAACGAATTGCAACATGCTCATCAATATTATTCAAACAATCTGTCGGAAACGAACAAATACTAACTACGATAGTTTGCAAAATTATGTAACTAAATCTTTGATACATATCTTGGTTAGAATCATCTTCTGAGAAGGAAACATTTTCGATGATTTCTTTCGTAAATAATATACTATACCTCTATCATCCATGAATGCGAATAGCTGAGCCACGAACGAATCTTTTTCTTCGGCAGTTTCTTCGTCGATCTCGTCGTCGTCATCATCATCATCAGATTCACTAGAACTTGATTCACTTTCACTACTATTTTCTTCATCGCTCTGAGTATTTTTATTATCCGATTTTTGCTGTTGTCGTTTCTTCTTTTGCCAAGCAGCTGGAATTTGATTGTATTTTATGAATTTCTCACAAGCTTGCGTCGCTTGCTTCGACGTCGCACGACATAGTGCTTGAATATCTTGATTATTATGATAAGGTTGTACATCATCACGTGTGTGAACGATGTATTCTCTTCCATCAACGAAACTTCGTACCCACATGTAATCAGCCAATGCTTTTCGTTTGAGTACTATTGCTGGGAAAACGTTTTGATCGTTATTTCCTTGTCGTTTAATAGCCACGATCGTTGAAACATCATTTGCATTGGCATTCGTTGTGTCTGTTGACGGTGTCACTGTCGATGATGATGGTGGTGGCGGCGGCGGGGAAATTGATGCTGCCGGCGTTGTGGTAGGAATTTCTTCGAGAATTTTCTGTTGACCATATTGATTCTGATAAAGACGAACACCTTGTAAACATAGTGATGAACGTCTCAGCGATTTTTCATCTCCATCATTGAAAACGACAGTGTAGAGACTATTGTCGATGATTTGTTTGATAGTTGCCTGTTTTTCATCGGGATTTGTAGGATTGATAAATGCAGCTAAACCACTTCGTGAATAATGTTGATGAGAATTCGAATCATTCGATTGTCGACGATTTGATGAATTTAAACGGATTGTAACCGTATTACCAATGCGTAATGTAGTTGGATGAACAATCTGTTCTTCTGAGATTGTGATTGTATCACCACTATCCACTAGTGTGACTTTTAATTTAACTTGTTTTTCAAATGCTTTAACTTGTGCTGGAATAAAAACAAAGATAAAATTCAGAACACTGGGTTTTCATGAAAAATAACTTTTACCTGAACAAAATGCTCCACGATATTTCGCACTAACCGAACAACCAATTGGAAGATAAGCTAGTTCAGTTGGCGGTGTGTGTGTTGAGGATGAACTCGTATTAAAATCATTCTTAGCTGTCTCATCAGTGAGCATGGATGGAGGCGGTGACGATAAGGCTCGTCCGTCTCTTTCTCCGTGCATTCAGATAGAATCAAATCTGCAAAAGGAAGAAGATATCTTATAAATGTTCGATTTCATCCATAAATAGGCTAGAGAATGAATAGCGAATATTTGGTTTGTAAAACCAACTTACTTCTTCTTTTTTCGTTGAGCTAGACAAGACGACTTAAGTTTGATCGATGGCAATAAAATGAAACAAGAGAGACGAATGGTGAGAGTGAGACAGAAGCAAAAGAAAAGAGAAGGAAAAAACAATAACCACTAGGAATGAAAAGTACAGAAAGAATGGAAAAAATCTTCGATATTCGATTGGACTACTAACCGCACAATCGATAAATGTCATCATATTCAATAGATGTCAGATACTGGCATATGTCTTGTGAATTAAGGACAGACTTGGATCCGTGTGCGCGCTTAATATTCGAATTTGATTGTAATTCAGTCATGTTTATTTCACTTATTTCCGATTGACTTTTGAAAATTTTTTGCATGAATTATCAATGACACATTGATGAATCTATTCTTTTTGTTCTTGATAAATATCGGTGAATAAATATGGTATTCACCGCTCCAGCTGTTCATTATTCAGCATTAGCTACACAGCCACCAGATTTGAAACTATCGAAAAGTCAGCAATCAATTAGATATGCAACGAACGTTCGGTTTCGTTTGAGCCGCATATTACAAAGATGGTTTTATAATGATCATTCTACTAGAGCAGCACTCGAAGAACACATTCATTTGTCTGAGAGTACTTCTCCTGTGTCCCAGACGGAAGGCAAAGGAAATCCTAATAATAACAACAGTGAACATAAAACAAACACGCAACAAGAATCTACTAAATCAGTACGCTCGTGTATTGAACCTGACGAACGTGTACCATTCACAGAACCATATACTTCAATGCTATTAAAAGATGATAAATCTCCTCGTATGGAACTACCTATTTATCACAGACAATGTAACAGTTCAGAAAGAGATACCGAACAAATGAAATATCGCAACTCAGTAAGACATATAAAAATCAATGAGTGTGGCCATACTCAATATTCTTCTTCTGGGTTTAGGTTGAACCTCAGCATTCTTCAAATAGAGCGATCACAAGTGCAACGATATCGTCCATCTCTTCATCGATTGAAAATTGCATTGGCTTCCAATACGCCTCTCGAAAGAATTCTCTCGCAAATGGCCCGTGTACTCGTTCGCAACAAGGCACACGTCTTCGACGTTTACATAGTAAACCAAAAATACGTTCAAATTCAAATCTGAATAAAAATCCACCGATCTCATCTTCGATTGCTCATCGTATTGAACTACTTAAACAAGCTATGCATAACCACGAACTCGATTTTCAGCAGCCAAAATCAGAAAAATCGTCCCCTAGTGAATTCTCGTCATCTCTTTCCATTACCAATAAAATGAACAAACAAACTCAAACAAACAGCGAAGTTCACCATATTCATCACCATCACATTCATTCTTCGTCGATGTTCTCCATCGAATGGCGAACATATTTATCACTCATAGCAACTATAATCCTTGTCATCCTTCTTTTTATGCAATTCGTAACCATCAATCTTTGAGAACATATCGGGTGTATTTTATTATGATTTTATCGAAAAATAAGCACACATCACAATAATTGAGTAGAAAATAATATGGAAAAAAACACAGACATTTACTTAGGCTTTTCTTTTGTTTTCATAGAAATAAAAATAAGATCGAACACCGGCTTATTCATTATCCAAATTGCTATTAAAGCAGAAGTCTATTGCTCAATTGTTTGTAATGGTTGTTGTTGATGAAGTTGAAAACTAATCGTATCATTGATCATTTGTAAACGTACGCGTAGTGAGCGGGAAGTCAATGCAGTATACTGAAGGGTTGAGTCAATCGGTAATATGTTTAATATAACCCAAGTCCAACTCGGTCCATCAACTAAAGAGATAAACATCCTGTCGAATTTTCTCAGAAGTGTTAGAGATTATTACCTGAATCTTGTACTACATCATCACACGACGGATATTCTTCAAATTGTCGTGATATCTTATGTTGCATATCTTCATCCAGCTGATCGAACCATTGTCGAACGCGATTATATGTATCTTGGTTGAGTTGGAATAAGTCTAATAGTTAAAGAAAATTTCCAGTATAATCCTATTGAAAACTGACAATCAACATACCATTGAACTCTTGTTGTTCGATACGATCGTCATGTATCAGCTCAACTTTAGCTGTATGATAACCATCTCTCATCCCACGTTCAAGTACACGGAATCGACGTTGGCCAATCGTATCAACAATCGAACGACCATCAGGTGTGTAAATAAGTCCTCGAATATATAACAAAGTTCCATAATCAGTAAATGTTCTAAAAATGACAGAGTGAAAACTTTTATCTGAATTGAGTGCTGATTTTCCGCTTACTCTGTCTGTTCATCATATCCGCACATTCCAAATGTACGCGATTCTGTTTCGATAGTTCGTCGCATCATCAAACGATACCGTGGTTCAAATACATGTAATGGACATGTACAACAAGGTAGTGTTAACACGCAAACAAATATAGGTATTTCAGTGATAATTGATTCAGTTTGGGTAATTACTGATCGTGGAATCGCAACACTGAATTACAAAAGTTCAGTAAACATCAGAATTATCTTTTTATGCTCAATATTTTACCCTCGAATATTTTCTTGTTCGTAGATTTGTTGTCGTTCATTGTATTCAGCTGGGAAATAAGTCTGAATTATTTTAGAAATTAACTCAGTTTGATTCACATGTGAACGTATCAACATGGGAAAGAACTAAAATGATAACGCTCATCCTTAATGAAACAGCTTTTCATTCAACAAGACTCACTTCCTCCAACGAACTTTTGCAGATCGGACATTGAGCTTGTGTATTATCTACGGAGCGAATGAGACATTCGCGACAGAATACATGTCCGCAAGGGGTGGTAATTGATGTCCATAGTAAACTAAATTGAATGGAACATTGTTTAGATATTGAATGTGAATCGGACTGTACATCTTACTTAACACAGATCGAACATTCAAAATCTCTTGCAGAGAAATTCTTATGGTCGAATTGGGAACAGAAACACAGATTTGATGGTTCTAAACAGTAGATATAATCTTAAAAAGATATACAGAAATGAGTCGACTTACGTTTGGATTTACACATTATCACTTGCGAGGAACCGGTTCCTGAAATCAAATTTCAAGTAAACTATTTCAGTTTCAATTAGTTTTTTGTATCAAATAGTCGATTTTACTCAGTCATATTTACTCGTTTTCTCATGAATTTTCTAACAAATGATCTGACGGTAAAAGGAAAAGATTAGCTAATAGACTTGATGTCATGAGAAATATAAAAAGCATGGCTGAGACTAAGTCAGTTGTTTAGCATCAAGTATCATTAGTCGACATAATTGTTAGCCAAGGGTGCTTCATCAGATCATAGTTGTGAATTAAAGAAAATCACGACAAATCAAGCAATGAAATGATTATTTTAGTGAATTCTATCTCGAGTAAATCTTTTGCCGTTCATTCGAATTAATTTTATCGTTAATCTACATGTTTTTTTAAGTTGAGACACAAACGTCTGCCATCTATCAGACATTTCCTGGCTAACCTCGATTACATCCTAGCATGAAAGAGATGGGTTGAAAAGAATATTTCCTTTGTCGTTGTTTCTCTCCACTAGAAGCTATTAGATCACGTTGCCTTTTTTTTCAAACTTATCGCGTGCTAGACATTTTATTGGAAAAACAACACTCCATCATCAATTTGCGACAGTTATTATTTCTTACCAGAAGTAGGCGTTTCACTCTGCTCACCATATGGCAATGATGATGATGATGCGTTAACTTGTACTTGTTCTTCTTCCATCATTGATACAGCATCTTCATCATCGTCATTATGTAATGCAGCATGCAGATGCTTAAAAAACGAATTGATTAGTGAAAAGTGTAAACAAATTTGCGGACATTTACTTGCGCCATGATTCGTTTTCCTATTGAATCTTCCGGATCGATGACTAGTGCTTTCAGAGACGAGCGCAGAGCGGCAGTGAAATATTTCATTTGAAACAGTATTTCTCCTTGACATAAATATCCCTAATAATAGAAATTATAGTTCGATGAACAGTTCGGAAGGAATTCTTACTTTTGTCCATTGAGGTTTTAATATCACAACACGGTTAGCATCTGAAAGCGCCTGGTGAAACTCTTTCAAAGCTGTGTATGCTTTTGCACGATAATATAAGGCTAAATGATGATCGTTACCTGAAAAACAAAGTGAACATGAGAGGAAAACAACAACAACAATTTGGCTCTCCTACATTCGTCAATAATATGTGTGTAAATATCTATTGCTTTTTGGTAATTATCGTTGGAATATTCGATTTGCCCTTTGTAACATAGACGGATCAGATCGTATTTGCTTTTGAATGATTCTGATCGATCGAATAATTGTTGGAGAAAGCGATTCTTCTTAAAGGACTTTTCTCGTGCGTATAGAATAGATGATTGAACTTGTCCTTGAAGATCGTGTGGACATCGCGGACAATTAACTGCTGATGAGAACTGTTCGTCTTGTAAACAACGATCACAAAAGGTATGGCCACAGTAGAGAGTTATTGGATCATAGATCACATGTTGACAAAATGTACAAGTTAATAGACAAAATTCACTTGAAGAAGATACTGTTGACATTTGTTGCATAGCTATTTGCTGGCAAATTGGTTCAAGTTCGGTGATTGTATATGATGAGAAACGCGAGCCAGGCCGTTTTAGATCATTTAGTATTTGATGAATAGAATCGAGTGATGACGCTTTACTTATTACGCAATGAGTTGGCCTACTTGAGTGTTGACGTTGCTTTCGTTTCGCTGTTCGATGTCTTAGTCGAGTCTTTCGTATTGCGGAATAGTTATGTGCAGGAAACATAGTTGACTACATCGATATAGACAAGACATTCAATGAGGAAAGTTTTCATGTATGAAGTTGACAAAAAGAAAATGTTTTTCTCTATGTTGTACTATAAAATGTTCTTGATATTCTTTCGCCCAACTTTCATGTTAGGGCAACCGATTACATGAATACCATCTCTATTCTCGTTCTCCGATTCGGATTTTTCTTCTCGTCTGTCTCGTTTTTATTTTGTTCTGTTCTGTTTGCTTTTCTTCTTCTACTTGTTTTTCTCCGACTGATTACAACATCACGAGTGTAATACGAAACGGAGACTTATGTAACCGAGTTCACTGAATACTTTCAGTCTCGTTTCAGCCTGCATGCCTTGTAAATGACGGGTTCTCAATGGCGTTAAGGGCACGCCGAACATTTCTATTGACAGACGCTCTTACGAAACAGCATAATCTCAATCCTCCCTCGGTTCTTCGTACTTAATCAAAAGAGAAGTCTGCTGGTATCAGAGTACTCAGATAGATGAAATGTTAGCGAGGAAGAAAATTAACTTTCATTATATAACCAAAAGTGGAAAAAATCATGTTTAAGTGTTTGTTTAATGGCCAGAACATATTTTCAAACGTTGACACTATAGCGTTACATAACGGCAAATACTCTAGACTCATTTAACATTTTTAGACTTTCCACCTTGCAAGAAAGAAAAAAAAGTATCACTCATGTAAAGGTAAAATATTGATGCGAACTCTTCTATTAATAGGTATTTTTTTCGCCGTGACGCATTATGTAATCGATATAAAAGAAAAACTTACTTTTAATGTTGGTAGGAATAATGAATATCGATTGTATTTACATAAGATATTAGATTTGTTATTTAGAATGAAAATAGTGCAGTTTCATATCTGAAAAAAGAGGATGATCAGCTGTAAGCTTATCTAACAAAAAAAGTTCTGTTGAATAAATGGAGACGAAAACAAAGCACACATTCTTTTTTTACTAGTGTACATAGAGAAAAAAACAAGGCGAATTCAACCAATTCGACACATTTACCACAACGGTATTGATTTACAGACACACACTATTGAATAGAAGGGGAAAATTGTTCGTTAGTTCAAACAGCACCGTATATTCACAGGTTATTCATTTTTTTATTTGTTTTCCTAAACTCGGAGTTCCGTGACTTGCTTTTGCCATCAATTTCGTTTTGATTTGTTCGGACTTTTTTCTCGATGATGTTAACAATGTCGATGGCGTATGGTAATTTTGCAATGGTAAGTAATTGACACCATCTGGAATCGTATGAGATGCGTCTCTTGTCCATTGATTGTGTCCGTTATGACCAACTAATTCCAGATATCGAGTAAACATTTGATGACGATCGACAAAACGAAAAGCTATGCCAAATGTTGATTCATTGATGGAATCGATGTGTAAGAGTGTTAACGTTCGATATTCGTTCATGTCAAATGGAGTAACGAAACGACGATCAGCGCCAATGTATGCGTATAGATCCTCGACGAACCAGGAGAAGATGGGCATTTGCTGATCGGATAAGAGTGTATTCGAAGTAAATAAGGAATCTTTTCGTTGAAGACTATTTTGTGTGGATGAATTTGTAAAACGGGATTTCCATTTCACGGATTTTTCATTCGGTAATCGATGAATTTGGAGCTAAAAACAAAGAGATCTCATATGGAATGTTTAATTCACTCTCCAAAACAGCTTACATTCCGTTTCTCACATGCCCAAATACATGGTATCCAGCGTTTACTAACAGAATCGAAATATTCACATTCAGTAGCCGATAAATCATTTGATAGTGTTTGTTGCAACCGTTCTTTTTCAAATTGTACATAGTTCAATTTCACAACAAATGTCGCTTGGCGATTCAGTTCTTGTGGTAAGTACGTTCGATAACGATGTAAAACATTGGAGACGTTTTCCGATGAATACATCGGTCGTTCAAGATTTTGATCGATAATCACTTCAAACAGTGCCCAAAAGAAACAATCGTGTTTATGTATTTGTTTTAAGATTTTGTCAATAACAATCTCCGCTGTTGTTTCTTGTTCGAGGACGTTAATTGCATAACCATTCAATTCGTCTGCACGGGACTCAAAATAAACAGAAACCATTGTGCCGTTTAGTTTACGTGGTTGACATTGATTGTTGCGAAGTGAGATTAGGGTTTCCACACATTTTCTTTCGTGTTCGATTTCTTCAGAACTGATATTGAACAACTCACGATAGTATTGACAGAGATTATTCATAATTTCGAGATCAGCTTGAATCGATGGAGTTACGCGTGCATAAGATGACGACAATGGAAATCGTGATGGAGGAGATGTCGATATCATGGAGAGACGATGAGCTAAATAAAGATACACTTAAATCTACAATTGGGAAGTGTGCTCTTAAATCTGTCAGTTTAGACTATCTATTTTAGACATTGAGTTACATCGGTAGTACTCCTAATCTTACTGAGACCAGTAATTAATTCAAGGAAATTAGATCTTACATTGCAGTGATTGATTTCGTTTCAGTTTAGCTGGTGATGATGTGTTTATCAATTGTCCAACTGAATCTTGAGCTTCACCATCAAGCAAAAAGCCGTTATCATCTTGATTTTTTGGATATCTCATGTCCATATCATCCAGTGACATTCCATGTTGGTCGCGCGGATCGTTTGCATATGAATTAGTTGCTTGTGTCGATGCTTGCGGTGGTGCGAGTGGTTGAGAGATAATACATGGTGCAAACGTCGACACAAGATTCGATAGAATCATCGAATTCTTATCGGAGAGCATTGAGACAGTCTGAATATGTACCAACATTTTTCTTAGCGTTGCATAATGAACCGGATGATGTTGTTTCAAATCGACAAGAAGACCGCGATAGTATTGAATGAGTTGTTCAGGCGTGATACTTGGATCGACTGTTGAACGCAGCCATGCATCATAATTTTGACGCGTACCCAACAGCGGTGTTTCTAATTGACGAAGGAAACGTTTCAAACCGTTAGCAACATCATGTTCTGTATAATTTTCTCGTGTCAACGACGTATTAAATGGATCTTCGAGAAATTCATTAAGCAGTTGTCTTATTTTTGTTTCCTGGCCTGCTTGACGATAGATACCTAGAAAAGCCATACTTTATGTCTTGTAGAGACTCTCAAGTTCATCTATTTGAGGCAAAGTATATTAAAAGATTTGTCTCTGACGTAAATAAATCGTCTCGGCACAAGTTCTCTTACCTTTACTCTCTAACCCATGTTCAAAAATGAAATTAATAAATCTTTCTACAAGAACGGGTACATTTTGCGAGGTTAAAATTTGACAATTCAAGTCCGTTATAGTTTTCACTTTAGTTGCTTCGCGTAGACATGAATATAACATATCAGTTAGCTTGGATATCGGCGAAGATAAATATAGAAAACGGTTGGAGACAAGACAAAGTACCACACCAACGAATTCTTGACTCTTTTGATAAGCTAAACGAGAAACAGAAGATGAAATACTAATGAATCGAAATCAACGTACTTAAACTGCAGTATTTTCTCAAGTCAACTTCGTCGAAAATTGTGTCTGAACAGATAACAAATCTTCCTGGATAAACGACGGCGATGGCTTGTTGTTTTTCCGCATTGATGCCCTCTTGAACATTCAGTTTCGTTAGAAGAATGAAGTCGGAATAGATTAACTGATGATACGAATATTGTCGTTTTAATAATTCTCGAATCCACAATGCGCGTTCGAGTTCATTAGGAAATATCCAGAAATATTCATTAAATGACGTCTGTTCATCGACAATCAAGATACATTGACTATTGATGTTCAATGTCGGCAGATTTGCTGAACGAGATTTTAGTGAAATAGAATTCACAGAATCATTACAAATGGCAAGAACATTATTAAGATCGATTTCAAATAAATATCGAGCGGTTACTTGTTGATGATGATGATGAGACTTATCCATCGTATTTGGAAGCGAATAGATTTTCACACGGTCGGTCTCATATCGAGCGAGAAATTCTTTCAGAATACCATGTTTGGTTACTAAATGAACGTTTGTTTCATAGGGTTGAAGGTTTCCATCATCAACATCATTTTTCATCAAATCAAATTCAGATAAACCTAAAATAGAAATCATCCTATATGTTATATCAATATGTTTCTCCTTTACCTCCGTTGGCAAGAATAATTTTCATTTGTTTCGTCTGCTGATGTCGTTTTGCATGATCGGCTACCGCGAACATTTTCTGTGAGAAATTTGGATTTGCTCCTAACATGATCAAATGCACAGTTTTCCCGCAATCAGGTGTTTCAACATTTTCATAAAGCATTGCATTCAGTTCATCTTGAGAGAATGTATTTCGATTGTTGGCTTGTAATGGTTGGAGATAAAGTCTATCGATGTACTTTTTTCGTATGTACTGTTCGCGTTCGGATTGTGTGGCTATACACGTTGGTTTTAATACTCCTAACAGCTGATTTTCTAACAATTTGTTGAAATAATGATTCCCGTAATCGTGTAGCAGATCAATCAAATCGGGGTCGCATGTTGTACTCACGAGAGATTGCAAGGAAAGAAAATCGGATGTCAACAAGTGATGAACAGCTGCAAGGAAAAGAATTTTCGATCAATAGTTTCTAAGACGGAGAATAGTTACCAGCACATTTTTCACATATGACTAATAGCCATGAGACAATAGCAATAGTTGGATGATCTTCATCACAATCTGCACATCGAGTGTTACTCAGATTCTGTCGAACAATATCGAGACAATCGGATGTTTTATCTAAATAGTAATCACCAAAATGAAACATGAAAGGTCTTGTTTAGATTTGATATTTACTGCGTCGAATTGGAACGTGACCATTCTCGAGTGACAGATTCGAATAATTGTCAGCTAGTGAAGAAACAAGTGGTTGTTTATCTTCTACTGGTTCGATTGAATAACTAAAGATAGATTTGAGCAATCTTTTCGGTTGATTCTGGCTGAATACTTACTAGTTTTTGCCGTCGTCTTTTTTAAGTGTTCTCGACGATTGTTGTTGAGTTGTGATTTGCTGTTGAATGACACGATTCAATTTGGAAAGGAACAAATCTTTTTCTTCAGTCGTATTTACAAGTTTTTCACGTTGCTAAACAATTATTCAACATCTTAGAATTCGCCGAATCGAAATCAAAAACGAATCTACCTCAGATCGATAATTATTCATAGCTTTTCAACAACCGAAAATAGCGATTAGCAAAAAAAAAGAAAACCTACTCATCAACGCAATACAATCATTTGACTCATGGACTTTCGTTTTTTTTTCCTTTCTCTTTTCATTCCTATTATAGAAAAGTATAAGCATTACTCCTGCGTACATTTCGTTTGTGATATTTAATCGGGGAAATTCGTACTAGAAGAAAGAACAAACGATAACGAAATAACTTACTGTAGTAGTTTGTTGCGTTGGATATGAGTAATAGATTTCATTGTTAGCTGACGCGTCATTCAAAACATCAGGTACAGCATCAAGTGAAACGTTCGGAACATCTTCACTGTCGTCGAATGACAAATTAGACTCGAGTGTGAAATTTCTAGCGAACGTTGGCGGACTGGCGTAGAATTGAGCTGAGTCTGAGCCGTTTGGTGGAGTGGATGAATTGGTATCTGTGATGGTAGCATTCGAAGTATCGCACATTGGAAGATGCTCTTCACGTGGTATTACATAGAAATCATCATTATCCGAATGATTGGATGGAGTCAGTTGATTCACATATGGAGCGGAATGTTGATCGGTTGATTGGCAAGTGGAATATGTGTTTGCACTCGTGGTATTAGGCGGTTCTAGAGAAGAGAAAAACACGAATGATCAACTGAAAAGGTATACTACTGAGCATTTACCATCGAGTGGAACGGTATCATCTAGGCCAAGAGAGACAGGTATGGAATCAGGTGGTGTCGGCGGTAATCGCTTTCTCAATGTCATTTTTGTTCGAGATTGTGGTGCTGGACGAGTCAGATGAAGTGTGCTGGAGAGACGCGGCTCACTCGGTATGTCATATGATTCGTTCATCTAGAGTCAAAAGAACAAAGTGTTCTGTTCGATCGATTCAATATTTTGCATAAAAGTCGTCTCGCTGAATCATCAATATCGCATTTGACATTGAAATACTAAGCGAACAAAAACGCTAATCCGGCCGATCGTCAAATTTCTCGAAACTTGTAGGAATTTAATGTTTCAAAATCAAGAGCCTATAGTCGAATACGGCAATCGATAAGACACGAAAAAACAGAACAATGTTTTATCGATCATATCGAATGAACAAGAATAAAAAAGAATGAGTCACGACTTATCATATGAAAGCAAATGTGGCGCCACATATGAAGAAATTTTATTCGTAAGCACATTTAGGCCACTGAGATGATATTTTCTTGAATAGAATTTTTTTCTCTTTTCCATGAGTTCCATCCTGCGGCCTTTACCTCTTGGTACGATTTGCAGTTTTCCTCTTAATAATTTAGATGTGTAATTAACAATACATTCGATATGTCGCATGCACCAATAAAAAAAAGTGTTTTCGATCGTATTGGAGGAAATTCATCTTCACCTTCTGGAGTGACGAATTCAACGAACAAAAGTGTGAGTGTATAATTTCTCATTGATTTCCCATGAATGTGTTTCGCTTTTCGTTGCCAATTTTAGACACACGGGTTCTGTAATACTTTTATTAAAACTGGATCATGTCCACTAGGTGATACATGTAAATATATTCACGAGCAGCCGAAGTATAAATCATCGTTTTGTTTATTTTCATGTTTTGCTTTTTTTTTCTCATAAAGTTTCGATAAACAATCAGGATCGAACGACGACTTTCGTATTACAAAAGTAATTTGAAAGACAATGTTCTTCCACACGTGGTTTATGCTTGTTTTCATGTAGACAATAACCAGGGTGGTCGATATGTCGTCGTCTTCATCGATGAAAAGCACAGTGACAGTATCGAACGAACAACGACCAGTAGTTGTTTCAAATTCTATTCAATCGAATCGAACTGTTATTGAAAGTATCGCTCCATCAATTGATCATTCCGGTAAACTTTTTTTTTTCTCCTAAAGTTAATAAGTCCCATATGTCTTAGCAGATCGTCGTTCGAGTGGCAGTGATCGTAAGCAGGTAGGCTATTTTCTCAGTCGACTATATAAACCTCTATTGAATTGACCATCTCCTAGTTGGAAAGTCATCATTCGAGCTCAAAAGTGAGATCTTCTTCGAATTCTACTGAATCATCGAAGAAAAAGTCACATTCATCATCACACGAAATCCGTCATTCCTCCAGCAAAAAGCAGCGTGCAGTTGAAAGGTAAACTTGACATTTTGAAACTGTAGCTTTATTGAATTTGCATTCTTTACCAGTGAATCATCGGTGAGTTCGGCGTCAGATTCCGAATACACTCATTCATCACGTAAACAAAAGAAGAAATCTAATCATTCGAGCTCAGCGAAACATAAAAAACGTGACTCGATTTCTCCAACGAATCATGACGAAGAGGAAACACTTAATGATCAATTGCTACGACAAACGAGTTCGTGCAATCGATCTCCTAAACGGACAATTATGATTGCCAGACGAAGCAAAGATGAGGCCACGAAATCTACGAGCAAAGATTCGAAGAGCAAATCCGTACCAGAAATCGAATTTCTCGGCTCGAAGAAAGTCAAACCTGAAAAGAAACCAGTTGAAACCATACATCAGCAAACCGAAAGTAACAAAAAATCTAACGAGATCAAACGAGAAAAGAAATCACCCAGTCGGTCAATATCTGAGCAACAAAGACGTCATTCTTCGTCAACAAATACCAGTAGCACGAGTATGTATGAAAGAAGTACACAAGTCAAAACAGAAGACGCGAAATCTTCGACCAGTAAAGCGCAGTAAGTTGTACAGCTTGCCATTGTCGATATTTATCTTTGTGTAACTTTTAGAAACTCATCGGAACGGTCTGATCGTAGTATGCCATTGAATTCTTAGTTTCTTTTCTTCATTGTCAACGGTTTTTTGTGATAGATGCGGCCGAACTGACACCTCCTGTACTTGTTCAACTCTCACCCACGCCTCCGATTCAAGCAGCATCGGAAATGTCTGATAAAGGATCTGTGGAACATTCAGTTGAAGCTGAAAAATCTCATGTCAATCAACCATCTTCGCCTGTATGTGTCATTCTCGATGACGACTCAAGTCCTGCCCCGTCCGTCGACAAGAAAGATGCTCGACAAGTATTAACAAAATCAGTTAAAAAGAGTAGCGAACCAGAGAAGACCAGTTCTAAGTCAAGTAAACGATCCAGAGATGTAGAGAAAATTCATACCAAAGACAAAAGTAGCGAAAGCAGTGAATCAAAGCGCAAACGATTAAACGACGGTACAGTTATTTGCCAGTTTGGTTTCATCATACAAGCAGTGATCTCCTTCTAGGTAGCTCAAAGAAAGTTACATCTAGTAACAAAAGTCGAGATGAAACTCGTTCGACGAGCAGTCGGTTAGTAAACAAATAAATGATTATTATTATTACGTTCTGTTAACTATGAATTTAGATCGGATCCACGTCGTAGTGCTGTGAATACTGCTTCAAGAGATGAATCATCCAGTCGGAAACATAAAGATAAATTAGAGGTCAAGTCCAGTCGAAGTAGCGATGCAAAAGATCATACTTCAACAAAATCACGAAGTAATAGTATTCGACACGATACAACCAGATCCTCATCAGAAAAAAAGTAATCGGTCCTTTTGAATTCTTTCGTGATTTATATGTAAAATTTTCACGTAGACGATCGAGTCATCGGCATGGAAAAGAAAAAGGTAAGAATTAAGAGAATGTCAATAGGGGAATATCAATGCCAGTCATTTCTTTTAAGATTTAGAAAATATTACCGATTCTGAAGGACATCTTGACGAATCCAATGTTCCAAAACAAAGTACATCTTATTCCTATTTAATATGTCTTACTGGAATCTAATCATGCCATTGCTTTTTCAGCGGCAATCGAAGCTTACATGGCTATGGACTGGTCATCATTATCTCGCGATAAACGTATTCCATCAAATTCTCAAGTCACATCCCGTATTGCTCGCACAACAAACAGCAATGATGTCTTAAATGTTTCCGATCGTTTGTTAACAACAGAACAAAAAGAAAAACTTCGAGGAGTCGACGTTCACTCATTACCATTGACTCATTTCATGAAGCAATTGCAATTGAAATCCACACCGAACATTGTCAATTCTTGTCATAGACGGTTTGGCTCATGCGCAAAAGACATGATTGAAATGAAACATAAATTCTTCACTAGATCCGTAAGCACATCAGACAACTTTTCAGACCATAAATGTTTTTTTTGTGTTGTCATTAGATTGAACCAGTTCAACGATATGAATTTATCAATAAAGAACATTATCTCGCATATCAACAAGCAATCAATTCTTTATTAGATAAAACCCCTGTCGATTCTTCAACTGTACAAGTTGAAACCACATCAACAACAACGACCGATGCTCTGTTGTCCTAAGTTTTGTTATGGTCATTTTTATATGTGTCTTGTGTTTTATTTCGATGTATCTATTTTCTCGAATAAATCAATTCCACTGGAAAGAAAACTTCCTACTTTTCACACATCTATCAAAATCAATTTCGAAAAATAGGACACAAACGTTTCAAACATCTTGAATATTATCTCCGTGTTCCTGTCGTTTTCGTTTTTCATAATCTGCCAACTCACGTTCCCATACTGGTAATAACTTGTTCACCATATCCCAATAATTACTCTATAGAGAAGAATCGTCGAATTCGCCTCTTCGAAATGAAAGATCTTACTTTCAATCTGGTAAACTTGTTATCATCTGGTTGTTGTAGATGTGCATCGATTTCATGATTTAACTTTTTTATTGACTAGAACGCAAAATTCATTGATAAAATCAAAGCGAATGGTTCGTACTTTCAACAAATTTTCATTTCGTAGTCGAGCTTTTTCTACTGTTGACAGAAATAATGTCTCGTTATTCTGTTGTAACGATTGTGGTAATTGAATCATTGAAGAATCAAGTAAAGATTGTCGTTCATGTTTACTAGATTACAAAGTCAATATAGAAGAACGCATCATCTTGCTTATTTACATACATATATGTTCGTTTCAAATCTAATTCAGTCGATTCTGCTTGATATTCATTTCCGGGACGAAACTTTCTCAACATTGTTCGAAGAAAAGAATGCTCATCAACTGAATCACACCATTAATTGAATGTTTCACATAGTAACATTCGTAAAGGTTTACAGCAAAAGACCATTGCTGCCATCTATTGAAGAATCTTCAAATCTTTTGCTTTAATGCAAATAAATATAATCAACTTAGTGCATTGGATTCAAAGATGCACTGAATAACATATTGATTCTAGAAACTGTTTGCCATTGTTTATCAACGATCCCTAACTTGATTAATCAATTGAATTTCGCATTGATGAACGAGTATACATTCATAAGATTTATTTTTTCAATCTCTCCGAAATTATAAATATAACATGTACAGAAAATGTCTATATTCAAAACAGAATTCATATGTGAATCTCGTTACACATCAGTTTGTGATGATAGCATTTGACTATCGAGGCAATGTCGGGCCATCTCTTCTTCTTCGTGATGATATTCGTAATTACATTCTTGATGAATCCGCCCAAATTCTAATTGTCGTTGTGTATTGATTGTTATGCCAATCATATTTCTATGTTCAAATGACACGAATAAGACAATGTTTGTAGATGAATTCGATTACGTACTCAATCATTTTTATACGAAGAATTTCTCGAAAACCAATATTTAATGTTTCCGATTCCGTCTTTGCTGTGATGAGAAATTCCGCGAATGCAATGAAACATGAGAGAATAATACCAAAGAGAAATATATAAAAAAGCCCTGTCACACTTGAAAGGCTCAATTCACTGAAACGCTTATCTTTTGTGTTTTTCGAACATTCCGAACGATCGTACCTTGGAAGGAATAAACATTACATTGCAACGAGATAATCACTCCAATGAACACTTACCACCAACGTTGTTTTAGTTTGTCTAAAAAACCTGATTCTCGAAGATTAGTGATGATAATATCGATGGCTTCGGTTAGATCTGAACCTAATCGTGTTGCAATACCATAACCTTTCGAATCAAGTTCAGATCCGACCTTCATTGTGTCACATGGTAATCTTTCATTTACATATTCATTTTTAGTTGATCTAAAATGAATGATTTGATAAACGATTGGCTGATTAATTATTTGTTCGACATACTCGATGAAAAAGGCATATTTTCCTTTGGAACTTCGTACTTTTGCAACACCTTCATCATTGCTGGTTACGAACACCTCCGACGAACTTCTCTGCATCATTGCCCACATATCTTGATAGGCAGTAATATTCGATTTTTCAAAAAATGCTGCAGTTGTTCCGTTTCTCAATGACCCATACTTAATTTCATGTTGTTTCGCTACAAAGACAAACACAATAGATCGATTTTCTTAGGAAACACATCTAGTTACCAAGATCTTCAACACTCTCGATGGGTGTAACTAGTTTTTCAACGGTAAGAAAAGCAACAAGATTGGCTGTGTACGATGAAACGAAGATTAACGAAAAATACCACCACGATATTGCTGCAACACGACCTGATAACGATTTGGGCACAAGATTAATTGATTGTCTCATAAACGATGCAAACGAAAAGAAAAGTGCATTTGAAATACCAAAGAGATGAACGGCATCGGCATTGTTTTCTTCATTTGCTCTCTTTCTCTTACGATTCTTGTTCGAATTCAAACTTGGTGTGTGTTGTGAAGGAAAGCGTGTTCGATGCCGTGATCGACGTCGTATCGATGCTCGAGCCGATATATTCAACTCAGCTGATTGTTCCGAAAAGCTGGAATCGCGTTTTTGACGTTGCAACTGAATTTCACTTTTACGTCGATCATTAACGCTCTTCGGATATGAATATGATCGGTACGATGGCCGCCGAACGATACGTCGTCGCCAGCCGGTATGCACCAGACATGATGTTAAGAAAAGAACAACACTAACGGCAAAATAAGAGAGGGAAAAACATAGCCAAATTTCCATTGAAACTGGATTCATAAAAGAGAAAACACCTGGCTTCTGAGCATCAGGTTTACGAATCTAAAGTAAAAACTCGATCAAAATCAGGGAATAAGCTAGAATTTCGTTCGTACCATAACAGAAATACCTAAAGGAGAAAATCGAAGTAATTGAGAGAAAAACAGTTTTCTTTTACTTTCAATTTTCTTACCTAAATTCATGAACGGTTTACTAAAATCAACAACTTCCATTCGCCTCTGACTGATAGTTAACGGTGCAATAGCCATATCAGCTTTTCGAGCAACAATTTCACCAACCATTCCTACAATAAACTAGTTTTACCACATTTTTCATGTTGACACGACACTCACCATTCCACATTCCCGTCGTGACATTCTTACTTCCGAAACTTCCATCTTGCACAATACGAAATAGACATGTGATGTTTAAAACGGAACAAACTTCACGTGCTAGATCAACGCAATAGCCCTCTAGTTCATCGAAACTGAATATCTGACCATGCAATTCGATTAAATTCGGCTGGGTTCGATTATGATTTCCATTAGAGTTCGTTTGCCGGCGTAGCATAAGAAACGGCTCATCGAATAGACTGGTAATATAATAAACCTTCGACGATAATGGCTTCTTTTTCGTAGTAGAATCTTTATGTTCATTGAGTTGACACGACTGATAAACATTCGTTAATGTTGAATACCGTCCGACAAGTTCAATCTGTTTCCGAAATCGATTTATTGAAGATTTGCGTGTTGAGAATACATTCACATCAGCAAAATTGCAATTCATCGGTCGAATAGGTACATCTTTTAAATGATACGTTCGACAATCGAATAGCGGTGATGTTAAGATTTGTATAGCTAAATTGATTGAATCGAACAATGGACGTGAGTAAAGCTGAGTGGATTTCGGAAGATAAGATGTGAAATATGAATATGTAAAGTATTCTTTATTTGTATTGAGTTTACTATCACATAGATTTAACATAGATTTCGTTTGATTCGACGCAAATGACATGTTCAACGAAGGATTTGTGCTTGGATTTGAGATTCGTTCACCGTCAGAATCATGACGAAATGATAAATTCGATCGATAATATGACGACGAACGTTTCATTGATGGAACTGGCGAAGAATACGTTGTGGTCGTTGTCGGTATTGGAGGATAATCCAGATTGCAATCACGTTGTTGATAATCAAAATAAATTAATAAACCTGTAAAATTCAATCTATTCATCCATAAACACGCATCGAATGTTGATACAATTATATATTGATAAAAGTTACTTGTAAGTCCTAGAAGAAAATAGATCATGTTAACAATTCCTATATGACCTATCAACAAAACATTCGATAAAAATTCATAGTCGGATCTAGTTCACTCATCTAACTCGTTTGACATTAGGAAAATGTTCTAATTCTCTGAGGAAAATGGATATTATTCTTTATAATCAATATTATGTTGTTTTCTGATAATCATGAGCGAAGTTCTTTTCATAAACAAGATTATTCCACGATAAACGCACTAGGCAACGTGATGAATATTAACTAGAAGAACACACTTCGTCTGATTCGTCGATACAAAATAGAACAAGTAGATCATATCTTTTGTTCTTCGATCTTCTATCGAAATCAGATTAGCTCCACTTGACAATGATTCTATACGAGTATCGAACATATGTTTCGAAGTGATCGCACTCGAAATACGTTTGATTTTCTACTAGAAAATATCTGTCAATTGAAAGACAAGGGAATCTAGTACAAACCCATATGCGAGATTTGATCAAACATCCTTTCATAGTTGTCATAGGAATGAAGATCAAGTAGGATATATCGTGGTATTTGATCTTTATGTAATGAATGCGATTCAATGCTGTATAACAATGAATAGACATCTTCATATACTGTCGTGCGAATATCGAAGATGAAATCATCGAAATATTCATCATTGTTCATAAGTTTCAATAATTCATAGATTCGATGCGTTGATTCTTCATTATCGTAGATGTAAATTGCACGATGGACTTGATTGAATTTCAAATAATTGAATAAAACTTGAAGGATGTTCGGCATAAAGAAAAATTCTTGAACAAACGATCTGAAACGCACAAAAGAATTCAAATTCGAAGAGAAAATTTTTCATCACTTCGAACACCGACCTCGTCAATGAGCACAGCATTGATTTAGTTCCAAACGACTTCATGTTAATGAATGGAATACGATTTATTTCACAGAAATCTTGGATTAATTGTGTAGATAACTTTGTCGTTCGCGTGATGTAAATATTCGTCAAGATTCTTTCTGCTTCGAGTTTATTGAAAAGATTTGGCAGCGAATTCGACGTGTTGATCCAATACAATTGTAAGTAGAAGTTCGTTTGACTACAGAATGTTCGATTAGGCACTTTTATTTTAATAGTCTCCTTCGAGTTGATATTGTCGTCAATAATTCCGATGCGAATTGTTGATTGACAAACAGTAAAATATACAATTGACAAAACAAGATACAAAACATGATGAGACAACATTCCGAACAAATAAACATGTCAGAAAGAGTTTTTATCTTCTCTTCTTTTCCTTCACTATAATAAGCAGAGTCCAATCGATAAGAAAAAATTGGATTAGATTTACTATTCATCGGTTAGTACTTACATTGCATATTGATCGGCAGTGAAGGCAAAAAAAAACCGAAAGAACAAGAAACAGATGAACGGATCGACATAAGACGATTAATTCAAGAGAAGAATGACAAAAAATATCAACAAAGAAGAAAAATGTTTCAGTAATACGTGCATCCGTGGTTTGCCCTATATACTTCAGTTTTCAAATCTAGATAAATCCAACGATGATCAGTTACATCGACAATAAAAAGTTGTTCTCCAGAGAGAGAGAGAGAGAGAGAGAGAGAGAGAGAGAGAGAGAGAGAGAGAGAGAGAGAGAGAGAGAGAGAGATAGAGTAAAAAGAGAAAAATAATCATCGATAACAGACGGAAATGACATGCAGAGATGGATGGAACTTCAAGATAGAAATTTCCGTTCGAATCGATTTGGTCAATATCGAGTTCGATTCATCAATGGACAATATTATAATGTTTACTTTTCGCATGCACATGAAAATTAAGTAGAATGATTAAAAAACAAAAAAACTCACAGCAACAAAACATCATATGTGCACACTTCAACTATGCTTACTTTACTTTTCATATGTTTTTTTCGTTGTTGTGCGTCGGCTGCATTAGTCGCTTATAAACACATTGAAAGATTACAGTTAGTGATTCTTTTCACATTAAACAATCTGGACACATTCTGACTGCAGTTGTTATTGAAGAAAAATGAAGTAACTTCTGATTGATCAAGTTAAATAGTTCTATTCTCCATTTGCTATAGAAACGAACGAACTGGCACAAGTCGAGAAAGTTCAGCGAGTCGCTCACATTTCGAGAGTGGCTCAAGTCGATATTTTAATGCACTAGATATTGGGCATTCTGTTTTTGCAAGATCGAAATATTATGATGACATGATTTATATACATCCATGGTTACGTCGACCGTGCTCACGAAATTCTGGTATTCCATTTCCAGCTATAGCCGATACACCGTGTTCACCTCGTCATGATGAAATAGCGAGACCACGGATTCGTCGTGAAAATCATATTCGACAAGGTAATGCGGATCTGCAATCTGATTGAAATATCACTTTTCCGAATGAATCTTCTAGAATTCTTCGATAATATTACGAACTATGCATACAGTGGTGTGCCATCTGGAGCATTGAGAGTAGAATGTTCTCAACGTCTTGCTGAACTTGCTGTACCAAGAGGATCATCGTCCAATAATCAACGAAAAAGCTCCCAATCTCAACAGCAAACACAGGGCAAGAATACCTCACAACAAAGTCAAGGAAAGAATCAACCACCACCACAACAATCCCAAAGCAAGAGTGCTCAGCAACAGAATCAAGGAAAGAACCAACCACCACCACAATCTCAAAGCAAGAGTGCTCAGCAACAAAATCAAGGAAAGAGCCAAGCACCACTACAGCCACAATCTCAACCACAAGGCAGAAACGCTCAACAACAACAACAGGGTAAGAACCAACCAGTGCCACAGTCACAATCTCAAGGCAAAAATGGTCCGCAACAACAAGGAAAGAATGCGCCGCAACAAAACCAAGGGAAAAGTCAACCAGCACCACAGTCACAACCGCAAGGCAAGAATGCGCCACAACAAAACCAAGGGAAAAGTCAACCAGCACCACAGCCACAATCTCAAAGCAAGAACGCTCAACAACAACCACAAGGAAAGACTCAACTAGCTCAACAATCAAACACAAACAATCCACCAGAAAAATCAAAACGTAAATGAGAAGCTTCTCTAGAATTAATGCATAACAACGAACACATTTGAGTGAAGACAACTTTATTTATATTAATCAATCATTCCCTATTTGATGAAGCACTGTTTTGCCCGAATGATCATTAAAATCATATTTAAGTGAACCCTACTTGTCAAATGTAATAACGATAAATAATGAGATCTAAAAGTATGAATTGACACCGATTGGAAGGACACATCCTTATTGATTGACAACCAAATTTCTAAGTAAATTTTCCAAATTAAAAACCATCGCTAGAGCAGTTTTTCTATAAAAATTTATTTCCTCCATCGATCTATCAACGATATTGGTCAAACAAGCTCTGATTTCCTTCAATAACTGTAATGTTTTCTTCCCAATTCACTTCTATAAGTTTCATCATCTAGGTCAATTTTACCTTTGCTTCGATACCATAAATACAATTTCGAACTCAACTGCTTCCACAGCTGATCGAAGCATTGATTGATTTCTAATAAATTATCGGTTCTGTTTGACATATAGACAACACCGGTTACATTTTATTGTTAAAGGCTATTTCGATAAACTTTTCACTATTGTCAAAAGAACATCCTTTTTTTATGTACACGAAAAAAATTCCTTTTGGAACAATTATGATAATGACAGGTGTCGTTTGCACGCATGCTTGAACTTTTTCTCATGTTTGCATGTAAACTTTAGTTTAGAAAAATGTGAGTTTGTTACGAACTAATCATTATGTGTAAGCTTAGTTGATTGAAATGCTCAGGAGAATTGCGCAGTGCTCGATTCGTTAGGAACAGGCTGATGTCTATCTGCTTTTTCAAGTCAATTTTATCTTATGTGGAAAGAAAGAAATTGAGACAAGAAAGAGAACGATCTTTTCCTACTAAAGTTGATTAACTTTCGCTTCTTCTTTCTTCACCATGTCGTTTCTTTTATCTTGGAAACATTTTCAAAGAATATTACCCAAAGAAAAAGGCAGAAGGATCAACGTATGACTCTCATGCACGTATATATGTGCGTGGGAGCGGAGCACGAGATAGATAATGGAAGTGCTGTGTCGTTGAACATAATGCATCAATTTTTTCCTCCTTCCTATTCGTGTCCGTCTCCAAGTTAGTTTTTTTTTCCTACAATCGTTGTCTTCTCCTTCCAGTGCTTTTTTCCCCTTGTATTTGTCTGTACTATTACTAGCTATACCGCGTAACTCGATTCTATATTAGCGCAGGAAGAAAAAGAGAAGAGTTGGAGTGTGCACGCGTGCTGTTGGTTATAGTAGTCCATTTTTTTATTCTTTCAGTTTATCTCTGTTTCTTTTCTCTACCATGTTCTGCGTGTTAGATTGTAACTGACTATGATAGCGATCTTTTCTCAATTCCGTTCAATCGAAACTTTATCGAGTGTGATCGTAGAAGATTTATTTTCTCGAAAAGTTTTCTCCTCGGGAAGATTGCTCTTCAGCATTAAGGCTATTCGACACCTCTCGATTGTATCCTTCGATTACATATCAAAACGTATACGCGTGAAGACATGATTACAATTGCGATAGAGATAAGAAGAAAATAAATATATATAAAACATTCGAAACCTATTATACTTTCATATTTGTTTCATTTTTCTTTCGGATTCAGATGGCTCCGTCGAAAGGTGATCGTGCATCCAATGTTCCTTCGTTATCAACGCGAATGACGACTCATCAACCAACGATGGGCCTTATGGATGCTATTAATCTGCTCCTAGCGTGCATCATTGGCTCAGGTATATTTATCAGCGCAAAAGCTGTACTAGAAGCATCGGGCTCTTACGGTTTGTCAATTGTGGTTTGGATCAGTTGCGGTTTACTCTGTATCATGGTAAAGACAAAATTCAGTAGGAAAATATTTTTTATTTCTATCTGATTTTTAGGGAGCATTGTGTTATGCTGAATTAGGTTGTGCATATGTTTCATCAGGTGGTGACTACACGTATCTTCGTGTAGCATTTGGTGATTTCATTGGTTTTCTTCGTGTTTGGGTCGAAGTTGTCTTATCACGACCGATGATTGTGGTTTTAAGTGTCCTAACCGCATCGAATTATCTTGTTTATTGGTTCTTTTCAACGTGTACACCACCTGACGTCCTAGTTAAATGCTTAGCTTCATTTCTCCTACTGATTGTTGGCTTTATTAATTTAACATCAGCAAATTGGACAAAACATCTTCACCAAATATGTAACTATTTCAAAATCGGTAAGCATTCAGTCTTTCTTTGTAATTTCGCGCAAATGAAATTTCTAGGTTCTCTTCTAATTGTCGTACTTGCTGGTATTTATCGAATGTATCTCGGTCGCGTGGAGAACTTCTCCGAACCATTCGAAGGTTCAACTTACGGAAAGATTACCAGTGCACTCTACGCCGGCCTCTTCCCTTATTCTGGATGGTAAAATACATTTTCATACTGAAACCGAACGTCTAATTATGTTTGATATCTTAAGGAATTATTTAAATAATGCAATTGATGATCTAAAAGATCCTAAACGAATTTTACCACGTTCCATTGTCATATCATTATTATTGTGCATATTTATTTACTTTCTAACATTCAGCTCTTATTTTACTGCTCTGTCTGCATACGAGATTCTCATGTCGGATGCAACAGCTGTTACTTTTGCCGAACGTGTTTTTCAACCATTATTATATATCATACCTATTGGTGTGACTCTATCTTGCGTCGGCGGTAATCGATCCTTTTGATTCATGAATAAATTATTTATCAGGAAATTATTCCTTTTCAGCTGCTTCGGGAAATATTTTCACCATTGGACAGATGTTTAACGGTAACTTTCATTCCACCGATATGACTTTCCTTTTTACATAAGCATCTTGTTTTCTAGTGGCCGGTCGAGATGGTCTCATGCCACATATTTTCTCTATGAAACACTATAAATCCAATGTACCTATGATTGCCATCCTCTGCGAAATCATTCTCAGTTTTGTTTTTCTCTTCTTCATGTCCAATATTGGAAGTTTGATTATCTGTGTTGGTATGATCAATTGGATATGTAAGTATTCGAACAAGATCACAATTATTAACTATGCCTTGTTCTCTTTTCTCAAAAGGTATCCTAATGGCTGCTGTCGCTTTGATTGTTCTCCGTTATAAACATCCTGATCGGGAACGTCCATTGAAAGTGCCATTACCCATTCCAATTATATTCATCACAATTTTAGTCGTTTTAATTGTTGCAAGCGCATTGACTGATCGTCAGAATATCACTACATCTATAATGTTATTAACAACAGCTGTACCCGCGTATATTTTCGGTGTTATGTGGAAAAACAAACCTAAAGAATTCAATCGTAAATACAATGCATTTGCGTTGATGTTACAAAAGGTGTTTCATGTCGTACATGATGAGCACACCGATTAAACTTCATTTTGTATTTGGTTCTGATAAATCGATTTTCTTGTCTTTTTCGCATTTGTCTACGTAGACTTACCGTAATGTCTTCTTTTTACATATGAAAGTCAAAACTGTGCGTCACACATTTTTTTAGTTCTTGTAATCGATGGTTATTATTGTTGTTAAAACTTCTTGTTTCTGTATATATCCAAACATACAGAAGCGAGAAGATTTATAAATAAAAACAGTGTTGTAACCTGAATCGAAATATCGAAATTTGATTTGACATAGATATGAATGTTGCTGAGAGAGTTTGTTCTTTCAATGCTGCCATCTGTTTGTTGGAAAAGACCATTTGAAAGACATCACCAAGGATATGTGTTTGAGAATGAAAACTTATTCGACTATCTCAAGTACCTGATTACAATTGAATGCTTGTTATGAATATCTTTGTTTGTTTTTCGGTTAAAAGAATTCGAACATAGAAAAACACTGACGATCGCTTTTGGTTCTTGTTTTGTACGGTGTTTGTTCAATAGTGAAGACCAATTCTGAGATACACAACAATGGCTAGCACAGCTGGTTATGAAGCGATGCGAAGTGGAAAAGTTCTTCTATTTTATGTTAATCGTGATGGACTACCTCTGTCAGATCGATGCAGTGAACGCATGTGGACATTTTGTATGGAGCAGTATCCTACACGTGAGTTCAGCTTTCTTTCTTTCCCATCGTTTATCAGATAAGGTACTTGGAACATATTTGCGACCTTTGGTATGTTATCAGTACATTTCAAGGGAAAGAATGAGTGAGAATTCGCAGTTGATTGATAGTTATTTCAAATGAATGACAAGTATTCCATGTAGATTTCTGCAGGAATGAATACTATTATTAATCAAGAAAAATGAAAATTATTCTGAATATATAAGTTACTATAATATTTCCGGTTTAGATACAAATGAAATCAAAGCACTTCGTGATCAAAAAGTGAATTATCCGAAAGTAACATACATTGAACCACCTTACCATTTGGCAACAAACAATCGCTTGAGTGTTGCCGAAAAACTACGCCAAATTCAGACATATATTCAACGCCTGGAATATAACTACACAGGCATGCAGTTCTTTGAAATCAATACGAATCGCCCCATATCTGGTCTGATGGATGCTGCTCGACATATGTAAGAGTGCTCAATTAATAAACATATAATCGTTCTTGTTTACGTTTCTAGGATGACGGAAGCGCTACCAATAAAATGCCTCGAAGCATTTTTAATTGCTGTTTATCTAACAACAGGTATGATAGGTGTCGACCGATTCAATATTTCATTTAAAACGCGCTTCAATTCAATTACTTATCGGCATGTTGTTCTCGGAATAAGATACAATCAAATTTACGGTGCATTAGGCTTAAGTCGTCGTTCTGATCTTGCGTACAGACCATTGAATAGTAAATACGATCGTTTATCGACACTAATCAATGATTATATCCAAGCTTACAAGAACTACGGTCATACAGTCCTGCGCATCAAAATCGGTTCGCCTATTTTACATGACTTGAAATCATTCTTAACGATTGATTGGAAAGCTGCGGTGATTCTGCCCAATAAAACAGACAAGGAAGATTATGAACGCGAACTAGACAAGGTTTCTCGTGTGTGGAGACACATGAACCTGTACATGGCATATCGAGGTAATGTACCACACACATCTGTGATGCAACCGCCTAGAACACTTGTAACTACAGCATCCTTGCCGAGTCGTCCGCAACCAACGTCAAACCGATCCAATTGTCATCAATTATCAGTTACGAAAACACCAATGTCAGTCAATGATACTTCAACTGCTGCTCAAAATTATGCAATTCGAGTTTAGTTTTCATGAATATATATATACATATATAGTTTTATTTTTATAAAGAAAACAGAGTGTGAGGATGAAAAAAGTATGCGCACACAACGGATATCGATCATACAAAACGAGACATGTTCACGAGAAAATAGGTTTGGAGAAACAGAAATGAAAGGCCACACACTCATGAAATCGACTGCGACATATAACGAGTAAATGACGTCTTAGTCATCATTGTTCGACAAAATCTCTTCACATAGGTTTGTTGCCGGGCATTCCTTGATTATATTGCATAGCATCGTTATAAGCTGGTGGAGCAGCTAGAAACAGCAAAATGAGAATATTTTGACAAAACATTCTGCTTGTAAAACTAATTTTACCTTCTTTAACTTGATATGGATTATATGGTTGTTGATTAGGTGGATATGGCATTTGTTGCGGAGGATAAGGTGTATAAGTTCCATTGAAATTTTGTGGTGGAACTGCATAAGGATTAACGTTTGGTGGATAACTCATCGGAGGCGGTGGTGGAAAAAATCCATGTTGTTGCTCATCCATTGGAGGTTCTACTGGAACCATTATGATGTCTTCTAGAAAAAAACGAGAATATTATCGAACACATAACTTTTCAATCGATGAAAATAGATTTACTCGAACTTTGTCGACGACGTTTAGCGAAGACAACAACAGCAATGATAACAATTGCGATAATAATGCATAACCAAAATAAGTTAAAACCGCCGCGGTTCGAACGACTAAAGTATTTCGAGATTTATTTGAGATATATTGTAAGTATTATTTTAGAACCATACCCTTCAGGAGCACAGCAATAGTGTTTTCCATATTCACCACAGCAATATTTCGCATCATAAGGAAAACCTTCCAAAGGACAACGAAACTGTCCGAATTTTGTACCATTATAATCTTCATTATTTGTACATACCGCTCCAGCTAAATTAATCACAACCGGTACAATGCATTGATTTATCAACGAATAAAGGCGCAACTTACTTCCATAACCTGATGCATAATGTCCAGGAACATATGAACGTGACATTGAGCTCATTATTGAGTATGCTGCTACGCCACCTAACGCTCCAGCACCAAAACTCATTGCATTCTTTCGAAAACCACTTCCCGAAGATCTAAAAAGAAATCACTGGATAACGTTCAAACCAATAATCACTGATGACACTTACGGTTTATTCATTTTGTTGTAACTTCCATAGCTGTTTCCTCGATTGAAACTCGATGAGCTACCAAATGATCCGCCTTTGGAGCCTCCTCGAACACCTCCACGCCCGAATCCTCCTTTCCCGTCAGTGCATGTTGTAAATAGAACTATTTGTCAGAAGAAAACAAGTAGCAAATTAGTGGTAATATATGACAATATTCATCTATCATCGATTACTTACATGAAACTATGAACAAAACACAAAACCATCGACATAAATTATTTTCCAACATAATATTTTCGACAAAAGAAAAAATGTATCTAAAATAAACGCATAATTTGATTTATATTAATTAAACCTGAGCGTAGAAATATAGTATATATATATATATATATAAGTAAGAAAACAGCACACACAGAAAACTTCAGTTTATTTCACATGTCGGCGTTCTTACTCGGATTCACCTAGTCGCACGTTGGCGAATACGAGACCAGATGTTAATTTATATATTCACCCATCACTTAGCCGTCTTACAGCTTCGGAGTATGTTGGAGGAGCTGAAAATGAGAATAGAAAGAAAAAACAAAGTGTCTCCAGTGCAGTATAGACAAAAACACTTACAATCTGGAATTTGATTATGAGCTGTACGATGGGTCATTCGTGTTTGTTCGATATCAGTTGGTTCGTTTAAACCTAAAACATAATCCAAACATATATTCATCTATATGAATATGAAGATCAGTTTTAGCAATTAGATACATTATTAGTAAAATCTATTAGATTTCATACATACGTTCATTATCTGCTTGAGCAGCAGTGACGTAGGTATGCGCTAAATGGAAAAGTGAAGAGGCACGACTAATTATATGTGAGAGAGTACAATGGTGACGAGGAAAAATAAATAGTCTTTTAATTTTATTTCCCAGGTAAAAACAACTACTAGCTTTCGGCTTCGAGTCGTCACATTCAAGATGTTCTCTTCTGTTTATTAGAATCCTAACCTTTTCGTGTTAAATAGCGACGGTAATGAACAATACAGCAGGCAATCAACAGCATGAAAAGAGTACATGCAGATATAATACCAACGATGGCACTAACGGCTCGTCTACCGCTAATAAAAAGGATCAATAAGTAAAATAAGCATTGAAAAGGAAAATAATTAAAAATCTCTCGATTAAATATTCTCTTTGCAAACAGTGAGTCCGTTTGCTCGAGAAATGACATACAGCATGATAGAAGTAGATTTGTTTGTCAATAACGGCTCGTAAACGAATACGTCGATAGTTTATAGAACACACATCTAAACGAGAAGGGATTCTTTAGTTAATGTCAATGTGGAAAAGAAAATAATAGTAAATACGAAGAATGGAGAAAAAAAAGAAAAAGTGGTCAGGTTACTTTGATGTAATTGAGCAAGACCTACGCAAAATGCCACCTTGCGCGGAGATGAAAGAATATAGAATATATACATATTCGATCAACCGCAAAGAAAACTAAAGAGTAGAAATTAGAAACAACCAGGGTTTTTCTTTCAATACCGCTTATGTATGTTTAGATGCTTGAAATAATTACAAAATAAGTTTGATAGCCTTCTCTTCAGGAAAAATAATACATCTCTGCATATTTTCGATCAGAAATTTGACTATCAGAAGAAGAAAAATCAGAAGTTTTCAGTAATTATTTGGCTGATCAACAATTTCAAGACTTAAGACAACATGTTGACATGTATTTGAAAGACGTTTATCAAACTTATACTCTCTTATCAGCATACAAAAACAAAATATGATCTCGAATTAGTTAAAATATGTAAAATCGACGTACACACTCTTGTGTTTTTACCTTCTGTATACAGACGATACGATTATTCAGCTGATCGCATAGGAGGGAAGAAGCTTCGTACTCATTGATCAGTATTGTCAAAACAAAAATGGCTGCACTCAATGAAATGATCGATGATTATTAATTCATTGCTATAGGAAAATATTTGTTGTTCGCATATACTATAATCTTCGAGATTTTTCTCTCTTTTGATCATCTAAAACCTCAATGACGTCACGAGTCATGAACGTATATTATTCAATTCATAGCGATGCCTGTTTATTACATTACTATTGTAAGCAAAAGAGAAAATGTAAATATGAGTCATTCCCAGTCTTGTGTTCCATTTATTTACTTTGTAGATATACTCAATACCGTATTCATCGAAATGATCGTTAAAATCATTGATTACAAAGTGTATCTTGTTGGAAAAAGATAATCACATGTTATGATTAAATTAGAATTGTTTAATGTTTTCATAATTCAACTTATAGCACATTATCCACTAGCGACATCTATGGACGCATTACATATAGAACTTATTAACACTTTCATTCCTATGAATGTTTTGTATCCTTAGTTATTTCTAGCTCATTTATATGTCTACTCTTCTCAGCATGTTTACTCTTTTCCTAGAAAGGTTCGCCGGTGTGTTGGCACTGCGTGCATTATCTACACGAAATCTCATATAGGTGTCTTTGATATGCGTAGCATTAAACATTAAATCATAAAGAAAGGAAATAACTTGACCTCCGATAGAATATCCGAATACATTTGATTCATTTCAAAAACAATTAATACGAATCTTTGCATTGATCGAGAATATAATTGTAAGTTTTGGTTGAAATAAAATGGCTGGTCATTTGCAATAATAAATCTCATAGATTTTCTCGCTGAGAAGAAACGAATGAATCAATGCATAAATTTATATGAAAGTATCGTCATTTGTTTCGCGAACAAGTAATGATCCGTGCTCATCTCCAAAGAGAATATTTCTGGCAGCTGACATTTTACACAATTATGATGAGGCTATGAATCAACAATCTATTAGTTTAGATATTCTAAGCATGATATTCAATAAGTCGAGAAAACTTTGACTGACACTTTCACAAAAAAAAGACGAAGAACTCTCCTTGTAAATCTCTACACTTCCCTCCTCTGTCTAGAATTAGCGGAAGCTTTTCTGTTCAACTTCAAAGAGAATTCTCATCGATCATCGTGTTATGACACAGTGCAAACGAAACCAATTAATCTATTACAATAATGCAGCGAATCTCATATCCGTTGATAAAAAAAGACTTTTTGAAGAGTTAATCATACCTGTACGAACACTGTTGAAGCTTAGTTTTCCCGGTGTGTTGAAAAATAAGAAATACTCTGTTGACGGAAGTCATACGATATCACAGAATGTGCTTTATGCGTCAAATTTCAATATCATAGTAGAAAAAAATCCGAGATTTCCCTTCAATATTTGGTGTATTTGATTTAGTACGAATGTTTATTTGTTTTACCGAATCAAATACACATAACCATTAAATGCTATAGGCGGTGTTAGTTAATAAACATTAATATTGAATGGTCTAGATGACTTTCCTTACGATCACTTACGTCTGTTCATTGATGGATACTTGACATCTGGCAAAATAAGAAATTTCAATGAAACTTCATTAGTACTGGACATAATGGCATTCGACAATGATTGATTTTCGAAAGATTCGAAACGAAATTAATCATCTCTTTACGCTAAATACGATACAAAAGTATATTTTCATCTATTTATCTAGTTGGCAAAGATTATTAACAAGGACAATACAAGAGACACAAAACAGATGGGTTATTACACAGAAAATAATCTAAAACCTTGTTGAATATCTTAATCTATATCATATAACACTAATTGAAATATCATTGCCGACGAAGTTTTCTTTGAAACTTCGTTCGAAAGAGAAAACAATCTTGATTCATTTTGGTATTAACGAGTTGAATACAAAAAAGATTATTGTGGAGTGCGCGTGTGTGCGTTCGAATGGGTCGGTTTTGTTTCTTTTTTTTTTCATATATATTATATTAGCCTGGCATTTGCTTGTAGAAGAAAAAAGAAGTTGATATATCTTGTTTTGTCGGAGGTTTTTTCTCTCCCGTCTAGATGCGAACGAAGATGCAGAGGAGGCGGAAATACTTGACTGCGGCTGAAAAAGAGATGGTGGGAGAATAGCAAAAGAACGAAGGAAGAATGTGGTCTGTTCCTAGAAATACAAATAAGAACGACTGTCAATTACACTGCTACAATAGTGTTCGTTTTTTTTCTTCTTCTTACTGCCGAGCGATTTTTTTCTTGAGCAAATGTTTCCTTAGTTCTATTCTATTGTAATTCAAGACTACTGCCGGTTCACAACTTTGACGATTACATCTATGTCTGCCAGCTAAATACCAATGGTTCTCTACAAGGAAATCACGAAAGAGGTAAGAGATCACCAGAGATTGAACCTGGAACACGAATGAACTTTTTCTGTTCTCGAGAGATATGTTAAAATTGATGTTCATTTTGCTAAAAAACATAATCTTATACATAGAGGCTTTGAATCGGTGAGTTCTGCATGTGTGTGTGTGAAGAGTAAGAATGAACCTTGAACCATTTCGGTTTGATCGTCCGATATATTGAAAAAATCATCGATCGAACAAGAAGTTTTCTCTCCCTTTGTTATATTACTTAGTATATATATAATATTTGTATATATGAACACAATTATATGATTATCGTCGATTATGTCTTGTACAAACAACTCAGAATTTATTCAAGCATATGATGTGGATAATAGGTGTGAAGATTTCAATTGTCAACTCGTATTTGATTTCAAAATAATTAAACCGATCGACGACTTATCAAAGAAACTATTAAGGAAAAGGAGAGAGGAAATACAAAACATCCCGATCATTTCGAATGATCAAATATCTTTCATTGTTACTTTATTATCTTTTCTTATGATATGTCCCCTCGATATGTGACTATTTTTTGTAGCAAAATGTGTTATTCTCTTTCTCTGTATGATTCACGGCATGCGCGTTTTGTTTTTTTAAATACTGGAGAATAGGAACGGTGAGACGTTTTGATGACTTCGTACTGGGAATTTATTAACATCGGGAAAAAATATCCTCTATATGATATCATGTCGATTCACATTATGACGATCATTATTGCTAATGCGATTGTCGACATACATCGAGTGCCTGTTATAGTGAATGGACTGCGAGTGGCACATATCCTTCGTCATCTAAATGCAATGGCTATACGCACTGGTCATTCTTTGGCTTAGAACAACGACGAGAAGAAAAAGAACGAGCAAAAAAAAACACGCTGCATGTTCATTGTTAACTGAACAGGACAGACGAGAAAGAAAGAATAGAAGAGGAGTTCTTTTTTTTATGTTGCCTCTTTTTTCCTTTCTCTTCTTTTGAACCATTGAACACCAACTGCAGAACATCGGACACATATACTTGCCACTGGGTCGAACGTGTTCTATGTTGATTTTTGCTCGCCGTCTTACTTGCTCATTTATAATAGAATCGATTTCCTGGAAGGATAGTGAATGTAACAATAGTGAACTCTATGTTAAGAGATTTTTCTTTTAGAGAATAGGATTCAATTTCATCACCTACCATCATTAGTAAGAACATTTTTCTCTTTATCTATTTATATTTCAGAAGTATGTTTGCGAGCGAACAAGTCGAAATAACGAACAACAACAACAACAGCTACAGCAGCAACAACGAACTCGTCTTGATAGTGGCATAATGGTAGCGAATAACGGAACAACAACAATCAATGGAAACGTGAGCAGTGGACATATGATTACATTAAATGTCCATGTTCCACGAGATAAAATTGTTCAGCCGATGCAATTCGATGTTCAAATGTTAATTGGTGATATATGTCGAAGTATTCAAGGACATTTGCCGATAACATATGATCATGATTGTAAAACAACAAAACAAGATCCTTGTTTTCATTGATTTTATCGTTTATATTTAGTATCGGAATATGGACTTTTTCTTAATGATGGGCTTCATATATCGAGAAGCTATTGGCTTGACCCAGCGAGAACAATGAGTTACTATGGATTAAAATCAGGAGTATGATTTGTTAACGAAAGACTTCATTTTGTTGAGAGAATTTCTTTTTAGGACAATGTTGAATTCAAAAACAAATTTCGATCATTGAAAATCCGTTTATTAGATGGTGCTGTTCGGACCATGCAGGTCGATGATTCATTAATAGTGGCACAACTAATGGTTTATATCTGTATGAAATTCGGGATCGCGAATTATGACGAATATTCTCTTGTTTACGATCATGATGCTGACGACGGTAATGGTAGCACAAAAACAGCGACTCTACGTCGAGTAAGCTTGATAGATCGATTTGAAAATCAATATACAGAATCGAACATTTTTATTCAGGATCGATCTGTTCAACGAACGGATAAAAAAATGGAAGAATTAAAGAAAAAATGCCATACAGATGACGACAGTTAGTTCGATGAGAAATATAAATGCTATTTTGTTATTGTTGTTGTTATGTTTTATAGCTCTATGGCTTGACCATTCGAAAACCTTACGTCAACAAGATATTGATGAGCAATCGATCGTTGTTCTACGACGAAAATACTTCTTTTCTGATACAAATATTGATCAACGCGACCCCGTCCAATTGGACTTACTTTACATTCAAGTAAATTTTGCCAAAAATAACCAATTCACATGTCCACGCCTGTTTTTTTTTAAGTGCCGGAACGGCATTCTCGACGGTACACATCCTGTAACATATGAAGAAGCCGTACAGTTCGCTGGTTTACAAAGTCAAATACAATTTGGTAATTACCAAGAATCAAAACATAAACCAAATGTTCTTGAGTAAGAAAATATGTTTTGTTTGGTCGATAACGAAAGAATCCACAGCAAAATCTACTTCACATGTCTCTCTCTCTCTCTATGAAATAGTTGTTGTAATAATTGTTCATCAAATAATTTTTATTATCGAATGGACATGCGGTAAAGATGTGTCTGAGTATTGATGGCTGCCAATACATGCAAAGCTTTTTCTCCTAATAGTCCGCCGCATGGTTTTTCTTCCCTAACATGACTCTAAAGGAGTTAATTCGAGAAAAAACTAAAGGAAAAATGATATCAAGATACGAATTAAATGATATTTTGTTTTGATATTTCCAGGATTCGAGAATTCTTACCGAAAGAATATACGAAAACTAAAGGTGTGGAGAAACGAATCTTCCAGGAGCATAGAAAGCTGCATGATCTACCTGAACTTGATGCAAAATTAAAATACACACAATTGTGTCGGTCACTACGAACATATGGTGTCACTTTTTTTCTTGTCAAAGTAAGAAAAGTCGATGAAAAGTTCAATATGCTAATTCGGACGTATCCATAGGAAAAAATGTCGGGAAAAAACAAACTTGTACCACGTTTACTTGGCGTTACCAAAGAATCCATTGTTCGAGTTGATGAACGTACAAAAGAAGTAAACTGCTTGCTGAGAATAATGATGAGTCTAATGAATTTGTTTTAGTTTCTTGAAATCTGGCCGTTGACACATGTTAAACGATGGACAGCATCAGCAAATACTTTTACACTTGTGAGAACAAGCTTTTTTCCCTTGTCGGAATAAACATATCATTGTCATATTCGATTTGTTTTCTTAGGATTTTGGAGATTATGCTACTGCTTATTATTCTGTACAAACAAATGAAGGTCAACAAATCTCACAATTGATTGCAGGATATATTGATATTATTCTTAAAAAGGTTTGTTATTCTATCGAATTTTCTCCATTTTAAAGATTGATTTCTAGAGAAAAGATCTAGGCTTCTCAATTCGAGATGGTATCAACGATGAAGAAGCGACAATAATTGAGGATATCATTACACCTGGAAGGTAAAATCTACATCGGAAAAGAAGCTCTTCCATCAATTCTGCCTATTGTAGAGCAACCATCATTCAACCGAATGTTCATCTATATGGTTTTCCTTATCAACAAAATATCTATTCACCTCCGCTAGTTCACGGAGCATACGCTGGTAAATTCATACTACTTCAACAAGACGAAATTCTTCTCATTTGATTTCTCTACTAGATATTCCCGTTCATCGTCCTTATGGATACTATGTACCTGAATATTATCCTGGTCCACTCTATCCGATGTATCCCGATCAGGAATATGAGGATTACTTTGTTTCACAGATACATGTAAAAGCATATGTTTGCCCTGTATAAAGACTATTCTTTAATTTCATTTCAGGAACAAGCACCTTTATCATCCATCTTACACGGTGGCAGTGGCGGCACAGTGCTCTTTTCTTCGATTGAAAATGCACGAAATGCTGTTAGTTATGCACAATCACAGTTAGCACGTGATTTACAAATGGAATATAGTCACCAAGGAACATCTTCCACAATGGTTCGTATGCTCTTGTTAGTTCCTATTTGTCGAATTTGAACTTTCTTCTTTGACAGGATAATCAGCAGGAATATTCTATGCAGGATCGTCTCGATGTCAGTCAACAACTACTCACAAGTGAATTATCAGCCATAAATGCATCGACGGCTCAAATTGTTATCCTAACATCGGATATTCATAATAATCAACAACTAAATCGTCGAAATTCAGAATATAATCATTCATTGGGCGCTGCTATTTCGACAATAACAAACAATCTCAATGAATTCTGTAAAGAAATGGATGTATACACAAACTTAATCAATGATAAGACTAATCTGACGGATCAAACAAGTCGACTATGTTCAACGTTTAATGATTTATTAACACATATCGAAGCGTTATCGGATAACAACACAGACTCATCTATTCGACAGAATATTCTCGTCACTGCAAGTCGTGTAGGAGAAATAAGTCAAGACCTTATTCGACGTTTAGCCAGTGAAATAACAGCCAACCCGTTCGATTCTTCGATCGAATATCAAGATAAGCTATTAGCGTTAGCTAAAGCTGTTGCGAACACAACAGCGGCGTACGTATTAAAGGCCAAAGAGATCGCCACTAATGTTAAAGCACAAGAAAATATCAATGAAATCATATCAACAGCAACACAATGCGCTTTAGCAACATCACAATTAGTTGCTTGTACTAAAGTACGATTTCGTTGTTCATGCTTTCTAATCTTTTAAATGATATCATGTTAAATTGTAGGTTGTTGCAGCCACAATTTCCAGTCCTCTTTGTCAAGAACAATTAATTGAATCAGCTCGTTGTGTTACGCGATCCATCGAAGCGGTTCTTCAGTCCTGTCAGCCTCCAATCACGACTGAACAATTGCAATCAGAACTAACCGAAGCTGGTTTAACCATTCGCAAAAGTCTCAACGACTTCCTATTACATATCAAATTAGTTACAGACAGCCTAGCAGATAATTCTGATGGTTATTATTCATTTTCGAGCAATGGTAAGAAACATGTGGATATTGATAAACAAACGACTATGACAACAACAATCTCACGTCGCACACTTGCAAATGATGAGATCGAAGAAGAAGATGAAGAGCAAGATGAAGAAATCCTTCTCACAAAGAAATTTCACGATCAATCGATTGATCAAATATTGACGGCAAGCGATCGATTATTTTCTTCCGTTGGCGATGCTGTAGAAATGGTGAAGCAAGCGAAGATCTTAGCGCAGGCTACGGCACAACTCGTTTCATCCTTACGACAACAAGCTGAGTCGGCTGGTGATGATACCGAGCAGCAGAATAAACTATTATCAGCCGCCAAAATGCTCGCCGATGCCACAGCGAAAATGGTCGATTCGGCTAAAAGTTGTGCTGCAAAACCGAATGATACACAATTACAATACGAACTAAAACGAACAGCAGAAGAACTACGGTAAAAGAGATAACATTGCTTTCCTTTTTTTTCTATTTTCTCTTGTTTTCATAGATCAGCAACAAATATTGCAACGAGCAATAGTATCAAACGAAAAATACTCAAACGTGTCGAACAATGTGCACGACATTGTGCATCATGTGCAACACAATGTATTGCTGCAACATCAGGTTCGGCCATGACGAACAAAAATCAACAATCGCACCAACAACTCGTTGAACAATGCAAAACAGTTGCTGATCTCATACCTAAAGTTGTACAAGGTATTCGCGGTTGTATGGTTAAGCCAGATTCATTCTCATCTCAAGCCAATCTGTTGAACGCATGCGCAGATTTTCTCGGACCAGCCACACGCTTAGCCAATTTAGCGAAAGCGTCTGTGCCAACTGTGAATGATCAATCGCAAGCTCTACATTTAAATAATAGTTCCAAACAATTAACTCAAGCGTTGATCGATCTTCGTACTTATCTGAATAGAGTAAGAGAGAAGCAACGAAAAGCGTGTGCGGTAAACTTTGACTTTCTTTTGTTTAGGCACAAGAATTATGTGGTACAGTGCCACTTGATGTCGACTCAGTTGTAGAATCGATTGAAATGCTTGATAAAGAATTACACGAGGTTAAACGACAAGCTAAAGATGGACATTTAAGAGCAAAAGCTGATGAAACAGTAAATTTTGTTCTTTTTGAAATGATCAAAACTCACTCCGATTTTGTTCGTCAATTAGATTGATACATCATCGGCACAATTATGTTCTGTTTGCAAACAGGTGCATACAATCGTCTCTCAACTTCTCAGTGCTGCCACTCAAAGTGACGAAAAAACGGTTGAAACATGCACACGCGAAATACTTCAGTCTCTACGAAAACTAACCAATTCGACTCGCGGTATTGCTGCTACATCAAAAGATCATCAAATTCAAGAATCGATCATCGAGCGATCGCATGAAGTCCTTCAACGTTCAAGCAATCTTGTTCGTGAAGCTAAAAAAGCCATTCATACACCGGATGATCTCGAAATACAAAACAAACTCGCTGAAATCGCTCGTGAAGTTTCATCGGCACTGGATGCTTGCATAGCAGCCATGCCGTCGCAACGCTATCTCGATGAAGCAATTAAACAAATGTCTCAATATGTTTACACGTTAGCCGGTCCATTTGAACGAATAACCACACCTTCGACAAAAGTGTTCGAAGACAAACAGAATGAGGTGAATCGTGCAGCCGCCAATTTGAATCAAGCGACGACTGATTTAGTTCTTAGTACACGTGCTAGTTCGACACAGGAATTAGGAAAGACATCAACGAATTTCACTCGTGCATTCGGAGATTTTATAAATAACGGTATTGAATTAGTTAAACATCAGCGTGAAGATGACAAACGAGCGAATTTGATAACATCATTGAAAACTGTTCATACATCGTCGAATCAATTATTAGAAAAGGCTAAAACAGTATCACTGGATCCTCAACCAACTACCGCAACTAGTGAAGCTAAACAACAGCTAGCAAATGCTGCACGAGTTGTAACTGACAGTATCAATCATGTGATAACTGTCTGTGTGACATCGAAGTCAGCATCAGAGACGACAATCGGTCGTTCAGAATGCGAAAATGCTATCCGAGAAATGGAAACGTCGAAAACATGTTTACAACAACCAGTTTTACAACCATGCAACCAACATACATATTATGAAGCATTAGATCACGTTGTCGATAATTCTAAACGATTAGGTGAAGCTATGACACACATTGCCAGTGCATCTAAAAATAGCAACCATCAGTTATTTACACAAGCTGTGCAAGATGCATCAGCCGCCGTTTGTCGTTTAGCGGAGTCATCTGCACAAGTAAAATAAAAAGAAAATGAACTTATTGACCTAAGTTTATTTCACCTTCTTTAGGCGAGTTACCTCATTGGTGTTTCCGAAATAAGTTCATCCGTTGGAACTGCGCCAGTTGTCGATCAGCCATTATTCACGCAATCGGTCACAGCTATTCGTCATGCTTGCTCAGATTTAGCGAATCCAACTATTGATCGAAAAGAGGCAAGTTTAATTTTTCCGCTCTTAAAAATCCCAGTGCTTTTTGGTGTTGTGCAATAACATTCTATCTTATGTCATGATGATTCACATTTTCTTCTCGGTATTTGCCATATAGATTTTACAATTAGCAACAACTATTGCGAAGAACACATCGCTTTTGTGCAATGCAGCTCGTGGTGCATCCTCAAATACAACTAATCCAATTGCGCGACGTCGTTTCGTTGAATCAGCTAAGGATGTAGCCAATTCTACTGCGGAACTTGTTCGAACAATTAAAGTTCGTTTCTCTATCCTACTTCCTCATATCTATGACTGATGTTTTACCTCTAGATATTGGATAATTCTTATACGCAAGAAAGCCATCGACAATGCATTGAAGCAAGTCGCCCATTGCTTCAAAATATCGATGAATTATACACATATGCTATGTCAAAAGAATTTGCAAGTGTGCCCGCAGCGATTAGTGCGACGGTAAGAACTGATCTTCATGGATCGTTTGTGTATTCCATGTGCTTATCGTAGGGACGGCAATTGCAAGAGCCTGTTCTTTCAGCAGCTCGAAATGTTGTCGACGGAGCATGTCGTATTGTTGAATGTTCAAAAAATCTTATTGTCAATTCAAAAGAGCCAACCCAATGGCAACAACTTGCTATGCACACAAAAGGTGTTTCTGACTCAATTAAACGCTTAGCCACTGCTGTCAAGTATGTTAATGAGCTGTCTCGATAGATGAAAACGATCTTTTTGCTTTCGCTTGAATAGGGAGATGGCACCTGGACAAAGAGAATGTGATAGAGCTATCGGAGAACTTCGAAAATTGTTTCAAGAAGTCGATAAATCTATAACAAACATAGATTCATTACGTAAAACAGACAAATCTCTTCAGGTAGATCATTTTTATCTGCAAATAAAGTTATCATAGTCAGATTTGTTTCTCTTAATAGTTTCATCAAGAACAAATTTCATCGACATCTCACTTTATTACCGAGTTGGTCATTGATATTCGTCAGTCATCGAAACGGGATGCCGAACGAATCGGTTCTTACGTGACACAATTCGTCACATACATCGAACCATTTGTTCATCATACTATCGATTACGTTTCCTGTATGACTCACGCGCGTGAAAAATGTCTTATTCTAGAACAAGTCAAGAACATTGTTGAAACGAGTTTACAACTACTAATGGGTACAAAAGAATCAGGTGGAAATATTAAAAACACTCAATGGCATAAAGTTGTCGATGATAGTGGCGATCTGTTAACGCGATCTATTCATATCCTGGTTCATACATTAGAAGATCAATCATCAGCGATTGGTATCATGAGCGGCCTAAGTGAAAATATTCGTAAGTTGGTCTCAACGTTAGATACAACAATGTTAACAAATCAAGGTCACTTTGTTGATTATCAAACCGGTATGGTGGAAATTCTACGACAAATGGCACGAACAACACAGGAAATTTTGACACAAAAAAATAATACGGATCACATTCGTCTCTTAGCGAACCAGTTAACACGAGAATACAATGAGTTGATCAACGCAACTTACGGTGCAATTGGAACAGCGTCAACAAACGATTTAGCAACACGAATTAAAAGTGTTGTCGCCGATTTAGGTTTTGCGTGTGTAGAATTGATCGAAAAATTGGGTCTATATCAACAGAATAACCATGATCAAAACTTGAAGCAAGATTTAGAAATCCTATGCCAAAAAGTCATCGAAAAAGTACGCTAATCACACATAGCACTCCTTTTCTCGATGCAATATTCTTTAGATTTCATATGTGCTTGCTGCTTTACAAGCAAGTGCACGCGGGACACAAGCGTGTATCAATGCTGCAAGTACTGTTAGTGGGATAATTGCTGATCTAGTAAGAAACAAAACCTTCACCATGAAATCTGGAATTGTTGATTGATATGATATCATTATAGGATACGACAATTCTATTTGCAACGGCCGGTACATTAAATGCTGAGAAGGATGATGAAACATTTGCTGATCATCGTGAAGCGATATTAAAGACAGCGAAAGCACTCGTTGAAGATACGAAAACGTTAGTAGCTGGTGCAGCATCGTCACAAGAACAATTAGCATCTGCAGCTCAAGCAGCTGTGCGAACAATAACTAAGGTAACATAGTCAAATCAAAACACTTTTATCAGGACGGGTAGTTTTTGAAGAAGAGCAAAAAGCAAATTCGACTATGTGTATGTTTATTGGACAGTTTTATCACCAATAGGGTCTTTTTTTGTTTGGGAAGAAAAAGCTTGTTGCTTTCTATCTATGTTATGTTTCATTCCAGCTTGCAGAAGTCGTCAAACTAGGCGCAGCGTCATTGGGTGCCGATGATGGTGAAGCTCAAGTTATGCTTATTAACAGTGTAAAAGACGTCGCTTTGGCATTGAATAATTTAATCAATGTCACTAAGACAGCCAGCGGCAAACAAATTGATGATCCCGAAATGCAAAAACTGAAAGAAAGTGCAAAAGTTATGGTGACTAATGTAACGTCATTACTACGAACAGTGAAATCTGTTGAAGATGAAGCTCAACGTGGTACTAATGCGCTTGAAGCAACGATCGAATCGATTGCACAAGAACTTCGATTGTTCAGTAACGGTCAAATACCAACAAATCACACAACGCCAGAGGAACTAATTCGCGTTACTAAACAAGTATGAATGATAAATAGATATCATCGTTATCTGATCTGGTTTCTCCATAGATTACAATAGCAACAGCTAAAGCAGTAGCTGCTGGTCAATCTTGCCGACAGGAAGATATCATAGCTGCTGCTAATTTAGGTCGTAAATGTGCCTCAGACTTTTTATTTATCTGTAAATCAAGTGCCTATATCAACGCTGATCAAGCCTTACAACAACGTACATTAGAGAGTGGACGAGCATGTATCAAATCGTATAAAGAGTTATTGGAGACTATACATATTTTAATACAAAAACCATCGAATGAAACAAAACAGAAATTATTGAATTACTCACGAATGATTGCACAATCAACACAGGAACTTGTACAATGTGCTAAGCAATTAAAAGGTGAATGAGTAGCAAATAATATCTGCTTATTTATTATATCCTCATTTTGTTATTCGAATTAGGCGCTGATCTGATTGATCCAGATGATCCAACGTACATTGCTGAAAACGAATTATTCAACGCCGCTCAGTCAATTGAATCAGCAGCGAAAAAACTATCGGTTCTTAAACCACGTCGAAAACCTAAAGTATATTTTGTAGAGGCAAAACATTGATATTTCACAGCAATGCAAAGGTCTGTTGTCATGATATGTTTTATATTTGGTTGTTTGACATATGATTCAACCGAGTATTGCTCATATCAGCACAATTTACCAATCTTCGTCGAATGTTTTCAATATTGTTTTAGCATCATCACCATTTTAGTCGGTCTGGTATGAAACTTGTTGGGTGGCAGAGCGCGTGACGTATAGATGTATTTATATATATCGTTTGAACTTTAGTTGATTGAGTGAATAGCTCATGTGATCAAGGTTGCCCATTGGAGAAGGTGGGATTTGACCGTTCGATTTCATCTTTTGAGGATGTGGCAACCTTGATCACATGAGCTATTAACTTTTTCGTAAAGCTTTCATCTATGATAAATTACGAACGTCTCTACAAATGTGTAAATGTCACGCAATAAGTTTCAAGTCATGCTGATGAATTACGTCGATTGTTTGTTGTTTGAGTATAAATATCTATTGGCTTCTTTATTTCCCGTCGTAGGAAATCGATGATAATTTAAATTTTGATGAGCAAATTTTGGAAGCAGCGAAATCGATTATGAATGCAGCTGGTGCATTGATTAGTGCAGCAACGTCTGCACAGCAAGAAATCGTGTCGAAAGTTAAAGTAAGTTAACTCAGTCATACCAGCATCTTTTTGATACAAATGATTAGTAAAACAGTTTTGAATGCTAAAAACACAATGAGAGAAAGGAATAAATGACAAATGAAAACCGAACAATATTTTAGACACGCACGAATCCGTTTTTGCCTAAAAACGTTTTCACAGCATCCACTATCAATAAAGGCACATCGTCTGCACAGGTATCATAGTAATTGCTATATATACATTTCTATATCTATGTTGTACGTCTCGTCCTATGTAGCTATATAGGATTTCTTTCGCACGTAGATCGTACATGCTTACTACTTTCTGCTTCTTGTATACTAATCTGATTAGATTATTCTCTAGCATAGAAAAAGGTGTTTATATATTGGCGGATCTATGTCGTATTTGTTCTTGTAAATACGCTGTTTAATAGGCAGTTTTCATCTTAGTTCTACCACAAGACCGGCGGGAAATTTATGCATTGATGAGGTATCTGAGCCTTGCAATGCTTTCACTCTCAAAGCTTTTGCTTCTGTACAGTTGATTACTAACTGTTCGACTAACTACAATGCACGTTTAACGACTAACAAATGATCCCGTTCGATCATTTGACTAAACTTCTTCCCTTCGCACATAAATTCATGTTGCCCATTTTTTTAGCTTGGATCCAAGTCAGGTAACGAGGAAGATGGTCAATGGTCACAAGGTCTAATATCAGCTGTAAGCGTCAATCCCTTGTAATATATAGCATCATTTTCGATTCTATTTCAGGCACGTTACGTTGCATCGGCATGTCATGTTCTATGCGATGCTGCTAATGGACTTGTTCAAGGTTATGGTACTGAAGAGAAGTTAATATCAAGTGCCAAACAGGTTAGCTCCAATACTGCTGCATTACTTGTAGCATGCAAAGTCAAAGCTGACTTTATGAGTCAATCCATGGCACGTTTACAAACAGCTGGCAATGCAGTAAAACGTGCTGCTGATGCTCTCGTGCGCTCTGCTCAACATGCTGTTGAAATGCAACAAGAGGACCGATATTTTGAAGTATCCTTGCGCGTCGTGCCAGGCATCGCTCAAGAAATCAAATGTAAAGAGGCAATCTTAACAAAAGAACGAGAATTGGATGAAGCACGAAATCGTCTGAAAGCAGTACGTTTAGCAAAATACGGTCATAATGAACATGATTCCTACGAAAGTACATAAACATACCGATTGTGTCGACATTAGTGCAATTATCAATACAAAAAAACCATTGAAAAAATTTTTTGACTTTTTTTGTACAAATATCAAATTCAACATATTCTCATGCTAGTTTTAGTACGGTTTTTCTCTTCTTATCTGTTTTTTTTGCTCTGCATGTTTGTGTGTATTCGATAAAAACCAACAAAGAAACATCTTAACAGATAAAAGCTCAATATTTCTTTCTCTTCTTCGTTTTGTTTCAATTCAATCATTTATAGGCGATCTTTTGTTTGTTTGGGATATCATATAAACTTCAAAACATAGAAAAGCATTCCATAGAATCATGGTACCATGGCGACAATCAGCTTCGTTGATATTGCTTGGAAGTAAGCAACGAAATGTTAACAATGTCAAGAGTTTGTTTGATTATACAACGTTATTCCTAAAACGCTCGCCCAATATGCGATTTGCACCAGACATTTCAGCGTAATGAAGGATTTTCATGTGCACGAAGGTGATAAATGAGATACGTTTTCTTACCTATTGAAGATTTCCTGGCGGTAAACTTGATCGATGTGATTTATCGTTGGAATGGCCGAAGTATATTTCAAGTACATCTGATATTAATCGATTTTCTAAGCAAAAAGCGGATATATACAAAGACATTGACCATCCGTATCCTGGTCTAGTCTTTCGTCTATGTGCTATTCGTGAAACATTCGAAGAAACTGGTATTTTACTTGTTAAAACAGACAAGTCCAAGAATTCAAAGTAAAACAATTTGCACATATGAGACCTTTCAATCAATTCACATTCCGAATTAGATATTCCACAGTTGCACAATTATCCAATGATATCATTACTGAATGGCGTGATAAAATTCGTCAGGATGCATCGCAATTCATGATTATGTGTAAAGAACTACAAGTCACGCCAGATGTTCATTCCCTTTACGAGTGGACTCAATATTTGGCGGCATCGATTGCTAAAGTGCGTTTCGACACCATATTCTATACAGCAGCATTACCAAATTCATATCCTTGTTTGATTGCTCATGACGACAATGAAACGGTTTCAGCTGAAGTGAGATTAAAAGATAAGAATTGAAATGCATAAGTAGATCTCATGATTTTAGTGGTTAGAACCCGATACAGCTATGAACGGATATCGTCAAGATTCAGTCAATCTGCTGCCACCGCAAATATTTGAATTGTCTCGACTAGCTAACTTTCGAAAACTAGACGATCTTATTGAATTTTTAGTTCAACGTGATCATAACGATGAATACCGGACTGAACGTCTTCTAGGTGTTTGTTATAAATTATCAGACGCAACAGTATTGGTTATGCCCGACGATGATCACTATCCGTCGGATGCATCATTTACAACACCGGTCCTATCGTCCGATAAAACATTACGCGATTTCGATAGCGATCGACAAAACCGATTAGTCATGATGAATAAAGGTACAAATCGTAAATGGCAAGTGCATTTCAAAAATAGCAGTAGCAATCAAAAGAATGATTTACGCGTTCACCCACTGCAAAATGGCTGGGAAAAATCTTAGAAAACGTTGTTAAAAAAAACGATTTTTTATCGAATATGTAACAATAAAGACAGATTTGTCAAATCGACCTATACTCTATACACGGGTTCTATTCAGAGCAGGTGGTGTTAATGTTCCTCCCGAGGATATTGTCAATTGTTTTTGTCTTTGTGGCTGTTGAGTTATCGGTATCTTAATAATAGGTCCGTTTTGATGTTTATTGTCTATACGTCTAGGTGTTTCTGTCCGTAAAGGTGAATTGTTTCGACTACCTGACGAACGCGGTTGCGATTGTTGTTGTTGTTGTTGTTGTTTCGTATGAGAGTGATTACCTCGATTTCTTGATGTTCGTACCTCATTGTCCACGAGTGCTTGTTGTTCGATATGTTGCGACTGTGTATGACGACTGCTTCTCGTTTTGTTTAATCTCATATCGACTTCACCCGCCATTGACTGTTCGCCATGTTGGGCTTGTTTGTTTGCAATAATAGTTGTTGTCAAAGGACGACTTGAGCCAGATAGTTTTGCTTGCAGACGTTCGAAAGATCGGTTTGATTTTATAGCCTCTTTGGACGATGGATTTTCACTAGTTTCGTGATGCTTGTGTTGATGATGTGCATGAGAGCGTGGTCGCTGATGAGTTATGCTCGGAACGGATACATCTGTATTCGATTTCTCTACGCTCTTCTGATGTCGACGGTGCGTTGTTGTTTGACCACGCTCAGCTAACGTTGCTTTATGATCAATACCAACGTAGATAGGTTTCTGTGGTGCTGTCTGGTTTGTTGTCGAGTTGGAGACAGGTACACCTGCTCGATGTGCAGCTTGCCGATGAGGTATATGCTCTTGTCGTGGTGGTGTGCTAGATATCTCATAATTTGCAGAACTTTGCTCGTGCCAAGACTGAGTATTAGCTAAAGGAGTTTTTGTCAATGATTGTTGTTGCGTTGCCCGAGCTAGTTGTAGTTTTTTTGACAAACGTTCTTCTGCCATCATCTGTTGTGACTGAGCATCCATCGTTGTTGAAATATATTGATTATATTCATAGTTCATATTGGGCGCTGTTGTCATTGAAAGTGAAACATTTGGATAGAATTGATTTGTTAGGTTCTGAGGTGATGACCAGGTCCGTTCTCGAGCATCATTTTGTGTCAAGGGATAATTTGCGGAAAAGGTACTTGGTGCACCGGGTGGATCTGCTAAAACGGGTCGAATTCATCAATATACGATGATATTCAAGTAGAATTAGATATTCTTACCATTGAAATTGGGTACATCTTGCTGATCGCTTCTTTTATTCCATACTTCGTATGTTTCATTAAAATTTGCAACGGAACTTTCACGTTCATGGTTATTTTGATTAAGAAACTTATCATTTTCAATTGGTGTCACAAGTTTCTCTGCACCTTTTCGTTTGCCTCGTTTCCATCTTGATCTCGATCCTTCCGACTGAGCTCCTGATGATGATCGACTAAGTCTACTTCCCATGTTACGTATTCTTAACTAAGTCAAGTATCAAATTCGCAAATAAAGATTCGATTATCGAATCTATGAATCACAATGATTTGTCAGGTATTCACCTGTAGTAAGGCTACCTTTTTCCCTTCATAAATTAACGTAGCCATGATCAACTTTTTTTTCTATCATTTAATACATATTTTAAATGCGCAACGCGCGTGATAATGAAAATTTTTCTCTTCCTTTTCGTCGACATATATACATATTCACCCCACAAACCGTTCCGCATTAATGAATGTATGCAATAATGGCAGGTATTCATGTGCGTAGAAACGTGAATGCAAAAAAAGATCGATTCATCATTCATTGGTTTATTTTATTTTGATTTTTTTTTGTTAAATATAATGAATTGAATACTTGACACGTCGAAAGAAGACAAAGAAAAAAAGAGACATATGTGTCACATGCAAATAACGAAGAAAATAGATATTCAATACAATGAGGTTTTTTTCATAATGCGTAGAAAGTCTTGTTCATTAATTTCACCATCACCGTCACGATCGGCTTCGTCAATCATTTCCTAGAAAAGTACATTAATTAAACGAAAATATCGTTTCGGCAGTCTAGCTTTTATTTACGTGTAATTCTTCATCGGTTAAATTTTCACCTAATTCTTTGGCCACGCGTTTCAGATTTTTAAAAGAGATTTTGCCTGTATTATCATCATCGAAGAGTCTAGTTGAATAAAAGAAAGAAGCTTTACCTTTAGAGTCATCCGTTGTCTTACCGAAATGCTTTTAGAATCTCTTCCTTCGAATCTTTTTCAGCCATTTTTTGAGACATTAATTGCAGAAAATCATTAAAATCAATTGTACCTAACGGTCATAGTATAAGCAGAGATGGATATGGCAGACGAATTATCTACTCACTAGCATTTTCTTTTTGAATGTCCGAAATCATTTTTTTAATTTCTTCACGTTTTGGTTCGAAACCTAATGCACGCATTGCGACCTAAACGCACGTTTAATGATGTGTAGGAGATACTTGTCATCTACTTTGAGTTCTTTCACATCGATTGTGCCTGAGCCATCTGCATCAAATAGATCGAATGCTTCCCGAATTTCAGTTTTTTGTTCATCTGTCAATTCTGGTCGAGAGCCGGTGGTTCGTTTTTTCGTTGTACCACCTATTGTTGTACGTTTCGTTGGATTTGTTGTTGTTGCCTATTGAAAATAGTTTGAAAATTTGACTATAAGATAAAATATCATCGAGTATTATACCATTTCAAATATTGGAATGTTTGATTGCTGAATAAGAAGATTTCTAAGTATTGGAACAGTTCAGTTCAGCACTTGTAGCGCATAATCTTTCCGGTTGCCATGTTGTCAAGTTTATGTCCTCCAGTGATATTTGCCATACTCGACTGAGATTTCTTTCGAAAATACGACTTCAAACTTTGACGTGAAACTTAAACTTAAACTAAATGAAAATTATGCGATTGTTATGTGCGACAGATGGCAGCAGAGAACGGTATGAGAAGTTTACTAAACCGAATGATATCGACGAACGTCAGTGCCTATCAATTGGTAGTAGTGTCTTTTACTTCATGTATATCAACAACGGGCTCATCGATAAAGCTTTACAGAAAACAATGCCTCCTCTCGTCGTATCCAATGAACAGCAAAACAACGAACATTTTTGTCGTGTAGTCGACAGAAAAACGGAAGGTGTATCGCAAAAGCGTGACCATTTTTTTTGTTTTTGTCAATACACTATTCACAATCATTCTTCTATTCGTCCGTCTTTTTTTCTTGCTGAGTATGATTTGCTAAAGCACAATATCAATCCTTTTTTCGAATAATACGGCCATGACTACGAAGTATAGATGATAGCCCTGATCGATTCTCATGTGGTAAGTAAAAAGTTTCTTTCCCAGACGTCTTAGTTTTTATCGTCACGCGCTAGTTAATTGCGATTCAATATCAAACGAAAAACAAGTTGAATCATCATGTAAACTAATATTCGATAAACACAAATAATAAAAATCACCGTCCTTGAATTGAACAATCGTGTACACTGATTAAAAATAAGGAAACGAAAGATATAGATTTTTCAATGTACGAAATCTTCTTAAATACAAGTTTGAACTGAATGATTCGTTCGAATAGTAACATTCAATATGTATGCGTACGCGATATCGTCTTTTCAGATACTATTACTAACTCAAAAATGCAACGTTTTCATCGACTTGGAAGTGTGGGTATGGTATTGATTATTACAGCATTTACTTTCCATCTACTTGCTATTTCATACGATCGGTGGACGTTGATTACATGTAAAACATGTTCGTATACGTACTATTTTCGTGAATGGAGGACATCGATTCGTCAACGATGCTACCGAATATCATTGATGGAATATACTGGAATTTCTAACGCAGAAGAGGATATTAAAACGGACCCATTTGCAACTTTCGTCTGTATTCCAGATAAATATGTGTATGCAACGGATTCAGCCAATATAGCTCAATGTATAGGACGCGCGGATATTGATCCACATAATGCATGTACAAGTAGTTCGCTTGATGAGGACGTGTGCCAATGCGAGTAAGTGAAAAAATAAGCGTATTGACTAAATGTATTTGGTGAATACGACTTAGACAAATTCTATGCTTCTTACATCTAAGTAAATCGAATTAATTATCATTTAGTTATACCAGAAAAACGAAAGCTGTAATTGGCTTTGCGGTGATTTCCAGTATAATACTTGGGTTAATGGTTATCGTATCGCATTTCGCAAGTTACATTCCATATGATTTCATTCTGAAATGGCTCTTACCGGGCGGATTTATTTCCTTAGTAGCGGCATTTACATTTATATTCATCACTCTTATTATGATGGGTAGTGGTAAAAGTGACTATGTAAATAGAGTTGTGGTATGGAGAACATTACAAGTGGCACAATGTAAGTTATCTTTGATATTATACGAGAAAAAAGCAGTCGATTGCATCTGATTTGTGTCTTGTAGATAACCTGTCAACAACCTTGAATGATACGACTATCTCGAGTGAATTAAGTCAGAGCAATTTTGATATTAAGTTGGGTTTCTCGTTTGGAATGGAAATTATAGCTGCTCACTTTACATTGATGTCAGCAATTGTCTATGCTCTAATGTTTCTTGGCAAAAGACGACCAAATGCATGAAGATGAACTGCATTCTTCTATATATTGTTTTATTTTTCAATTCGATAAATACATCTGATTGCATAACACACGAAAATCACCTCTTAGGCAATTCTTCAGCGAGAGGAAGTGTTTAATCGATAGTTGTATATGGTCTATGTAAATAAGCCTGTGCGAAATCGTTCAGATCCTAATTCTTTTGTAAAAAAAAACAGAATTCTACAGATTAGTTAACATACCATCGAGTAACTGTCATGTTTGACATATTTTCTACCATTTTCATGATGGACTCGGTGTAGTTCGTATAAAAATTCATTTGAGTTTACTCGAAAATCACTTGCCAGCTCATCATTGCGATAGACGTCAGTCAAACTCACGTGTCTTTTATTTCTTCTTTTTCTCTTCGCAAACAGAGAAATAGCTGTCATTATACTCTATACACTTTCTCGTTCGTTCGATGATGACTGTCAAAAAACGTATTCGTTCTCTGATTCAGTCTACTCGAGAACCGTCTTTTTGCCCTTCAAATAGAAAAAAAGAAATAACAGCGGAGTCTTCCATATAAATACTCGTCGAATAATACAGTATACCTCATTCTACAAGTGAAATTTACGATTATTACTCTTATTTCAACTCAACTACAAATCAAATATGCAAAACATCAAAGACGCTGCCAATGCTGCCACAGAAAAAGTGAAAGGTAAGGAAGTATAATACCCTTTTCGATCCGATGACATAAGCAATACCTGATTTCTAGAAGTCACCAGTGGTGCTTCATACGAAGCTAACAAAGAAGTAGCCAAGGACAGCAATTTATCTGCTAGCACTCGAATTAGCCATGGTGTCGATGCTGTAAAAGATAAAGGTATACAATTCTGACGATCTTATTCTGTGAATCTATTAGATTTTCATTGTACTTTAGTTGAAGAAAAGGGTCACGAAGCTAAGAAAGAAGCACACAAAGAAGCTGCTGAAGAACGAGGTGTCATCGGCCAAATCGGTGACACAATTTCCAATGCTTACAACTTCGTTGCGGAAAAAGTTTCTGGTTAGTATGAAACATACATCTCGCAAGAAAAACTGAAAATATCTTTTTTTCTATCTTAAATAGAGGTAACAAGTGGCGCATCGTACGAAGCTCACAAAGAAAAAGCGAAAGATTCCGATAATACAATCGGTGAACGTGTCGGTGCTGGTATTTCCGCAGTGGGTGACAAAATCGAAGAAAAATCACACAAAGCCAAAGCTGAAGCACACAAAGAAGCTTTGTAAATTCGATTCCACGGAATACGAACCATATCTTGTATCTCAGATATAGCCTCATATTGTTTTATATTTGATGTAACGTTTTTGTTTGCAATATTCAAGCAACTTTTACTCAGAGAAATAAACTGATTATACAGAAACATAAAATCTTGTACTCGTGCATCTACACGTGACGTATTGTATTCGAAGGACGAAAGACGACTCAGTTTCGTTGTACTCACAGAGAAAGGAGAAAAGAGAACAAGAAGAAGAAAAAAAGAAACTTTACGTCGATATTGTTTTACCGTTTTCAAGGAAAAGTATTTTGTATTTTACTGCGCAGATGTTTACTAATGAGTACACAATGTGATGCAAATGGATGTGTGATTCACATCTAAAGTGTTTTGAGTGTATCAAACTAACTCATTCAGTAAATCAGAACGTTTGATTTCAGTGAAATGTGACAAACTACGATCTAAAAATCGCTTTCAATATGTTTACAGGTTTTGTCGAGAAATAGCAAAATTTATTCTGTATTGTAAAGAAACGAAGCAAGAAGCAATGGCTTTTGGTATTTAGAAGCAAAATAAAAGCATGTCGACGATATCTGAATATAATCTGTATCTAGACTCGATTCCAGTAAAGCTGATGTCCAACAGTTCCAAAGGGTTGGGTTTCAATAGGTAAAAGTTCTTCAATATCTTCCTCTTCATTTTCTTGCCGTTTTTTACTCTCAGAAGGTTTGTCGGCTCTTTTTGTATTGTTGAAGCCCACGGATTTGATTTCTTCTTTAACGAGAACTTTCGAAGGTTCTTTCAAACTACTTTTCTTCTTCTTTAGTTTAACTGGCTGAGGCTTCTCGCGTATTATTTCGTCCGGACTTGACGAACGACGGTGCGATGGTTCGTTTTCAAGCGAATTTCGTCGAGATTTTAGACTTAGACATTCATTAATTAAAGTCCGTGTTGAGTCAGATAACGAGGCATTTTTCTCCAAACATAATTCCTCCAATCTGACGGGATATTTCGTGAGTAAACTAAGGAATAATTTACCAGCATATTCACTCAATTGACAACTTTCTAAATCCAAATGTGTCAAGGTTTGACTTGAAAAACAAAGCGAAGAGAATAAATGACATATTGAAGGCAAAACTATTTACTTTGATGCAACAATCATACTAAGCATGGTTGCAATCGTATCATCAATGACGTTGTAATCAAGAGCTAATCGACGGATCCTTGAATTGTAAGAAATGGAAAAGAACAGTTCTGTCCAGCCAGCATTTGTGATCGATTGACTCGCGCTTAGTATTAATTCTTCCAGACCTATTGAAGAAAAAGGAAACTTGATGTGATAAATCACTTCCTTTGTTGAAAATAATGTACCTGATCGTTTTTCATTCGGAACTATTAATGAGCATATATTAACAATCGATTTATTCGTCAGTTTGTTATCTCCGATATCCAATAATGTTAATTTTGGACAATATTCATATAGAATTCTATAGAGTTGAGAAAACATCTCATCGGTGATATCGTTTCCATGTATTCTAATGAAAGGTGAAAATAGAGGGATGGATTTACTCGCTTTCAATTTACCGTAGATTGATTAAGTTCGAACAGTTGCGTAGCATTTGAATAAATTTCTGAAATCGACTTTGTTCATTGATCATTTGAATGTTGAAAATCAGTGAAACGATCGTTCGATTTTTCTGTGATAAACTTTTCATTAATTGATCGAAATCACTAACAGAACAAGAACATGTATTCTTATCATCAGTATACTAAAAACTCAAATGAAAATTACGTTTCGAGGATTGAACATCGTCGGAATTCCAAAGATGTACAAACACTCGTATCAATCATTTCACAGAGACTAACAATTTGTTCATGGCGAAGTTTTTCTTCGATAAAGATTGTCTGCATATTTCTTCGAATACCTTGAGTAAGGTATTTACTTTTTAAAGATCGGTTGCTGTTTTCCTGTGAGTAAAAGAGAAAGTCTTGACAAGTAAATGCAGGTGGTGCTGCTACGGAGTTATGATTGGTCGCGATGATGACTCATTCCTTTTCTTAGTTTTTTCTCTCCCTCCCTTTGTATTAGATTACTGAACGTATTTAGCTGGATGATAAAACAAACGTTCTACTAATGAAGATTTGGAATACATTTTCTTTTTCTTATTTCTAGATGCCTGTTCATCGTATGTCTGTTGAATCAGCTGTACCGACAACAACTACAAATGAATTGACCGATGGAACTGTAAAATATCGAGAAAACTAAGTTCATTCCATTACGATTGTGTTTCTTTTTCTAGAAAACAGAAACAACAGATATGAATTTGTCTATTGAATACGACACACCACCGATTGACAGTCTACCGATGGATGAAGATGAAGAGGATGACGATGACGACGAAGTAGATTGAAATTTCTCGTTTGTCATTTGCATTGATTTTCTTTTTAGTATGAAAGCGATGGAGATGAACAAGAAATTGCATATAATCCAGCTTGTCATGTGTGTGGTCTGGCTTCATATACAACTCCATGTCAAGGCAAATGTCGTTATTATTTTCATCGCGAATGTGTCAATATCTTCGATGAACAGCAAACAGTTATTTGTCCCGATTGTTTAGCAAGTACATTGAATATGAGAATCTAACAGATGATTAGACGTTACTTTTTCGTCTCTCTCTCTTTCTTTTTCAAACTTCAAGATCGTTTACTGTGTATGATATGTGAAAAACCGATTAAAGAAGATGAACTAACATGTGCATTCAATCAATGTAATCGAATATATCATTCTTCATGTTTAACGAATTCAAAATTAATGACATCACCGTCGCCCGGTGTTTACTATTGTCCACTTCATACTTGTGCAACATGTTGGTTACATAAACGACTTAATAGCAATATTGGTTGGTTACGAGCAAAACCGAAGTGATTTTCTATGGAATGTTTCTTTGCTTTTAGGTCATGTATTTACTTGTTTGTATTGTCCAGTAGCCTATCATGGCCATGAACGATGTCTGCCAGCTGGTTCATTGTCGCTCTCGTATTCTTCATCGATATGTTGTCCAAACCACTTGCCAGTCGAACGAAAACCGGCACGTTGTGCTGCTGCTCCCTATTGTTGCATATGTGAACAGATAACTCGAGGTACCGAATGCTTTATTTGTGTCGAATGTCCTGCAACAATTCATCAATCGTGTTTGCCGACGACGAACGAAGATGAAAAGCCAACAAGTTGGAAATGTGATTCATGTACAAGTAGCTTAAAGCCACTCTATGGCGATATATGTTGGATAAAAATGGGCAAATATCGGTAAGATTATTTCGTATCTGTCAAAAAGACGAATGTTTGTGGTTAGATGTTGGCCAAGTCGAATCTTACATGAGCGTCATGCGCCAGACAATCTTCTAGCTCAAGAACGTACTGTTGGCGAGTTTCTAATACAATTCTTTGGATCTAAAGAATTCTTCTGGGCTAACAAGCACCACTATCTACCTTTCGAAACTCGTTGCGTCAAAGGAATGGATTCTCGCGATTATCAACATACCGAACAAACTTTTAAAGATGGTAATCTTTCCTAGTCGTAGAATTGATAAGAAAAATTTGTTCACCCTGCTAGGTCTTCGAGAAGCAACACGTCTCTATACTCGTATCAAACAATTCTATGCGAATAACCCAGTGGAAAACTACGGTGAAGCAACAAAACTTGAAGAAATGACACTGGATGATGTTTATGATGAATTCGAAGACGACGACGATGATGATGACACAGACGAAGATTCAGTGGAAATGAACTCTGACGAATCGATCAACAATGAACACGAAAAGACATCAACAACAAACGGAAGATCAAAATTAATTGATCGAAGTGCCAATAAACATGGACAAATGCCTGTTTATAGACATATCAAAGTATTCACTTCGATTCTCTTCGGCACCTTTTCACATTGTTTTCCTTTTCATCAAGACTTTAAAACCGATTGGTGAAGCACAAATACTTCGATTACCATTATCAGAAATATCTCGTTGTGACTGTGATCCCAATAAACCAGATCCATGCAGTTCAGACGAACATTGTCTAAATCGAATGCTTAAATATGAATGTCATCCACACGTTTGTGCTGCTGGTAAGTGCACTCGAATAGATGAGTTCGAGGATTGAATGTAATGAAATTCAATCTAATTATCGTGAGGAAATAGGACTCGAGTCGTCTGCTAAATAATTAACAAAAAATTTTCTGGTGGAAACATGAGCATAAGCACTATGTTTTCAGTGAACTTTCGGACGATGACGACTTTCACCTATCAGTTCATTTATAGGAAAAAGTAAACTGTTAACGAGCTCTTTTCTGTATATTTAGGTGACAAATGCAAAAACCAGGTAAACACTTTGGTGAAATAATACATTGAATTTAACCTAATCGTTTTATTCTATTTCGAACCAATAGCGTTTCCAGAAACGTAAGTACAGAAGTGGGTCGGGAAATTGTATCCAAAGAGGAGTTCGTTTTGTATAGGTAATTATCCAGCTCAGCAAGTATTTTGGACAGCTGGTCGAGGATGGGGTTTAAGAGCATTAGTACCTATCAAAGAAGTAATATACACAATGAATGCTCTGCTAATCTCATTTTTCGATATGAAAAAATATAGGGCGAATTTGTCAATGAATATCTCGGAGAGTTGATAACTTATGAAGAAACTGAACGACGTGTTAAATTAGCTCGAAAGAATAACGTAAAAGACTTTTATTTTCTTGTTCTTGACAAAGATCGGTATGCTTATTTGTAATACGTGTTGAGGATGCCATTGCACGTGATTTTTACTAGGGTTATTGACGCCGGTCCACGTGGAAATCTCTCCCGATTTGCTAATCACAGCTGTGATCCAAATTTACGTACAGAAAAATGGAATATCAGCGGAGACCTACGTGTTGGTTTATTTGCCACACGAGCCATTGAAGCTGGTAAATATATCGTATAATAGAGACAAAGACGGCATACTCTTTTCTTCAATATAGGTGAAGAACTAACTTTTGAATATGGTGTTGAATCGGAATTTCGTGGTGACACAATATTTCATTGCCTTTGTGGAGCCGAAACATGCACCGGCTTTATGGGTCGCTCGAAAAAACTCGGCGGAGTAGATATCTCAGAAGAAATTTGAAACAGCTTCTTCATTACAGAAGATTATCATTTAGGTTTCATCTACAAATGATTTATCTTTATCATCAGCATCGAATTCCAACGGAACTGGAAACGGCCGACATAGTAATAAGAACCGTATACGCACATCAAATATAACCGGTGATCACGACGCTGACACCTGTTTTGGTTGTGGCTTGACAGGCCAATTAATAGCATGTCAAATGGCAAAATGCCCAAGAAAATTTCATCCTAAATGCGTAAAAGTCAAAGGACAATCATTTCGACATCGCTCGCCATCACGTACGTTCACTCACTAAAAATATCCTCTTGATCTACTTGTTCATATCATTGTTCGTTTTTTTTTCAGAAAAATGGATATGTCCATCACATCGTTGTGATATATGTGGTATTGATGCAACTATAGCTTGTGCAGATTGTTTAAGTTCATTTTGTGCTGAACATCAAATAGAAAATATGCGTGGTGCATATTGTCTACTTCACGGACAGGAATAATTATTCTCCATTTCTAACCAAAATTACATATATTTTCGTGTCTGTATGATCATTTATGTATGTCAGATGGGTTATATCTTTATCCCTTTCTTTCTTTTTGGATTGTATTATAAAAATAGACTGCAAGAATGAATATAAATTAGTTCAAATGTATTGAACACTTCTCAGTTAATCAAATACTTTTTAGAAGCGAATATTTCACTTAAAAACAAAGATTCCATTCCGAACACACTTAGCTTGATTATTAATCGTGCGTTAGATCTACGTCTACCGGAAGAACGCTACGAAATCTCATTGTCGTCTCGGACTAATAGAAAATCTTCTATTAATCTAAAATAATTCGACTAATCTCTCTATCAATTCATTTTCTATTCTTTCTGAAATCACTCGTAAGGGCTCAAGAAGATAATCCGTGATTTCATCATATAGAATTGTGCGGTCATGGTTGCTACACATAGGTTTCTTGGATAAATCACGTCAATGTGCTCATCAAACTTGAAAATATTTTGTCAATGAATAAATAGCGCTTTCTATTTTCGCCGCTGAATGCACAATATAAACGTAAATCGTTCAGAAACTATTCACGTTCATATTAATAGACGGATAGAAGGTTCAAAGCGTTGAGCCATTGTGCGATAATTATCATGCTTATAAAAAGAACAGGATTTACCGATTCTTTGTTTCCTATTCTTCTTCGGATGTTTCATTAAGCAAATGGTTTCTTTTATAGTTAGTAGAAGTTTCAAGACATGTTCTTTTTTACTCCTTCATTTCTTTGATAATATGCTTCTTAATTTCTTTAGAACTATTTGAGACTTGAAATGCAACAATTATAAACAGGAAACGGAAAAACAAAAGAAAACACATTAAAGATAAAAAACCTAAAGGAAAGAAAAAATGTGATGATGAGAGTGTTTTCTTACTGAAAATCTTAAGCCCAAGCTTAAAGCATCAACAATATGGTCTGTGATGTTCGTTTCTCCTTCTTCTTCTTCTTCTATTTCTTCTCGCTTCATCATCATCGTCCTCGTCGTCTTCTCCTTCTACTCTTTCTTTCTCATTGACATGATTCTACCGTTTTTCCGTCACATTATCATCGCTTTTCAAAATATTATGAGAAGTTCCGCTTTTACTCTTATGCGAATAGTTCCGTCAAAGTATATATCAACAACGGCAAGGTAAAAAAGAAAAGACGACATCCATAACATTGAGCTGACAGCATTGACATCAGTGTATAAAATAATATTAAAAAATAGAAAGAAAGAGATAGACGAGTGACAAAAAAGACCGAGAAGATTTTTTTTTCACTTGTTTAACAATCGCTCTAATTTTAAACATTTATTCGTATGGCTCTTCGAACACCCACAATTCGACGACCTAGTGGCAACGATGATGACGAAGAAATCGAAGAAACCGAAGACGATCTCATTGAGAACTATCGTTACTTAACGGAACGATGCGGTGCTTTGCGTTATTCTCCGACCACGAATGCTATCAGTTCCATTCAGCATGAAAAAGAGAAAGAAAAGCAGGTGAATCAATCGTCCTTCACCCGTCAGTACTCGTCTATTAGTGAAACGACGCATCATCGTAATCGAAATAAAAATCACGCGAATAACAACGAACTTGATCGTTCATTCTCTTCAGCAAGACAACGGTGCTCGCCATTTAATGATCTAAATAATAATAGTTCAACATACTCAACCGATTTGAGTCGAATACCTCCAACTATTTATTACAATGACGATGACGACGATGGACTTGGTAATGGTCAATCATTTTCCTTAGTGAAATTATTCGCACGTATGAAAGCACGTTTGAAACACGATCGACGTTACCGTTCGAAAACTTCGCATGAATTACTTTACGAAGAAGATCCTCAAGAATGGTATGAACTAACGAAAAACGTTCGAACTATTTTGACAAAAGCTTTGCTGCCCGACGGTGGCTACGATGCATTGACAAATCGTTCGAAAACTCATAGTCGGCAAGGTTCGTGTAGGAAAGCTCGCGAACACGATCCCGTTTTAAGCAAAGACTTTGAAGACGAAGACAAAATTACTATTGACATTGACGATGAATCGAACACAGAAGGTGATCCAGAATTTGATGAAATAATTTGGGAGAAGTTCTTAAAGTGTAATCGCGGTTTTAATTATCGACGTTGCGGAGTATGCAAAGCTATCGATCGACAATATTTCCAAGGACAATTAGTATTTTTCTATGGTGTAGCTAATAATATTCTAATCGACGAAAATTTAAAAGCGTCAGGATTGGGTTAAACTATGATTTGTATATTTTTTTCCACAAAACCGAAAATTGTATGTTTTTCATCTTCATAAACCTCCTGTTCAACACGAAGCACCTTATTCTGACAAAAAAACCTGATGACGCAGAGATCACACATTATGAATAGTTCATCATGGTATTCATTTTATTTCCAGAAGGTTTCTCATTTGTGTATTCTATTAGAAATAACTCGAACGGACAGAGTGTGAAAAGCCAAAAATTGTTTCAAATTCAAGAGACCATCTCATCTATAATTGAACCTTAAACAGTTCTTTTCAAAGAAAACTGAAGCACATCAGAGAAATAGACATTAGATCTTCTCGTATAATTAACAGACAACGTTTTTTATGAATTACTTGGTTGAAACCATAAGCAGATCACCTTGTCAAGATAATAACTCAATCGGCGATAGTTTCATGAAGCACTCAGAGCCATCTGATGAAATAGAGAAAGAATAGGAACAAGCTTTCAGTAACATTATATCTCATTTTTAGAGAATAAATACTCTATTTTATTAATGATATCTGCCACACGGGGAAATCTACTTTCCAAAAAAAGAAACGATCAGGTTTCTTGGCCAAGGTTTTTACAGTTCTATTTACTAATTCTCGTCTTAATATTTGGAGCAAAAGAATATATGTCTCTGTTTTTCCTCAAGGTACTACAATCACTCATTTAAATGAGATATGTCACTCATGGCTAATGAAAATGAATACTTGATGTGTATGTATATCCTGTAGCGCACTCTCTCGTCACTGGATGATTTATTGGCTAAAAGGACAAACGAGCGCTTTGTTTAACAAAGACAACCAGACCATAATGCGCACAGTTGATTCTTTCTTTATTGTCTATTATATATCATCAGACAGTACGTTCCAAAGTACTTAGAATAGAAAAAAGATTCGTCCAAGTAAGACATAAGATTTCGTTCGAAGGATGAATTTCAACCGGCAAGTTTTGCGACCAACACACAATCGACTTCCACTGCAAGATGTTTCATCACATCAGAAATATTTCTGTATAGACAAGACGAATCTTCATGTCCAACAAGAAAACCGATCAGTAGCAATAGCGAATACGAAAATCTCGGTCAAATCAAGACCAATTCTAACTGCAGCGCGTTTAATCAAATCTCAATTCAATGAAAATGACGTGGAAATGCTTATTTCACCCATGGTTGACAAAACCAATGTATTTACTGTTGAGCAGACAAAGGCCAAAACGCGTGAACAATGTGAAGAAGATTTGTATGAATTGTAAGTGTTAGTACAAAAGAACTTAGTTGGTAACAAAGTCCACAACGGTATTTACGTTGTTTAATAATAGATTTTTTCCAATAGGGACATTTTCTCTTGAAGTAACATAATCCAATGCCATTTCTTTTATGGAAAAAATTTAATACATGATAGTGAAGTAAATCCTGACTGGATTATACTTAAAAGATTCTACTTCTTTGTGACATGACAATGAATTTGAGATATTAAAATCTACTTTTAAACTTCTTCCATTACCCTAGATCTGATTATCGTCAATCAATATTCGACCATTTACGATCAGTAGAGCACGTCTATGCTCCAAGTAAGTGTCCCTCCTTCCACCTAATATTCCATCGGTATGTACGTTTGGCCTTTTAGAAATAAACTTCATGAAAAATCAGTCGGATGTGAATGCGAGTATGCGAACTGTTCTTGTCGACTGGCTTGTCGAAGTTACCGATGAATACAAACTGACGAATGACACACTTTTTCTCTGTGTACAGTATGTCGATCGATTTCTATCAACGGTCAATGTAACACGATCGAAACTACAATTGCTGGGTTAGTTGAAATCTTTCCATTGAGAAAAGAGAATCGCATTCGAAGCAAATTTAGGTACAACTTGCATGTATGTCGCAGCAAAATATGAAGAAATGTATCCACCAGCATTGGAAGAATTCTCATTCATTACGGACAATACCTATGACTGCAAACATATTCTCCGCATGGAACAAATCGTTATTAAAGTAGGCTTTGATCTGAAAAAGACAAACGAAATTGTCTGTTTTCTCCTTTGATATAGATGTTGAATTTTTCCCTTTCCGGGCCTACTTCATACACATTTCTCCAATATTATTTAACTCATTTAAAATCATCGACATCGTTTAATCTTGATGACGACACTCAACAATGTCTGATGTTGTTATCAACTTATTTATGCACTTTAACGCTTTTACATGATCGACCATTTTCCTCCTATCGTTCGTCATTAATCGCTGCAAGTTGTCTTGTCTTTGCTTTTCAATTGCTCAACCTCAAACCTATGTCTACGAGCACTCTGAAACAATTAACTACTTACACGGAATTCGATTTAAATGAATGTAAATTAGCATTGATACAGATACATTCTGAAACCTATCGTCAAGAGCAAACGACGTCAAGCGTACTTCGACGTTATCTAAATCCAAAGAATAACAAAGAACTTTATCAAAAACGTGTACATGACTTAATTCATCAATCGAAACTTGATGATGACGATGATGTTATTGATTTAACATTGGATGAAATTGATGAGAATGATGTGAGTATGGAACATCATCGCTAGAATTTGCTTTTGACATCGACAATATTCATGCGCACTTTATTTATTTGTTTCTCATCGTATTCAACTGTTTGTCTCTGAAAATTTTTCATTCGAATCTCATCAGAACTGACATAATGATCACAATTCTTTCTTATTTTATCAGAAAAAAATTCTTTATTTTGACTTCATTGATGTTGTTATTGTTCGTATCTTTCGCTCTGTTTCGTTATGTACGTGTTAGAAATGAATTGTTACTGTGGTTTCTAAACCCAATTCTATGCTCTCTGTTTGCTTCTTCTTTTTTTCTTGTTTATGAACTGAAAATTTTCTTTCTTTTTCTAATGTATACATGATTATTTGAAATGATTGAATATAGATATCTTCTATGAGAAGATAATTCATGACCTTTGTTTAGAACAGCATTTCATGTCGAACACCAAAAACAGACTCATTTTCTTGAATTCATGGTGGAATTTGTCAACGACAGGCGATCGAAGGAAGAGATCTATGCAAATATCATTTCGCATGAAATATCTAGCGCAAAATTTTTTATTCCGTATTCTGTCGGATGAAGTAGATAGTGCGGGGAAAAAAAACGAGTTAAATAATTGTATTCTTCGATTAGTGATTTGCCGAATGAAGTGGTACGAGTGCACTTAGACTTGTGCCAACCAAGTTATTGAAAACTAAGGAATCAGAAGCTGGTATATAATAGAAATTTGCTGATGTGGTTTTTGTTATTGTAATGTCGGGAGAAAGTTCTTTAGAAGTTGATGATTGCTGACTTGTGACATGAAATGAAGTCGAGAGAGGTACATTGACCTGGTTCGTTAGAAGATGATCGTAAGAGCCAGCTAGTGATGTTGGTACTAATCGTGTGATTGATAGATAGTTTGTCGAATGAGAGTGAGTATTGTTTGGTAATGATAAAGCCGATGGTTGAAATTCATCCGAATTCTCTCTCGATGGATGAGTTCTAAAAGATGAAATGAAGATCTTATGAAATATTTCATTAAACTTTACATGGTTAAATTTATTGGTGATCGTGTCGATAAGGAATTGAGACGAGATTGAGTTAGAGAGAACACACGGCGTTGGTGATGTTGGTGAATAGTTCTTATCTGACATCCTTCGATACATAAAGCTAAGTCATTAATAGTTTCTCCACAAAAGGTCGAAGCTGAACTCGTCTTTCGACTTAAAATATTATGCCATGAAGGAAATCGGTCGAATGATGTTGTCAAACTTTTGATTGATAGACGATGTTGATGAAGATGGCTTTGATAAGAAGATGTCTGTTCATCGATCGGAGTATGTTGAGTAACCTTCATTTGATTCAAATCGATATTGGAATCAATTGGTTGATGAGATGAATCAAAAGGATGCTTATTGAATATGCGTTTGTAAAATTTAGTAGAATGACTTCGTGTATGTGTTTTCGTTGACATTGCCTTCGTCTTCACATTTCCACGCACTGTTACAGATCGTATATATACAAAATCTATTCCAGTAATTTCATTCTACCTTTTCTCTCCTTCGCTCTATAATTTCTAGCACGGATAAGGTTAAATACATCTACTTGAATCTTCTGCTATATTCCACTAATGACACAAACGGGAGCATAATATGATTAGATTGGTCACACAAGTTTTCAAGTAAGCTAGCTGATGAATGAACGATTAGATCCTTGCAGTACAGACGACGTGATAATCATTTAGAACACAAATTCTGTAGAGAAATTTAAAGTTTATCTTTTGAGAAATACGACATCTGAAAAATACAGCTTTACGCGTTTACAAGAGATATAGTAAACCCTTTTTTCTCTGTATGAAGCGCTTCAGAGGCGAAAAAAGATTTATGATCTTGTCAAATACAGCTACAAGAGAAACTCTTACGCCTTGTAGATTCAAGCTGTTTTCTCGTTTATGAAGATCTCAAACAACGATTTTACCGTCGATAACTCCCTACTTTTTGTTACAGCAAAATATACACGATTGAATATCATCGGGATATCTGCCAAATATACTGAAAAATTTATTTCACCGAATGTATCGAATACAATCATAAAGAACGGACCAACCCAGAAGATGATGAATAGACATCTATTTACTGGACTTTATCATCTAATCGTATTTAGGAGACGATACGAGTGAGTGATTGTCAATGTGTAGTACTTCATTATCTTCGTTGTGAAAAACAGTTTTAGAAAATGATAGATGTTTAGGTGGTGCCCACCCTAGGCTTGGTTACACCGCTGGTTTTCAGGGCTTGTTTCTGGTGTTACTCTTCATTCCTTCTTACATTGTTATTGATTCAGGTAAAACCACAACAAAGTCCTAGCTCTCATGTAAAATATCCGCGAAAGAAATGGGTGACGTCTTTTCTTGTTGTGCTCACAAGTACACATCAACAATTGCATCAGTAATAGTCTCATGGCATTGACCATCTTTCAACCATGATGAGCAAGTTAAGTCAAGTAAAAAGCATTTGTAGCGAGATCTTCAATGCGCGAATATTACTAACTTATGCTAACACCCACTTTCTTTACTTTTCAAGGGATTTGAGCCCCTAACAAACTCGAAAAAATTATCTTCTTCAACATTAACATCCAATAAATCTCTTATAGTTTACACAAATACCGAAACTACTCTATACTAACACTCACTAAATTGAAAAATCTAAATCTTTGAAAGAACACATGGTGTTCTCCCATTGAGTATTAGGAACCTGAGTGAACATTCAGGTGAGATTCAAAACGGTCTCAAATTAGTGCACCAAAGTAGACAAGAACTTTCATATTTGTGCTATGATATACACTCTCTCTTGAGTCATTGAACTACTATGGTGTCATCCATGTCTTGAGAAAGATACGGGTACTTGTTATGATGCTTCGAAGTTTTGCCAATCAAAACCATATCGAGCAGAATGTGAAAGAAAGGTGGAGTCCTGTAACGATGGCTTTACCGATTTGTACGTCACTCTTGTGAGGATAAAGATTTTAGTATGTTTAATAACCATTTCAGTAATTTACTATCATTGGAAATAACATAACACACGTTTTCGAGCATAAGAAAAATCAAAAAGATTAGGATAGCTTTTCATTCCACGAAATGGATCGTCTGTCGACTTATGCCATAACTTTATTGAAATTCTTGATTTTGTCTGGTCAAAATCAGAAGTGCAGCGTTACTCTTAACAACTCATTCAATCAAAATCGATGGAATCCAATCTTGTCCACAAAATATACATTAAGAAACATGTCATAAGGTTTATGTATGTCATTGGCAAACATTGTGTCATCAGATCCGGTCGTTCTTTCGCTGATTGATAGTAAATCGTTTTTAAACAATAACCAACATCTTTTGTGTACCATTTATATAAGTGAACATTGAATTTTTGAGAAAAATTCTACGCTTTAATATTCTTTGTCAATCAATAAATGAATTCAAGTCCAAAAAAGAGTGGCATCCTCTTTAGTTCTTTCACGTGCTTATCAATCGCTTGATAGGCTAAGTTTTTTAAGTCCAACTTCAACAACTGTGATGTGAATGTAAAAAACTAGAGAAAAATCAAAGTCCTTGGTCGGTTTGCGTTCAATGATAGCAACCGTTGTTAATAGAAAAAGATATATTTGAACAGAGTAACTGTCTATACATAACTCTGTCGCCTGAGTTCCAGCTTGATTATCATTATATTTAGTTTTAGTTTACTCTTGGTCAACATAGCTAGGAAAAAAGATAATCAATATCAGTAAAAAATTCATACTCAAACAACGAAAATACACAGAAAGACACACGAAATTACATTTCTTTGGCATTGCAATGTAAACATTTATCTTTGTAGTATTCTTCAACACACACTCGAATTGTTTGACTATGATATATAAATGAACCTGCCGCAACTGACCGTATTAGGAGAGTTTCATTGCGTAGTTCATCGAGAATCTTTTGTCGGACAGTCACATCGCTTTCTAATTCAATCAATTGATCAACGGTGAGCTCAGGCTGGTTTAATAAACCACAGAGAACATTGAATAAGAAAGTTTGCTCCTGCGTCGTCGCTCGGCACTTGATTTTTTCAATCCGACGTGCGGTATCTTGTAAAGTTGAGCGTCGAATAACTGGAAAACAGAAGCATGCTCATGATTTCTTTTCCTGTTCTTCATAAGAAAAGACTTTACCTTCGAATGGAACACCACTATCTAACTTTGATGCAGCATTTTGTAAACTTTTTATTCGTCCACCGAAAAGATCGTAAATAGATTGTGCCATGTCTTTGGAAAGACCTCGTTTCTCGATTAGATAAGTCATTGCTTCGTCCTTCGTCAGATCAGATATTTCGATGAAAGATGATGCTCGTGTGATACTACTTCGACCTAAACATACAGAGATTGAGATATAACGCATGTATGGGTGAAAAGAATGTGCTCTGTCAACCTTCCATCTGCTCTGGTGCATTTCCAACGGAAGTAATAAAGACGGTAATCCACGCTGAATCATCAATTGCTGTTTTGGCAGTGTCTTGTAATATTTCTAGCATTTTTGGATCTTTGTTTGCAAGTGAATCACAGCTATCAAAGATTAATACAGGTACAGATCCGTATTTCTTCTTGTAATTGAGTGCATATTTTTCAAAAGTTTGCAGCACACGTTCCCAACTAGCTTCCTTTCCTGAAAAGCAAATACGCATGGAGAAACTCATTTCGTCGGGAATGAAGTCATACCGTCATCGGGAGGTGAACCAAACATTTTCGATTCAATCCATGTTGATAGACGAATATGCTCTTTAAAATTAAATCGTATGGCTCGAGCAAATGCAAAACCAAATTTTTCAACATTAGATGGAACTAAAAAAATAATACATAAATTTGAACATATCTTCATTCAGATATCAATCAACCATCGACATAAACAACACCAGGCCCAACCTCTCGTGCTGCTTGTCGAATCAATGTTGATTTTCTAAATTTTACAGTCAGAAGAAATCGTATGGCTTAGCAATTCCTCTTACCCAACTCCATGTTCACCAAGTACAATATAATACGAGGAAACTAGTTTATCAGGAGCAGGTGTGACAATTTTTATCAATTGATCTAATAAAGTTCTTCTTTCTAACAATTGCTCTTCTTTAAATTTGAAATTCGGACATGAACCATTACTAAATGTATGTTTTATCTCGTAATCATTTTTGACTTGCTCATATATGACATAGCCAACTCCAGCAACAATCTAGTATAAAGAAAGAGGATTTCGAAGGCAATAGAAAATGAGATGGTATTTACTAGAATGGCAATTGAATTAATTTGAGACGGAAAAAACTTTTTGACAATCTTTTCGACAAACGATAAACGTTCCCATTCGGCTTTTTCACGTGCTTTACGAGCAGCTGTTGCTTCGACAACAGCTTTTAACTCATTTCCATCATCGGCTTCTTCGGTAGGTGCCTTTCTAACTTCAGATATTTCGAGTTTGTTTTTGTGTGCATGTGCTAAAGTTCGATAAATTGATTGATTAATCGTCTTAGAGTTTACTTGTACACGAGGCAGAATAAGCCTTTTGACGCTCGAAAAAACGTGCCGCAGATACATTATATCATAGATAGTACTTAGAGAATTTTGTTTGTACAATTGGCATCAGCAGTATGTATGTATGTTATACAATGCCAAGCCTATTGGTTTTCTCGTACCCAACAAGACTGATTTGCCAAGAATATTAGCAGTGACATCTTTTCAGAACAATAGTTTCATGAGAGAATTTTACTAAGATAGTTAGAGTCAAACATTTTGATCAAGTCGCACTCATATACCTTTGGAATGACACTGCATCGCACAATCGATTACCACTACGCGGCCTCAAAATTATATTTAAATACGAGTGTATACATGCGCTCCTTTTCTTATCTGATATCATTTTATGATAGTCATTTTACGTGACCTTAGAGTTAACTCAGTCCGCTAGTATGTGTCTTACATACTCAAAAATATCTTTACATTATCTTACGATAGCTAAGTGCGACTGAAAAAGTACATCAACGCTAATTTACTGATCGTCTTGTTTGAGTTATTCTCGCTTGGAAATGATCCCTGATTACGATCGACCGATAGTCGGTGAGATCAAAGCATAATTTCACGTTTTCACTTTGTTATCTTATCGATCAATTGCGAGAATGTTACCTTGTTGATTTGTTTCTCCAAGTCAACTGGTCAAAGTGCACGAATTTTCTCTCTCTTTACCATGGTCAACAACGTGATCTCTACATATTTGTTCCTTATCATAGTTAGGATAAAAGTTTTTACCCTAGCAATATATTTTATCACCACGCGTTCGCAGTGTGCCTCGTACCTTACTAAGCCGACCATTAACGTTTAATGAATCTTTATCATCGAAAATAAACAGCCTTCGACAAATCTTCATATCTGGGAGTATTTAAATGAATGATACTTTCATTTCACTTCATTTACATACTTTCACATCACTCGCTCAACAATTAAAGCATTCAACATGCCGTCGGACTACGTTGATCGTGTCATTGAACGTCTTAGGAAGAAAAATACGGATGAAAAAGAATTTCTCGAAGTTGCTGAAGAAGTACTGAAAAGTCTTCGACCAGTTGTGAAAAAACATCCTGAATACGAAAAAATGGCCTTGCTCGAACGTCTCACAGAACCAGAACGTGTTATTATCTTTCGTGTACCATGGGAAGATGATAATGGTCAAATCCAAGTCAATCGTGGTTACCGTGTTCAATTCAATGGTGCTATTGGACCATACAAAGGTGGATTGCGTTTTCACCCATCGGTATACTTGGGTATCATTAAATTTTTGGGTTTTGAACAAATTTTGAAAAATTCATTAACCGGTTTGCCAATTGGAGGTAGGAAAAGATTAAAAAAAAGAGGCGACGATTGAATTCAACTTTCTTGTTTTTCTTTTCAGGTGGCAAAGGTGGTTCAGATTTTGATCCGCAAGGAAAATCAGATGCTGAGGTCCTTCGATTTTGTCAAAGTTTCATGAGCGAACTTTATCGACACATTGGACCTGATATTGATGTACCTGCTGGTGACATTGGTGTTGGTGGCCGCGAAATTGGTTTTATGTACGGACAATACCGTCGAATTCGTGGCGCTTTCGAAAACGGTGTCTTGACTGGCAAAGGTCTAACCTACGGTGGTAGTCATATTCGAAGTGAAGCTACAGGTTTCGGTGCAATGTATTACGCTGCTGAAGTATGTGAAACTAATCTATTGTCTTTCTAGAGTTTTAATCTTGACTTTATATTTCCAAGGTTTTGAAACATCAAGGTGATAGCTTACAAGGCAAAACTATCGTTTTATCCGGGTATGGAAACGTAGCATGGGGCGTTTGTATCAAAGCCCGTGATCTCGGCTCAAAAGTCATCTCTATTTCCGGTCGAGATGGTTATATACATGATCCTGAAGGAATTGCTACTGATGAAAAAATTGACTTCCTCCTTCGCATTCGTGGCGAAAATAATGTTAAATTAGAAGATTATGCCAAGACATTCGGTGTGAAGTTCTATCCAAAAGAAAAACCATGGAAATTAAAAGGTGACATTGCTTTTCCATCGGCAACTGAAAATGAAATCGATATCGAAGAAGCGAAAGAATTAACCAAGAATGGTATTAAATATGTTTTTGAAGGTCAGTCACTATCGATTTTTCTTCGTACGAAATATGGTTGTTTTCTTGCATTCAGGAGCCAATTTCCCAACAACACCTGAAGCTATGGAATATTTCAAGCAGAATGGTGTTATTTTAGGTCCAGCTATTGCCGCCAATGCAGGTTTGCTATTGAATTGTATAGCATACGTCATTGACTGTGTTAATTTGAAGGTGGTGTGGCCGTTTCCGAACTTGAAATGACTCAAAATTCTTCCCGTTTATTATGGACAAAAGAAAAAGTTGACGCCAAATTGAAAGAAATCATGATCAACATCCATGCGAAATCCAAAGAAGCTGCAGAAAAGTATGGTCTCGGCTATGATCTTGTTGCTGGTGCAAACATTGCTGGATTTGAAAAAGTTGCTGACGCTATGATTGCTCAAGGTTCATATTAACAAGAAACTAAATACAAAAACTGTCTCCTTTGCATGTAGTATACAATTCATCGTTTATTTCTTTTTCCTTTTTCTTTTCGATTGTACTATTGAGTTAAAACTATTAATAAATTAATATGTAGTTCAGTATTAGATACAAAACAAAATGTTCATTCATTGGAAAAAAACACGAACATTCTTCGGGTTAATAGAATTCAGCTGCGCAATAACAGTGTAACTTATCAAACATTAAGCCCGAAAGATAAGAAAAGAGAAGAGTATTTTTTCTGCGTAGTTTTTCTATCACAACAACCTTTCGGTATCTTCGCAAACTAGATACACTTGACCCCGGCACATGAGCACAATCAACTTTTGTGCCTCATCGTATGCTCACTGGTTCTTTAGACATTGACGTTGAGGTATCGCAATTGGTCGTTCGACGGTATTGAAGATAACCGTACTTTTTTGATAAAAATGTTTCATATGCAAAAGAGGAGTATTTGTGAATGTGTGAATTTTTCTCACCGGTACGATGATCACGAAAATGAACTACCGATTTACTAAATAATAGGTAGTTCTTCATAATGTTGACACGTCGAAACTACTCAAGTTATTGTTGATAAATATCGCATTACTCTGAAAAATTGGTTCACGCTTAATCGAAACAGGCGTTTTCCAGGTGGTTGCATCAATGTTGAAAACACGTTCATAAGATAATTTCCGAATGACTCATGGAGAATCTTGTCTAACCGTTAAAAAAACTGAGATAGTTTGTTAACCCTGCTGCACTTTCTTTACTCGCTTCTTAAACGATCTGTACACTAGTGTCCTCTTCGTCAAATGAAAGTCTTCTATTGATTCATTCTTATTAGCCAATACCGGCGACGTTGTGTTGAAATACTTTTTTTTATTATCCATCTATTTTCGTTCCATTCACAATTCATTGTAATTTGCTGTTGTTGTTGTAAAAACAATGACTGTGGAAAACGGCTCGTCACCACCATCAACATCAGACACCACAACGGCGACGGCCAAACTACTTTTTGTAAGCAACTTATCTTCAAAATAGTTCTTCTTGTTCATTGTATATTTTCCTTAGGATGAAACGGATATACTGTACGAAGAAGATTGCTTACGGAATCAGTATTCAGCGAAAACTTGGTTTCGTTACATCGATCATATCAAAGATGGTCCCAATGAAAAAATCAATCTTGTTTATGAACGTGCGTTACGTGAATTACCGGGAAGGTAAAAAAAAACGTTTTTAGTGTCGATATTCCTTGATAAATTTCATTTTCTTTTCATTAGCTACAAATTATGGCATAATTATTTAAAACTTCGACGAAAACAAGTTCGATCGAAATGTATCATTGATCCAGCTTATGAAGAAGTGAACAACACTTTCGAACGATCGCTTGTCTTCATGCATAAGGTATGTCCTCACATCTCTTCTTTCATTTGCCATCGAACATTTTATTCGCATAGATGCCACGCATTTGGCTTGATTATTGTCAGCTTCTAATGGATCAATGTAAAATAACTCGTACACGTCGTGTGTTCGATCGAGCCATACGAGCATTGCCCGTCACTCAACACAATCGTATATGGCCATTGTATATCAAATTTGTCACTACTTATCCGGAAATATCAGAAACAGCAACACGAGTATTCAAACGATACCTCAAAGTAAGATGAAAGACGTATGTTTAACAATGCTTACAGTTTGATTTAGTTACAACCTGAATGTGCGGAAGAATTCATTGATTATTTGAGTGAAATTGGCAATCTGGATGAATGCGCTAAATATTATGTTGAAGTATTAAATCGAGAAAATTTTGTCTCGAGACAAGGAAAAACAACACATCAGGTAAAATCTTTTCACATGCTTTTCTTTAATGAATATCATTTCCTTCTCTATAGTTATGGAACGAATTGTGTGAATTAGTATCAAAAAATCCAACGAAGATCAAATCGGTTCCTGTCGAAGCCATTATTCGGCAAGGTATTTTGAAATATAAAGATCAAGTTGGTCAACTATGGACATCACTTGCAGACTACTATATTCGTAGCGGTTGTTTTGAAAAAGTATTTCGAAAACCAGCTTATTGAAGTGCATTCAATGCCTGTTTTTTTTCTAGGCTCGTGATATATTCGAAGAAGCGATCGAATCTGTACTTACTGTGCGTGATTTTACTCAAGTTTTCGATGCCTATGCACAATCAGAAGAAGGTCTGATTAGTGCTTTGATGAACAAATCCAACGACGATGACGAAGAAATAACTGAAGATGGTACGGTAACGACTTTTTGAAAGACAGAAATACTCATTCGAACATATTTCTTGCATTCTAGACGATCTGGAATTAGAACTTCGACTTGCACGTTTGGAATATCTCATGGATCGTCGTCCCTTGATGCTGAATAGTGTTTTACTTCGTCAAAATCCACATAATGTCAATGAATGGTTGAAACGCGTGAAATTATACGGTGAACAATATGACAAAGTCATTGAAACATTTACAACAGCTGTACAAACAGTTGATCCGAAAGTTTGCACGGGCAAATTGCAAGATTTATGGATTGCATTCGCTCAATTCTATGATAAATATCAACAACCCGATGAAGCAAGATATATTTATGACAAAGCAGTTAAGGTTAACTTTCGTAATGTTGACGATTTAGCTGCAGTTTGGTGTGCATGGTGCGAAATGGAATTACAACATGAAAGACCGAATGAAGCAATTAAATTAATGGAACGTGCCACTGTTTTACCAAGACATAAAGTCGATTATTATGATACGAATGAAACAGTTCAACTGCGATTACATAAAAGTCTTAAACTATGGTCATTCTATGTCGATTTAGAAGAATGTTATGGAACATTTCAAACATGTAAATCCGTCTATGATCGTATTCTGGATTTACGCATAGCAACGCCGCAAATTATTATGAACTATGGTCTCTATTTGGAAGAAAATAAATATTTCGAAGACGCTTTTCGTACGTACGAAAAAGGCATCGCATTATTCAAATGGCCGAATGTCTATGATATATGGTTAACTTACCTATGTAAATTTGTCGAACGATATTCGGACGGTTCGAAATTAGAACGTGCACGAGATTTGTTTGAACAATGTCTCGAACATTGTCAGCCGAAATTTGCCAAGAATTTGTATCTGTTATATGCCAAATTAGAAGAACAGCATGGTCTGGATAGACGAGCATTGAAGATTTACGAACGCGCAACGAGTGCTGTTGAACCAAAAGAGAAAGAAGAGGTAAGAATTTCAATGGAAAAAGATGATAACTCTGAAATTTTCATTTTAGATGTTTAATATTTATATAAAACGATGCGGTGAAATGCAAGGTATAACAGCAACGCGTGAAATCTATGAAAAAGCCATCGAAGCCTTGGAAGAAGAACGCGCTGTTCGAGATATGTGCTTGCGTTATGCGGACTTGGAACGAAAATTAGGTGAAATTGATCGAGCCCGTGCTATCTATTCACACTGTTCACAAATGTGTGATCCACGAGTACGTAAACCTGAATACTTTCATATTTATACTCAGTCTGTTCTCGTACTTATTCAGGTCCATGGTGATTTTTGGCAAACATGGAAAGAGTTTGAAATCAAACATGGTAACGAAGATACTATGCGTGAAATGTTACGTATCAAACGATCAGTTCAAGCAACGTACAATGTTCAAGTTAATTATATGGCTGCACAAATGATGGCAACATCCATGGGAGATGATACACCGACAACTCAAGTAAATACAGATTTATCTTCGAGTGGAAAAAGAGCAAAAGCATCTCTTTTTGTTTTCTAGGTTAGTTAATAAAACATATGCGGATATTTCTGTTCCATGCGGTGTGTAATATTCTTGTTACGTGTTTACAAAAAATAAAATAAAAAACAAACAAACTATGACTATGTGAAGATAGATTTTGCTTTGAAATACTTATGTAAAGATCAAATCTGAATTCCAACGGTTAAAAGTGAATATTTCCTATCATAGAGACGAATTTGTACGTTTTAAAAATCACGTTTTACGCATATTTCGATCGGTTTGGTACGAATGAGAAGATTTTTTCCAAGACACATGAACGCGGTCCCTTAGCTCAGCTGGTTAGAGCGCCGTGCTAATAACGCGGAGGTCGTGAGTTCGATCCTCACAGGGACCACTTCTCTTTTTTTTTCTATTCTTCCATCGTCTCGTTTTTCCTCTTTCTCTTCCGCAAGCAAGCATTGTCTGCTTTGCATGTCTCGATAAGAAATTTCAACATACCAGTGACACTACTGCATACATTTTATTCTGTCTCTCGACTTTTTAAATCTGTTTGATCTTTCTTTAGAATCATTGACTGATGTTTGAAACTCTCACGCTTTCATTTAAGGCTTCTTAAATGGCAGTTAGATGAACACACACACACGTACTTGAATTTCTCGCACAATCATTAGTATCATTTGAGAAAGAACACCGTAAACAAATAGACAAACATTGATCTTATTTTCTAATTGTCACATTAAGCATTTTGTGATTGAACGAATGATGTCATCGACGTAAGGCTTCTATTTGTCTTTATGAACATGAGAACAACATTTCGAAGAGGAAAGAAACAACGAATGAGCTCAAGGTGTGAGAAAAAGGCTACAACGTTGAATTGATTCGATTAAAAACGGTTTCACTTTCCGTATGTGTTTTTTCATCTCATTCAATTTCATATGCAGATCATCATTGAAAAAAACGAACAACAATAGATCAATCAAGCTTAACTATAATGGAGTGGTCAATCGTCACTGATGCATGCAAATGCTGCCAAAGGGCTGATCATGCGCATTCAAATCTGTCTGCCATTTATTCACACAATTGAAAATTTCATTCGACAATGTTTTGCAGTTCATTTTGTAACTTATTGTTTCATCACATTTGGGAAAATTATGATAATTCTTTTTTCTTGTATTATCAAGGCGTAGTTCAATTTTCATGCCGCTTCTTCCGACGACAATTATATATCAATCATGTGCGAATGAAATCAAAAGAGAAAATCAATATCGATGTCTTATTGACAGTTGTACACTGTCATTTCTCTTTGTCAATTTATTTACATAAGAATCATTCTCGTGATTAAATAAAAAAGTCGATGTTCTAGACCAATATCGATTTGTTACTATTAATAGGTATTGGATTCGTCGGACGCGGAAGATCATCATCCAGCAGTTGAACGTTCGGTAGCATGGAATGAAGGATTGTTCGTAGATGTGCAGGAGAACAGTCAATTGTATTTCCGAAGATTTCACTTGGATTACGATGAAAATAAATTTGATTACACATGGCGATTTGGAGTTCATTTTCTGCAAAGAAGTGTTGATTTTTTCACATATGTCATTGATGATGCATTCAATTTCGGTAAACTTACTTCTCGCCCATTGGGGAATTGGTTTCCTCTGATGTGTACTTGATTTCGTGGCAAATATTGAACTCTCGTCACTTTCGTCATCGAAATTCATATGCAAAATTGTCATGTCATAATTGTTCTGTGCGGGATAATCTTCGAACGGTTGGTTATTATCAAGCACAGGTTGAGCTCTAGGAAAAGACGATGATCAGTTGAATTGAATGCCTGAGGTGCATTGAAATTGAATGTTTACCTTGTGCGTAAGGAACGTTTCGTCTGATGATGACGATGTTGTTGTTTTTTATTTTTCAATGCTTGAATACCCATTAATGGCGGTCGAACGTTTCGTGATGGAGAATTTTGCTGTATAATCGACGAAGATGAAGAAGAAGTTGGAGACTAGTTTTTGAAAGAAAAAGAAATCGAATTTAGACAACTTACAAGCAAAACAACGCATTGCACAAGTGATTTGAGCACTTTCATCTTCTCGAAAAACAAGCAAATGAACTGATTTAATTGATACAACTTGTTATTTTATATATATAAGGAAAAAAACAGCTCAGCAGGACTAGTCTGTATCGCATCTCCTAATCAGTCGTATCAACATTAATTGTCATCGAAGCAAGACTTTTGACAAGTACTCATGAGAATAGAGAAAAATAACATTGAATTTCTAATTAATACCAATTATACCTCGAGCAAATAACGAAGAAAACTTTTTCGAACATAATCAGGAATTCCGTGAAGTAAACCAGTCGACAGTGGTGTTGTTGCTCCAGTTGATGATGATGATGATGATGCAGGAGAAATTTTCTTCTTGAAGAGATTTTTTCCATGGAATAATTTCTTCAAACGTGATGATGGTTTGTTCGGTATCGATTTCGTATTGATGCGCGTCGAAAGAATTTCATGTGAACGCAGTTTCATGGCCTAAAAATATATGTGATCTAGAATATCAATTCATTTCAAGTAAAGAACATTCAACGAATGACCCATGCTTCCGTTCGAACGTTAGATTTTCTCCCGTTCTCTCATTAGCAATGCTATGTTGTCATTTTTCTCTCTTCGCTCTCTCTCTCTCTCTCTATTAAATGTCCAACGTATCATTAACACAGTATTAGACTTCATTCAATGATTGATTCGTGCCGAGAAAGAGAAGGAAAAAAACGAACCTAAATTCTAAAGATAGAAGGCTAATTGTACTAACTAGGAGAAGAAAAAAAAAGAGAAAGGCCACGCCTTTCGAGAAAAGCTTTAGATAGAAATGAAATAGTGTGAAAATATTTGATTGACGTACTCGTATTTCGCAGAAAAAGAAAATATTGAAAAAATGAATAGCCGCCAGGCAAAACCTATTACTGTTACTTACTGTTAGTTTAGGTGTATGCATATTGAATGAGAAGAAGAAATGAAATCGACGTATTTATATATATATACAAAGATCAACAATCTCATCCAACTGTTGCCGTCTTTTGTTTTGATTAACTGTCGCGTGTGAGATGACGCAGCTCAATAGTTCTTCTCTCTCGGAATAGATCACAAAAATTGATAGATCAAGTATTTGAACACTTATGTTTTTAGTGGTGACAGCTTGTCTTTGCTCTGCTTCAAAGATTTCTAACACTTACTCTTCGATCTTGTCCAATCATCTGGCTAAGTGAGATATAGACACAATGTGTCAACTGACAACTGTTGTTTATTCTGTACATCATCATCATCGTCGTCCTGGTTCTCTTCTTCTGTTGATTTAACCGACCGATCATTGGCAAGTGTTAATCGTGTGAGAAGATATTGATCTGTGCGTTCGATTGCATCAAACAGCGGAAATATGAACCTGCGATTCAATGATTTCAGTATACTTCCTTTTTTATCACTTCGATAAAATCGTTTTATATCCGATCGATCGGGAAAAAACGATTAATAATTCGATATGTTTATCTCTAAAGATCATTTCGATTTGAATTAAGACATGTTTAAATTGTAACAATCTCATTATCGACATTTCGTTTTTTTTCCTTAATTAATAGCTAGAAAACAAGCTCGTCACCCTACTGTGTGCGCGTGTTGCTTCCCTTTTCTGTCACTAACTCGACGAAGTTCAGTGCAGACTGAGGAATCTTTCATATGTCAATTATCTTTTGTCGAATTATAATTTCCACCTGTTATTCAGATAATTATTTGCTTTTGATCATTTGACAAGAGAAAAATAAACATAGGTTTTTGTTGCGCAGAAACTGATCGATGAATATATTTTCAACAGATTGACAAGAATACCACGGATTTGTTTGAAATTGATTTTCAATTGAGTAGCTAACATATGGTCGATTAGTATGGTTATCTCGATCTGTTTTTTATTGGTTCGGTATGTTTTTCTTCGCCAATGAGAGAAAGAAAAAGTGAACGATTGGTTGCGATGGTAATCGTTTTCAAATATTCATTTCATCTTTGCAAAATCATTTCTCGTTTTTATTCATGTCGAAAGCGAAAAAATATTCATTATGATCTTGAAAATCTTCTCATTGAACCATTATCCAGCGCATGAAAACACGAAAACAAGAAGCGAACTGATATCCTTGATAACTGAACCATTCACGTTACAACCGGCGGAAGAATGTTCTTCAAGTGTAACTGTCAATCATGAACAAGGAGATAAACAAGAGTATCGAAGGCGATTTGAGATACCGCGTGAATTGATCAGCTCTTTATCTTTTAGGACAGAGAATATTCAAATTTGTCGAATATGCTATTCAACAAGTGATCTTCAATCTTTAATTGCGCCTTGTCAATGCACGGGAACAATGGGTATCCTTCATCAAAATTGCCTTGAACGATGGCTTGAAATATCTAATACAACCAAATGCGAAATATGCCAACATGAATATGATGTAGTACGACATCCGAAATCGTTATTTTATGTATGAAATTTTTCGAAAAAGTTCATTCCACTCGGCAATATTCTTTCGTTCATGTAGTTTTTCGCCAATCCTATTCGTTCATCAGATGTTCGCTATTCGATCAACGATCTAATCATATTCTGTATATTAACCATCATTATCAGCTGGTTTGTCACGTTCCTTTAACAATGATATTTCATCCGAATAGTGTTTTCTTTTTTTTTCAGGTTATCAGTTCTGACTGTGTCAAAGATCCAAAGAGCGAATACATTTTACGATAAAATATCTTATATTCCACTCCTACTATCGATCATTTCTATTTATATTGTATGGTGCTGGGTAATGAATATGATCTATTCACCCTTTACATGCATAGATTTGTATTTCTCTAGGTTAGCTATCGTTATCATTTTCAAGTGATCAAAGAATGGCGTTCATTAAATCAACAGATTCGCCTTGTCAATAGGAAAAAATACAAAGTAGATTTATATCCACCGCATGGCGATCAACAACAATGTTCTCTTCTGCCAACAATTCAGTGTGACAATGGAGACAATCCTCTTTCGGAAGTATGCGTTTTGAAATGATAAAAATGCACCCATATTTCAAGAAAATCATGTTCGATGGGTTGAATGTCATGTACGACGAACATTTTCTATACATTTAAAATTGATAAATAATGCAATACATTAATTGAAGATTGACATGGGCTAACCAATTTCTTCTATTATTTCAAAAGGAAGAAAATACAGAAGACTATTCGAACAAATAGCTGATATTTGATGAGAATTTTGTTCCGATAATCAGCGCTTTTTCTTTCGGATGTTTCAATTCTTGATTGATTATAATAAAAAATCTATTTGAATTTGTTAACCCATAAATTTGATCTCACAAAATTCACGATCAGACTTACAATTAAAATGAATTAAATGTAGTGTTGTTCATAGTAAATGTCATCGATTTTCTCATAAAGTGAGAAAAAATGCAAGAAATCATTTTTCCATCTCGTTTTACTGCTCATCACGTCATAGATGGTTAGTGGAATGTATTTCGAAATAAAATTGAATCATTGTTGAAAAGAAAAAGAGAGAAGAACTGATTCATGGTCACATAAATACAAATATGAATAAAATGACAGAGGATATTAATAGAATAATCGTAAAAAAAAAGAATGGAACGGGAGAGAGAAAAATAAATTATAAGTGAAAGTATGAAATGTATGACAAGCCAAACGAAAGATTGCATAATGAATTATCACTGATACAAGTGATCAATGAGCAAAGGAGAAGAGAAAGAAGCAAAGAGTCAAGAAACCAAATGTCGGGTTTCTATAAAACAAGAAAAAGAGTCAAATGTTCATTATGTATGTATGTGTTTTCTTGTATCAAAAATAGAAAGAAAAATTCGATGATAGATTTGATATGATTGAAGAATTTAAGTAAACGTTTCTTCGCGTGGTAAAGCTGGTTCAAGATTTGGAATAACCGGAGACACGCCATTTAGCTCTTGATCGTTATTAGCAAAAGATCCATGATTCATTGTATGATGATATGGACTCGGATGAGAATCCGATCGAAGTCGTTGCGGCGGCGCAGGAGTAAGTAGAGCAACTGAGGTCTTCTTTTGCATATCGACAGCAGGTAATTTATTCACATCGATTCTGCCCTTGTAAATAACACCATCATGACCTTTTATATCAACTTCATTTCTACAAAAAAAGAAAGAAACATTTCAGTTCTTAACTGATTCGTTTTTGTCGGTTAGTTACTTAGCGACAAGTCCTTCTTCTGATACCGTTGGTCTAAAAACAAGAATGAAGTAAAATGAACACGAGACAAACAACTCCAATTATTACTGTGTTTTGATTTGACGCTTAAATGGTAATGTTGTTGTATGTGAACCACCACATTGTCGAACAGTTGCGTATACGTCTGCCACACCGCCGCCGAGGTCATTGCTAAACTGCTGACTAGAATGGAGTTTAGAAAACAATTCAATAGATCTTGCATTGAAGGTAAAGAAGCGAACCTCTTTTGAAATTGGCGAATTTGGTCCAGTTCGTAGGTGGTGTATGGTCGGGGTGACTGGATGGGACGCATACCCAGATTTGCTGGAAGACTCGGCTGTTGTCTACATGTGAGAAAAGAAAACAAATTCGTTGGATGAAAGTCAATTCGAAATGCAAGAAAAATGAATTCAATCATAACAAACGACACGAACGGGTGTGGTTGAACATCAATGGGACGATCACAACTGATGCAATGAAAACGAATAAGCGGCTTTCGTAAACCAGCTGCTTCATCTTCAGACATAATAGGTACGTGTTGATGTTGTTGTTGAGCGGGTTGTGGATCTTTCTTCAAAAGCACAAAAACATGAAACAAATACAGACAACGAAGAAACAAGAAAACAAATTCTATTCTAGATTCTTTCGCATTGTGCAGAGACAATATACCACAGGACAAAACTGAACTTGTTGACTTCGTGAGATGCAAGTACTTACCGCTAATCTCTTTAATTTCTTCAATTGTTTCTCCAGATATTCACGTAAAGCATCGAGTTCAGAACGATTGATTTTACCATCAATATCAGTATTCATTTTGTTTAAATCTTGTTTTTGAATATCTTCCTAAAATGAAGACAATCGCACATCTACGGTTTGATTTTGCGTTCGATTACATACGTGAACGTTGAATTTCTGCATGCAATCATTGATATTTTGCGATAGTTCATTGCAAGCAGAGTTGAAATCTTTCTTCAGAACACGATTATCCAAGTCGCGTTTATCAGCTTTCTGTCAATGAATAAGCAAATAAGTAAGACTTTCTAAATTCCAATTTACTTTATCAAGTTCATTGTTAACATAAGTTTTATCCGCTTTATTTTGTTCTAATTGTTCAATTAGCTTCTTCAATTTCTACACAAAGAGTAATACATGACGATCATTAATTTGATAAGTACAAATTCATTTGAAAATTACCTCAATATCTTGTGAAGATAGATTTCCTTTATTAACCAAGTCTTGAACAAGTTTTTTCAATCGATCGAGATCTTCACGCAGACGTTGTAGAGCCGTTCGAAAATCGGCAATGTCTTCTGAATGATCCGATCGTTGTCCAGCCTATTAATACACCAATCTTTTTCCTTCAATCAAGACATATTAATGTCATTCCGAACCTGTGGTTGTTCTTCTCGGATGATCACTGGTGCTACAGGTACCGCTGGTGCCTAGAGAAGAAAAGTCAACGTGATAAATCAGCGTTTGAACATATTTTTAATAAAAAATTTTAGTCGACAGTTCTTGAAGCATGTTGTGAACTTCCGAAATGTACATATTTACATAGAAATCTAATGCAAATAGAGCACATATCGATGATGAATAGAAATGATATAGTGTTCGTGTGGCAGTAGGAAGAGAACATTTTTCTTTTAAATTGGATCAATGTTTGACATTGACTAGTAAATGTGTGACCATCTGGTATACCTTTCTTTATCTCGAGTGTGTCGGCATATTTATTGTTAGTTCAGGTAACTAGCCTAATGACAACGATGATAAAGGTGTTTTCCTCGTGCTTTGCTTACTATCTTTCTCTCTCTCTCTCTCGCTCTCTTTTTCACAGAAACATTCTACACTTTTTTCTTCATTTCATTTTAGGATAAATCGCAGTCAGTTGGATTTCTTCGAGATGTTCAACTACATCTAACAGTGTAGAGTCGTGTCGTGAAGACCAGCATGATTCGTTGGTATAATCAATTCGTATTATGCTGAGATTTTACGATATGAAATACACTTTCGTTGCTATTGTCTTCTACTGTGTTTAAATAAACATTCCCTTCTATTTTTTCTCGTCTCTATCGTATGTATGAAAAATATTTTTGTCAATTAATACTCGTTTTCGTTTGATCTTACTGCATACTTTCATACAATCAACTACTTCAATGAGTGGAAAAAGTTCGACTTGAATGATTGCTATGGTATATAAAATAACATTGTCTTGAGGAGAAGAAGAAAAATCTGTGTTGAATGCTACTCACCGATGGTTCTTTCGAGAGAATATCTTGCAAATCACGTTCGAGTGCAGCAAGACGATCCAATAAATCTTTATGTTGATTTTTAAATGCTTCGAATTCATCACGATCAAGTTTTTTATTCTAAACGATTTCATTAGGTCTTAATTATTCCTTTCTGTCGGTTCTCACTTGTAATTCTTCTACTAATGCTCGTAATTGTTCATGACGATCATTCAATGTTCCTAAGAGCGCTAAAAGTTTGAGAAGTTTATCCGATGGTGCTCCGTGTCCTCCAGCAGATAGGTCCTTGACAAAGGAAAAGTATTATTCAATAAGATCAAATTGTTTTTCACTACCTTTCGTTTGTCGGACTAAAATGTAAATTACGGAGAAGGAGAAAAAAAAAGTTAAATTTGAATGATCAAACAAAAAAATATTTACTGTTTGGTTTTCAGTGAATCGTGTGTCTCGCGTTGAAGCCATACCGGTTGATGGTTGATGAGGAGATTTTTCTACGGATTCTCGACCACTATTAAATGCATCTTCTAATCGATCCCACGTGACGATATTAGCCGGATCGATTTGTGGTTCGTGGCTTTTCTTCGCTAGTTCATCAAAACGATCACGTAGTGATGCCTACCGCAGACAACATTCACACTATCGATATTCAAATCAATAATGAAACTTACTAATAAATTTTCTAGATTGCGAATTTTGTCATCTAAATTCTCCACATCTGATTTCTTGGCCTAGAAGGCAATTCATCGTTGTTCATATTTAAATAGAGAAATCCAAATACCCAATCGTGTTTTTCTTTGTTCAACGCATCGACAAGCCGTTTCAATTCATCAGTTGTTTGTTTGACGTTTTCATGCGATTCTTTCAAATCATTCATATCGGAAATAAGATCTTGAAGTAATGAAGCGAGCTAAACACAATAATCAATCAATCAATCAATCATATCTATATGACCATAGGATTGTCGTTGTTTCTTACTCGTGTTATTCCGTTTTCCGCCGATTCTAGACGTTTCTCCATTTGAGTATATTGCCAAACTTCAAGTATAGGCCCTTGACGAGTTGCTGCTTTGGAAGAACTTTTGTCATCAGATGTATGTTTAGGTATTTGTTTAGCACGATCGATAATTTCTGAGTTTGATGGTATTTCGTTTAGAGCATTTAATTGGGATTCAAAACGGGAAACTTTCTCTTCTAATGATGTCAAACGATCTTGACTTCGATCACGTTTTCTTCGTTGAATTTTTTGCTTATTTTCATTGTTCATATCGTCACTTTCGTCGACTTGACTCGTCGATCCATCTTGGTCAAATTTCACGTGTTGTCGCGGTGTTGTCGAAGTCGATAGCGCTTCTTTGATTGCGCGTTGATCATGATCGGTCATTGTCGGTTTATAATTGAATAAATTCATTGCTTTGAGCATTTGTAAAAGAAGAGTTTTTAACACATTGAAGTTCACAGCTCCTGCCTCAGGATCTCCCAAGGACAGGTAAACCAATTGTTCAAGTGAAACTGTATCAGTCATCTAAAAGAAACAACCTGTCGGTTAAGTTTGTCAAATGATTAGTTTGCATGAACAAATCTATTTTTATCTGGCACCTACCGGTTTTCTTCTCCTGTCAACAATAGAGACTGTTCTTTTCCTTTGTCTGCTCTATTTTATCCTCACTATTCGATCGGCATACACATGCATGTATATAGAAAAGTCAGTCAATGGCGCATGTAAGATGCACGTCGATTCTTGAAATAGAAATCATTTCTTTCAATAAGGTTTCTAATCATTCAGAACAAATGAAACGAACAGCGACATCGGAAAGTTGACAAAAGAAATGGAAGAGCTCACTCTTATTCTTTCTCAACTACCCCTTCATTTCATTTTCTCTCTCTCCCTCCCTCCCTCTCTTATTATTGTCGTCGACGCTTGTCTGACAAACGCCAAATCTTTCGTCAGTTTTTCTCTTTTTCTTTCTCGGCATTTTTCTTTTGCTCACCATTGTTACCTTTCCGAACGATATATATTTCGCATATTATAAGAGTCTTTCTTTCTTTTATTTATGCACTAAATTCACGATTATTTTACTTACAAAAAAAAAGAAAGAATAATCATCGTCGTGATGTTTGTTTGCTATGTAATAGAAGAACTCTTTTTTCCTTCCTCTAAGCAACCATTTGCTTTTACTTTGACCATGGTTTGATCCCTACAGATAAAGAACAACAAGTCGATACGAAAATATTTATCAACTAGCGCCATCAGTTAAATATTTTTGTGAACAGAAAACAAAGCATTTACCTGCGAGGGAAAATGCATTTCATGTTTTGTTTCATTCGACTGTTATGGAATCGTTTGATGCTATATCATGTGACAAGGCAGAGAATATTTTTCCTATATGTTAGAATTGTAAGTACACCGTGTCAATTCACGACCGAGAAAAGTTATTTACAATATTACGGTTACAATGACTTCAGCCTTCTTCTAAGACATGTCGAGGATGTCCATTTTGTCAAAAGTATGTGAAAAATTAAGATTGAGAAAGCTGTTCTTATTGTGTATAGATGTCATCCAGATTATAATTGATTCAAATCAAATGTTTGGGTTTTCACATATGATTTTCTCGTAATCACGACCACAACGAGCAAAATTTTAGCTGTATTTATGAATAAACAAAGTATGAGTGATTACAAACACATGATAATCAAAAAGAGAAAAACGCGCAGACAGTTTTTAGATGGTTTCAGCCATATCAAAATGAGCCATTAGTGATCGCCATTGGCTTCAATCCTAAAATGAAAAGAATCGATTTTTGATTCAATTGTTTTGCAATAGTTCTTACTCAACGTGATGATCATCTGTATGACCATTTGACGAGGCCACTTGGTGATTTTCGACACTTGGGCTACGTGAATTTCGTTTTCTAAAGAAGTTGATTTGTTTCATTGAAGTAAACCTATGCAAAATTTACCCATTCTTGTGACCTGGTGATCCATTCTCTGAGTGTGACGATGAACGACGCCGACGATGTTCAGTGTCTCGGTTGTATTTTTTGCTTTGTTGATCACGTCGACCATCTTTTATCATAAAATGAAAACACAGTTCGGTTACTCGTTTTTATAAACAAGTCTTTTTTACCTCGAGACGAAGTGGATCGTGAACGAGATCGTGTTCGTGATCTTGATTGTGAGCTTGGACTTCGTCGCCGATATTTTCTCTCAGAACGGCGATAGCCTGGGCTGCGCGATCGGCTTCTAAAGTAGAAAGAATTAATAACGAGCATCCAATCTGATATGTTCATTCCTAACTGTCGATTTCGATAGTCAATAACAGTTGACAAAAAAAAGGAATACATTCATCTTTATGAACTCATCTAAGAAAACGTATGTACTCTAATAACATACCTTTATCTCTTCTGTTTCTCTGCCAGAAAGCACGACTGAGTAGATATGATCGATCCACCCATCAGACACAAGAAATCAACAAACAGAATAGAAGGAAAAGAAGACAAAAAGAACGAAAGTCGAGCCCAAAACCAACTGATTTCATTTTCTTAATACGGATGCTTCTCCAACCAAATCATTCGTATCCACCATTAGTCATCAACAACAACTAGAAAAATAATCAAATTTATATCGAGAGAATATGAAACATGTCGAATATCATCTCTCGTACGGTATTAGTTATTCCGCCATCAAACGGTAGTTAGGAGAATTAATCATCTAGTTATTTCAAGCATGCTTTCTCTCAAATATAAATTTACCTTGAATAACGACGACGATTATACCGATCATCATTGCGACGACTACTATACGAATCTCGATAACCACGACGATATGGAGGTGATCGTGAACCTGACAGATGTAACAATGTATGTTTGTTTAAAGAACGTTTGTAGAACTTACGACGATAGGATGCATGAGCTCCTCGTCCGCCTGGATTTCTTGGACGGGCCCAACTCAATCCAATGCGTGAACCGTTGACAGCTCTAAAAAATGCGATAGTCAGTGAAAAAATAAACAATCATCGTCTGACTGATGGATATTCTACTTACTTTCCATCCAATTCTTTCATTGCACGCTCCCCGTCAGCTCGATGACGAAAATTGATGAATGCAAAACAGGGTGGATTCGAAGCGACCCAGACTTCGTTAAGTGGTCCAAAGGGGCGAAAAAGTTTTTCAATTTCTCGTCGACTAACACCCATGGCTAAATCTGATAAATGTAAACGACAGCCACCTTCACCATTCTAGAACACGTGAATCAAAACGCTGAATATTTGCAGATAGAAGTATTGTCATACCCAATCTCGTGCTTTGCCTGTTCGGCCTGAGCTTGATGATGAAAGTGATCCTGAACGTGAACGCGAATGTGAGCGTGATCTTGAATAGGAACGATCTCGACTACGACCCATATGTATCAAGACAAAAGAAACTAGTCAACAATCTAGAAGAACCAATCAAGACTAGTCAAACTGGATACAGTACACAGAAATAATCAAAGAAAAAAAGAATCTTTTTCTTCCATCAGAATAAACAAAAAACACATAGAGGAAAACATGGATGACGATTCGTGCTGTGTACAGACTCTTCGAAATATTGATTTCAATCAGATCGATCCTCATCATTGGCATATCTAAACAAAAACGACAAGATTGCTCGTAAGGAAATACGAAGTGAACTTTGTCTACCAACCTGCGGACAACATTGGCCGTTTGTTGTTGAGGCGAACGATCTCTGGACGACGGACGATTACGACGTGATCTTTTCAAACAAGACAAATATTAACACTATCTTGTTAAGTATTGCTGTGATTACTTTGGTGACGATGATCGGGATCTTTGTCGATAATCGCGTTTATTTGATTGGACTGGACTACGTGATCGTGAATAGCGTCGACGACGATCATAACTTCTACAGAAGCATCAGCTATACACATGTAACACAACTTCAAATGTTACCTGTCATCTTGCCGTGGTGAATAACGACGACGATCTCTAGATGAGCCATGATCTCCACCGCGAGAATATCGGTCACCACCATTATACCCACCACGACGACCACCCACAGTACGTTTTCGTGCATAGGAAACACCAATACGTGAGTTATCGATATTTCTAATAAAAGAAGAAGATAAAAATCAAAAGTTCTGGTGTTTTCATCAATCGCATAACTTACTTTCCATCCATGGCTTGTATAGCATCTTCAGCATCATTGCGATGTTTATAATTGACAAACGCAAAACATGGCGGATTTGTTGCCATCCAAACCTGAACAAGATGATTAGACTTGATTATCAGTTTTCTCGGATAATAGAAATATACTTCGTTGATTTTTCCGAATTTTCCAAAGATTTTCTCAATATCGCGTCGAGATGTGCGAGGATTCAGCGGTGAAATATGTAAGCGGTAACCTGATTCACCATCCCATTTTGGTGCATGTGCTGCGCGACCACTAACGAACAAAACGACATTAGTCTATGAAAATAATTGGAAAAAAAGCTTCTTACGATGATGTCGAGGATAATGAACGTGATCGAGATCCCGATCTTGATCTCGATTTCGATTTGGATGGTGATTTGGAACTTGCTCTATCATGACTGTGATTACGATTTTGGCTCATTGTGACCTTTTTCTCTGAACTAATTCAACGAAATTTTCTATCTAAAGAAGAGATTATGTGAATCAAAAAATTACGTTATTACAATATAATCGACTTGTTTCTATTGACTGACCGACTGACTAACACTGACACTGACGTTGACGTATAAGAAACAATAGTTTGCATTTTGCATCAATAGCAATCAATCAAAAGAAAAAAAGACGAATGGAGGTTAGCTGAAGATGCGTTTAGCAGTGACATCAAAATCTTCATGTCATGCGGAGTAATATGTGAATATTGTAAAAGATGAAACTTACTACAGTGGTTTTAAGTGCGTTGAAAAATTATAAAGCACCTATGAGATATGAAAAGAGGGAGCCACTGTACGGCATGAACTTGATAGAGTTAAATGTTATATGAAGTGATTGTAACAAGCAGCATATCAATCGTGCACTTATATATACGAAAGTATCTGCTATTCTGCAGTGAATTCAACGAATCGGAAATAACTCATTTTAGAAGATGCTTGTCAAAAAGCTCTTTTCTGGTATTAATTATAAAAATAAGCAAACAAATTTAGATCAATTGAGAAAGGACAGGCTCTCATGAAAACAATTTAACATGCACTATTTGTGAACGAAAGAAAGGAAAAAGAAGGAAGATTGTCGGAAGTTTCTATGTGTTTTGCTTTCTGTCTCCTTCTTTATTCATTAGAAAAGAATTTAATAAAGTGATCGTGATTGACAAACACTAACCGAGAAGAAAGAAAAACGTAAAGTATTCATTAAGTATTCTTTCCGTTTTCCATTCTCTTTTCTTATACTCGTTTACACAAGTTCACTTTGACGATCAATATCAATGCCTGAACTAGTACCTACCGATGCTCAAGACGCAGAACTTATTCAACATATCTTCTTCGGTAAATTGGATAATCTACCGAATCTTACTTCAAAAATTGTCCGAATCTTTACATCATCCACATTTACAGGTAGATGAAATCATAATCTCTTCTTTCAATAAAACTAAAAGCAAATTCGTGTAGATACAAGTATGGAACGCAACTCACTAATGCAGCATACATATCCAAAACTAAAAGAGTTTTGCCGAGAGAAGCATGGCCTAGAATTTCAAGTTGTAGATATGCGTTGGGGTGTGCGTGATGAAGCAACAGATGATCATAAAACAACCGAACTATGTATGCAGGAAATTGATAATTGTCAACGTGTTTCTGTTGGACCAAATTTTGTGGTAATACTAAATTTACTTTTGTTGAAATTTACGTTTGTCTTCATAGGTATTTCTCGGTCAAAAATATGGCTATCGACCGTTACCAACGAAAATCGAAGGGGCTGAATTTGCTCTGATTTTGTCCGTTTCGAATCCAGTCGATGCAAGATTACTTAAACAATGGTATAAACTTGATTCGAATAATATTCCAAATCTATACTGTTTACAACCCGTCAGTTCGATATTTACTAATTTCACAAATAAAGCGCATCCGCGTCTAATGGAGGAAGATCAAAGTCAATGGTGGGAAACCATGGGTAAACTGAATCGAGCTGTACGTAGTGCTGCTTTCGAACTTTTGAAAAAAGGCGACTTTTCCGCACAGGACAATCATCGATACAATTGGTCAGGTAGGTTCGTTTTGTCATGCAACAAGCGCAGGAAGCACTATTTGAAATTTAGTAACTGAACAAGAAGTTGTTCGTGGCATTCTGAATGCTAAAGACACAGTGGATCATACATTAGCCTTCTTCCGCCATATTGAAAATATTAACGTTGCTTTACTGCGTCATTCGATGAAATTTATCGATATCGCATCGAAGCAAATTGATGAAGAAGCACAAACTATGCTATCGGATTTACGTGATGTTCGCGTACGCTGATTTTCATTGGAACGAGACAAGCAATTTACATATTAATTTGTATTTTCCCTCTAGGTGCCAGCGACGTTACCAGCAAGTAGTATCATCCGCTATACAGTTCAATGGTCGGATGAAGATGGTTTAAATAAGAATGTGCATGCAGATTATTTGCAAGATTTCATTGACACATTCTATCGACGAATTGTCGAATTGATCGACCGTGGTGTTGGTCAACAAAAAAGTCTAGCTTCCAATCGGTAAGAGTTATCTGTTCATAATCTTTATCGAAAAATTTTTCGTGTTAGAGTTTACACGGAAATCCTTCAACAACTTCATGTTGTAAATAACTTCAGTCAAGATTTTCAAGGACGTTCGGACATTCTCGAACGTGTTCGGCACTATGTGCAAGGTTCTTCGAAACAACCGGTAGTTCTCTGGGGTGAGGGCGGTTGTGGTAAATCGAGTATGTTAGCAAAAATCGCGTCCGAATCGACTTCATGGTTCTTATCAAAAACTTGTACACCAGTACGGCTCGTTCGATTTCTCGGTACTACGCCAGATAGTTCATCGATTGGACCATTGCTGCGTAGTGTTTGTCAACAATTAAGCTATGTATATCAAGTACCAGATAATACAATTCCGGTTGAATTATCTCAATTAACCAATCACTTCAAGCGTCTATTAGAAAAAGCAACTGTCGACAAACCTTTATGTATCTTCTTCGATTCCTTAGATCAACTATCGTCTGCTGATGGCGCACATTCGATGTCTTGGCTGCCTCCAACTCTACCTAATCATGTCAAACTGGTGCGAGCATTCAGTTCTTGAAAATGATTCAGTTAGAATTTTCGCTTTTAGATTGTTTCAACATTACCTGGAATATTCAATATATTAAATACACTTCGGAATCTGATCGATAGTCGAGAAAACTTTGTTCAAGTATGAATTCGATCTTCCTTTCGTTGATCATTTATATTTTGCATAGATAGATTAAACCATTAGGAGAGGAATTGGGAAAAACAGTTCTCAAAGCATGGCTAGCTCGTCAACATCGAACGATCACCGATGTACAATGGTATTCTATTTCAATTACAAATTTTCTACGAATCCTTTTTTCAAAATGTCCCCTAGGTCGTTAGTTCATGAAAGACTTGCCGAATGTAATATTCCTTTATATGTCAAACTAGTGTTTGATGAGATCAAATTATGGAAATCATATACAAAAACCGAAGAAAAAGATTTAGCAAAATCAGTTTCAACTTCAATCAATAAACTGCTTGGCCGAATAGAGAATGCACATGGACATATTTTAGTTGGACATGCGTTATCTTATATCACCGCCTCGAAATCTGGCTTAAGCGAAGCAGAACTAGAAGATCTGATATCACTCGACGAAACAGTTTTGAATGATGTTTACCAATACCATCTACCACCTATACGACGGATTCCACCGCTATTATGGACTCGAATTCGAAATGATCTACCGAATTATCTAGTCGAAAGAGAAGCTGAAGGTGTTAGTGTTGTAAGTTGGTATCATCGACAATTTGCGGAAGGTAAGTGGATCATTAAACATGCATCGAATATGAACTTTGCTCTTGCGCTTCTCGTGTAGTCTCACATGAACGTTACTTAGCCAATCCAGAAGAGCGTCGTACATACCATTCACAAATGGCTGATTATTTTCTTGGCATCTGGGCTAGTCGTCCGAAGCCGTTTCAGTTTTCTGATCAACAGAAGCGTATGTTCAATCTAACATCAACTGACGGTGAAGCTGATCGTAAAGTGCCCGCTCAACCTCTGATATTCGCAGCAACAAATGCGTCGGCAACTACTAATACCTCGACAGTTCGTTACAATTTACGTAAACTAAGTGAACTGCCATTTCAATTAATCCGCGCACAACGCGTCGATGATCTCTATACTCATGTACTATTTAATTATGACTTCATTCATGCAAAACTATCATGTATGCCGTTGAATTTATGCATTTTCGATTATGAAAGTGCCTTAGAAGATGCCTATGAGAAAGAAGTACGAATAATAATATTGAAACAGATGAAAACATTGCATCTACTCTATTCTAGGTTAAATTAATGAGTGACGCACTTCGATTATCCAGTTCAGTTTTAGCTGCTGATCCAAACAATCTAGCTTGTCAAATCATTGGTCGTCTATTACCATTCTATACGACATGTCGAAAAATTGCGTCATTCATTGATCAATGCGAAAGCACTGGTCTGCAAGTGATGGGTCTCGTGCCAGCATATAATACGTTAGCATCACCTGGCGGGCCACTTGTCTACTCATTAGAAGCGCATCAATTTGCTGTTTATGGTCTCGAGGTAGTGTCTGCCGGTCAACATCTTCTGACAGTGTCGAATAAATTCATTGTATTCGATCTATCAAGCGGTGATATCGTACGAATTATTGACCCAAAAATTGAGGGGATTATGACATTCTTGTCAGTTGCACCTGATCAACGATATTGTGTCACGACTACCATCAGTAATCAGTATATAATTTGTAATCTTTTAACTGGAGAATTTATTCTACGCGACTTCCAAACTGGAGGCAGCACGACAAAGTCCACGAATAAAACTAGCGGACAACCAAGTGATCCACTGTTAGGTGCGGCTGCTAATAATACTCATTTTGCGATTTGGTCGGCGAAAATGTATCAAGTGTACAAAAATACAGGTAAAATGTATTGAAACTGGAAAAGTTTTTATCGTGCAAGTTTCGTTTCATATAGGAGAATTACTTACAACGCAAACAACGCGTTTTCAAATTATTCAAATCGAAGTATTGGACGGTCCAGAGGTCGAAATAGTCTGTCGATCGGAAGATGTCAAAGACGATCAAGATGTTGTTCGTGATCGTATGATCATCGATTATTCTTTTGTTCCACCTATCGACTATTCAGCAGATCCCATAGATAATAGTGAAAATAATCCACCGCGTTGTTTGACCGGTGGAAGAAAAAATATCCATAGCGCATTGGTATTAACACGAGATAAACGACGAATGTATACATGTTGCGAAATTAATGATAACAACGTTGAAATGTATTTGAACAAACCTCATCCAGTGAATTTTACAACTCAACGTGTATGGGCATTTGATCATCAGTTATATGAGAATAAGGATCGGTTAGTTTTCAGTTTTTTCCTTCCAAATTTGATGTTCTTCGTTCTATTCCTAGAGTATTTTCATTCATTTTAAGTAATGACGAAAATTATCTCATGGCCGTAGTATTCAAAGGTTTCAAAATCTTTTCATTCCGTTCCTATCTCTGGAAAACATGTCTTCTACCTGGAAGTGTACGAAATATCATGAGTGGAACAAAACGTTTAACCTATACCGCTGCATTCTCTCATGATAATCGGTAAGCTGTTAACGAACATGAAATTTTCAATGTGTAAAAACATAATGATTGTTTAGTTATTGTATAGCATGTGTTAAATCAACGGTTTATATATTTGAAATCGAATGGGGTGATTTAATTGCATCATTCGATTCTCATTTTGGTCGTATACTTGTTTTGAAATGCTTGTCAACTGCTACGGGTGGAAATAACTATATCATCACCACTGGTATGGACAAAACAACGAAAGTATGGAATCTGCAGAATGCTCGAGAAAAATCGATCACGATCGCGCAATTAGATAAAACTATTGAAATGATGCATATATCAACAGAAACACAAATGATTCTTGCTCAAACGCGTACACAATTTTGCTTATTCGACATGAGAAATGGAGCGATTCTTGGACAATTATCTGCAAATCCACATGGATCAATCTATCAGTGTAAGAGTTCTGTGTTTGATAGAAAACACAAAAATCAGTTGTTTGATACTCTTAAGGTACGACTATGTGCACAAACGGCTTATTTGCAGCATCAGCTGAGTCGGGCAATCTTGTGTTATGGGATATTGAGGAACGAAAGCCAAGTTTCGTCACGCCGCTTAAAAATATCTTTCAACTTCTTCTACATACAGCTGAAACAATGGTAAAACAAGAATTCATTTGACTAGCTAAAAGTTCAATTCTTCTTTTCATGACATCTAGGTGTTAGTTGTAACTTGTGAAGCAGCGGTAGCCGCTGTTCCTAGTGCATCGAGCAATGCACCTGCAAGCAACGCTTATCTTGGTCAAACCGTTCGAGCTACTTCATATGCATTACCAGATGGTGACATTGTCTATGAAATACTATCGAATATCAAACGTATGAATCAACCGAAGAAAATTGTATGTACTGCTGATGATATGTATCTCGTGTGTATCGAAGAGAAAAAAAATACCGAAGTTTTGGCATTGTACGATCCAATGACAGGAGAACATGTTTCTAACATGAAACTGAATTATCCAGCCTATAAGGATATTACATCAATGGTAGCCATTCCGAAACAACCATATCTTATTGGCTTGATTGATGGTGAAAAAGGAGTAGTGATGAATCTTCGAGATAAAAAGGTAGATGAATGTTTTTCTGAAAGCTGCTGTTACCTGCTCTGTTATAGGTTCATATTACTTTACCGAAATGGGGTGGTCAGATCTCTGCGGACGGTAAATTCGGCCTCTTTGCACCAACACGCGGTGGTCTCGAAATATTCGATTTTCGTAATGGTAAAGTTGTTCGTACATTAATCGGCAAAGTCGCTGAAGGTGTCTTCGATGTGATTACATTTTTTACTCCAACTAACCAACACGTTATCTATTACAACAAAGGCAAACGCACGATTCGCGTATTTCGCTCCATCGATGGTCGACAAATAGCTGATATGAAATGTCCAGCTAAAGTTCGACAGGCATACGCAACACATGATGGACGAGCTCTCATTGTTGGATACGAAGATGGAGTTATACAAACGTTCTTAATCGTTGATCCTTATGAAACATCGACTATCGCTCATTTGAAACACTGGAGACAACAGCAATTTGGTGCGGAACTGGAAGCTATGCAGCAGGAACTCGCGGAAAAACAATCTGAGCAAACAGCAACTTAAAATCTTTCTATCGTTCTGTAAAAGCGCGAGACAGTGACGTATATGTCTAACAAATTGTCTTTCTTCTTGTTGCGTATTAAATATCAAAGAAAGAAAAACTTGATTATTATGAAACGCTATAATTTATCCAGACATACATGACGCTAAAAAAATATACGCATTTATCAACATTCCATTGAACAGATCTCTTTTTTTTGTCTTGAAGATCATTTCATACTTCGTGCTCTCTGCTTGATTTGATTGCATCTTGGCTCGATTAGATTCACCATGCTAAGGTACTGAAATTTCACCACTCATTCGCATAGAGTATAGTAAACTGTTTTTTTTCCTATTATGCTTTCCGTGCTTTAACGAAACAACAGCGTCAGCCGTTTACCACGATGACTTCTCCGTATGTCAGGTGTTAAACGGTATTTGCAACGTCAGACTGACGTTGCGAATGACAGTTTACCGCAATTTTTCTGATAAGGACATATACCCTGGAATGATCAAATAATTCGCAGGTGGAAACATGTAATCTAATGTAAAGAAAAATGTGACACGTGTTGACGTCAAAACAGTTCCGGCGATAAATACGATTATCAGAGAGTAGGTGACAGAAAAAGCTTTATGTGATTCGAAACAAAATAGATTCCGCTGATAAATAATTCATTACTGAATGTGATAATCGTTATTCAAATGAGATAATTGGAATTCCCATCCATACTCCAACGGAAAAGAGAATCAATTCAAATTCGAAGTTAAGTCGTTTATCTTGTTTTTCGTGTGAGTACATCTTATACTAATTGAGTGTAACTATCTTCATCATTTGTCAAATAATACACTTGACGGAACCATAGAGTATATATCATGTGTCTAACAGCGCCATCTCTCGTTGTCTTGAATTTTGCTTAAATTAACTACGAATCATTGTTCAAGACATGTAATGAAATGAATGCCCGTAAATAAACATGTAAATATTTCATATTGAGTTGCTCTCGATCATGATACTTTATTAAACACATTTGATTAATTAGTTTATTTAATTATTCTATGTTGGATCTTCTATAATTGTTCATTTTCAAGAATTAAAATGACAGACAATAATTCCAACAGTCATTTTAATCCACGATACAAGGCACAGTCAACTTCTCAACTTCTAACACCTGAATCAGCTACTGCAAAATCGAATTCATCTACACCGTCACCTGCCTCGTCCACATCGTCATTAGCTATGTCAAATAGTCCCAAGAATAGTCTGACATCATTTCTCAAAATTCCACTACCGAGTCGGAAATCAGTAGTAACACAACCAGCAGCAGAAGATCGTTTTGTTATGACGCTCATTAAAAGTCCATCAACACATTCACCACGTACATCTTCGAACGACTTTTCCGTAGCCGCAGCGACTACCGCTAGTCACATGCCACAAGCGACAACAACGAACGACGACACAGGAAATAATAGTAAATTTTTCAAAAATAAAGTGACAGCTGCCTTTAATCATATGAAATACCGTAAGTTTGTGAATAATTGTCAGGTATATTAATGTTCTTTCGCTCTCATTAGGCTGGGTCGTACGTATGAGACCAAATTTTCGAACTAATGAATCACCAATCTATTTCTTGGGGAAGAAGTACAATGGAAAAGACGGTAAATCGAAAGGTCTTGTTCGAAGAAATTTTTTCGAAAGAGTCTTTCTTCATTTAGAAACCACATATGATGATCTTCCTCGTCCTCATAGTGAACATTCTTATGCCAGTTTTCTGAAAGCATTTTCACAACGAATTTATCTTTCCTATCGAAAACAATTCGAACCATTGAACGGTCTCACGCGTAGTGGAGATCCGATAACATCCGATTGTGGTTGGGGATGTATGATACGTTGTGCTCAAATGTTACTTGCTCAAACATTACTCATTCACATGACGAATACAGTTAATCTACCTCATTCAACTATACAAATTGCAGATAAATGTAAAGCATTGAATGTTGCTTCAAATTGACTTGATGTGATTGTATTTTAGGTCCACGTCGAAATTCCATCGAATGCTTTCGAAATGCAAATCGAGCTAACCGACGAATGCAGACCTATACAGATATTATTCGACTATTTGGTGATTTTCCAAATGTCAAATGTCCATTTGGCATTCATAAGTACGAAAAGATGATTTCGGTGAACGACACAGTGATGAACTATTTAGAATCGTTGAAATTGGTACTACACACGGTATTCGTCCCGGTGACTTTTTCGGACCGGTGAGTGCAGCTCATTGTTTGAAAGAAGCTCTGCAATCAGCTGTGGAATTAAATCAAATATCCGACATACTTCGAATCTATATCAGTCAAGATGCAATCAGTGAGATTCGATGTTTGTACATATCAATATCTGTTCTCATCCGATGTTTGTAGTCTACCGACAAGACGTGATTGATCTATGTGCAGCACCATCGAGTTCACCGAAAAATTCAACGACTTCCAACGAAAATCATGTCTCCGGTTGGTCCACATCGTTACTCATTCTTGTACCATTGAGATTAGGTTTAAATGAACTTGATTTAACATACGAATCGTATCTGAAAGAAGCTTTGAAATTAACTCAAACAGTGGGAATTATTGGTGGGAGTCCACGACATGCTGTTTATATTCTTGGCTTTCAAGATGAAAGTTTTATCGATCTCGATCCACATTTTAGTCAAACAACTGTTAACGTTCTTGATGATATTTTTGATTTATCGGTATGAGAGGAAAAGCATGCGCAGAATCCGCACGATTTCATTTCGGCATCTATTTAGAGTTACTCATGTTCGTCGCCAAAAAGATTAACTGCAAAAAAGATGGATCCAAGTTGTACATTGGGATTCTATTGCCGTGATAAAGCTGATTTTGAAATGTTTTGTGCACAGGTAAATGAAACTGTAGAATGGATGTGATTTTTCAGTCAATCATTTTTAGTGGAATCATATTTGTCATGTGGCTAGTGAAGATCGACGTACTTGTCCAATATTTCGTATCGAACGTGGCACATTTCAGGAGAACCATGCACGTCTCTTAAATTTCGATTATCCATCGTTGAACGATGACGAACATGTTTTTCTTCGTGTAACTAAACTACCCGCATCTGGTAGCAGTTCACCGTTATCAATGACGAACTCTTATTCATCAAAAAAATCCAATACCTCAACACAACAAACTCATGAAGTCTGGAGTGATAATGGCCGTTTATTAAATGAAAATTCAACCAAAAATCATCGTACTCGAAAGCATTCTCTTTCAGATGACTATGTATTCTTGTAATTTTCTGGAAAATGCCTCTTTTTTTCTCTCTTGCGCTGCCTATGAATTCTAGTCACTACATCACGTGCAATGAAATTCCTTTCAGTTGTCCAGATTCTAAATCTGTTGTACATTGATCATCGAAATATTCTTGTATATACGTGTACGTTCGTTTTCTTTTTTTCTCGTTGGGAAGTGGGTGCTGTAACATATATTTATCTATGTATCACTATGTCCGATTCATATTTATAGGAATGAAATCTTGAGATGATTTATTGTATCAATGAACGATGTTCTTTTTTTTCGTTCTAGATGATTTCATCGTTGATTGTTATCTTGCAAGTATCGTCTAACAGAACTTCTTCTTAATTCAAAGGTCTTCGTTTTAGTACGCTGATGATCAATGCAGGAGCGATTCTCAATGTTAATTTGTAAGATGAGTGTTGTCGAGTAAACGGCCTGACAGTTTTCCCTTGTGTTCATAGAAAGCGACGAGATGTGGGTTTTATGGCGGATAATCCGTCTATTAGTAAGTATGAAAAGAATTCGTTTCCGGTATTGAATTGAAATAAAAGAGGAGTGGCGCATATGTTGAAAAACACTCGTTTTCTTTGTGACCAGTCATCCTTGCTTGAATGCGTTTCTTTCTCTATAATTAATTCCTTTTAGCCGATAAAATTCGTGAATTTCTCGCCAGTTTACAATACTTTCGGGTGTTTATTGGCCTATGGAATATTTTAATCATATTCGCTATGTTTACGTAAGTAGACTTCGCTTCTCCAACAAGTTTTTATAACATTAACTGAAATTTATTATTTTTCAAGTGTCTTCGGTTATTGATACATCATAATCACATACACACGAGATGATTGACAGGACAATGTTAAATATACATGCATGTTAATGTCGGGGGATGCGACTTTTTTGTTATATGAAATAAAAGAAAAAACATGTTTTTACTCGGTCGTCTTTTCTTCTTACTGAAATATCTCATTTCGTTTTTTTGTCGTTTCAGAAATATCTAAGAAAATCTATCAATTGATTGCATCATTGCAAATACACTATTCGATGTTTTATGAAATTAGTCATTTGTCTTTCATATCTAATTACTACTTGTCTTTCATTACCATCTTCTCGTTTATTATTGGTTCAATTGAAACATTCAACTAATAACTCGAGATGTTCGGTTTTTCTTTTCATTCCTACGTCAAAAAGAGAATAACATAAATTTATTCGCTTTTTTCTCTTCTCTTCGTTCAATGTACTCATTCTTCAATTTTTCTTTCTCTCTTTCCCTTTCCTTCTTCTCTCATGTGTGTAAGTATATGCATGTATCTGACCTCAAAACACCGTCATTACACTATCTGTAAAATAGATGACTAATGATGGACAAGATTGATAATCATAATAATATTCAGTAGAACGAACGCAAGCGAGTTCCTTTTATTTCAGATTTCAGCTGTCGGATGTGTGCTGATGTCACCGAAGATATCAGAAAGACCAATGGTGACTGCACCATCATCCTACTTGTCAGATGTTGAAATGAAACCACAAAAACGTCAATCTCATCGTCGTCGTCAGAAGTTGTGTACAACACAACGTCTTCCAGCAACATTTGCGTGGTTTCTTCTCTTATCAACCTCGTTCGCTTATTGGATATGCATTTTTCCCGAAATTCTCATCCTTCTACCTCAACTTTTACCAATTCCAATTGTGCATTGTGTTCTATTTGTTTTTGTTTGTGTCAATTTTATACTCGCTACATTCATGGATCCAGTAAGTATAAAGACAAAAATTTCTCAAAAAAACAACTCGCACTTGTTTTTCAGGGTATCTATCAACAATCAATAAAAAATGAACATAAAAATGTTAGCTTCTATACTCGGTCAAATAAACACACAGGTGGAATCGATATCAACGATGATGATGACGATGATTTCGATGAACCACAATCACGTCTTGTTCGCATTCGGAATGGTAAAAAAATGTTTGCATTTTCGACAAGTGTTTGCCTAACGAAAGTTTTTTCTCAGGATCCGTTTATATAAAATATTGTCGTACCTGTAAATTGTTTCGTCCACCACGGTGCTCACACTGTTCGATATGTGAACGATGCATTGATGTAAGTTTAATTCGGTTGATGAATGTTTGATTCAACTGTAATGAAACGATAACCTTCCATTTCATCATATTCTTTTTCATAGACCTTCGATCATCATTGCCCTTGGTTAAATAATTGTGTTGGTATGTAACAGAGACTTCTGTAGAAAAAAAAGGAAATAACTAACTGACCTCGTTTTCTTTTACATAGGTCGTCGAAATTATCGTTACTTTTTTCAATTTCTATTTTTTCTCTGTATTCACATGGTATTCTTATTCGTATTCTGTCTCTACTATGTTCTACATGATCGTCATCACAAACCCATAATACCAGCATTTCCTGCGATGCCCCTGAATACCGCTCTGCTCAAACGACAAAATGACTACTCTTCATCGGCTTATTTTTCTAACAAAACTACATTTGTCGGCTTTTCGGATTATCGATTTATTCTCTGTATTGTCTTGCTTGTTTTGCTTGGTCTGATGGCAATTCCAATTGGTGGTCTAACAGGTTTCCACATGTATCTCATCGCACGAGGACGAACGACAAACGAGCAAGTAACCGGCAAATATCGTATTCAGAATGATATCTTCAATCAAGGTTGCTGGAAAAACTTTTGTTATGCTTTGTGTCAACCGTTGTATCCTCAGTTGAAAGCACCGGAAAAAAAACGTTACGATGTCGATCTATTTGCGCAAATGGCGTATGGAAGATTGAAGTATAAGCTATCGAATAAAAACTGCGAAGAAAACGGCTATTTGAATCACATGACCAATGTTCATATCAATCCGATGGATGAGAAAAGTAAGGAAGACTTGAAACGAACAAGAATTGTAAATTCTTTGAATACCTCCAAGATATTTAGCAAACTAAAGCTTAATAAATCTAATGATAGATCATATAATTAATATTCTTTTTTGCTAGTTCGTCAATACAATAATCCACTGCATATCTCTCATCAAAAGGTAAGTTAATTATTGGAAATGTGTCAAATATTCTCAAGCTTTCATTTTGCAGCCGTCATCATCAGCATCTTCGGCATCTGTCACGTCATCCTCATCCATTCAACCCATGAAGAAATCTCTTATACATCAAACAAAAAAGCCTGAGTTTGACTCCATGCATCGTAGTCTGTCAAATATGTCTTTATCTTCGCGTTGTTCCTACGATAACGTCGATGGTACTGAAGAAGATCTTCCTCAACCATTACCATATTATTCTACGAATAATAACAATAACAGTAATTCGAAACAAATGAAGAAGATCTATATGAATCAAAACTCGGTTCAAGCCGACAATGTGTCGACGAATAGTATGATGACATTACGTACAGACTCCTATCGCCAAGCCCATCCACTACAATCGTTTGCGTACGATTATCCCAAACGTGCTCTACTGCCTCAAACATTACAAGCAAGTGACCAACCAAATCGAGGCAAATTCAACGGAAATAAACACTACGAAATATCTGTTTGAAAAGAAATCAAGTTTTTGTTTTTCTGTGATGATCAAAGATATTTATTTTCTATTGTCTGTTCGTTTCTTGTCATGATAAAAAAATCTGTTAGAAGTGTTGTTGTTAACCATATGAGAGTTGTTTCTTTGCAAGCAAACCAATGAACGTGTATTTGTGTATGCACATACGAATATATACATAATGGAATTCTGTTTTTCTCTGTTTGATACTTTGTATTGTACAAAAAGGACACGTTTTTTTGTTGATTGTTCCATTTTTTTCTGTTCCTCTTTGGAAAAGAGATACAGCAAGACAAAGCATATTTTTTCACTGTTTTCATTTATTTTTCCCTTTAAAAATATTCGGAACATTTATCACCGCATGGTTTACATTCACATTGAGTAACGAGACGATATCGAACGGTTTGAAACTGTTTATTTTGACATCTGACAAGCGTCTCATGCGCTTCGGTCATTTTCGGTACGCAACAATGAAAATTGCGCTTATATCTTCGATAAGTCGATGTTTGTTCCCAATCGTAAACGAGTTCTTCTTCAGAATAACACTGACCGCGACAGCGAGTCGTTTGAATCGAAATCGAATGATCCAAACAATGTCGAAAGTGGAGTGTTTCATTGTAAATTTCAACTTGACATTGTTGAACAGTCGAACTGGTCAATGCGACGATGGGACTGGAAAAGATTAGAACAAGGAATAGACTAAGACATAATCCAACCATTTTGTTTAATAAATAAAAGTGAGCAAAAGATCATGTTAAAAGAAAAACGTTAGAAATAAGCTGTCTCTCTTTCTTTCTCTAATCCTAAAGTTAAAGTAATTCATTAGAGTTTCCTCTGAGGACATCTATATCTTAATTCTTCAGTTAATTGTTTTTTTTTCTTTCAAAAAAGACAGAAGTTTCATGACATTCACTATCCAATTTTTTTCTACTTTATTTCGTAGCCAATGAAAACAACAACATGGAGAATAATGAGGAACAGATATGATAATAGTAATAGCAGTACACATAGAGAAGAACAAGACAAAAACAGTTGTATACAGAAAAAAATAGAGTTAGAGAGAGACAAGCACAAGTTTTCAAGTGTTCAAACATCTTTTTTTTCACATACAAAACAAGAATGTCATTCTACAACAGTTTAACAAGTAGTACACAGAAAAAAATTCTGAACTCGACAAAAGAAAATGGATAAGGAACGGTCAGAGATTGGATTTTGTTGAATGCATTTATTCTTCATCGTCGTCATCATCATCATCGTCGTCTTCTTCGTCGGATGATTTGGCTTTCGATGCGGCTTTCTTCTTACCACCTTTAGCTGGCGCAGCCTTTTTGCCACCGCCTCTAGCGGTGGCTTTGCCACCTTTGGCTGGTGAACTGCTAGCACCACCACCACTTTTCTTGTATTCAGCAACGCGCACTTCATACTTCTTTTTCTCATCAGCAGCTTTTTGTTCATAGCGTTTGCGAACGTCGTCACTAGAACAACAAAACATGAGCATATCAAATGATTTGACATTCTATTTCTTTTTCTTACCTGACTTTTTTCCATCTTGAACCGATTTCTTTGGAAATATCACCAACGGATAATGATGGACTCTTCTTCTTTATGTCTGGCCGTTCATCTTGTGAAAAAAGGAAAAATGCAGACAATGGTCGCTTAGGTGCATTTGGATCTTTCGATGCTTTCTTGGATGAACCAGCAGCGCGAGGCATGATTTATCGATGAAGATATTGGAAAAATATATATGAATCTAAAAAGAAAAACAGATATGTGTGGCGAGTGGAAACGACAATTTCATATTCAGAAATATCGTCAACGAGCTAACGAACTGAACATTAGCTATCGAATAAATACGATCATTGCTCTCTGTCTCTCCTTCTCTAGATAAAGACTGCCAAATAAATGAATGAACAACGAAGACAGACACAAGGAACGAGAAGGGAAAGAGAGCGACAGACAGAGAGAAAGAGAGAGAGAGAAATGTGACCCTAGTCAGTCAGTGATGTTGTTTCTCGTTACTGCCTGGCTCTAAAAAGGAGAATCGACAGCGAGAGAGAAAGCGCACACACACACATAACGCATACATATATGTATGTTGTATGCGTGTATATGTGTATGTGTGCATGTCTTTGCTTTCTCGTCTCGCTTCTTTTTTAAAATATAAAGCGTACACGCTGTAGCGGTCGTGTATGACTGTGTGTGCGCAAGGAGCTTTGCTTTGCGTTGTGTGTGTGTGTATGTTCGTCTCCGTCTGCTGTGTATGAAATGGCGAATGATGATTGCAGCAGCAGCAAAATGTGTAGAGAAAACGCGCTTGCAAGCAAAAACGCGAGAAGCACAATAGAGGCCTTATGATGTGCTGCATATAATAACGCATGTAAGGAAAAAGGAAAGGAGAAGGGGTAGTAGTTGGTGAAGAAAGAATAATCATAGAGACGCAGCGAGATGGTTTGCTTGCGAGTGTGTATGTGCGCGCACACATACACGAAAAAACGTAACAGCAAAAGTAATTTTTTGCCTACATGGAGAGAGAAAAAAGCAAGCCAGATGAAAGTTAATTTATTATTTAATGAAAAACTATATTGTAATAGAAAAATAATTCAATGTTAAAGGTCGTTAAGTATGGTATTTAAAATAAAATTCATCTTCTCCGAGGAGGAATATAATTGAACTGCAGTAAATGAAATAACACAACCGAGACAACTTGCAATTCCAATGAAAGTTATATATAGACTCGTTGTCTGCAAGATAAAAATGTCGAATTGATGATAATAAAGTCACTGCTTCAACTGTTGAATTTTTTCAGATCGTAATTTGAATTTTACGAAGACAAATGACATCTTCGAAATCCACACGATTGATTCTTGTCACCGGTGTTGCTGGAAATATTGGCAAATATTTTGCTGAGCATGCAAACAAACAAAAATATAAACTCCGTTTAATGGTATCTCTTTCACACAATCATTCATTAAAAAAACTTTCATTTTCCTAGGTACATTCTATTCATGAACCGGAAAAAAGCGAACCGTTGAAAAACTTTGGTGAAGTTATTCAAGGCGACTTAGATAAGATGGAGACATTAGATAAAGCATGTAAAGATGTTCATACGATTATTCATTTGGCAGGTGATCCAGATCCAAGTGGAACATGGGATTCGTTGAAGAAAGCAAATATTGAAGGGTAAGACAAACCGTTCAGTCAAAATCTTCTTTTCATTTTCAGTTCATTTTTAGTTTATACAACATTTTTCTAGCCGCAAAGAATGCCGGAGTAAAACGAATGATTTATGCTAGTTCGATTCATGCTATAACCGGTTATCCAAAAGATGTACAAGCAAAGACAACTGAACCACCAAATCCTGGAGATCTTTACGGTGTAACGAAATGTTTTGGCGAAGCACTCTGCTGTTACATGGGCGAGAAAGAAGGTGTACCATCAATTGCGATTCGTATCGGAGCATTTCAAGAGCATGCAGCGGCGCAGAGTAAAGATGCAATCAATATGATGGATGCATGGATATCTCAACGAGATTGTGTTCAATTACTGGAACGTTGTATTGATGCTCCCGAAGATCTCAAGTTTGCAATTGTTCATGGTTTATCAAGGAATACATTCAATCGAATGGATATCGATTCAACCCGGCGACTTCTAGGATACGATCCACAAGATAACTTTTTTGAAGAATCAGAAGCATTTAGAAAACTAAACATGACTGATGAATTAGCTGGACATAATGTTAAGTATGTGAAGTACTGTTTTTACTCTGTGAAATGAATTGATGTTCTTCTTTGCAGGGATGATCGACAGAAATCTGGTTTACGAGATAAATCACCAGAAGATAAGAAGAAATGAATGTTTTTTTTTAAAACTACAATCAATCTATTCCCGCATGCGTGAGATAAGTAGTCAATTTTATAATCAAGCCGTTTTGTGCCAATGAATTTATTCCAGCCAAGTGAATGTTGTTATACTGTAGTCAAATATTTTTTTATTATTGTCGGTTTTTTACTACAATAAATCAAAGTAATGATACCTCAGAGTGAAAACAGTTCTCCATATTTCGAAAGCATCAATCGTTTTCAATATGTATGTGATAGAAGAATATGTAGATATCATTGAGCCACATAAGTTTGTAATACGATCAATTGGACAGCAATGTATTTGGAAGAGTTTGTAAACAGAATGGAATTTCTGATTAAAGAGCAAGGCTTGTACAGTTTATTTACATCTCCCCTTTCTTTACTTTCTTGATCAAAGTGTACGTATCTATCGAGTAGAATAAATAGACAACGAAGTATAAAGATGATATATAATATAGACTCCTTTGAAGATGCTATTAATTGTAAGAGATATAGATTCTGCATTGTTATTGTGATTCCTCAGTTGTTTATGTCAATGATTGTTTGATCATTACAGCAATGTATTCTATTCTTTTTAATTAAAGAATGATTTGATTTGGGATCGAGACTAGATGTGCTTTTTTCGAATCGTATGACGGACGGCATATTAGTGTATTGATGATAGAATTTCCATGCTTCGCGTCGTATATGATTCATCGGATCAACACATGGTTACAGAATGAAAGAAAAAGAAGATAAACAAAAGAACAGTAAGAAGAATAGTTGTAAAAATAAGAAAAAAAAGGAAACTTGGTCCCTATGAGGATCGAACTCATGACCTCCGCGTTATTAGCACGGCGCTCTAACCGGCTGAGCTAAGGGACCACGTTTTCTTTCAATCGCGAAACTACATATCTATCTTCATCAAAACCATGCATAAGCGTAAGGTTTATCCAGAAAGGATGTTTTATACACATTTGTCAGCACGACCACCAAACCTCATAGTACATCTGTTTAATATGTAATCACCTAAAATAGTGTGTTATTCAAGTTCGATTGTATAAATATGGCTGCATCAGAATGTTATTTTCCTATAAATAGCTGTTTTTACTTGTTACACTCCCTGTGTGTGAGATCTAACCTTTTTCTATCTTTGAAATTTTATATCGGTATGATGATCTTTATTGCAAATAGAATAAAAATTTATATCCTATAGACAAACATGTACAGAGATTTGATCGAAAAGGAATTCAACTACTCTGATAATCGTTGTTCTTTGGCGAGAACGTATTTGACACCTTCGAGAACATCTGTTTGAATGGTTGTTGGCATTTTCCACGGTTCTGTTTCGGGGTGTGGTTGTTTACTTGGATCGTACACTCCAGTACAAACCAAAATTGATTCACATGCTCTTGCGCTGAAATAATTCGTATCTCGCATCAGATCATATCCACTAATACTCTTTCTATTATTGCTATCTTGTTGTAATAAACAATTGTACATGTTGGCGCCAACGATATCAACGTCGGGATTGTCACTGTAAAGAGAAGACACCGGTAGTCCTTTGATCTTTTGATTTTGCTCTTATATGACTTACCCAAAAAAATAGATGTGATCAATTGTCGACTGTTCATTTGCCAATGCTAATTTATTAGCAATCATTTCAGCATATTGAAACGAGATTTCAAATGGTTTACCAACAAATGCCGTGTATTTCAGTTCTCTTCCACTAAGATTCTATTGGAAACAGAGAATGACATATATTAGACTGAGTGACTGATTTTCGTCTAAATCAATGATTTACTTTGTACAATGCTTCTAAGCATGTGAGAAAAGCTCCGTGTCCGAAGCGCGGCAAATCAGCAGCAGCTTTGAAAATGAGATCTCGATTACATGCAATAACTGGTATATGATCTCGATCATGTCCTGCGTCATCTGGAACACTAGCTGGATTTCCATCTGTTAGGAGAAGATCGGTAATGACTTGTAAAGAGCTCTCCCAATTGATTGGTTCACCAAGTAAAACAATAGCTATAATAAAACATTTGATCATTCAATATTGATTCTAGTAAGAAAAATCACACTCACCATCAATTGGGCGAAAATTTTCATCACGAACAAGTCCTTTGCTTTGCATGACTTCATTCTTTGAAAGAAAAAGTGTATACGTATTCAAACATTTCCGCTTTCGACATACTAATTTCGCTCGATTCATATGGTTAACCATATCCAATTCTGGAAATGCATCACAAACCTCTTTAATCGTTGTGATACTTTTGAAGCCAAGCCTAAAAAATCGATAAAATAAGAACCATCTTTATCTAAACTCGCATATTGTACATACATTCGACCAATCTCTTCGATAGGACCTTGTCCAGATATGAGAACATGTTTGTTATGATATTCTGTTAAAGTGCGCATTGGTGTTTGAGCTAAAACAACTTGTTCCGGATTGATCTACACATTTCAAAGAGATGTATTTTTCTCAGAAACATCATCTGACATAAACGTACAGTAATGCCAAGCATGGATGATAATTGTTTAGCTTTGTCTGATTCAAGTACACAAGTGTTAGACAAAAAGACAACAGGTATTTTCATCTGCATTAAAGTATGAATAGCTGGTTTAGCTGTCGCGATGAAATTCGGACCTTTGGTGATTACACCGTCGATATCAAAAATACAAGCAAAGTTTGGCTACGAATGAGAACTGAGAATATTTTCTTGGTTTTCCCAATCAATGCTACTTACTAGTATCATGATGTATGCTCTCTTCTTATTGAAGTAAAAGAGTTAGTACTGATGTAGACAAAATTCAATGATCAAAGTTCTGTTCGACGGCGAGGATTTATCTCTATTTATAGATCTGGCATAACATTTCATTGTCATACATTCATCAATAGTTGCATGCGCTGCCTGAATGATGTTTGTGCAAAAAATAGCTTTCATAAAGGCCACAAGGCGAAAGTTCAGCTTTTGGTAATTTCTTTACTGTTCTCCAACAATATGTAGGCCGCGCATATATTAGCAACGTCACTCCTTCCTTTCCTTTTGATCATGCGTTCTGCGCGTGTCAGTAGCCAAAGCGCAAACTAGTCTGATGAGAGATTCATTGATTTAGAAGTTGCAAGTTTCTTCATCGTCCACACATTCTGTGCATGATCAATTGACATCTACCAATCGGAGATATTTCTTGCGGTGAAAAGTACATTTTTCATGACTTTATCGAATGTGTCATTGAAAAGATGAAAATACCTCGACACTGTTCTTTGTTTTCTTCACCTTTCTGCAAGTGTTGATTCGTACAAACATAACATTTTCGAGAAAAGTACTCCAAAATCATCTGGTGCACCAATGCGGTTATTCTCATAAGCTAGAATTCTCTGTAGAGTACAGAGATATTGTTATTCCATCTTGAGAAATACATAACTCCTAGTGTGTACTAGTGAAACTGACTTTGTAAGCAAAACAGGAAGAGTTCTTCTGTTTTTACTATATCTGAAAAACACAAGAAATCGGTTTTCATCAACGAGGCTAATGAAAATGACTTTTATATCGGATCATTCGCAAAAATCATTACACAGACAATAACTAAACATCATTATAAGAATTCATATATTAATCTCAGTTTAACAAATGACTAATGCACAACGAGGTAGAAAATGGTTACCAGGCGCACCTAACAAGTGTATGAAACTTTTTATTTTGCATTATTCTGTCAAACAGAAAAAGACTATTTTTGAATGCGCAAAATCACAACTATTAGTCAGGTAAGTATCTGTACTCGCATTCAATAAGTACAATGATTGAGTACTTCAAACTCGAAGACAAACCACTAATAGATACATTTCCATACAAATGATTGTCGCGTTTATCTCGACATTTTATACCGTTTTAATCGTAGTTAGCTATTGACACACCTCAGAATGTACCAATGATTTCTTTTGTACTGAGGGTCCACAGAGGAGAGCATGCAAATGTACTCGATAACTTTGACACTTTCTAGCTGTTGATCTTGGATACCTTCCGTCTGCTGAAGAAAAAACGATTAAATTTTGCGAAATGCTGATAGTGCTACGAAAGTTTCACAAACAAATTATTATCGCTGAGCGCTTCGATTGATCAGAAGAGAGCCGATGATTCATTTCTTTCGTTCTTCGCGTATTTATCCTTAGTTGGTATTTTCAATGACGCACATTTTCTTTTTTTTTTCTTTCGGACTATAGTTTACCTCGTCTATCTGTTTTCTTCAGGCAAGTTATACTTTGCTGGTTAGAAAATAGCAACGTACAGTAGTGCCGTCAACAATAAAGGAAAAGAAAAAAAAGACATCGGCGAAGAAAAAAGTGCAACGAGTCGACGATTTCATTTGATTTCATTTCTCTTTCGTACTTCTTACATACAATCTCGTGTACAGTAACGCGTGACTTGATTTAATTTCATCATGGAACAAGTGGTTCGTAGACCTATTTTGCCGAACCTACGCGAGAATTAATTGTCGTGATGTTTTAGAAATCGGCGATCAAAACAGTTACTGAAAGTATCAGTGATCTAGCTGTTAAAAAAGATGAAAAAAAGGTGGAACAAAACAAGTCAGCACCGACGAAAAAGACTGTACCAGCCGGTACATCAGTATCCAAACAAAAAGGTTCAAAACAAATCAGTATTCGCGGTATTCCAATGGTAAAACTTCCTCAACTGATTTATTTCTTTGTCAGAGAAAAAAAGCACATTTGTTTTTCAGCTAGAAAATGTCCAAGCCGTGAAGAAAACTTTCAATCGTCATTTACATTTTACTGTTGTAAAAGATCGTGACGTTGCGACTGAACGCGATTATTATAGCTCGCTGGCTTATACAGGTTTGTTTCGAAACGAAAACGTAAACATGCAACATATGATATCTGACTTGTTCTTTTTCTTTTTAGTTCGCGATCATCTGATTGGTCGCTGGATCCGCACGCATCAGCATCATTTTGAAACTGATGGCAAAGTAATTCTTCTTGTCAACAAGAATTTATCACGAACCATCATGTTTTATTTAGCGTGTTTACTATCTTTCAATGGAATTTTACATGGGACGAACATTATCAAATTGCATGATCAATTTAGGCATTGAAAATGATGTTGATGAAGCTCTCTATGAAATGGGTTTGAATATTGAAGAACTAGAAGAACTGGAAATGGATGCTGCACTCGGAAACGGTGGTCTCGGTAACTAATTCTATTTTTTAGAGAAAATTTTGGTTTTAATTCATCCTTTTATTTCAGGTCGATTAGCTGCTTGCTTTCTTGACAGCATGGCAACCTTAGGTCTTCCATCGTATGGATACGGTCTTCGATATGACTATGGTATTGTTCTGAAATAGATTTGTCGCATAAAATTGACGATCTATTTTTAGGAATTTTCACTCAAAAGATTGAAGATGGTTCGCAAATGGAATATCCCGATGATTGGTTACGATATGGCAATCCATGGGAAATTTCTCGACCTGAATTTCTTGTACCTGTACAATTCTACGGCAAAGTGGTTGAAGAAAATGGAAAGAAGAAATGGACTGAGACCGAAATCATTCAAGCTATGCCATTTGATACACCAGTGAGGAATTGACTTTCATGGCTAATCAAAAATACACATTTGATCTCTACTTGAATTGCCTCTAGATACCTGGTTTCAATAACAATGTTGTCAACACACTTCGATTATGGTCAGCTAAAGCACCAGGCAAATTCAATTTTCAACTGTTCAATGCCGGTGATTACATTCGTGCTGTTGCTGAACAAGTAAAAATTGAAATTACAATTCTGTTTTTCATAAAATATTTTCATACTTTATCGTAGAGTTTAACTGAAAATATCACACGTGTTCTTTATCCAAACGACAATGTATGTGACTTGAATAAAATCATCGATTGTCATCGCAGATCTACCGTTTTTGTTCTAGTTTGATGAAGGAAAAATTCTTCGATTGAAGCAAGAATACTTTTTAGTATCCGCATCTTTACAAGATATTCTTCGTCGTTATAAACATTCCAAGGCTTATTCGAACACCAGCAAACCAGTTGATTTCACACGTTTTCCAGAAAAAGCTGCTGTTCAATTGAATGATACACATCCAGCACTATCGGTCGCAGAACTCATGCGTCTATTGATCGATGAAGAAGATTTAACCTGGGATCAAGCATTCGACATCACAAAGAAAACAATTGCCTACACCAATCATACATTGTTACCTGAGGCACTTGAACGTTGGCCAATCGATATGTTCCAAAAACTGCTGCCACGACACTTAGAAATCATCACGGAAATCAATTTACACCATTTAGATGTAAGTGGCAACGAAATCAGCTTGCAACCCTCTATACTGTGATTTGCAGCTCGTACGACAAAAATGGCCTGGTGATGAAGAACGATTGAAACGCATGTCCGTCGTCGAAGATGAACATAAAGTAAGAATGACGAACGAATGGCAATGTTTTCTCAAATTTACTTGTTGTAGGTTGTCAATATGGGTTACTTATCGATTGTTGGTTCACATGCTATCAATGGTGTTGCGAAATTACACAGTGATTTATTGAAGGCAACCTTGTAAGTTTGAATCATTTCAAAGAAATCCATCAAAGATGTCGAGTCTGTTCGAATAGATTCAAGGATTTTTATGAATTAAATCCTGAGAAATTTCAAAACAAAACCAATGGTATTACACCGCGTCGTTGGATGCTTTTATGTAATCCAGACCTATCGGATGTGATTGCAAGTAAGATCGGCGAAAGTTGGATAACAAATTTATCTCAATTATCACAATTACGTAATTATGTCAACGACGAACAATTCGTTCGAGATGTCCAACGTGTCAAACTCGTAAAGAATTCAATTCTCTTCCAGGAAAACAACTAATCCTTGTATTCGTCTTGTAGGAAAATAAACAACGACTCGTTGATATGTTTAAAACTGAATACGGCGTTAACGTCAACCCAACATCGATGTTCGATGTGCAAATCAAACGTATTCACGAATACAAACGACAGTTATTAAACTGTCTTCATGTCATTACACTCTATAACCGTATCAAAGATAATCCAAGCAAAGAAACTGTTCCACGTACAGTTATTTTCGGCGGAAAAGTCAGTCAACGAAAAGCAAAATAAGTTCTAATCTATGATTTCTTTCTGTGTACTTTCAGGCTGCACCTGGTTATCTAACTGCCAAATTAAGTAAGTTGACTTATAAGGATTATTTGTTCATTTTCCAACTTGAAATGTAGTCATTAAATTGATTTGCAATGTCGGACGTACAATTAACAATGATCCTGCAATTGGTGACCGACTTAAAGTCATCTTTCTCGAAAACTATCGTGTTAGTCTTGGTATGTAGACAATAATAGTTCGACGACCATCTCAAGAATTCACTTGGTTTTCTAGCCGAAAAGATCATTCCAGCTATTGACTTATCGGAACAAATCTCATTGGCTGGTTTAGAAGCATCGGGTACCGGTAACATGAAAATGATGTTGAACGGTGCATTGACTATTGGTACATTGGATGGTGCCAATGTGGAAATGGATGAAGAAGTTGGACGTGATAATATCTTTATTTTTGGTATGACAGTCGAAGATGTCGATGCACTTCGTAAGAAAGGGTAAGAGAAACGAACGACTAAACACATAGGTTTCACGTGTTGTCCTTCGCAGATATAAATCGAAAGAATTTTATGAACGCGAGCCTGAACTAAAACGAGCATTAGATCAAATTCGTGACGGATTATTTTCACCCGAAGATCCAAATCTATTTGCTGATATCATCAAACATCTACTCGAATGGAACGATCAGTAAGTTTCAACTTTGAATTACAACGTCATTATCGTTGTACATTCTCTTCTAGTTATATGCTACTTGCTGATTATGCAGAATACGTCAAAGCTCAAGAACGTGTCGATCAATTGTATAAAGTAAATTTCGACGAAAGATTCGCAATGAATTTCATTTATCTTCCATGTAGAATCCAACAGAATGGACGAAAAAATGTATATTGAACATTGCAGCATCTGGAAAATTTTCGTCTGATCGAACAATCGCTGAATATGCAAAAGAGATTTGGGGTGTAACACCATCAGATAAGAAATTGCCCTCTCCAGAAGAAGGTCGTCCAGGCATGAAAGACGAAGGTGAAAAAATCGAACCTACACAACCACACGTACGCCGACAAGATTATTAAAATCATACGACAAAAAATAAATAAAAACTATATCTCAGAATGATTATCCGCGCATTTTATTTCCTCTTTTTCTATTTCTTATTGTGTATGAACTCGTCGTTTTATTTTATAAACAAGCATTCAATGACAAAGTCTTTTTTTTTATTGTTTCTGTTCTGTATTCTTTAATGTTAAGCTTTAGAAAAATATAACTGAAAGAGAAAACGATAGCAGAAAGCGCTTGTTCATGTGGATATTTGGATACGGTTCGATCGTATGGAAGCCGGATTTTCGATTCATCAATCGAATTGAAGGACATCTCAAGGGCGTCATTCGACGATTTTGGCAACTATCAGAAGATCATCGTGGCGTACCAGGACAAGTAATTGAACATTGATTGACAACTCAGCTCTGACCTGTTTCATTTTAGCCAGGACGAGTGGTGACATTGATTGCAACCGGGAATCAAGCTGTAAGTTAAATATACTTTTTTGACTAAGGAAAAGTTCATCGTGTAGTATTCGGTAAACATTTCGAGAACAGATAAACATGACAGAATTATTTTACATTCTAACCTTGAACTGTCAACAGGCGTTATCTTGATTAATCGGCTAATGAAAACCTTTTTCTTTAGTAAGAAAGTATGAAAACAGGTTTCCTTTTTTCGTTCTTATCCCGATTCCCGTTGGTTACGGATTGTTGAATCTTGTAGTTCGACGTGAAAGGTTCATCGGGTCGATGATCACTGTTTAAATTACCCGTTGGAAAATATGTTTTTTGTTTTCAACCAGGGTTTAGAATCATATTGTGAGCACTAATTATCTTATTGCATCTGTATTCGTCCACGTTGGAGTCTACTTAAACAGCAGGATTTCTATTCTTTTCCACTCGGATGAAGATGTCGTCGGTTCAAACGACAGAATCCAATGAATATTTTAGTTTTTGAGCAATGAATCGGTTCTAGTTTTTGACAGTGATCGGTAATGGTATATATTTGCATATAGATGACGAGCTAAACGGTACGAAGATTGTTCTATTGTTCGCGAAAAGCCATTCGAGAGATGATTATACGAACACATTTATCCTTACAATTAACTCGAAGAAATTCGATTCGGTCGACATAGGAGACTGCGCTGTAAAAATCAAATTCTAATTAAATAAGCATGACAAACATAAATACGTCATTGGAGATTATATTTAATATCGTCTATGGAATTACATAACAGCTGAGATGAGGATTTGTCTTTGACATTGCTAAACGGCATCTCTACATGTTGCTTTTATATATCCTTTAGGATTGTGTTTACGGTGCGGCATATGAAATCTCTAATGAAGATGAAGCTAGTGTTCGACATGTACTTGATGTTCGTGAAAAAGATGGTTATACAATAGTCGAAACAGTATTCTATCCGAATAGTAGTGCTGAACAAGAAAGAGCTTGTTATACCTATATGGCTCAATCTAATAATCCATTTTGGGGTGGCGATGCACCGCTTGATCAGATTGCACAACAAATCGCACGAGCACATGGGCCAAGTGGATCGAATCGTGAATATCTATTCAAATTAGCGGATGCCATACGAATTATCACACCAGTTCCTGACGAACATTTGTTTACATTGGATCAACTTGTCAAGGATATCATAGCGAAAGATGAGCAACTTAACAGCAAAAAACTATAAGCAAAGAGTGTGCTGTCGGTTTTTGTCTTATAATAATACTTTTAATAACAATATAAACATCTCTTCTTTCCTTGTCAATATCATATTAAAAAAGATGCATTTGTTCAAAGAAATTAATGAAGAAAAGCTACTGAGGATCTAAAAAGAAGATAATGATGAGAGCGAAGCGGGCGAGCACGAGAAGAAAAGCTGACATAATAGATTTTACGATGCGTATTTAACTCTTACTTGAAGTAAAGATATACGTTGAGTCGTCAACAGACAGCTAGAGATTTATGAATAAAAAGAAGCTAAAAATTATTATCATTATCGTTATTATCCTTTCAAAAGAGAAAAACGACGAAGGAGAAGAGAAAAAGGAAAAAGCTTAAAGACGACGACGTAATGGAAGTGAAGGAAACAGCACGATACTGAAAAGGAGAGATGAGCGTTCGCTACAACAGCTCGACATTTCATCCTTACGTTAAATTACCATAATTGTATATCAAACTACAAAACAGTATATCAACGGTAGGCAGGTAACTATTCGTTAACGCATTTGTCAACAAAAGGTCATCATCGTCCGCTTTCATCTACCTTCAAAGATAAATATTTGTCAAACTGATTACTCATTAGGATAATTACGATTGTAGCTAACTCTGTTCCGATTAACACACGCTATTTTGAAATTAATTTGATTGACAAGCATCATATTTTGTCTATTTATTTAGATTTCGACCGATATGACTTATCAATTTAGACCGGCTTATTCGGGGTAAGCAAGAACGAACAGTGAATTATTATTTTCTTCGCGTATAAGAAGATTTGTTGAAACACTATTGATAGTTGGACTATATAAAACTAATACGATAGTATATATTTGTTGAACTACCGTCATCATTTGACAAACAGAAAGATTTTCTTCACAGTTTGCTTTTGTTCTTCATGGAAAATCAAAATCGAACCTTACGCAAAGCATATTCATCAGCGTTTTATAGGTAGGTGTGCTTAAATATCGGTTTAACACTTGTTACACATCGGTAGACTCAGTATGAATATGATTTATCGGAATTATTGTAATGATATGTTCTGCGGGTGTAAATAGGGAAATTAAAATGAGAAAAAAGAACTAGTAGAAGAGAATAGGGCTATGATTATCGTTAATCAGCAACAGCATGTTCATGTTGATTTAAGAAATTTTTCTGATTATTTGAAAAAAAATGCCATCAACGTTAGGTGCGTCGCGACGTCTGACAACTCCTGCAAGATGTGAAAGGTAAAAAGAGGAGTTTTTTTTAGTTGTCAAGCAAATGAAAACCGATTTCAAATGTTCGATTCCACGGATAAAAGACATTTGTTACTTGGAATTCTTTCGTTATTCCATCGGCATAAGGAACAAAGCCTTTGTTGATAAAGGTCTCATAGAACTTCAAGTCACTATTGAGTTTATCCGACGGATCGAGAGACACATTTATCAAGTACGATGAGAGTATTTGTCGCAGATTGGCCTGATATTGAACATCTTCGATAAAACGATACATTGTAAATCGACGATTTTCTTTCAGCGATACATTTCCATAGTATTTCAAAAGAACGCCATTACTCAAACACGTTCCTAGAGTATTACCATTTGTATTCCATCCAGCATACGCATACGCTCCTAGCACAGTGCGATTTGATATCCATTGAGAAAAACATCGATCACCACCATTACTATACCGTACGTCAGCATAGACAATAACTGATTGATTTGTTTTTACATCTAATGACGAGTAGTCCTCGCAAGTTTGTAGTCCAGTTGCTTCTTGTTGTGTTTCTGTTGACCAGTTATTTACAAGAACGAGAATATCGGATGTAGATTCGTTTGCGTCTTCGATATAATGACCCCCAACAGCAGTTATTTGTTTGAGAACACTTTCATTGAGCGGTGCACCTTCATAATTTGGTATATAATTTTGTGTGGTGATATTTCGATAGCGAACTTTGAATGTTGGCTTTGCTGTTTGCTTGTTACTAACAACAATTTGGCTAAGTATGGCTAGACTGACTTCGTCAGCTCCGGGATAGATGTTCACCTTTGAACTTATATTAAGCGAAGGATTATTAATTAACTGGATCAATTTTCTTTCTTCAGCTTTATTCAATCCATATTCAGCATTGTCATCTAGAGTTAGCCATATGTGCTCGAAATAGGCTTGCGTATAGTCATTCAATAATGTATAAGTCAAATTATAATTTCGTGCACGTCGCCAGACAAATTCTTGGAGAATGTCTTGAGGAATCTGTTTTTCTAGAATTTTCACTTGTTCTTCATCAGCTGGATTGTGCAATACAGCATAACGATCAGTGTAGAATGACCAGAGATAAATTAGACGTCCATACGTTGCCCAATAGTCGGGTTCTTCGAAATCTTCGTTATATGCTGGAATACGCATAATAACAGAACTAAGATAGATTTTAAGTTTGACACCGAATTCTTGTTTAAATCCAACTAGAGTTCGTAGACGAAGATTCAATTCATCGAACGATGTATTACTTAGTCGACTATTGATTAAACCCCCGTAGATTAGTTGTTCTGTGGAAATCAGTAGCGCACATGATGATGACGTGATACATGTCGTGCTGATTTGTTCATGTAACCATTGAAAGAGTCGATCTGTATCAGCAGGTTGTTTCCAATGGCTGATTATTTCCATCGGCGGTGTGAGTATGTCGAAATCATTTTGAATGAGACGGGCAAGATTTAAGACGATCGATCTCGTAGTAAAACGTTCATCGAGTGGAATGAAAACAATCGTTGACTGAGTAGAAGCCTCTACAGTAACGAAACAAATAATCGTTACCAAGAATAGTCGAATCCAATGCATGGTATAGTTTAATCGGAATCGGAGTATTGATTTATTATTATTTCGATAAGATTTTCATGAGAAAATCATCAGATGATAAAATACGGTGGCAAAACTTCAATAATGAGATTGATTTGTCATTGATTAAAAAATTGAACGACTGCTGTCTCATTGTAGTGCGGGAATAGATAATCGAGATCTATCGTCAACATCTCAGAATCGACATGTTTCGTTGGCAAATATCGCAACCGCATTCTTAAGTGAACGAAAGTCCTCATCACGTCGAACAAGTAGTGGACGTCGAAAGAAACGCTTGACCATGCACGACAAAAAAGGATCGGGATCAAGGAATACGTCAAGTTTTTCCACTGGACTCAATGATCTTTTCGGGCAACGTTTATCGTCAGAAAACATGGAAAGTAACATCGCTGCCATCTTCATGACAAATATCAGTGGTACAGGCGCCAATAACAAGCATCGATCAACTGTAGTAAGTGAATTCGTTGTTTTTCTCAGCTCATTTACATGAGACCTTCCAGATCCGAATGTGTTTCTTGAGTTGTGTACCACATGTCAAGCAGAGTTAAAAATAGACAAGTGAAGTTGACTATACAATGACGAATAGTCGTAGTCTATCTGTTTTCTGATTCACTTGTATCTTATTTAGTGCGCGCGTGTTGATATCCAAAAGAAAAAGGAAGTCAGGAGCTACCGGTTTTTCATTCTACTTGTCAAACTGTCTCTCCCATGTCGTTTTATGTCAATAAAACTCTCTGTGATTTAATCAGTACGAAATAATTAATTTACATGTCTAAAATTAGTAATGTCAATGTCACTAGCTAGTTAGATTTCAATCATTTCGCCACTTCTCTTCTTCTTCTTCTCTGCTTGGCAATTATGTTCACTTGTAGGATTTATCAAGTGATCAAAAGAAATAATGAAAACTGTCGTGAAAAACTGCAAATCATGTGAAAGAAAGCAAGCGAGCTGCTGTCGAAGGAAATTGACTTTGTTGTGCGTGAATGGATTCATCTTTTTGCGTCAATATCTGTTCTGTTTGCTTTTAACCTCTTGTGACAAGCATTAAATCTACAAGGCACACTTCATCTGTCTTTGTATGTTGAAGATCTAGACAGATTAAAAGTCGAACTAGCGTACACTATTTTCTCTTTCTTTTCTTCTAAACTAACACATAATCGTCGCACTTCTTCCTTAGGACAATATTGAGATACAGCCGCAACAGGAGGGATGAGAGTAGCGGAAAACGACATAGACAGAGAGATGAAAAGAAAAAGGCAAAGAAGAAGAAGAAGAAGAATCAGAGAAGTTTTCTCAGATGAAATTGTAATAGTTTCTTTTTTACTGCTAATCAATAGTTTTCATAAGTATGACCATGCAGAATCAACACCGAAGATTATCGAATACAAATGATTCACCTATGTTTAGTCAATTAGTGTCGCTGAAAGAAAATAGTATAAAATCAACAGGATCTGTTCGCATTCATCTGAATGTCCCTGGAGAACAATCACGTCGTTCCTCTTTTGATTTCAACCTTCTTTCACCAGCGCCAACGACAGTTAAATTAACAAAAAATCGTTTACATACAACTATTCCCACTTCGATATCCACCGATCTCGATGGCGGACGACGAACTACCCGTTTTAGTAATGTCAGTAGTAGTTATGCTCAGTTTTTGAAGCAACGTGATATGGATAAAGTTAAAAAAATTGTAAGTCATACGCTCAAAACAGCCTAGAAGTTCGAAGATTTCCTTTCTATTTCTATTATCTTCAATAAAAGATCATTTAATTGAATTTGAACATTTCCAACTGTTTCTTTTTTATAGTTATCCCAAGAAGATCAACGTTTACTTTTATCATCGAGTGAATGGGTTGAAGACGTCAAAGATAGTGATCCATACGTGTCTGTTCTCAGTCGACTTGGTAAATACAGAAACATTGATTTTAATTCTTATCTTTGCCTGTTTTCCTATTTAGGCGAAGCCATACAAGATTCAGAAACATTGGTCGAATTTGTCAAGAAGTCATATTCCATTGTCGCTAATACATGTAACGTATTGACTTATATGTGTAAACACACAATGAATTCGATTTCCGTCAAGATAGATTGAGGATAGAAAGACACTCTGAATTGAATTTCTTATTTACGAAAGATTAGCGATATGAACTGTTTGTTAATAAGAAAGTCGAAGAAAGCTATTTCATTCTCATTTATATGAAAATGAGGATTTCAATAACGTATTGATATGCATGAATGACTCGGATGAGACTTTGAATTTGTCCTAGAGAAACTTTTGACGAGGTATTATCTTATTCAATCTCGTCTTCATTTCGTATTCTAGACGGAGCTACGTTTCTATTAGCATTGTTAACTGTTTTTCAAGTGATACTATTTTTTATCGGTACGTTTACTTCTCAGTGTGCTATGTGAAAGTAACAATGTAAATTTCAGGTGTTAAATATTTGAATGATTGTCCAGTACAACCAAATTTACCTGTTTATTTACTTGTCGCTGGCGCGATGGGTCTTGTACGTGCATTGAATTTACTATGGAAACAATTTCGTCGACGACGTTTGAGAAAGTTAGAAGGAGTTGAACTTGATCAAGAAGAAGAAACAGAGAATAGTTCGTATTGGACATATCGATTGTTTTCATCGACTTCTGCATATCTCTTATTTAGATGGATCTGGTTTTACAGATGCTGTTTTAAACCTTTTCCTTTTCGCCTGGTTCATCGTTGGACAGTTTTGGACGTGGTCTAGTTTCATGCCTAACTTCGAATTCGGATTAGAAAATCCAGATAAATACTGTCACAAAAATGTTTATATCTTTGCACTTATACATATTGGTTTAGTTTACGTTATGTTTCTAGGAGTGATTCTGTTTTTGATAGCACTTACATGTTGTGCAACGTTTCCACATTTGATTGTTAAAGCACCACGTTAAATAAAATAAGTCATCACAGGAAAATAATGACCAAATCATTTGATACATTATCTGTCGATTTTTATCAATAAATGACTTCATAGAGAACTACATAGCAACGATATTTTCTTTTATTTATTCACTTTTGTTCGCATTGAATGACATCTACAGTTCATAATGACTGTCAAACAGCGAAAAAACGTCTTTTAAAAGATCTTGTTCAACTTCAGTCGTTGACTCTGCAGGATGGTGCGACAGCAGCACCATTGAATGAATCAAATCTATTCGAATGGCAAGCAATGATTACCGGACCCGAAGATACACCATTCGAAGGTGGTCTGTATGAGTTACATCTATCTATCCCATGTGATTATCCAATACACGCTCCAAAAGTTTCGTTTAAAACCGAAATATTTCATCCGAATATCTACCAAAATGGAGATGTTTGTATAGATATATTACAAACTCAATGGAGTGAAGTGATGAGCATTGACAAAATCTTGATTTCAATTCGAAGTTTGCTAAACGAACCGAATGTCAATAGTCCAGCGAATGCCGAAGCGGCTCTTCTATACAAAGAGCATCGAAATGAATTCAATCGTCGAATACGCAATGACATCGACAAACAATTACAGTCCTGTAACGAATCCAAATAAAGTCCATATGAGTTCGCTCTGTCCATCATTAACTATGATTGATTGAAAACAACTATCTGTGATGTATCTCTCTATGTATTTTTTTATCATTTGTGGCATCAAATATAGGTCTATTAGCGAGTGCTGATATGACAGGTAGATAAAGGCAATTACCTTGAACACTTATATTTACATTCTGTTTACTTGTTATTCATATATCGATATCTTTTTTTTTTCTAATTTCCTGTTATCAGTTGACACGCATAAGCATGACAGAATTGAAGATGTGATAAGTAATACGATCAAGGGTGATCTTTCATTCTTCTCTTCCCACTTGGTGAGCGCATGTCAACAACAACAACAACAAACTGAAGGTTCAATTCGACGCTATTTAGATGAAACTTTCATCAGTTTACCTTCGAAGTCAACTGTGCTTTTTCATGCTCATAAATAAATTTCGACTATGGACACTCAAGACAATATATTCGAACATAAACGCAAATCGATAAGTGTGACAAGAAAAAAAGAAGAGAAGAGAAAAACGCAACTAGGAATAAGAGTAAGCATAAATCTACGTTGAGTCAAAATTGAAAATAAAATTGTAGAAGAAAGAAAAACAAACTGAACTTAAATGTTAGTGAATACGTGTGTGTTCTCACTGATCTCTCTGTACAGCCAAACACCGGGAAGTACACTCTTGCCCGTTTTTCAAAGAAGAACAAAAAAGAGAAGATAACTAGACAGACAGACGAACATCACACGAAAGAAAGAAAGTGAATAAGAATGAAGATTAAAATGAAATGAAAAATCGAGATGACACTGTTCTAAATATCGAATGAAAGGAAATGAGTGAGGAATAATGATCTAAATGGTTTTGAGTGATATTTTTGTTTTCAAATGTATTTCGACTCGTTCTAATTTTTCTTGAAAGCATCTGAACCAGCATAGGTAGCATCGCTGCCAAGCTCTTCTTCAATACGTAACAACTGGTTGTATTTGGCTAAACGTTCCGAACGGCATGGTGCTCCAGTTTTGATCTACAAATGAGTTTTACAAGAAATGCACACTTTAGGTATAAAGAAACAACCAACCTGCCCAGTACCCAAGCCAACAACAAGATCAGCAATGAAGCTATCTTCGGTTTCACCACTTCGATGGCTAACCATGACACCCCAGCCGGCACCACGAGCCATGGTGCATCTATAATCGAAGATGTACGATATGAAAAAAACAAACAGCAATTCTTACGCTGCAATGGCTTCTGTAACCGAACCGATTTGATTAACTTTGAGTAGTAGACAATCGCATGCATTCTTCTCAATAGCTAATTGAATTCGTTTTACATTTGTTACCGTCAGATCATCACTGAACAGAAATGTCTATGAAAGTTTTCTTCTATTCAAAAAGAACGATTGTCATACCCGACAAGTTGTACACCGCGACCTTTAACAGCTGTTAGAAGCGTTTGAAAGCCAGCCCAATCGTCTTGATCAAAACCATCCTCAATGGAGATAATTGGATATTTTTCAATTTGATTTAGGTAGTATGTGACCAATTGATCGCTTGTTAACTAGAAAATAAATCACAATCAGTATAGATTCAGATTTACTCTACGCGAATATTTACATAGTTTGGTTTGCCTTTTTCCTTGTTGTTTAAATCGTATTTCTTTTCCTTTTCATCATAAAATTCACTTGCAGCAACATCCATGCCAATTTTGATTTTACCAGTGTAGCCAGCTTTGTCAATAGCTTTGACGAGAATATCAAGTGCTACATAAAAAAAAACAGTCATGAGACATCGTATGTCATGCAAAGTTCTTCATCCACCTCGTTCAGCACTTTCGATATTTGGTGCGAAACCACCTTCGTCACCGACGTTCGTTGCATCAAGGCCGTATTCAGCTTTGATTCTAAACAAAAACTGTTTTTACTCAACACTCATTTTCGGTGCATCTTACAAATTTTTCAAATGATGATAAACTTCCGAACCCATGCGCATTGCTTCTTTGAATGTTTTTGCTCCAGTTGGTAAGAGCATGAATTCTTGCATTGCCAATTTATTACCAGCATGACTTCCACCATTGATAACCTATCCGATATGCAACTCAGAATGACAAATCGATTACAACAAACAAGTTTCTTGGTATAATTACATTGAAAGCAGGCACAGGTNTCAAGTGTACTTTGTTCGAAGTACGAAAGAAATATATTTATTTACAGCCTACCGACACCCTCTATCGCGGTTGTTTACGATGATATAGGCAAATGTACCGAAGACTTGCGCATTACCACTACAGTATTGTGTGGATGATTCTTCTTCTTCTTGTTCTGCGCCTTTCTTTCCACAAATAGTAGTGAATTCCAAATAGCGAAGAGGAACGAAAAAGAAAATAATGGACTTCAATGTGAGAAATTTATAAACTAATCGATCACTATGGTGTCGTGCCATCTCCGAGCGCCAAATTTTGTTGATCAGAAACGAATTCGATTCTGAAGAGAACATATTTTTCAAATACATAAAATCGAATTTTTCTTCATGTATACCTGGAGACAATTATTCGAGCTGTATGGACTTTGACCTGCGAGAGAGCGAGAAAAAACATACATATCACTCATGTGAGTATTTTAAGAATAGCATCAGCGCGTATAAGTGACTTCGAGATATATTTCGATTAAAAAAAAAAGACACGTGCTGATAAATAAACAGCAAATAGGTCGCCAACGATCTGTACCACAAAGAATATCATTATATAATAACCTAACAACAGGAAATCATAAACAAACACATGTAGAGAATGTCTCGCCAAATTGAGGCATTGAACTCTGGTTGTTATATATTGCCAATGCGAATGACAATTGGATCGATTGAATGGTTTTGTTTGTCATTCAAACTGTTGATACAGAAGAATTTATTTTGAACAAATATGTTACAGATAAAAAGAAAGTGTATTGCTTGATTTTGCGTATAATTGGTCAAAAAAAAGAGAATTTCCATAAAACTATAAACATATAATAAATATAAACAAATATCATCGCTTGATTAATCATATATGTATACATAAATCAATAGACAATTAAAATTTAGAGTTTCACTAGTAAGTATCTGACGAAATATCAATACATACTAAGCTAAGAAGGTATTTTTGTGTAAAACTATCTAGTCAAAGTTAAAAATAGGGTCGAGAAGTTATAGAAGAAGAAAATCGAATGACTATTCCGAGATGCTTGTTATGCAATGAGAAAAAAAAAGTAAAGAATTCAATGGTAAATATTAACACAAGTGTTTATCCGTATTGATTCACCGTAGAAAATCATGATTATAAGACTAAGAATTAATCTATTGTTTGTCCACTATTTGTGATGATGACAATGGTGGTTGATTTTCGATTTCATTCTGATGAACAGAACTTTCTTCTTCGTTAATGATGCTTACGAACGAATCTTCATCTTTGGTAATATAGTCGAGAAATGCTTGACGAATATTAAATGAAAATGGACTTGTTTGATCAACCATCCGTTCCGGGTGCCACTAAATAGAAAAAGATATTATTTCGATGAAAGACGAATCTTTTATGAAAAGAGTACCTGAACACCTAAGTAAAATGGATTTTCTTTTGCGTTTTTCCATTGAATTGCTTCAATAATCGGTTCTTCTGCTATGGCGGCAACAGTTAACTCTGCTCCAAGTTTCTCAACACATTGATGATGTGATGAATTCACCGCACCTTTGATACAACCAGTAATTTCCTTTAGAAGAGTTTTCTCTCGAACAATTATTTCGTGACGTTGATCAATTCCTATGAAAAATACAAATCTCTGTACCCATGAGTCGCATATAGCTCGTTTGTTCTCTACGCTATGGAATGTTGGTTGTACGTTAAGGCCAAAAAGTAATATATCACATAAACAAAATCAGATAAAGGATCTTCCATCTGGAGATTTATTTTTAGTCTCATTCGTATGGGAAAATGACACTCGGTCTATTCGGAATTTCTCTAATTACCTTGTACTTTCGCATGACCGCTGATTTTTGTTACAGTGGGAATATCGTAAACCAATGTGCCGCCATGATAAACGTTGAATAATTGCATACCTGAAAATAGAATTTCTGCATGAACTGTGTTTGACTTACTCATTCCTACCTCGACAGATGCTTAAAATAGGTAATTTCAGTTGTAAGGAACGGTGAATGACTTCCATTTCGAAATCATCACGTTTTTCATCAATATCAGTGAATTCTACTCGACCAAGAAGATCCGGTCGTTTGTATCGACGTGGATCTACATCTTCTCCACCGGACAAAACTACTCCTTGGCATTGCTCGATATCATTGAGATTATTTAGTCGATATGACAAACGAATAATATCGACTTTTACAGGCGCATCTAAGAACCATCGCTCGTAATTGCTGTAACGAGCGCAATCGGTAATGCCAATTCGGATACTGTTCATAATTAGTCGAGTTTTCATTGTTTTTCCGTGTTTAGAAATAAATATCGACAATGAGAATTGTTGTTTGTTGTTCGACTAGAACCATTCAGATTGCGAGTCAACGTGTTTAACGTTATTTACTCGCAAATAATTGTAAGCTTCTGATCGTACCGGATTGGTCTATACTATTGAACAAGTCAGAATTATTCAAAGTCACATCTTAGTCATTGTCAATGTTGACTCAGTGACAGAAAAGAGAAATAATAAAAAAAAATCGTGGGCTAAGAAGCAGAAGGATTTTTTACAAGATTGATGACATCGATTGTGGCTCACTCTACAATGCAAATGCTATTTCATTAACAGTTGTCGTATATAAACCTACGTGAGTAAGATAAGCAAGTTTTTTTTTCTTGTTGTGAAAGATCAATTGTGTACTTTGTTAACTCAATCAATTTTTAGATATGGCATCGGCATCTTCGGCAACTGCAATAAAAACTACAGATATTGAACATGAAACACCTGAAGAAGTATCGAAAAATATTGATGAAAGTAAGAAGAGTTCGATAGTACTACGTCTCGACGAGAAAGAAGAAAAAGATGAGGTACTTTATTGTGGACGTCGACAAGCTCCTCATGGTATATGATATAGATGATGACACATTTTATCGCTATCATGCTTTCTTCTTCCCGCTTGATTATTCATTTCTTATTTTTAATCATGATTAGAACAACGGACCGACCTGTCTCCGCATGCTATTCAAAAAAGATCCATAACACCGCTTTCAGCGCTTCGTAGGACGATTTCTCTTTTATTTGCATGCACAAAATCTAAAATCGTTTTGTTTTCCATATAGCTATCAGAGCTCGCTCGACTCTCAACAAAGAGAAAATAATTCTGACTAGCAGTTCTGCTTCTCAGGCTCGACCATACGAGGAAGTTCTTGTGGTTCAACCAGACGTCGATGCATCAGGTGGAATATCGTCAAAACCGACGGATGGTAGTTCGGTGTCGATGACTGGATCTAAATAAACTATTTTCTCGCAATAGATATGCTTGATTAATGATGTTTTATTGTTTGTATTCATTTCCGTGTTTCGCATGAGAATGTATTTTCAGTCACTGGATGAAACTACCAAAAACAACAATTGTCGTTTTTTTGAGCAATAAATTGTACCTCACTATTGAGACATGAATTAATCCTGCTATGTCTTATAATTCACAGTATCACAAACATAAGGAAATTTATTGGTAATCTTTGCTTCTTTCCATTCACGAAGATAAATTTTAAGGAATCAAACTTTGTTCATCACTGATGTACAGAATATCCTGTACAAGATTCGTCGGATTTATGAATAGTTACGTATCTGTTGCAAGTGGAAAAGAAGAAAAACTCGTTGAATATCCATCACGCCTACAAGCACCAACCTACATACTGCACGAAGTTATTCCTGTCCTTTCAACATAAACGCCTTAATAGTGGTTATTTAATGGCTCGTTTTAGATATCCAAATGGGAAAAAAAACAACGTAAATATTCTTTTCCTCTCTGTCTCTCTCGAATAATCTCGAAACATCGTAATTCGACAACCACCACCGTCAATATATTCCATATATAAATATCGTAACCACCAAGTAAAATATACAAACATATCATCCGTTGACTTCTTTTTATATATCAAGTGAAACATGTCGTACTTTCCTGTCACTCATTATCGACTATTCAACGATCCGTACGATCGATTCTTTGGTGATCAACAGCATTTCTTCGATCCATGGCGTGACTTTGACACATTTCCTACCGCATTGTCGACCACACCAAGTTCATTTCGATGGATCAATCAACCGCGTCGTATAAGCCGTTCATCGTTTTATACAACGTCGGGTAATACAAATAGTACCAACGGTGGTAATACACTTATTCCTGTCACCACAACAGTGACAACGCCAGCTCTTTCAGAAAAATTTCGTGTTCAACTCAATGTAGCAGGGTTTAATCCGGAAACAATTAGAACAAGAGTCGAGGGCCGACGAGTAATTGTTGAAGCGAAGCAAGAAGATCGACAGGGCGATGGAGATTACAGCATTCGTGAAATTCGCAAGACATACGATCTTCCCGAACACGCTGGTTAGTAAAACATTGTCATACCTCAACTGATTCGTATCGATTCTTCTTTTTCATATAGATGCCAGCAATTTAGCTTCATACGTCACCCCAAACAACATGTTGGTTATTGAAGTTCCTATTTTTCATCCACAAGTCGAGCGTCGTATATCGCAAACAGTTGCCGATACGAATTCTCTCGCTCAGTTCGGTCAATATCGCGATCCTATATTTGATTATGCCGGTTTTATTGGTTCATCAGACTTTCATCCGCATATTATCGATACGAATATCAATGGACAAAAACAATTGAAAATGTCTTTGGCAGTGAAAAATTATCGTCCAGAACAAATCAAAGTGTCAGTGAAAAATAACGAATTGATCGTTCAAGCGGAAAACGTTTACAACGATAACACACGTTCTGAACGTTCGTTCCTCACCAAGTCAATTTCATTGCCACCTGGTGCACAGATCGAACAACTACGATCATTTCTCAATGTTGACGGAATTCTAGAAATTGAAGCGCCATTCATTGAACCAAACCAAATGCGTTCAATCGAAGTACAGCGCCAATAATTCTTCTGTTTGTCTCAAGCGTTTACGATTGCTTATTTTCTGTAGTTTTACTTCTAAGATTCGAAAAATAAATCGGAAAGATGATCAAAATCGACCAACTCTTCCATAGAACATAATCTCAGATTGATGAAAGTTTTTCATTCGATATGTTTCTCTTTGCTTTCGACAAATAGAACAAAAGATTAACCACTAAGCATATACTCGGTTTCACCTTTTCCTTTCTTAAACCTATTGCTATTTTTACAGATCTGTAACATTTACCCAAACCTCAGATTTCTTAAAGCATATATACATACAAGAGATCTTCGAATACAAAAACAAGACGAATATAATATTTCGGTAGATGTTTTTATGGCGAACAGTCGTCTTCTACTCGATTCCTTTTCGAGTACATACTGCTTAATACTTTATTCGACAGAGTATTTCTGTATTTAGACGTGGTTGAACGATATTCTTTATCGCTAAATTCTGAACATCAATGGCATTCACTTCATTTCCTCGCTATCGTTTTCTTCATGATCCATTCTTCTTCTATTCATTGGATTTGTTCGATCCATGGTTTGATTTCGATTGGTTTCCATTGTACCCTCCTGTAACATCAAGATACCAACGAATCAAACGTCAAGAACGGCTGTCGTATACAACAACTACAACGAATAACAACACCACGACTAATGACACTTATCAGTTTCCTCAACGCACAGGTAACAGTTGTTGTTTGATGAAGGCAAATCGCCATATCGATCTTGTTCTAGACACGAATCGATTAACTTCTTATATTACACCAAGTAACACATTGACAGTTGAGATACCAGTGCAAAATTCGAATAGTGACCGTCGACTTCAACGGGCTAGAAGTAGCAGTCAAAGCTTGACACAATTTAGTCGACAAGATCGTTTATTTGATGATGATAGTTTTCTCAATGATGCTGAGATTCAACCACGTACTGTGAACAAAGGAAACAATAAAAAACAATTGGAATGGTCTATTGATATGAAAAACTTTCGGCCTGAAGAAATAAATGTTTCAGTTAATAATAATAGATTAATTATTCAAGGTCAGCATCAACATGAAGAAGCAAATCGTTCGGAAAGTGCATCTTTCTACAAATCAACAACATTACCACCCGGAACACGTATTGATCAACTTCAATCGCGTTTCAACGACGGACAATTGCAAATTGAAGCGCCACTCTCGTAATAAGACAACAAGATATAATCGATGGGTAGTCAATAGAAATAGACTATAAATATGATTTTATTCGTAGTGTTATGTAGAGTTCTCTGGTTGGTTGCTAGACAATAAAATAATAATAATAAACTGATTTTATTTCTCAGTATTTCAAAAAACAACAGATAGCTTTAGAAACTATTTCATTCAATTCAAAAATAAAAGACCCACACACAGACCTTAAAAACTTGCATTCATCATAGATTTTCATTGATGTAGTTCACTACATCATTAAGCATTTTCCTAGCAATATCTAATGCAAATGCTCCATGTAGAAAACCAATTGATCCGTGAAAGATATGTTTATAATGATTGTGTACAACTGGCACACCATTTTGTCTAAGACGACCTTCGTAGATGAATGCTTCATCGCGTAAACGATCGTGACCAACACTCAACAAATAAGTAGATGGTAATTTTGCTAAACTTTCATCATCAGCAAGTAAAGGAGACACTTCGGGATTGAGGACTAATTCAGCATTTTCGATCAATTTTGGGTCGCCTCCCTTCTCATCTGTTAGTGGCTTCTGATAAACTGTCCGATATCGTGCTGGTATCAACGACCAATCCACATATTTCCGATATTTTTTCTTCTGTGCCACACTCAAGTGATTGTTAACATAGATCGACTTGTCAACCTTCTTGCCAAAATAAGCTGTTAATGTATGATCAACAGTGTATGGAAAGATTTCAAAATGATTTTGTCTATAAGAAGGGAGCATCATATCGACAAACTGTAATACAGGATAAATAAGAATCTGAAGACGTGGTTTACGTTCACTGGTAGTTTGACTAGCAAAACGCATTGCAATTACAGCTGCGAAATTTCCACCTGAAAAATCAGAAAGAATATAGGCCGTCTTACTTCAACGATTACTCAGTAAGGAAAAGATGGACTTACCAGCTGAGTCACCAGCAACGGCGACACGATTTGTATCTATTCGAAATTTGCTCGAGTTGCCATGTTCAAGAATATGCTTGGTAACAGTGTAACAGTCTTCAAGACCAGCTGGAAATGGATGTTCAGGAGCAAGACGATAACTAAATGGAGATTTTTTGTGAGTACTCAACTACATTATCAAATAATACTCACTCAACGGAAACTACGACAACGTTTGCTAATCTTGCGAGGCCACTTGTGAGTGAATTGTGCGTGTCTAATTATATTTATAAATATTTATATTCCATAGGTATTATTACTTCATATGAACAGTTCAGCTTACCTACAGATCCCATATAGAAAGCACCGCCATGAAAGAAAACGATGGCTGGTAAGTTTCCATTCTGGTTTTTTGGACGGGCAATTCGAACAGGAACATTTTCAATCAGAATATCTTCAATCTAAAGAAAAGGAAGAGATGGGTTTAGAGATAAAATATAGAAGGAAGTGAATGCGTCTTACTTTAACACCAGCATCGTCTTTTTTATTTTTTACTCGACGAGACAACCCTGATACTTTTCGTACTAAGGAAACACGATCAGAGATACCAAGTTTTTCAGCTGCTTTACCCTAATATAAACGACTCATGAGACGAAAATAACGAGTGTAAACACAACATACAATCCTATAAGTAACTTTCATCGAAGTAGTCAACGGTTGAATGCGACTTAGTTGCTCAATCCCTTCATTTTTTTGGGAATACCATAAGTACGTCATAATGCTTGCTTGTTACTGCAGTAATGATAACTGTATAGTGATATGTACTACTCATATATTATTCAGAATATGATATTTTACGAAGTTGACTAGCAGTACGTCATCGAACACACTTTCGTTACAGTCAGAGGTGAGATATGACGACAAGAGAACACGCTTATAGTTTATTACGAACGCAAAAACAAGCTATTTCAGTTTTGATTACCCTCAGGTAGACGCATTCACGTGCATCAGAGTGAAATGTATGCGCCTTCGGAAAATCAAACAGCCAATAGGAAACATATGGCCATATTTTTAAACAAGCATAATCATAAGGTAACTAAACTGCGCTCCTATGAGTCGCAAAATACATTTTGTACCAATACAAGTATATCACCAAAATAAACAAGTATCCTAGTATAAAATGATCTACTTGTTTTATTTCCAGTTTGATTCATCGTCAATTTATTGAACGTTAGCAGCTGGTAGTATCAAAAGTTTCATTAGAAGAGACCAGAAAATCAACAAATGTCATTACGTCATGAAAAATGAGATGCACTCGGTACATTATATCGTTAAAGTAAATTGTTGTAAACGTTTAAAGCATCGTAGAGTATTGAATAGAATGCTTCTAAGCAATGCATGACTAAATGTCGGTTATGGAACGCTTCTTCTTGAACGAAGGATGTATTCACACAACAATTCTCGACTTGTACAACCGATTTTTACTAATTAAAACGATTCTAAATACATGTCAGTTTGCTTTGTATGTGAGAAGAATGACATTCCGAAATTTTCCCTTTAAGGTTTTTCAAACAACCGAACTTGGTGACCAGAAAAAAATCCGTATACCTACCGAGCGCTTTCCTCGCTTTTCCTGATATATCGTGCGAATATGTTTGTGTTTCTTTTGCATGATACAATGCTCAGATTCAAACCAGAGTGGCAACGCCAAGTTTGGATTGGTCTTCAACCGATTCAAAAGCACATACGACGGAATAGGTGATGGCGTATAAAACGATGATTCGACTTAAACATGACCGTCACCGCTTGAACCATATTCTGTATTATCGATGTAACTGGAATGATTGGTCAGTTTCAAGAGAGATTCGATATAAAAGGTACATGCTTTGAATACTCATTTCAAACTATGTCGATGTGATCTAAAGCGATGCTTTCATGAGTGAATGTTGATAACAGGATACTCAACAGACAAATACCTTTTCAATGCTCATTACTAATGAGAATAAGATAAACAGTGACCAATGATAACGCAATCCGGAAGAGAAAAAGAGAAGAATATTTCGATCAGATGAATAATGAAGTAGTTGCCATTATTGAAATAGAAAACGAAAAAGTACAATCTTCACATCGAGATAACTTATGCTTTTTTTCTCATTTCTTCTTGATTTGATCTTTAATAAGATATATTCTGATTAAACAGATTACGATCAATCATACCATTAACGTCAATCATTTCTCTGAGCGGCAGAGTATTACGAATTCCTCTCTTTTTCTCTTATCATTGATAGATTGATGCAAGAAAATCGAATTCGTTTTCAAAAGTTTGATTTATTGTTTAAACAACTAAAGGTGAAAAAGACGATACCGATGGTGATAAGTAAAATACCAGCAGGATCTTGATTGGTTTCGATTTTGACACTGTATGTGTCGTGAACATGAAAGTGTTTCTTGTGAATTTTGACAATCTAGAAGAAGTTTATTATCATATGAAAGTTAACTCAAATAAGACTACATATACATACTTTGTGATCATATCTTTTAATCGAAAATATTCGGCAACCAATGTTTCCGGTAATACGTTAAGTTCCCAATTTGGCTGCACTTCATGTTGAATCGTGCACTTGGCGGGCATACTTGAAATACAGATGGGTTAATTCGCGCTTAAATTCGTAGAGTGATTGACCGTTATCAAGAAAATGAGTTTCTTGTCAAGACTTAAGAATTCATTTTGAATTGAAAATGAATGGGCTTTTGGTCGTCGAGTGTTATGCTGACTTCAGTTATTCCAGAAGATGATTTCGATGAATCGCAAAGTTTGGCAAGGAAAAACAAATATGAACGTGTTTACTTCGACTAGTATTCAATGAATTTCCTTGTTTCACTTCAGATTTCCGTTGGAGGCTGGAGGTAACAAAGATAGCATCAATGAATAACAGTAAGAGAATAGATGTGAATATATTTCTAGTCGATCGAAGAAAGTTCAATAGAAGAAAAGTGAACATGCGTTTGATACTCACAGACTATAGAAAGTTCATCGATATTATGTTGTGAACGAAAATTTTCTCCACGTTTTATGTGTGTTATAAAATAAACTAGAACGATGGTCGATGGAATCTGAAGGGAATTGATTGCTGATGTACAGGTGCATAGACTCTCTGAACCAGCATGGAGTATGCCTAGATTTCATTGATAATAATCTGTAGTTGTTTTCAGACAGCATATTGTAAGATATCATCGGTTGGATTGTGTGGGTTAACGAGAACGATTTCACAAGGACGAAGACCTTGTTAACCGGCTTTTCATAGCCATGATGAAAAATTTCTCTGGTTTATATGAGATTTGAATTACAGAGTCCAACCAGTACACGAATCGTTTAATTACGTATGGGTCATACCATTACCTCATACTCGTTCTTTCAAGTTGTTTCTTTGTTTGGATTCTGCCGATATCATATCATAAACAAAATTCTTCGAAAGCAGTTAGCTGCAAGCCCAATCTAGCCGTCCAAGATAATGCTGCCGGCAGTTTGTTTCGACCAAATGACGAATCTGACGACCAAGAGGGTGAACTCGAAGTGACTACAACAGCTACCGATCCATGTCTAGCGTCAAAGCCATTTCTCTACAAAGCTGCTCGCGACCAATACTTCGGAGATATGCTATACGAAAAAGATAAGAACAGGTGGTCGGCTACATACTTATTATGCAAGAAAGTCAAAACAGTTTTCGACTGACAAATTTTCCAGTCTAGGAATCTCATTGATATTCGTTTACAGTGGAACAAGAGAAGGTTGACTTAAATAGGTAATCACAGATGGAGACAAACTGTTCGAAAGTTGTCCCGATTAGTAAATAGAAACAAAGGCAAATGTGTTTGATCTTTTAATGTTGCATGAAGAAAATATCCGCTGGATACGAAGCACTAAATACACATTGTTCAATTTAATCAAACCTGAAAGTCCCTTTTCTTATCTGAAACAGGCTTCATAGCGACATCTCATGCAAATATAGGATCTACATAGGACTACGCTTAAGAAGTCTTCAAAAATTCCAAATTTTGACTTTCTTTTGTAAAAAGCAGGATTCTTGGTAGGATAAGGATAGTTTTTTTTCCAAACAACGCGCCACGAAGAATTCAACTTCTGAGTTGTTCGACTCACATCAGACAAAGATAATTTTCTTAGTACAAAATCAGTACATTAAGCAAAGTAAAAATCAAAACCGCATCAACCATACCTGCCTGATCACATTGGGTAAATGATATATCTATCTTGTATTTTTCACATGAGTGACAATCAAAAGTTTAAAAAATAATCAGATAATAAATATTGCAGAATAGCAGGCACATAGAATCAGTCAAGTGGTGGCAATCATGATGAAAAGTCTGTATTCGCAATTTATCGTAGGAATGAAACCCAGGACGAACAATCCGATCGGAGAAAGCTTTCGTTTTCACTTTAGCTCGAAAGAAATAGCTTTAAAAAAGACGTCGCGAGGGGATGTCTGTTGCTGGTTGGCCGGATACATAGATTCATCGATATCGGACAGTCCGTAGTAAATATAACTCGAAATGACGAGAAGAGCTGTAGGTATGCTAGTAACCGGTCGCCAATACAACTTAAAGTAAAGAAAACGAGGTTCTAACGAATGATATAATGACTATTAAGATGTTAGAGCATAAAATGTTTATTAGCAGTAAAAAGTGACTCGACACTTGACTATTCTTTGATATAGTTCTCTCTTCGATCGAAGCAATAGCGTTCCTGGTAAACATTTTTTCGATTTTTTTCGACATAAAATTCTAGTGAATGTATACGATATGACGATAAAGTTAATTGCCGTATTATGATCAGTTGTTAAACGTGATGCTGTTTTCGTCGTTACCTGTGTACTAAAACACCATCTATATTCCTCTTTCGCGCTGCACGACTGACATCGTTGAAAACTGACACAAGAGAGAAAAGAAAAAAATGAAGCGAAGAGAGAAGGGCAAACAAAAAGGACGAGAAAGGAAAAGAGCTAGAACAGCAACGCATCAACAAGAACATTCAAGAACATTCTACATACTGCTCCAACTCTCTGTTTTCCTATATTGCCGGCCTATATATATACGCGAGTGGATCGTTGCTACAAATCATACACATTTCAAACACTTCGCTTACGATTCATATCTTCGAATTCAACGCTCTTCAAACTAAATTGATTCAACAATGGCATACTTTCCAATTCGTCGTTATCGTCTTTTCGATGATCCATTTGATCGCTTCTTTGGTGATCAGCTAGATCTATTCGATCCATGGCGCGACTTCGATACATTTCCAACAGCACTTTCGGTTCGACCAAATGCATTCCGATGGGTCAACGAACCTCTTCGATTAACTCATGGTAATCATTCAAACGCGCCAACATCGCCAGCACCACATGCTGAAAAATTTCGGGTTCAACTCAATGTGGCTGGCTTCAATCCTGAAACAATTAAAACAAAGGTCGATGGCCGTAAAATCGTTGTCGAAGCCAAACAAGAAGATCGACAACCCGATGGCGACTTCAGCGTCCGTGAAATTCGTAAAACCTACGAACTTCCCGAACATGCTGGTAAGTAATCATTATCTTCATAAGTGATCTTGTATTCATGAATGATTCTTATTTACTAGATGCACAACATATGGCTTCCTATGTAACACCAAACAATATGTTGGTCATCGAAGCACCGATTCGCAATCCCGAAACCGAGCGCCGAATTCAACAAGCCAAAAATGAGAATCAAAATTTGGCTCAATTCGGTCAATATCGTGATCCGTTGTTTGATTATGCTGGCTTTTTGGGTGGTTCTGATTTTCAACCACGTATTGTTGACAAAGGCAACAACCAAAAACAATTGGAAATGAATCTTGGCATGAAGAACTTCAAGCCCCAAGAAATCAAGGTTTCGGTCAAAAACAATGAACTCATTGTTCAAGGTGAACATCAGCATAAGGATGCAAATCGTTCAGAACGATCATTCTTCTACAAATCGGCTACATTACCACCTGGAACACAAGTTGATCAACTTCAATCGCATTTAACCGATGATGGTCAATTAAAAATTGAAGCACCATTCATCGAACAAAAAGAAGGACAAAAGTCAATCGAAGGTCAGAAGAAATAAGATATGAACATCCAAATATATAGACAGATACCTCTGTTCATGTGTTGCGTCTTTTTTTATTTGTAGTGTGCTAGTTTGTTCTCGTTTTTAAAAATAAAAGAATTCGATGATCAGAGTTCTGGTCATTCGAAAACAAAATCCTTCCGATTTTTATTTTTGATTAAGCAGAGACAGACAAGAATGAACTACTGGTCATCGTTCGATGTTACTTATCAATTTCAGTGTAGAAACAAAATTGATTTGCACGATAGATGTACTGAAAGCCTCAACTTTTGAATGAGTTTGTAGTAATACCATAGTGGTTCAACAAAAGCTTTTTACTTTTCAAAACCTTTCAAAGGGCGAAGTTCATTTTCAAATTTCAATGCATAGTGATTAACGAGTAAGTATGAACGTGCGGATAGAACTGGAATTACGCGAGTTAAACGATTAACGAATGCTATTTCAGCTATAGCAAGTTTCTTGATAGTACCTAAAGGTGATCATATTGCGTTTTATTTGATAATCTTGTGAGAATGATCGAACAACGATTGGTTTGTCCGTAATACATTTAGTCTCTGTCATAGCTAGCATCATCAAATTTTGGATAATGTTTTCTGACATTCAGAGAAGGTGTGTTCAACTTAGAATGAAACATAGGATTCTTATTTCTCCGCTTCAGTCATTGTACTTTGCTTAATGGTGATCAAGAAGTCGGTAACATGCCTATTTATAGTCAGATGTAAAGAGTAGAATAATCTGCTTAATAAGCATTAGTAAACAAGTGAATATCCGCAAATTCAATGGAGATTGTGGAGAACAATGTACACAGAAGAACTAAGATAGCCAGGAATGTATTGAAGATTAATAATTACTGTTGTGTATATCAGATTTAAATAAAGATATACATTAATATCACTTAATAGCGTAGCTTTATCGCGTACTATTAGCAACTAATGCGTGTCATTAGTGTCCATCTCATAAGTTGATCATTCATACGGAAAGCAAAACTTTTTAGAGTTATCTTTTAAAGAATGAGGATACTGCTGAAATCAGTTAAGAATATATAGTATTTTATTGTTCTATGATGAAAATATTAGGAACAAGCCTATTTGATGAGAATCGGCCGGCGTCTTTTTCTTTTTTTTTGTTTTTTCCACTTTTCATGACAATGATCATAACAACGAGAAGATTAAAAATAGTCAGTTCTCAAAATCAAAACAGAAAATTTGTTTCACTGTGATAATTCTCACTGATGTTGAATATTCTCCTGTTGCTATTGTCTTGTTAATCGATTTAATGTTGACTTAATTCAAATACTCGGATTTGATTATCTGTAAAGCCAGCGAATAATGTTTGACCATCAGAAGACCATGCCAACGACGTGCATTGTTTTTCTGATTTAACTTCATCCGCAACCGTTTTCGTTTCCAAATCCCAGATTTTGATTGATGAACCAGTTGCTACAATGACGAAGAAATCAGTTGGTAACTTATCCTCTCGTAGTCATCACATGACTTACCAGCACAAAGCCAATAACGATTGGGTGAAAAACATAATGAATTGATAATGTCACCGCTTTCAAGTGTGTACAAATGACGACCATCGTTAAGATCCCACAACATAGCTTTACCATCGCGACCACCGCTAGCACATAATGAACCATCAGGTGATACGGTAACAGTATTGATGTATGATTGATGTCCATAATGGTTGGTACGTAATTTGCAATTGCTTAAATTCCAAACCTTGATGAGAAATCGAAATGAAAAATTCATATATTGTTCGAAACGATGCATTTACTTTAACGACTTTATCCCAACCAGAAGAAACAATTAATGGATCTTTTTGGTTTGGACTAAAGCGTACGCATGATACCCAATCGTTGTGGTTGTCATCAGCAATGGTATATTTGCCTAAATAGATCAAAAATTGTTTCACAAACAGTCACTAAACTCAAGAGATTTACATTGTCCAACGGTGTTCCACAATTTAATAGTTTTATCACGACTACCACTGACAATTTGTCGATTATCAGCCGAAAAAGCCACACTCAAAACATCTTTCTTATGACTAACGAATTGTCGAGTGCTTGCTCCGACAGATAAATCCCAAAGACGTAAGGAATTATCCCATGAACCACTAACAGCAAAAAGGCCATCACTTGATATAACAACATCCGAAACGAAATGCGAATGGCCACGTAATGCTTTACTAGGTACACCGCACGATGTATTTTCGCCAGTTGGATCATGTTGGTTGTTTAATTGCCAGATGATGATTGTTTTATCACGCGATGATGATAGAACAATATCGGGAAATTGCGGTGTTGTAGCAATTTGAGTGACCCAATCATTGTGGCCGACAAGAACGCCTTTTAATCTAAGATGTTCGCTTGACATTTGTTGTTTTGTTTAACAAGAGATGAGAGATGAGAGTCTAGAGAAAAAGAGAAATTTTACTGAAATGTTCGAACTGAATCAACAGAACAAATAGAGAAAAATCTTTTCTAAGAAATGTAGCTGAATTTTACTTTCACAGTTTTTACAAACACACGGTAGGTCTGATAATGATGTGAACCAATGAATGCGATCAATTGATCTTGCTGAAACCTTTTTGTTAGAAAATTAACAAATTATTTTTACGATATTTTTGCGAAGAAATTTCATCAATTTTATCGATTTAATCATATGATAAATGGATTTTCAACGAAATGGTTTTTCGCTACTTTTCTAGATGTCGCCACCAGACAAGATCGAACTCAATTTTTCACCTTCGCGAAAGTTCTGGAATGACCAAACGGATTGTCGCGTATTTATAATTTTACCCAAATTAATATTTGAAAAACGTGTTACTACACGACAAATAAAGGTAAACCTAACATCAATAATACTCAATACGTATGAATTAATTCCACATTTATTTCAAATAAATAATTCTCCCATTCTAGTACATCGATAGACGAACGAATACATAAATATATAAGATTAAATAAATAACAATATATAACGAAAAAAAAGCGACTAAGAGGAGATGAATCAAAATCGAAAGGATCACATACATTCATTTTAATACAAGTTCTTTTTTGCTTTAGAAGAAAAATATCTCGCATGTGGACGTATGGCTTTTTTATGTATTTTTGAAAAGTAGAAGAGTATGAGAAGTAACCCCTGCAGATAGAATTCACGCGGAACTGAGAGCTCATGTAATCATTTAAGAAATTTTCTTGTGTATATGTTCTATCTGACGAAAAAAACCTAATTTGTTTTGTTCACGGACGGTAGAGCAAACGGAATGTATGCAGAAAGAACGAGAGTAGAAGGGATAAATCTAATTGCATGATTTGATGTTTGGGCTTGACTAGAATTTTTATCACTCATTCATCTATATCTTGTTGACGAGTTTCATTTTGATGTCGAGAGCGACGAAGACAACATAACAGACGATTCTGACAAAATTGACCGATTCGTTGAAACGGAATAGAACCACATTTGCCAACCGATCCAATACTAGCGCAAAGAGGTAAAAAGAAGAACATTGCAAAGATCCAAGACATAAACACTAAATAAAAGTGGATTGGAAATAACAAAAACATGTTTTGATAACATACTGATCGTCATTAGAAATTGACCCATCTGGCGGAATGATGTCAGTGCGGATAATGTCATAGAAAATCCGGCGGCAAAGGTTGTAAAAGCAGCCATAAATACGGCAGAACCAACACGAGATATGGATTCCGTTACGCGTGTTTCACGCTCGGCTTGATGTTCTTTGTATAACAATCGATACGAGCGAATATCTAAAAGCAGAAAATATTATTGAACTTTGTTATTTCGAAAGAAATCTGATTTACTAGGAACAGTTTGCACTTCTGGTTTATCCGAAGATGTCGATAACGATGCTAAGTAGCGATCTTTGATAGTTTTACGTTTACGTTCGATATCACGCGAGTTTGCATGAATGTAACCAACACCGAAATGTACAACAAAATCCACTGAAAGACCAACAGACATAATCACAATAATAGCTTCAATAATTCCCAATTCCCATTTCAATGCAGCAAAAATGGCGACACTGACGGCTGAAAACAAATGAAAGACAAAAGTTCTTTTTGCAAAAAAAGACAACTTCATCTTACCGATAGCAAATGTAATTGTAATTAATGCGTAGAGGGCAATGAATAGATTGCCTGATGTCAGAAAAAGTACTAACAGAGCAATACCGAGAGATGCAACAAGAGATGAATAAGAGCCGACAAGTAATTCACGTTGAACACCGTAGAAAGCAAAACCAGGCGATGAAAACCATGCGTGTTGTAAGTGTTCCGGCGCATGTCGTTTTATGTATGGATCAAAGAAATTCTTAATTTTAAAGTAGTAGCTATTGTACGAATCATAATCAGTACGATTGAGTGCACCTAAATATAAAATGATTCATATTTACTGTTAAGAAGAAAAACAAAGTAAGGAAATAAATGATCAATGATGGAGAGTGTACGAGTGGGAGTGTTCGAGTTGGCGTGACAATGTCTTTGTTATCACTTAGTGAAATTTTACGTTTAGAAAAACATTCATCAACTACCGTATAGTACCAGTTGTGTTGGAACAAAGGAAACTCTTTCAGTATAATTCTGCATAATGTGAATCACAAACCAACCATGGAGTAGTGTAAGTCAATTGCAGGAAAGACAATATATTTCTTTGCACTTACTACGAAAATTATCCTTCGATTGGAACTAAACGAATTATCATTTGAGACACAAAATAACCTTTCAATCTCGCTCAGTTTTTCTTAACTTTATTTTTTCAAACTTCAGGTTTTTGACGTACCTCGAATGGTAATAATCACAGCAAATGGTCGAACACTGCCATCAATCGGTGATGCTTTGTCAGGTAAGACAGCCCAGTTCACAGAACGCTGCTTATTAAGTTGTCGTTCACAAAAATCGGGTGGGATGTTGTTGGCTCCGGCTGCACCAGTTAAACATTGCATAGCCGTTCTTAGTGCCGCACGATGATATTCACCTGTTAATACATCACGTATAGATCCATTCAAATATTTCCGAATCTCATGTCGATCATAACTCTTTTCCAGCTGAAAATAGATGTCAATTATAGGAACACGGACGATTATCTTGTGAAACATACCTCCTCCTTGTAATACTTCTCTAAAGTTTTGTTGAATAGTTTTCTGTAATTCGAATAGTTTAAAATTGGATTCTTGCGATTGTTTAATTGCTTCACACTGAGTTTGCTCAGTGTCTTATTATTTTTCTTCTTTTGTGAATCGATGTAATCTTCATGATCTGATTCATCCTCTTCAATTCGATATCCAATCGGTCGCACAGTTTCCCGAACCAAGTTCTCTATCAAACTTGTATTCAATTGAGATAAATGTTTAATCATTCCTATATGGTCTGTAACTGATAGATTTTGTCGTGCCCGATCATCAGCGACTTTGGCTACCAAAATGTTGTCCGATGTCAACTAAGTGAATGAAAATTTCTAATTGAAATGATTATTCCAATCGACATACTTGATAAAACGCTTCGAAATCTTTATCTAAATCATAATTTGAACCGAACAGATCAGATCGTGTGCCCAGATCGGTTATGAATTGTTTGAAAAAATCCAGCGTGCGTTGTCGTTCAAGATACAGTGGCATTAGATGAAGATGACCTCGGTCATTCATGTCAAATATGTATCCATCATCAATATCACGTATGCCAAATATGAATGAAACAGCTGGATAGGCAAACAAGCGTTTTTCTTCTTTCGAGTAGCCATTGAACTTATTTTTCATGGAAAATTCGTATATTTCCATTGGATTGTCTTTTAGAAAAAATGCTACTTTTTGTGTTGATGGTACTTGTAGTTTCGGATAATGAAATACTCCGACGAGACCTACGAGAACCGAAGATGAATAGTGACAGTGCAATACAAAACATCACAAACCTAAGATGCCCATGGGTAAAAAGAGTAAAACCAACAAAAACCGTAGATTAATAATAATGAACGGCATAAGATAGCCGAATGTGTACTGACGAATATCTCGGCAGATTGTTGCTAGTCGGCGACATAGCTTTCCTGTTGATTCATCTGGAGATGGATCTACAACGGTCGTCAATCGAATCGGTAACAAACGTGAAATAATATTTTGAATGTATTTTTCGTAAATAATCTAGACAAATGGAAATCAAAGCGTTTCATCGACTACTATTCGAATTCTTAACTTACAGCGAATGCAGCTATTGCAGTAACTGTGATAACAAAATACAGTAAAATGCAAGTGCCAGTAAAAACGCCGAAAACTTGAACGAATGAAATATTCGTTAACATATTCGTAAAAAATGCGGCTGATGTTGTAAATGATGTAACAAACATCGATGATGCTGCATGTTTTAACGTTTTCGCCATTATTTCGGTGAGAGCTTCTTCGCTCGATAGTAACCGATGCATTTCTTCAGGATCATTTAATAGTGGTGATCGATGACGAGATTGAAATTCATTCGATGGAATCTTGAATTTTCTCTTTTTCTTCGTTTGCGTTTCGTTAGTAATTTCGTTCAAAGGAATATTCACATCTAAATTCGACCTTGTCAATCAAAATATTCAACGTGCTGTCTTACCTTGTTGTTGTCGATCTTGATAGTTTCTTATCCATTCAGCTTTTTCTTGATCCCAGGTATCGAAAAAGACGAAAATATCATCACAACCGATTCCAATCAATATGAATGCTGACATTAAATTCATGAATGGAAATATTGGAATACGATAGATGACCCGATAGATGAAAAAGCTCACACCAATCGATAATGCCGCCCCCACAATAATAATTAAAGCAATTGAAACACTTCGTAAGTAGAGTACGGTTATGCCAATGATCAATGCTGTTGCAATTAAGACGAGTAACATGTCTATGCGTAGATGAAACGCACACAATGAGAAAAACTAGGAGGAAAACTCGAATTTACCTTCGGATATTCTCGCCATTGCTGCCCGTTCTCGAACATTGGCAAAATTTAATGCAACTAATTTGATAAACTGATCACGATAAGTAGGCAATTGTCTTTTGCCAGCAAAATGCTTCTCGAATAATGCCACTAATTCCTGTCCTTTATAGATTGGCGAAATTGAAACAATCTGTTCGGTTTCATTGGGACATTGAAATTTGCATTGGCAGTATTTGAAACAATTTCCTTTGGGTGGTGCTTGATTAGCACATGATTGAAGTAAAAGATTATTTCGATAATCTTTCATACAGCCACGCTCTTCGCAGTACTTTCTCGAATGTGGTTGACGACGTAAACACATGATTTGATCACGTGGACGGTGAGATTTATAACTTCGATAATTTGATATGTAAATCATTGATAAAGCAACTTTCGATTGACTTTGGCTTTGTTGTAAATCATTGAGAAATTGTTTGTCAACGAAATGATCAAAAATAAAGCGTGTGATGTTCTTGTAGAAACACGTATGACGCAAAGCGGTGTAAATAGCTTTCACTTGTTCTTGATGGGTGAAATAACCTGGTTGATGTTCGAGGATGACACGATTAAGAAATGTGTCACTTAATGGAATATCCATGTAGCCATCTAAGTAATAGGGTAAACATGTATGAAGAATTGAACGAAATCGGTCGACGTCATCCGATGTGATTAGTTGACAATCGTTTTTGGATGCATATAGGGCAACGAAAGTTGCTAATGAAAGACTTGGAGTTGAATTTAAAGACAGAAGATGTTTAAATTTTTTCTCCCATTGACAAATGGATTGTAAATGTTGAATAGATAATAGATCATCAGTTGAGTTTGTACGTTCAATGTAAAATTCAATCATACCATCACGACCTTTGAAAAGAAAACAAATCAAAAAGTACATTCATGAAGTTCTGTTTTTAAAGATGATATTTATTCAGTCTGGGAGAAAAGAGCAAATCTTACCTGCTCGTCCTCGATATTTTTCTTCTAATAGATAAGCATACGGTCGAAAAAGATCAAATGGTAATCTGCCTGATTTGTAATTCTTCCGATCAAATTGCGGTAGATTTCGAACGAATTCCAAGACAGTGATATTGATCCTAAGTAAAAGAATGAAACAAATATTGCACAATCTTTCGAGCAAAGTTGCTTTACATTTTATCGTCGACATATTTGGTAATCAAATTATTGACGTCATAATGTCTGTCACGATGCCATTGATAAAGTACAGCTGATGCTTGAGAATTTTCATCAGCATAATCGGGCTCTTCATCTTCATCAAACGCATTGTCATAGAAATTTTCATCTAAATTACTGTAATCGATTAATTCATCTGTTTGTTTCGTCGAATTCTTCTTCTTGCGCCAGAAATCGTATTTTGCCAAGAATTCCGATCGATACGAGTCTTCATCGAGATCTTCGACCACCACATCCGAAAATTGATTATGTGCACCGAACAATTCGTAATTTTCCAACGGTAATTCATAAGCGAGACGAAACTTTTCGGAAGCATGCCTCAAAACCATCAATTGAGAAAAGATTGTTCCTTTGCCACGTGCTCCCCATCCCTATACGGCAAGAAACATACATCCAACAATACATAATCTTTCATCGGTCGAGCAACTTACGCTTCTTGGATCCGAAAAGTCGGGCAGTTGCGTAAAAGCAAAGCCAATGATTGTCAATATGATTGAGATAAAAACAACGAAACCAAGGACAAACCAATGATGACGGACGAGAAATTGTGAATAACTTAACGAAAAGACAAGCAAGAATTAATGACACTTTTCGAAACAATAACACTTTCAAATAAAACATCAAATCTCGCCGAACCAAAGTGCGGTTACATACACGATATTAGTTACAACTTGCATTTTGTCAGACGCATTTCATTGATAAAATCAATACTAGTGAAGGAATCGTGAACTAAAGCACGAATGAAGAAAAAACAGAATGATTTGATCGCATAACAAGACTTGTGTTTCGTTCTCCTATATACGGTTTATTCATCGGCATATTTATCGACGATTATCACCGCATGCAAAATCTCAGCGTGTTTTTTCTTCTCATATAAATCGATGTTTATACGATTTACTTTTTTCCTTCTTGCGCACATGTGATGCTATGCTAATCCTGTTTAGTAGGTAGACGAAAATCTAATTTATTCTGGTAAATTGAAAGCTGGCACATGCGTTAACGTATTTCACGGTTCATTAGCTTCTTTTTTCTATCGACGTGTCTGATTCGCGTTTGTTTACGACGAATGGTGGTAAGATTGATTTTCAACTGTCGATAGCACATTTTCAAACGGAAGATACTCAATTATGACAGGATCAACTGGGGGCTCACATAACAAAACAAATAGATCGTGATCGATGAAGATAGAATTATCAAAGACGTATAATGAGAGTAGTTTTGCAATAAGTCTCGAAGCCCTGAGCAATATGCCGCTAAAAAAACATTAGTCGAACTTCCTATGCTTTTAGAGATCAAATCATTGCGTCGGTTGAAAATGAGTAGAACAAATCTCGTTGAATTGTCGTGTGTTTTTCCGTTCGCGTGAAAAACAGCAATAGTTGAGAGCAATTTTTTTTCAAAGAGACGAATTGGCGTATCTATGTCGTCATAAGTGTGCCATATCATTACAAGATATTATCAAGTGCAACTTCTATTGTTAGTTTTTCGAATTAGATCTAATGTCGGAAGGCGAAAGCAACATTTATTCAACAAATTTGCTCGCGAAACACGTAGTTGTATATCAATATTTGTTTGATAGTTAAGAATTAGAGCTACGCATAGGCGTATGTAACACTGATAAACAATGACAGTGCCTTATTCGTAATTGTTTCACACTCAGAATTAATGAGTCGTCCCTAAGGTGAAGCATACAGATCTAATCTAACCACCATCACTTGAACGAATAAATTAACATCGAGTGAAAAATATTCTCCAGACGATACCAAATGGAAGATAGAAAGCATAATAATAATACAAAAAAGATAACGCGTACGATATATTGAAGAGACTTACCGTAACATGTTCTTATTGTTGCTGGTTTAAAGAGGAAATCTGAGAAATCCGATCGATGAGTACAAGATGACAATATTCAATTTAAGTATATCGTCTTTTGTGACATCGTTTTTGTCTGTAATGGTGTATATATTTATTCTCTTCTTCTTCTTCTTCCTTCTTCTTCTGCTGCTCTTGTCTGACGACTGCTGAACAATAAAAACATTGACGATAGAAGAAAAACTGAAGTATTATTAATGAAAAGAGAAATGACGTTTTCTGTTAGTGGTTCTCTTTTCTTTCCTCCATTTTCTGCTTTTTTTCCCCTTTTTCTTCTTCCTCCTTCTTCCACTCGGTTCTTAACATTATCATAGAAATGAGTCTGCTGCTGCTGGTGTTCGCATACATAAGAAAAGATCTTGTTTTCCATACTAAAGACTTTTCTATACTAGTAGTTTAATGCGTCACAGTATCGTCTCTTTTATTAAATTCTCTCTCTCTCTTTCCATCTCATTTAGTTTTTCAAAAGGAATTCTCTTTACTCTTTCAACAGTATCAAAAAAAAACCGAGATAACTTGTTTCAACCGGATTTTCACCAATGACTCATCATGTATACCATAACCTAGAAGAAAAACATGATATTTACATTTATCGTTTCATGATGTTGTGCAGCGATAGTTTCCATAAATGAAAGCTACTAAAATAATAATGAATAATAGATTGACCACAATGAAAACAAATCTCAAAGGAAACAAACGTCGCATTTAGTTGTCATTTCAGATAAAGAACTAACCTGAAAAATGACATGTAATGACAAATTGTTGGAAGACCTACCAACCGGTGCAAACGAAGATCTTTACATACAAAACAAACTATCACAAGTATTCTTATTTTTGACATATATGTGTTTAGAACAATAAGCGTTTTCCTCAACCTTTCGACTATCAATGATAACCTTTGATACGCGATTCGTTTCGAATAGCATTACACTTTCTTCTTTAGACAGTCGATCGATCACCGACAAGATCAATGTCGTTCATACACCGAATGTTTCCATTTGGATTTCGTGATGAAGCATTTGTATTAATCAAAATCACAGTCCCATTTGCAATGGGAAATGTGCTTGCCTCGTGGTTAATTGCATTTATTTCATTGGCACTTATCGGTCATGCACATGGACAATTAGAACTAAATGCATGTGCATTAGCTTTATCTACTTATGTACTGATTAGTAATTCTATTATGCTTGGACTTAACTTTGGTTGTGACACGTTGTTACCTCAATGTTTCGGAGGAAATAAACGTAAAATGGGTTTAACTATTCAACGAGCGATCCTCATAACAGGATATTCATGTTTTATCTCTTGGACTCTGATGTTGAATGCAGTAATGTATTGAATTGTTAACAAGAAAAGTTCAATTGATATTTCTGTTTGATTCTAGAAATTTCTATTGAAATTTGTTGAGCATGATCAGCAAGTTGTGAAATTAGCAGATATATTTTTGCGTTCATTTCTTCTCGCTGTACCATGTGATGGTCTTTCAATGCTATTGCAAAAATATATCGCATCGAACGAAAAAACGTGGCCACTTCTAATTATTAATCTAATTGGTAATACGGTGAATGCATTACTAAACTACGTCTTTCTATATAAATTGCATTTGGGTATACGTTCGGTGCCGCTGTCAATGACGATTTCATACGCAATTATTGCCCTATGTGCTGCTCTTTATATTCGCTTCTCAACGATTTACGCCGAAACATGGCATCCGATAACTCGTGCTTGTCTAGAAGAATGGAATGTGTATCTCAGATTATCCGCGCCCGGTGTGTTGATGATTATGTAAGAACAAGTTTTGTAGAAAAAAATGATATTCATGTCCGTAACGAATTCTTAGGACGGAATTTTGGTCGATTGAATTGAGCGTTTTCTTTGCTGCACATCTTAGTGCTCGATCATTATCCGCACAAGTATGTGCTTATCAAACAGCATGGTTATTCTACTTGATAACTTCATCGTTTGCGACGGCAGCTAACATTCGCATCGGACAATTTTTAGGTAGTGGAAAGCCGTCGGAAGCAGCAAATACTAAAAACGTGACATTAACTGTCGGTGCTCTTGTTATATTATTCAATATATGTTTGATTGTCACTTTCCATTATTGGTTTCCGTTTGCTTACAATACTGAAGCAGATGCATTAACGCTTTCACGTCGTGTTCTATTACTAATTGGAGTTCTTCAAATATGGGATGGATACAATGTGTTTAATACAGGTATTGTCAAAGCATGGTAAGATTCGTTCGGACATCGAAATAGAATGAATAAGTGTTAGTTCTAGTGGAAAGCAAAAACGCGGTGCAATAATTTCATTTTGTGGATTTTACCTTTTTGGTATTCCACTCGCTGGTGTATTGATGTTTGTTATTCGTACTGATATCTATGGATTTTGGTTAGGTATAATAGCCGCAGAAACGGTTACTAACATTCTTTTATTTACTCTAATTGGACGATTCAATTGGGAACGGCATGCTCGAGCAGCTCTGATGCGTATTAAATTCAATCCAACTTCAGCAACAACTGAAATTGTCACTATATCAGTTTCCAACGAAGAAAAAACAGATATCAAAACAGAAACAGCCGAAAGTTGGATGAAACTAATTGGCGTCAAACTCATTGTTTTGCTGTTTTTTATGTGTTTTCTACTCGCTGGAATTGTTACATCAACAATGATAACATTCTAGTTCTAGAATAAAATTTATCGAACTAATTATTTCTTTGTTAATATTCAATACGCATGGCATCACTGAACAAAATGAAATTTATCGCTGTCAATTAGAATAATACTCAGGAAAATGTTCACATGAGCATGATCTTGTAAAATCACTGAAACAAAAAAAAAGTTCTTGACGTACGAACTATTTTTAGGTCGTACTACGTCACTCACTCTTAGCAAAAGAGTATGTCAAAGACAAGATAATATTTTCGAACGAAGAAAGCAACATATCAATATTATGATTCATAGGACAGTCAATGGTATCATAGAGTGTTGATCTCTCATCGTCGGAATGATCGTGTCATCCGCAAAACGATGCGTAGCTAGATTAGACTAGGTACATTTAGAGAAAGAAGCCTTATCATTTGAGTGGAATTGAAATTTTTCCATACGTGTAACCATCGAGTAGCAGTTGAAGTACTGATTGACTTCCTTTCTGATGAAATTCAACCGTCGACAGACGCAAAAATGATGAAATCGAATACTTTGCTGCATTCGTCCTCATCAAAATCAAATCAGTCATTCATTTGACGAAGACTCTGAAGCTCACTCTCGCCATAGTATGCAAGACACATGAAGGTTGTGTAAATAGCTTCCTTTTTTCTCTTTTTCTTTCGTTGCAAACTGTATTTCATTCTATAATATTTCTTTCTCATTGACGAATTATATCAGGTCGATTGATTAACGTAAGAGAGTCTATTTCGCGAAATTTGATTCGCTTGCGTGCTGATTGCTTACAAGCAGTCTCTAGTCGTTCCTCTATGTTTGCCGTTCGCTTGTACTCATACGACGAGAGAAATCAAACAAATGGAACGTTTTTGTTAAAGACGGATGAAAAAAAAACAGAAGTGGTTGAATTGAAGACTGAGTTATTTGATTTCTCTTTATTTAGTTACAATGATGTCTACTGAAATAAGTGTACCTAGAATGCGGCTTATCCCGTCTACGCGTTTCACATTAGCGCTACTTGTATCTTTTGCGCTGTTCATTCAATATTCACAACGAGTGAGTCTGTCGATGAGTATTGTTTGTATGGTTAATAGAACGACGATAGATAATGCATCGAGATTTTCAGTTAAATATGGATCGGAGTTGTTAAATGACAAAAAGTTTGCCTGGACAGAATTCCAGCAGCAAATTCTCCTCGGCGCTTATTGGTTTGGTTACATTTTTACCTTAATACCAAGTAATCTATCAAAAATAGATATTATACACACTCTATTCACATTTATTTTAAACAGGCGGTTGGTTATCGATTACTCTAGGTGCCAAACGAATGTTCGCTGGTAGTCTTCTATTCAGTTCGATTGCAACTATTGGAATCTGTAGCATTTATTTCATTGATCGTTTCAATTTCTACGTTGCTTTGTTCTTTCGAATTATCATTGGTTTTACTCATGGTCCACTATTTCCAGCAACGTACACTTTCTGGTCAGTATGGGCTGTACCTTTCGAACGAAGTACTTTGACAGCCATCGGATTCTGTAGCAATAATCTCGGAACCTGTATGCTAACATATCTGCTTGTTTCAATCATGTTCTTCATGTTGTTGTTTTTTTCTTTTCTTTAAGCTATAACTATGCTAGTTGGTGGTCTCCTCTGCCGTTATGTTAGTTCAGGATGGGTTCATATATTTCTTCTGACGGCTCTATGTGGTTTTATTTGGCTTCCATTATGGTTGTGGTTGGTAGCGGATTCACCTCAAACTCATCGAACGATTAGTGAAAAAGAACGAAATTATATATGTAAACATATTGGTCTGAACAGTGATCATAAAAAGAAGAAAACTGTTTCACTAGCGTCTTTGCCGTGGAAGAAATTTCTTCGGTCCAAACCACTGATTGCTTTATTTGTAACTGAATGTTGCAATTTATTTGGTCTGTTCTTTTTCTATACAAACGTGGGCAAAATTTTAACTGAAATTCACCGTATTCCTACTCAATATACTGGGTATATCTTAGCTGCCGGTTTTATCTGCATGCCAATCAGTAGTCTTCTAGCAGGTAGGTTGATGTTTACAAGAATTTATTAGAATATTTCGATATTCTCTTTGAAGGTATCATTGCTGATAATGTTGTTCGTCGAGAAATGATATCATTGACGAATGTTCGAAAACTATTCAATTCCTTAGCGTCATTTATTCCTGCTATCTGCACGATAGTTCTCTGTTTTTGCGATCATACTCGACAAGTTCTGGGATTGATTACAATCTTGATCTTGCTATTTTCTTCAGGTAAATGTTTCTAAGAAAATACAACAGAGTAGAAAATTAACGAAATTTTCTCTAGCATTGGCTTATGGTTCTGGCTACATTGTGAATTTCGTTGACGTACTGCCGGCATATTCATCAATTGTGTTTGGTATAGCCACAGCAGCGGCAACATTCGGTGCACTGATGGCTAATGTTATCGCTGGGCTTGTCATCAAACGGCCTGTTCTGGAAGACTGGCGTAAAATTTTCATTCTCTTTTCCATCATATATGTTATTGGTGGTGTCACTTTTTTAATACTCGGTTCTGCAGTACCGCGATCATGGGCTTTGCTTAAAACTCATGAGCCAGAGCAACAGATTGACGATGTTACAATCAACGCTGCAGATGAAGAAGAAACTATTCCGATGAGAATTGTAGCGCCGATTAATGAGTAGTTCGATTCAATAAGATATTTATTTTTTTTCTTGAAATTTCGACAATAAATATAATGTTTTGGTGTTCTATAATTTGATCTATTTGAAAAGTGCTCGATGCACGCACATATATGCTCGTAGATAGGTGTCGCAAGATGACGAATAGAATAAATGCGTTCTATGAGGCTATGATGATGAATTAATGGTTATAGCTTGATATTGTCCTTTAAATCCAATCTTTACCTGTTCGTTGTGATGTTACTATTCATTACACATTATTATTGTTTTTCTTGATCTTCAGAATTCAGATTTCATTTTATTCCAATAAACACAATTTCAATAATGGCATCAAGTGATGTTCAATCAGATGAAAATCTTTATCCAATTGCTGTTCTAATTGACGAACTTCGTAACGAGGATGTTCAAGTAATTAATTGTCTTGTTTTTCTAGCGAGTTTTTGTTTATCATTCCGTTCGATTTTTCTAGTTACGCTTAAATAGTATCAAAAAGTTATCCACTATTGCATTAGCGCTCGGCGTCGAAAGAACACGATCTGAGCTCATTCCATTTCTTACTGGTTTGTGACACATCGAGCTTTCGAAAAAAGAAACTCGAACTTCTTTCTCATCTAGACACAATCTATGATGAAGATGAAGTTCTTCTAGCACTTGCTGAACAATTAGGAACATTCACACAACTCGTCGGCGGAGATAGTTATGTTCATGTTTTATTGGTAAGAATCAACGAAATGATGATTGTCTTTTGTATACATTCATCGATTTCATGTTTAGCCACCATTGGAAAGTTTAGCTCAAGTTGAAGAAACGATTGTACGCGATAAAGCTGTTGAATCACTTCGAACTCTAGCACCACAACATTCAACAACCGATTTAGAAACGTTTTTTGTACCCACTGTCAAACGGTTAGCACAAGGTGATTGGTTTACATCACGTACATCAGCGTCAGGTCTCATATCCGTCTGTTATGCACGTGTTTCCAATCATGTCAAAGGTGAATTACGACAGTAAGTGTTGATTTTATATTCAACAGGATCTATCACGTAGTTTGGTTTTTGCGACAGATTATTTAAAAACCTTTGTCAAGATGACACACCCATGGTACGTCGTGCAGCCGCATCGAAATTAGGTGAATTTGCTAAAGTTGTCGAACCAGAACACCTACGTCAAGAGCTTGTTCCATTATTCAATAATTTGGCTAATGATGAACAAGACAGCGTCCGCCTTTTGGCTATCGAAGCAGGTATTGCTATGGCTGGTCTATTTCGACATGAGGATCTTGAACAGCAAATGATGCAAACATTACGTGCAGCTACTGAAGACAAGTCATGGCGTGTGCGATATGTCGTTGCGGATAAGCTTGTTGAAGTAGTGTATTCAAAAAATCGACTAAAGAGTGTTTAATTCGTAGTTCTTTAGCTTCAAAAAGCTGTTGGTCAGGAAATAACCAAGAATGATTTAGTCACAGCTTACTGTTCGTTATTAAAAGATCCCGAAGCGGAAGTTCGTGCAGCAGCAGCATCGAAATTAAAAGATTTCTCAAATAATTTACCAACGGACACACGCGAACAAATAATTATGTCGCAAATTTTGCCATGTGTTAAAGACTTAGTTGGTGATATGAATCAGCATGTTAAATCGGCACTAGCTTCAGTAATTATGGGTCTTGCACCAATCCTCGGCAAGGATAAGTATGTCTATTTGATTCAATAGCCAACACCGGTAAAACACTGATCTTCGTAGCACATTGGAACATCTGTTACCATTGTTCCTCAACCAACTGAAAGACGATTTTCCTGAAGTTCGGCTTAATATCATTTCGAATCTTGATTGTATCAACGAGGTATGTCGATCGAAGTCAATACACTAGAAAGTAAATTTATTTCCCTCGTTCTAGGTTATTGGTGTTCGTCAATTGTCTCAAAGTCTACTACCAGCGATTGTCGAATTAGCTAGTGACGCTAAATGGCGTGTTCGTCTTGGTATTATCGAATACATGCCATTATTAGCTGGTCAACTTGTATGTTACTTTTCGATGTTAACTTCTTTTCATTTCTTCATCAACTGACTTTTGATTTTAGGGTTCAGAATTCTTCGATGAAAAACTGAGCAGTCTTTGTATGAGTTGGCTCACTGATCACGTCTTCGCTATTCGCGAAGCGGCAACGAACAACCTCAAGAAACTAGTTGAAAAGTTCGGTCGTGACTGGGCACAAAATACAGTTATACCAAAAGTTATCCAGTTAGCACGAGATCAAAATTATTTGTACCGAATGACATGCTTATTTGCTATCAATGTAAGTGATTTTTCTCAGAAAACATCTGAATGTTTCATTCAATTATATAGGTCTTAGCGGAGCCATGTGGACAAGATGTAACTCAACGAATGATGTTACCAACAGTTATCACTCTCGGAAGCGACGCTGTTGCCAATGTTCGATTCAATGTAGCCAAGACTTTACAACGCATTTATCCAGCTATCGATCAAAAGTATGCGAAAACCGTTTGAACGTAAATATCATTGATTCAATTTGATGTTTTAGTACCTTGGCGTCACATGTCAAGCCATGTTTAGAAAAACTATGTCAAGATTCTGATCATGATGTTCAGTATTTTGCAAATGAAGCTTTAGGAAGTAAGTTCGAGCGCTAGCTCACACGTGAAAAACACATTAGACAAAATCAATAACGTTCAAAAGAATAAAGTGATTCGTTCTATGTAGAAGTTATCGAAGCTTTATAATTAAAAACATTCTCAGTCCTTCGGTTGGTTTCTGTTCGTTTTGTGATTTTGTCTCTGATTTCTGAGTGTGATTGGTTTGATATATTCTTTCGCTTTTTATCTAGAAATACTAGAAACACATCTTTCTCTTAATAACCATGATAAAGAAGATCCTACTCGAACACTGGTTTGTTCTTTTACACTTGCTTATTAGAGGGATGAAGGCAACTAATCTAATTCTAACAAAACGCGTCTCTGTCTTTTGAACCCTTAACGATCGATTTGCTTTTTTCTTTTAGTTTTGACGAAAACTTAATTGATCAATGACTGAATCCCAACGTCTTTTTTTTATTTGTAACTCACGTTTTTTTCCTTTTTTTTCGTATTCACAATGTTGTCGTGGTGTCCACATACACGTTTGGCGTTATCAATCCTTTCTACGAGTTTTCTGTAAGAAAACCCTTTTCGCTTTTTCCTTTTCATGAATCAAAGAAAACCATTTAATAAAATACTGTACGTTTTTTGTTCGTCTGAGTAAACACCATGTAAATGTTCAATCAAGACAACGATCATGCTTAACAAACGATAGTTTCTCTTCAGATGTCTTCAAATTCCGTTGCTTTAGAAGAACTAGCTGAATTTCTCGATCCACAAGGACGTCTGGATCTCAAATCTTTAGCTCTTCAAACATTGATTTCGTTAACTGCATCTAAAGAAGGTCGCCATTTGATCTTAGCTTCGCCAAATACAGACTCGAACACATCTCTACTATCACGCGTATGTCGTTTGATATTCGAAGATGTGCAAGAGTCCGTTCGTTTCGACGCACTTCTGTTTTTGATTAATTTAACCAGTGATAGTGAACTGTCGATATTGAATTGTAAACAAACATCGATTCTCAGTGATTTCTGGTTGAAACTATTGAAAGTAAAGATTTATAATTGACAGTATGAAGTTTATGATTTGCTTTTAGCGTTGTGTTCAAGATCGTCAATACGAACATGCTGATGCCGGATGCAAATTGCTATCGAATATCACATCTCGTGCAATTACTGTTGACCAATTGAATGATTTTACCGAATACCTTGATAAAAGTTATCCATCTTGGTTTGATGATTTGATTCAAGCGTTTTCGACAATTGATTATAATCTTAAGAAGAATAATCTTGATTATTTATCGGCAATGTTAGTCAATCTAACTCAGTTGAAAATTATTCGCGAACGTTTAAGAAATCAAGAACATTTAAAACGTTTGTTATGCTTTACTGATAATACTCATTCAACCATTCGACGCGGAAGTGTGGCTTGCATACTGAAAAACTGCTGTTTTGATCATGGTTCGTATCGACGATCTCATGATTCACAATCTAAGCGTGTCTTTATCTATTTCCTTCGTAGAAAGTCATGAGCAATTAGTTCATCAAATAGGTAACAATGATGATTTTATTTGTGCGTTACTTTTACCACTGTCTGTTGCCACGGCTGACGAATTAACTGAAGAAGAAAATGACCAAGTGCCAATCGATTTACAGTATCTACCTAGCAATAAACAAATTGAACCAGATCGAGATATTCAACTGATTCTTCTTGAAACAGTTCTTCTCGTAAGATTTTCCGTGTGAATTGGAATGACTATTTTGTTTGATCATTTGTTTTAGCTGTGTGCAACAAAATCTGTTCGAGAATATCTTCGTTCGAAACAGATCTATTACATCTTGCGACAATACCATCGGCAGCCAAATCTAGATTTTGCATGTAATCGAACATGTGAACGAATTATTCAAATCTTAATCGGAGATGAAGATTATAACGTGGAAACGGATAATCTCATGGAGTTAAATATACCACACGATTTACGAGAGAAATTTCATGAAATCGATCGAAAAGAAGAAGAAGCAAATAAGACCGAAGAATGAAATGAGTTATTTCTTTGTTGAAATAAAAGATAACATTTGTTGAAATAGTCTTCTTGGAATATTTTCTGTAAGTGGAAACAGTGGAAGTTCTCTAGAATAGTAAATAGTATATGTGTCAGCATCGAAACCGATTTTGCTAATGGCATTTTCATACGCTGATAAACAGCGATGATCGCAAACGACAAATGGTGCCTATTAGTGATTTGAATATCACAATTAAATGTCAAATATCGCAGTTAGTAATATTGACGAAAAGTGATATTGATCCTATGTGGAGAACATAACACTGAGTAGTCTTTGTCAATATTTTGTATCGGACTCAATCGTAATAAATCTGTCTATGCAACTTTGTTGATGGAGCTTTAGCTTTCTGGATAAGTCATAAGTAGATCTGTTCTCGAAGAATCGGCACTTAGAATCCCCTGTAGAGCTCTTGATGATCTTAGTTTAGACGGCAGATAATCACGCGTGCAGTGAAACCTAGGTGTAATTACACCACCAAGAAGAAATATCAAGTGGAAAATGACAAAATCATATGTTATTGCGACTGTATCGCTAACGTTGATCGTAATTATTTGCTGTGACTATAGTATATTTGATAAGGTATGACTCATTACAACGGTTAGCGGGATTACTAGATATAGGAATCGATGAATAAGCATGATATACACATGAATCAGCTCTTTATCAACATGTAAGTATTCGGTGTTCTCTTTCTGTCTTTTCTTGTACTTACATAAGTCTTTCGAAATGCATTTTGACTGCTCTTTACGCTATAAAAAAGACTGATTCTTTCTATATAAGCTGCAATTTTCTATTTTTTTTATATTTCGTACAACTTCGTCACAAGAATGCCTGGAAAAGTCGAGACAACGGCAGGATCATCGAAATACATCGGTGCATTACCGGATATGCCAGTCGAAGCTTTGATCTCTTTTGGTCCGCCAAACAATTGTGGTAATGCGCCATCCATTCGATTTTTTCTTGCCAAATACCAAGCATTTCCATGCTCATTGTATTGTGCTGGCGACGATTCAAGTGCTCTGTTACATATGACGTCTCTGGTCAATTATATTCAAGACGAATTAAAACATGATCTGTCAACGGATCGTATTTCAAGGAATTACAATCAGAAAATGAAAGATTTTTATATCGATTCGCGTGTATGTGATCTTGGTAATGGAATCATGATTGAATTATCAGATGGTTATTTTATCTCCGATGTTCAAAATCCAAACAAACTTAAGCCAGACTATTCAGATGATTATTTTTTGGCGGCATCACAAGTGCAGATCTTTTATCTACCTGAACATGATGAATTTGTCAAAGATTTAGGAAAAATTTTCTCGAAAATGACCATATACACATCCAAATCATGCACATTGAATATGGTCTGTCGAAATCAACATGGATACTATCTTAGTAGTATTGATATCAAGAAACCATTAATTACAGATCTTGCACTTCATTACGGGAAAGGATTTGTTAGAACACATGATAAAATCATTAAGAATTTGAACAGAAAAGAAGGAAAAGGAATTGTCCTTCTACACGGTATTCCGGGTTCAGGTAAATCTATCATTGACAGAGATATATGTATTTTTTCTATACGGTTCTTCAATAGGTAAAACACATTATATTCGGTATTTAATTCATGAGATTCAAGAAAAAACCTTGGTCTATGTTCCACCCGATATGGCTAAAGAAATCTCATCACCTGAATTTCTTCCGTTCCTCATGCAGTACCAAAATTCAATTTTGATCATCGAAGATGCTGAAAACATCATCAAGGATCGAAATGAAACTTTAATACCATCACAAGCTGTTGCGAATCTTCTTAACTTGTATGTTGATGATTCTTTCCTATGCTGAAAACGATCCTAACTTCTTCTCGCTTTTAATTTTAGATCTGACGGGCTATTAGGCGATGCTATGCATCAACAAATCATCGCTACTTTCAATTGCGATTTAACAACAATCGATCCTGCATTATTGCGTAAAGGACGATTGATTGCCAATTATGAATTTAACAAATTAGACTTAGAAAGTTCGAAAATTCTCTCAGATAAATTGGGATTCGGTACTGAAAACGTCTCCGAACCAATGACATTAGCCGAAATCTACAACCAAGGTGAAAAACCTGAAGATGAAGACGACGACCCAATGGTTCATACTTCGAATGGCACTACTGCAGAATCTACCACTGAAAAACAATAAGTCCGTCCGTTTGTTACGCTTTTGACTATATGAAATAAAAAATAAAAACTGGTTCTGCCCCACGGCTTCATCATTAGTCTATTTATGTCATCGATGTTTTCTCTTTTATGACAGATAAATATCAGTTTGTCATCGTACATATAAATGGCAAAAAGAGAAATAACTGCAATGCTCTAGATTAAGAAAGAACAAGACAAATGTGACGAGAAGGGTGTATATGTATGTAGTTCTGTGGACAAGTAATCATCGTAGGTAATGCTAACATGTGAGAAATATGAAATGAAAGTAATGGCAATGGCTGTGCGTGTTGTTAGCAATGCAAATAACGAAGGGAGAATAACAACAACAACAATAAGTAGCAGCAACGATGAAAGAGAAAGGAAGGATTCTCGTTTCTCTCGTTTTCTCTCTGTCGCACTTTATCAGACGTGGGAGGAAACTGGTCTACATCAAGCATTTATAAATCATCATCGTACAGAACAGTTCCGATATACAGCAAGGTCGAAACCGATCCACTTGTATCGTAGAACAGCAAAGAAAGTCAATCTGAACAGAAGGTATATACTTGAAATAACGATTGAATTATGTTAAGAGGACAGGCATGATCTGTCAATCAAACATGTGCGCATGTGCTGAGAATAGCAAGAAATCGGTAAAAATTTCATTTTTTTTTGTGTCTTATACTCGTTATCGCCCTCCGAAAAACTAAACCTATATTCGAGACGAATTTTACCTTTCTCGTGATTGTTTAGTATTAATAATCGAGTAGACTATTTTGAAGATGACAAAAAGCTAGCTCGAAAGTGTTATCGTGTGGCAATACATTCTTACAGTGCATCGTGGGCGAGAGAAGACGAGAACTATGTCAGGTAGGAACTCTGATAAGGAAAACGATTAGTAACTTTGCTGCATGGTCACTTTTTTCTTTCGGTGAATAATACCTAAGCCTTGTATCAATTTGTATGTAGGCTTGTAAAATCACTTTATCTATGAACTTGATCGGACAGTAGTATGCGTATCTGTGCGACCATGAATCGTGTTTTTCTCTATTCTTTTTTTTTGAGTGACTTCGTATTTCATTCATTCAAGGCTAAGGTTACGTTTGATCTTCGTTTTTCTCTTGTATGTTATCTATCCTTAGACAGAACGATATATAGATAAATACTTCGAGACTGATCAACATAATTTAGTTTTAATTCAACGACATCGTCATTATGCCGTCGTATACAATGCTTAATATTAGGATGCAACGAGAAACGAACAGTACACCATGGGGATTTCGAATGCAAGGTAAGATTTGCTTTGCGAAGAAAATATCGGTATGTTTATCGATGAAAAAATTTGAATAGGTGGAAAAGATTTCGGTTGTCCGTTACAAATTCAAAAGATCAATCCCAACAGTTTAGCTGAACGTTGTGGAATGCAACCGAATGATTACATTGTAAAAATCGGTCAAACATCTACCGAAGAACTTAAACATCCAGATGCACAAGAATTAATTAAAAATCAAAATAATACGCTTGAATTAACTCTACAACGGTTAGTTGAAGAGAAAATGTTATTTGATATTTTGTAATTGGATATATAGAGGTGCTCCACCCGACAGTAACGACTACAACAGCCATGTTGATTTTCCACCTCATCAACTCATGCAATCAACATCCAATAATCCTCCATTAAAATCTCAATATCAACCACGGACATCGAATCCGACACCACAGGTAAATCTCTTCGATCATCGAATACAATGGAGTACGGCTAGATGCTGAGTTGTTGATGGATTTCTATATTAAGTGAAAAGAAATTGATGTAATTTGCCATACAAGAAAGATTGAAGAATATCTAGCCTCGTAATCGTGCCAAACATAATCTCAGAAGACTTTCTGTTTATATTATCTAATCAAGTAATAGAAATAGGAAAGACGTGTAGTAGAAGACGAGTGCAGTAGACAAGACGTAGGAGTTGCAGAGAACGTGATATATCATATATCTATTTGAATGTTTGTGTGTATATAAATGCATAATAGTTTGTACTCTTATCAAAACTGAGAGAAACCTTGTATTTCACGAATAATTTCTATATCAGCTGGTCTGAAACATGGTAAAATATTTAAATCTTGTTATGACGAAACTAGGTTGCAATGCCAATCTCGAACAATCGTGCCATCTTAAGCCAATCTCATAATACACCAATTGGATTATACTCAGCTGAAAATGTAACCGATACAATTACCCATACGCTTCGGAGGTAACGTTTAAAAACACTTGTTTGATGCATGGAAATTCTGCATGTACATTAGTATGCATGTGGCTGTAGTTCTCCAGTTCCTTTGCCTCAGAATAATAATCGTAAAGCGTCGAATACGCTCATGTCTAGCGATGTCGAAGATCTGCAACAAAAATATTTAAGTATGGATTTACAAACAAACAAAAACGAATCAAGGCAAGGACCTGCATTTCGAGCACTTGTACGAGGACTTAATGAAGCAGATGGTAAGCATTGATGGATATTTTTGTCTTTATATCGTATGATGATTATCTAAAGATACACCCGATGCGTCATCAACAAAATCAAAGTAAAAATGTCAATTTCAAATGAAAATGATTTCTTTATTTCCTTATTATTAGTGCGAATCATCAACAGATAACTAGTACATCAACAATCAAAGGTTTTCGCTATACGTCTAATCCGTAAGTACCAGCAACGATCGAAGTCTCTTTTTCCCAAACGTTAATAATCGATGATCAATATTTCTTTTAGTATAATGACTCATACAAAATCATAAAGAGAATTATTTTGAATGAGAGAAAGTTTGATGTTTGTGTTGACTATGGAAACACATACGGATATCATAATCAGGCATGTGAATGATCGTTGTCTGCATACGTTTGCATCACTTTTACATATAACACACATCTTGTGTATATTAGGATGATTATATATCTGTTCATTTTTTCATAGTTTGAATATGGCACCCGAATATAAAGTCGAAGCACCAAAAAAGTAAGACATCAACATGTTTTACTTCACTATAATTACATAATCTCTACTACAACGTAGCTACAATGAGTTTAAGGCAACAACTGCTCGATCAATGCCCAAACCAGCATCGGCATCTTCTCCTTACGATTACTCACAAAAGCAACAATCACGTCCAGCACCATACATGGTATCCCCAGCTCCACCACAGCCACCGCCCACACAGCCAAAACTGAGTGGTAAGACATAATCTACTAGCGATACATAATGTATTTGATTCCTTCTAGCGGCTGGTAAACCCTCATTCAATATAAATGTGCAAGGCACACCAGGCTCAACGAATCGTGTCTTTTTGAAAGGTAACAAAGGTAGTGCATCATTGAATCCAAACGATAATAACACTCAAACACCCGTCTGTCATGCGTGTGGAGCAACGATCAGGTAATTGATTCGGAAATGATTGTCTTAATCATTTCTCGTGAATTAATATAGAGGACCGTATATCGCAGCTATTGGTCATTGCTATTGTGTGAACCATTTTACTTGTTCCAATTGTTCAACAAACCTCATTGACTGTGGTTTTGTCGAAGAGAATGGAAAATTGTATTGTGAACGCGATTTCGAACAGTTTCTTGCACCTCATTGTGCAAAATGCTCACAATCGATACTGAAAGTAAGGAGACAACACGCAACAGAATAGTTTTTTGTATGAAAACCAACGTTCACTAGGAATGTGTTCATGCACTTGAAAAAACTTGGCATCCCGAATGTTTTACATGTACAGCATGTAAAAAATCTATTGGTACTGGCTCCTTTCATGTTGAAGATGGCGATCCTTACTGTCTCGAAGGTAGAACTTGGCTTTTTTTTCATCTTAATATCATTATCTGCTGTTTTAGATTATCGCCGCATGTTTCAAGCGAAATGTACCAGTTGCGATTTTCCTATCGAACCTGGTGATAAATATCTCGAAGCACTAGGTGGCACATATCATGTCGAATGTTTCACTTGTTCGGTTAGATTGTTGGATATCTCATTTGAAATACCATGTTTCGTTTTTATGCTTCAGATGTGTCAAGTGAGTTTAAATGGTCAACCATTCGTTGTGAAAAACGATCGACCTTATTGCCGTTTGCATGGACGTTAATTTTGCTCCTCAAGTCGACTCTAGTGAACAATAATACACCCTTGCATCAAACAGATACATGTTTATTTCCTTGCCACAAACGAAAAACTGCCTAAACATTGAAAAGAAAAACAATCATGTTCATGCCTATACAAATAAATATGACGTTTTCTTTATTTGTATGAATCTTTTTCTATTTTCGCTGACGACAACAAGTTTAGGCGATTGAATGTGTTAAACGCAGATTAAATCAATGAAAATAATACAAATCTGTCGAGTGCCGAAAGAACACGGTAGCGAAAAATTATTTTCAATGAAGTTGTTTAATGCATCGCACTGCAAAATTAACAACTTCATTCCGAATTAAGTGAATCAACAAGAAAGAGAAGAAAATAATTCAATTTGTTTTTTTCCTACCGTTTGTGACCTTGATAAAGAACCGAGAATCATCTTAATCAATAAGAATCAGCAAACGTATCGTCAACAGATACCAACTCGGGCTACGATACAAATAATGCAGATGAAATGTACATGATTGTCTGTGTCATTTCCATTCATTTTCTTTTTTTCGCTGTATTTCGTTTCGTGTTGATATATTAATTCTTTTCTAAGTGCTCAAACACACTTTTTCTTATGTACTTAGCATATTGTACGTTTTCTCCATCAGCAACGCAAACGTTTTCTATTGTTTTTTGTCATTGAAAAACAAACACAACGATGAAAAAAAAGCAAACGAAAAGAGAAAAAGTCTTCCAATCCCTATTCACAAACATTTGTCAGATTGAAATGTCTTTTGTCGACGGTTAACATCAACCGGAATGTTTCTCAGACAATCACACATAGCTATGCCACCACCATCCGTTTGGCTTCATGTCGATGGTGTCAGTTTGCCATCAGACGTTCACTCATTTCAACCATCTGTTCGCTCATATGATTATCAAACAAAACATTTGCAAAGTCCAATCCATTCTCCCACACCGACATTGGCTTCACCAGCTGCGAACACTTCTTATAGTATATCAATGATCGATACACCATTCAATCATCACAATTCCAATAAGCCTCACACAATTCTCGAAAATGTCGATGCGCCCAAGAAAATGTTCAAAGACAGACAAATAAAAAAGGTCAAATCGTTACCAGGATTGATCAAGTAAGAAAAGCAAAAAAAGGAAACGACGAGACTTCTATTATTGTTATCACTATTATTCGCTATTGACAACACTGTCTCAAATACAGTTGTTTACTTTTAGAGGTACTGCGTTGTCTCGAAACACGCCTTCTCAAACATCAACATTCACAAGTCCTGCTCCATCAGCTATATCAGTGAACACTCTTCAAGATGATCAACTTCCAATGGTAACAATTGAACACAGTGATGATGGCCTTCCGATGGCCCAAGTCATGGAACCTCAAAATGAAATTCGTCGCCCACGAGTCTATTTCGCTGATTATAATCGTATTCAGTTCATCGAAGAAAATAATGAACTATCTCAACAACATCAAATACCTATCAATGATGAACCACGACATTCGCGAGTTCGTCTGTCAAGAAAAATCTCCAATCATACAACACCATCCATTCAACGCGCGACAACACGTCAAAATTTTACTTGTCCAACATCTCGTCATCCTTGCCATCAGACAGGACATGAATCAACGGCAAGAAAAGAACATCTACCTACTACAACACGCATACAACATTCCCATATTACAAATCTACCGGACATTATCAGTCAAACGCTACCCAATGAGAATTCATCACATGAAAAATATGGCATACAACGTGAAAAATCTGTTCATCGTTCGTCGAAACCATCTATGACTGTAACTAATAGTTTAGCATTTGAAATATCTCCTCAAGCCAATCGCACGAGTAATGGTCGCTCATCGCCAAATACGGATTCATCTCACGAAAGTCATAAATCTGACTCAGGTGATAGTGAAAATGGGCAGTTACATGTTGGAAACGGTTCTGTATCCTCAACAGCAACAACGAATCGACAACGTCCAGCACTTCGAACAATCTCACTACGACAGCAATTTACTTCGCCAACCAAACCAAAGTCGTCGGAAACTTCCTCATTGAATAATGCTAATTATCATTACCATCAACCACAGCAGATGAACAGGTCAATGCCAAACACACAACGATCCAATTCGTTAAAAGTTTCGTCTATACGTATCGTAGATAATAACGAGGATCATCGTTTAAATGAATCTTCTTTAACATTAGAAAAACGACCGACGAGTAGTTCGAATGATTTCAATAAACAATCCAAACGCTCTTACATTGTCCATTATAATAACAAAAAACCACTTGGAGGTAGCACAGTGAGTCATACCAACGATGTCATTCGCCATTCAACAAAGTCGCATTCCAATGAATCAAACGATGAAAATTTTCACAGTGTATTAACGATTGTTCGGCCACCGTATGGACTGGGTGCGAGTGGCTCTACAAATAAATCGGTTGGTTCATCGGCAGATGAGGTTCGCACGTCGCGTAATCCAAACATGCGTGCACCCCTCGAATTCAATATGACATCGAATACAATCATTGTTTGATATTCTCTTTTGAATAGAAAAACACTCCTTTTTATGTCTACCTGCCATATGTGCTGATCATACGAAATTCAATTTATTTATCGAATTCATTATGAAGGATATACATTGTTTTGTACTTTTAACAAATATTTTGAATAAAGATTTCTACTCGATATATACGTAAATACTGATTTCTTCAGTTAATCGCGAAACAATAGAGAAATGCAGAGATTAAAGTTTCAATCGAGCAAGTATAGTTACATAATACAATATTTTTATTTGCATGCAAATAGAATAAGGAAAAAAGGCGTATCTCTAAACGAGTAACAATATTTAATGTGTAAAAAGGCACGAAATACAAAGAAATATGGATATTTTCTTACTGATTACCTTCATATAAAGAAAACTAAACTATAGCAGAAGAAAAAATTGAGATTCTCATATATCTTATTTTAAGTGCGAATCGTTGTAAGTTCATGAGTAAGTACACCATTATCATCATCATCGATACATTTCACCTTGGAATACGATTCATTTGATTCATTCTTTGTTACCGGTAAGTTTCCATAACGCTTGACAATGGAGAAAAATCCTTCGTATAACCAAACACCGATGATCCCTCCAACAATGGGACCAATAATAGGAATCCAGAAGAAGTAATTATGTGCGCGGAAAACTTCTCCCCAACCGTAGACGAACGCCGCAAATAAACGTGGGCCTAAGTCACGAGCCTAGAATGTGTAAAAACCCAAAATTCAGAATTCTTTTATCGATATCAATTTGTACGCATACCGGATTGATTGCAGCACCTGCGTTCGCAGCGAATGCCGAAGTAATACCAACAATAATGAGAACAAATGCAAATGGTTTAGCAACATCGGAAATCATGCGATTAGTATCCTAAAAAAAATCAAGAAAATCAGATCAGCAAACGAAATCGATGACTTCTACGTTTATTAAAGCCATAACGAAAATCATTAGAACCGCTGTACCAATAACTTGATCAAAGAATGAATTCAATCCTGTCACACCGTGGGTTGGCATAGTGAAAAATATATCAGCCGTGCCTTGGATGCCCGAGACTTGTCGTATGGCACCATCAAAGTCATTAAGCAGACTCAAGTACAGATAATAGACAACATATGCACCAAGAAATGCTCCAATCATTTGACCGATGATATAAATTAGACATTGTATAGGTTTCAGCTTACGAACCGTCAACAGTGAAATACTCAGAGCAGGATTTAGATGGGCACCTGTAAATATTTAAACGATAAACATGCAAGATTTACCTTATTAACCGATAGGAATTCTCACCGCTGACAGGTCCAGCAATCATGATTGCTAAAAGAAAACAATAAACAATTTATTTCCGAAGAAAGAGCTTTTTCTAATTACGTTTCCTTGATTTAATGAAATTCGAGTGTACTATTTATGGAAGAGAATTTCTTATCAGATTTAGCATGCTTTCAACACATTTAATCATGATAGCATGTAAACAAAGCTACTACGCAGAATATATGCTGACTTAGGACTTCTATTTTATGATACTCACTTGAGGACTTCATCCGATTATCTGTTAAGTCAGGGACTTTTGCGTCGTTTACTCTGTTTTTAGACTGAGCAGGAAGCGAAAAAAGACTTTCTTCTCTAGCCATTTGCAACCGGTGTCGCCCTACAATCCTTTACTACTACTACTACTATGTCCAGAAAAAAAACCGCAAACTTTGTACTTGTCTACTCATGTCAATGACAATTTCTACCTGTATAAACACCGATGCCAAATGCAAGATTGATGGTGATCGTCGAATGGCTTCCTTGGCGAGAGAGTTTATATTGAGCGATAGCTGATTCACCAATTAGAATCAACATGAATGTTCCAAAGCATTCTGCTAAACCTTGCGTAAGATATTGTTGTAATTCTCTTACTTTTGCCATTATATCACCGCGTTTTGTTATGCTATTCAGTAAACTTCTAAGCTATTTGTAGAAAAAAAGAATCGAAGAACACACAACTAAAGATGGACGCCAGACTATTTCCTTTATTCTCCTTTTTTTTTATATATTTTTCTTTTCTTTTTTTCCTTTTCCTTTAACTATCATGAGAGACAAGGTCGTTCGCCGCCCAAGTGTATTATCAAAGTCATAGTTAAGTATTTTCTTGATCTATTTTCGTATATTATTCCAGTTCGTATTTATTCACATATGTAAATATACGGTTGTCTACACAAAAGAAAGAAAAAACCAGACATTCACAAGCGAATACATCGTGTCTCATCACGAATCATTCCGAAAAACGATTAGATTCCATCACACAACAAATAATGAATGTCAAGAGTGCCATGTTTTACATCGATGATATCGTGCCTATGAATGATCAAAGAATGTGCTGCGAAAAATCGAGAAGACAGCTATCGATTACTTTCATAGGAGACTTGCGTGTGAACAGGGTGTGTTTTCTTATGATGTTTTCCTTGGTCAGGTTGTTCTATAGCATCGATATGTGTAATACCGGGCAGGTTAGCATATTTCTTCATGAGAATTAAATAACCTTCGAATATATATACACCGATCAGTGCACCGATGATTGGACCGACAATTGTGATCCAAAAATAGTACTGATTCGCACGAAAGACCACTGGACCGTAGATGATCGATGCAAACAAACGTGGTCCAAAGTCGCGTACCTAAATCAAAATAATGAGACTATGCTTCATAAAGACATGAAAATGTACTTACAGGGTTGATTGGATTTCCGCAATTGAGGCCCATTGCAAAACCGAATGTTGTTACCATGAGAACAAAAGAAAATGGTTTCGCCGCGTTGGATATCAAATGATTATAATCATTTCCAAGTGCCATGATGAATATCATCAAGAGGCTAGCACCAATAATCGCATCAAGCAAACAATTCCAATTGGGTACACCTTCGGCTGGTACTGTATAGAAGATATCTGCTGTTGCATTTGGACCTTCGTGTTGTCGAATACCACCGTCGTAGAGATTAAACTGGCTTATATAAACAAGATAAACCATAGCGCTGGCTAAGAAAGCACCCACTATTTGACCAAAAATATACATCACACATTGCAGCAGTTTCAGTTTACGAAGTGCCAGTAGCCCAAGACTAACTGCCGGATTGACATGAGCTCCTGGAAAAACATATTCATATTATGTCATTTCAGTTTCAATATCGAACGGAACTAGGAATTAATCTTCCTTTGATATTGAAAAGAGAATGCTCTGTGGCGACAGGAGGTACATTCAAACTATTAAATAGGTTTCAATGGTAATAACAAGTTACTTATCAAAACTTCTTGAGTTTGTGTAAATCGACAACAAGATCCCTCAAGGATGATCAAAAGTAGGATAACGGAAGAAAAGGGCGTCTTTTTTTATGACTTATTACTGTACGAACTAGGGTGAAATGTTTTTAGAGTAATACACGCCGCAATAAAACTCTCTCTCTCTCTCTCTCGACGTGGTGGAAACAAATAGAGTTGTCATATGTCGTTGAGATTTATTGTATCGAGATAACAGCAAGGTTAAATTTGGTGAGCTGTGATGACTGAAAATATCAATCGAGGGTTCTCAAAATAGAACTTTAGATTTCTACTTGAAAATCATTAGGGAAGCTAGCTGTTAAATGGGATCTATCTAACCTGAAATAGGACCAGCTACCATCAGTGCGACATACACTCCAGTTGCGTAAGATAGATTCACTCCAATGTTGTTGTTGGGCGTTGGTTTGGTGAACTTAAACTGAGCCACAGACAAGTTTCCAATAAGGATAAGAAGAAACGTGCCAAATAGTTCTGCCAGACATTGGGCAGCGAATTGCTTCAATTGTTTTGGCTGGAACATGGCTTTGTCTTATGATGACGAACTCTTAAGTATAGAAGATAAGAACAACAATCTATTATAATTCAACACGTTTTGATAATGCAATGCAAGATAACTGCATTAATATTTATATGCGACGTTTTCTGCAGTCATAAATCCAGCATTTTCGCATCTCAAGAACGTAAATCATGATAAATTTTGCATTATTTCTTCATATCGAACAGACCTGAATCATGCGGAAAATATGTCTCAAATAGATATTATTTTTCATTTGCCTTGATTTCGAATAATATCTCCGTTAACAAATAATAGAAAATGAAATTCGATATTACTGTACCTAAGTGCACACTTCCATTTTACAGGCAAAAGAAAAAGTGATCTCCACTTCAGTTCGGATCGAGAACTATATCTGATTACTAAAACAATACAATAAAAACTCATCAATATAGTCCGAATCCAATCTATCCGTACATTCCTGACCCGATGGACTATCTGACATTCGCTTTTGAGATAGTTGTTTTCTCGGTCCATGCTCGTGAAAATGATCATCAACATATGATTTGACACATTGGGTGTGTCAGTACGTATCATGGATGTACACAAAATACTTTGAATATCATGTTAAATACCTGGATGTAAATTAATACAAAAACAACTATTGATTTAGGTAGAAAGTGCACACCTGAGTTGATAGAATAAAGCCGCTTTTCAACTATTCATGACATACAAAAGGATTTGAATCATTAGCGAGCGAGCGATCGTTTTCACAAACATGACAATCTTTGTCTGAATGACTGCAAAACGCGCAAAATAAATTCGTTTCAAACTAGATATGGCATCATCAAGTCATCGTACATCACAAACTGAAATGTCTCACATGACACTGAACGTACACTATGAGGACGATGATAACGATGATGCGAAATCATTTACGCCTTCGATCATAAGTCGATCGTCAATAACGACATCACGATCTGGTTCGATAAGTACCGAAGTAGGTCAAGAGCAAATCGATCACATACGAGATGCTTTTGCAGTGTTCGACAAAGATATGACAGGTTCAATTACAACTGATCAATTCAAGTAAGACACTTCGGAGACGATGCAATAGTTTTACAGGAGGATGAGCAATCATTTTAGCAAAGTTCTTGATAGCTTTGGGTACAATATCCCTGAATCTGAGCTTGCCACGTTTGTGAATCAATTAGATATCGATAAATCAGGTGATGACTATTGACGTGTATGAATCAGTCAAGTTGACATAATTATTCTTTGTTTATTCTCAGGAACGATCGAATTCGAAGAATATCTCAGTTTCATGATGACGTTTATTAAAAAGAACGTCACAACAGAAGAAAACCTTCGAGACGCATTTAATCTGTTTGATCAAGATAGAGACGGCTTTATCAATGTTGATGACTTGCGAGAAATTATGACTAATCTAGGTGAGAAGATTACCGATGAAGATCTTGATGAAATGATACGTGAAGCGGACATCGGTATGACCAAGAAAGGAATACGAACTAACAAGAATCGATTTCTTCTAGATAAGGATTTCAAAGTTAATTTTCGTGAATTTCAACGAATTATGAGTTTTAAGTAAATATTACTCGAGCTTATCAAAAGCTTTCGTAGGATTACGAAGCAATTGAAATCAAGACAGATCGTTCAATAAATAGTTCTTGCAAACACTTCGTACATCAAAGACATAAATTTCTCATATACAATCTCTTCGTTGATAATTACACGATATGTAATGAACATAATATCAGAAATTGATCTCTCCATTTAGAGTTCTTTTTCCTTAGCAAGTCATATCGAACATCTTTATCTGATTTCACCATCTAAACAATCGATAACAGCAATAATTGAATATGATGTAAACAACAAAATATGACATCATCTCAATTGTTCGAGAAATATTGCATTTTATTACATACTACTGTAGATGAACGCGAAAAATTGCCTATTGTTCGACGCGTAGCATGTAAATTTTGTTTGGTAACGTCGGATTCACATTGACTCTTTTCCTTCTCGTCAATTAAGTAGATTAAGGATTATTGACCCATATATGATTCTCGGTTCTATGAGAAGAAAAAAGAGGCACAACTTTTTTTTTGATCGTTGATCTTTCTTTTTTAATGATGATTGAACGGTTTTCGTCATCTGATGCCTTTTTCTTTCTTCATTTCATTAAGTACGGTCGATTGCTTTAAAGTTTTTTCTTTTCAAGGTTATCATCATTATAATTATTCATCTAGCGTTTCCGCTGAACAAAGACGTTTGCATACGTATATGTGTGTATGTGCAGAAGATTATAAATCTCTTCATTCCGTTCAAATGAGCAGCAGTAACAAGAGGACAAGTATAAAAAAAGTATAGTCACGTGCAGCAGGAGGTCAGAAACAATAGTCAAGCTTCAAAAAGAAGGGAAGAGAGNTGACCACAAATGATAAGCGTCGTCTGTCTGTACTTGACACCTATTTGAATGTCCCATACATACGTACATATGTATGTACAAAAACGAACCAAGAAGAAATGTATGAATATTGAAGAGAAAGGGAGAGAGAGAGAAGACAAGATCATCTCAGTAAACTAATTAGACTAGCCAAGGTGTTAGATAGACTCCTTTTGCTATACTTATTCTCGTAATACAAACAATTGAGACGGGTCAATACTAATGAGAATGCCAATCAATTAGTGCTCATGGGTTCAGACAGTTTTATGCTTGTTAAAAACGAACCACCAATTACCTATTTTCTATGACAAAAGATAAACTTGCGCGTACTCATTTTTTTTTGTCTTTGATTCTTATCTGGTCATTTTGTCTTTGATCGCGACACATATGAAAAAAGATGCGATCTGGTTTTTGATTTTCTTCGTGGTCAATGTCTGTTCATTTTAGCCTGGAGTTATAGATAGGGACATCGTATTATTCGAAGCTATTATCCTGGAAAAAAAACGAGGATGGATCAACTTACTTTTTTCAACAACATTTGATGTGAATGAGACAAGTGCATTGTTGCACGCAATCGACTGATTCTTCTTTTTTTTTCATCACTAAGAAATGTGGACAGTGAAAAGAGGAAAAGGAGCGAAGTTGTCATATTTTTTTCTTTGTTTGATTACGTATGGGAGAGAGAGAGCGAGGGTTTATTAGGTAACCAATATGTGCACGCGCGCATCGTCTTGATTAACGATGGGGGTCAGTAGTACCCTATTGTCCAGTGAATGCCTCAAGAGACAGTTGGCACCAATACTGTTCACATCCTTTCTCTCATGCAGAGAATATGGATGATTTCCGTCGCAGTTCTAATCAGCAACGAAGGAGACATATAAAGAGGAAGTATGGCGTTAGAAACAGAGAAAAGAAGGCAAATCTAGAGATTTATCAATATCATTGCTGCTCTTTGTTGACCGTATGTTTAGACAGTCGAATAGGTCAAGAAAGAAAATGAAAGATTGAAATGTCTGACTTTTCGAACACCTGCAGATAGAAAAAACTTTTCTTTGTCGTCGCAGCATGCTTCCTCTGAGAGCTGATTTAGTCTGGTCATGTGTCGTTCACACACACACACTCTGCTGTTTTCTTTTTTCAAAAGAAATCGAACAAAGATCATGACATTTTTGCTATACATTCAGCTAACCATAATTGTAATTATTGTTACATTTGAAACTGATCTGACATGTCCTTTTTTTTCTCTCTCTCTCTGTCTTCCCTTTCTCCTTTGTGCTTCATCAAATGACATTATTCAATCTACTCTCATCCTCTTGCCATAAATGCCTCTGATCCGTAACTTGTCTTTTTTAATATTGTTAAGACTCCATATATCAAAATGTATTACATCTCGTCATATGCATATATGACTCGTAAAAATCGACAAGATGTTGCCTTTATTGTGTTCATGGAAATGAAGTGAACTTGATGACATTCTCAAGAGTAGTCGTGTGTATGACACTACAAAAAAAATGACGACAACGATAATCGAAGAGAGCCACTCATACTTCTACATATGAATACGAACGAACTGTTGATACGATTATTTCTAATCAATCTCGTTCGTGTATCTGTGAAGTTGTTTAATGTTGTGGATATTGAATGGATAGCGATCAAACATTGAACGCGACAATGTTTTGAACGGCATTGAATTGTATTCAACTGAGAATTTCTTGAAAGATATAATTAACTCTTTTCTCAAAAAAAAAATACTGTTTTCTCATAGCCATCAGATCAGAAAGCGAATTGGATTAATTAATTTTGGTCAATTCTAATGTTGTCATGTCAGTTGAATGTTTGTTCGATAGAAGCAACAAACATAATTCACCGATCGAAAGTTTAATCACCATGAGAAAAAGAAAGAACGAACGATTAGACATTGTAATCTTTACTTATTCTCTGCTAATAAAAGAAGCCACAATCATCTTAACCTTGCCGGTTTTTTTCTCTTTCGTAGTTTGTTAAAAATCATGCACGCGGTATCAAACCATTCAAGTGCATTGTTCATAAAAGAAACCTATAATATCGACAAATGTCATATCTTCAAATCACCCACCATTGAAAGTACTATTCATCGTACACTTTGTTCAGTCTTATTTACTTTGTGGTCATCTCGAATTATGATTGATCATAAATTTCACTAATAATACTAATCGTAAACACCATGCAATTGTTCTCAAGATTAAGTCAAGTAAAACACGACATTGAAGTAATCGGAAGACATTGATATCTGGAAAGACTAGACTGAAAGTACATTCTCTCGCTAAATGGATATATGCATGATATTTGTAGAATTTTGCCGATCCCTATAATTAGATCGTCGTCGGCTGTTATGCGACAAAAGATAATTTCGTATCATATGAGAGCCAAATTATTCTATCTCCTTGTAGATCTACGTATCGTAATCATAAATATTTATTTTCCGCCAGTTCGAGACCTATTTTATTTTGCATTCATACCAGATGCAGCAGTCTAATACCGATTATTTCTGACCTTTCTTCGTGGTATGAGAAAAGTTTCCTATCCTTGAGTATCATCAACGCAATCTATCGTTCGTCTACATGAGTATATCATTTGCACATACCTCGAATACAAAACTCTCGATAAATTGATCAAGCCTATTCTGGAGAATTGTCGGACATTAGACTATTGTTACGTGCTGATTTACAACGAACATAAAAGCCGTCTTTTTTTCTTCTTTGTCATAGTCGACTGATTTTGAATTATATGAATAGAATACAATGCTTTGTACCAGCTGGATCTGATTCGTTTTATGAGGTAATTCTTTTGTTGATAACAGTGACAATGAATACTGAGGGAGAATCTTTCGTCGAGTAAAACAAAAGGAAATCTATTAAATAACCTCATTAAGCAATCTTTCACCTAGGTCAATGACAATCCAGCTGCTTCTACACAATTTATCTGAACAGAAGAAATAGTAATATCATTCAAGTGATAACTTATTGAAAGAATATGTCCTTTGGCAATCGATCGTAATCAATACTACATCGTTCATATTTCAGAACAGTGTATTGCATCTATCTCTTATAAAACAAAATGAAAAATAATATTTCTGCGGCTATATCGCTCCCCAATTGCTATTGCATCATGATGTCTCGATACGGTCTATCACGTGAAAACTAATCGACGAAATAAAGTCGAACAGTAGACTATTTTGGACACTTGAAGTACATTCATGTGTTCATATCGATTGACGAGCATTAGCGTAAAAGAAACCGAGGTATTACTATCGAAAAGATATATTGATGAGTTCGAGATAAGAAAGTGAAACACAGAAGACACTAATCGAATGTCTTTGTTTCTCATATATCTTTGCTAATGACCAACAATTCTACTTAAATCATAAATTATCAGACCCATCATCATCATCGGTCAAGCAATGATCGAGATAACGTTGGATATGTATTGTCATTCGTCTTTGCACCATCGTTGTGTTGTCATATTTAGAAAGGAAAATTGCAATGAGGGATGTCATCAATCTTTTCAGAATTGAGAGCTTATGACGTTCGTGTGTATATGTAGTCCTTTTTCCTACCTAGGAAGAAAGATCCGGATGTGATTGTCACCTATGTAACTAATCGACAAATATCTCGGTGTAGAGTTGGCAACAGTCATAGGAAATCATTTTTGAATAACAATTGTGAAAAAAACGTTTTTCTTCTCAAGCATTTTGATCAATAGTTGAGCGAGAGAGAAGAAATATGATTTCTCTTTTCTTCCACTTTGACAACTAAAATATCTTATCCCTAGGAGACTTTCTGACAAGAAAATGTCGTCGTCTATATTGTTGTCTAACTAACATCTATCTCATGCAAGAAAATAAAGACTCTTCTTGCACCTGTATAAACTCTTGTACGAGGGACGTCTAATTTCAGCCTTGATTCTCCTATATGTCTCGACGATCTTCATCGTACATTTACCATCAACAACGTTCGCATTTCTCTTTCTTTTTCTTCTCCATCTTCTTCGTTGTCTGTACACAAGATTAACACTTCTCGTATAACAGAGTGACGATTTCGAGAACACCTGCACATATGAGAAGACGTGTGTAAGTGAACTGATATTTGAACAGTCAAATTTAGATGGCTTAAAGTTACCTGTTTACTATTGAGAGAAAGAAAAGAATCAAGGCTTTTGTCATCCTCTCATTACTCATCAGCGATGTCATCGCATGTATGAGATTGTCACCATCTGGTTTTGATTCAAGCTATTCAAATGCGTGTGCTGGAATGAGAAAGAAAGAGTGATAATCATTATGTACTGCATCCGTTCAGATTGTATATACGTGCCAAGGAAAGTGATACGGCTGCCTTTGTAGCAGCACTTCCTAATAGTCAGATATCGAGACTTCGGTATTTCGGGCGAGCATATGGTTATTTATATCGACTATCTCGAGATAGAAATAGAATAGAGTGGTTTTTATGACGTCTCTCGTACAGTAGCAGTCTTATCGATAGATGTTTTACTCAACTACAGATCACTTGATTTCAGACTTTTTCTTGTAGATTTTATGGCTATACTCGAGTTGACGAATTCTTCTTCAACATCATTTATTGATTTTCTTCGATGATATCATCTCATAGGTCATCGAATCCGTTATGATAAATCTTTTTTTATTTCCATCCATCTGAACAAGATTGACCTTTGATATTGTAGACAGAGAGAGAGATGTCAATGTGTACACATAATATGCTCGATAGCATTGAAGAAGATGAAGTTACTATAAAATAGGAACACCTGACGAGAGATTTACGTACTGTATTTGATTAACCATGTGATGAGAATGACAACTCTCGGCTATAGCTGCAATTGATTCAATTGAGCTAATTTTTTTCCATTTTCTTCCCTTTCCGTCTTTCTTTTTTTTTCTAGATAATGACTTATATCAATTCCATAACGTCATGTAACACTCGTTTGTCTTATCGGAGCTTCTTTTTTATACACTCTGTCAAATTTCTGGTGTAGAGATATAGATAGTCCAAGAAGCCTTCAATGAATCTTTTCATCTAAAGATGCATGGCGAACATAACTTTGAAAGAATTATTCGTATTTCTCTGGACGAATTTCCTCCTCATCAATATGGTGAACACTTATCAAACATTTGTCATACATTGGAATCAAACAACATTTATGTAAGTAGAGAGTACTAAAAATTGTTCTGTCAATTCTGATCATATATGATTGATCTCAATTGATTGAGACAAAACATGTTCATAGTCAAAGTCAATTGGCTTTCAGGTGTAAAAACTATCAATCATTGATGCAATAGTTTAGTGAACATATACATATATATATATATATATATATATATATAACGAATGATAAAGAAATACACAGGCGTGGCTCGTTACCTCATCAAACAGGCATATTCACGCGTCACGCAGTCTCGATAGGCGAACGGGTAGATCAAAGTGACCTTTTGCGACCGCATAAAACAAGAATAAGGAAAGACGAGAGAGATGTGTTCTGCAGATTGCATAAAAGCTCAAGTATAACTCATGTATATATATATATATACAATTCATACATCCGATTGCTCATTAGCAAACATCTCGCGTTTAGTTCAGTTGTCAAATTCATCGATGTGTTTTGTTTTTAATTGGAAAAAGATCGACGTAATCAAATCTTGAGCAAATAAATGAAAATACAAAAAATTAGAATGATTCTGTTAAGCTTTCTCTGCCTCTCTTTCCTCTCTTTCCGTTCGTTCAGATTATCACACAAATAAGAACGAACGCAACATCTTTTCGAACCACTAATCTTCACGTTCACCCAATTAAACCAAGCTCGTCTTACTGTCTACGAAGCTCAAGGGCGAATAATCAAAGTCTCTTTTGTTTTTTTTTTCGTCTAATGAGCCACTTGCATGTTCTCGTAGATTTCGGTCATTTCGTTTTTATATAAAAATCAACTGTCTCCCATCCATATGCTTGAATGCATTTAAGGCAGGACACATACACATATATATACTTGACTGTCAAGCAAGCATATCATCATCATAAGAATGATGGACGAGGTGAAATTAGTGATGTGTGCGGGATCGATTGTTTGATCGTCATCGGTTTCGCCTCCTTTCTCATTTAGTCATTCAGATCAATTCAACTCTTTGTCATATTGACTTTTTTTTCTGTAGTCGAAATAGGCTCTCCTAAATAAACACTATGCATTTTACTATTCAATGTAGACACTCGAGGGTGATACATGACACACATGAAGATCGACCGAAGTATACGGAAGACATTTTTGCATATATCTATATCTATGCGTATACATACAGGTTCAATTTTCTCGCTTCAGTAAATGTGAAAGATAGTTGATCATTGTAAATGATTGTAAAAAAAAAGGGAAAATAAGATGTTCATCTTGACATACAATCTTGTGATACAAATTGATATACATATAGAATCGAAATCGTGTCGTGTAAATTGAAATTCAACCAACTGATTTTCAATTTTTCCTTTTTCTCTCCTATTCAATCACTAATCTTCACCATCCGTCTCAATTTCTCTCACCTCCGGTATTTTATTTTATGTGTGCGTATGCATACGCGCGTTTTCGATTGTTCACACAAGTGACACATACATTTACGCATTTGATGTATTCTTTGATCATTCATCGATTTTTCTTTGTGATTAGTATGCTCACCGACTCGACTCTCCGAGCGATCAGTTCTAAGCATACCAAAAAATTACGTGCATCAATGAACAGAACATGATAAGCCGTCCCGCCAATGATCATATGAAATAAAATCGAAAGTCGAACGAAAACGACTCGAATTACAAATCTACACGTCAACAAACTAGAAAGAACAAACACACACACACATTGCTGTATCCAAATTTCAAACTGAAACCCAGATAAGGAGGGATATAATGCACACGTTCATCTTTTCTTAATTAAGATTAAGTTTTTCTGGTCGGAAAAAGATGCGTATATACATGATAATTGACTAGTGCGCTGTTGATGTGTTACGCGAAACTCGTCTCACATCGATATGATAATGAATATCGAGAGAAGAAAGACATGGTGAAGCAAGTGCACAAACGGTCCTTTCATATCTGTACTAATAATAAACGTTTTTCTCTCTTTCTTTTTACTTGCTCTTCTTCTTCTCCTTCCCTGCCTGTCGACACAGAGAAATAAGGGAGGAAGAGAGAGAGAGGGAGAAAGGATAATTGGACCGTTTCTTTTTTCTCGTGTGTTAGAGAATGAGAGAGAACAAGAGAACGGTCAGTTGAACCGAGCGTATAGTATATGTGTATTCAGTAGATGCAGCAGCAGAAAGGCGATGTTCATCAACACATTGCCTGTGGTATCAATTCTTTTACTCATCTTCATAACCAGATATCCAACATTTTCATTACTCCTTCCACCATTCTATTGGAATCAGACAACATTCAGGTAAGATAGTTTGTATCAAGAAATGGTCAGCGATAAAACCAAATCAATTAATTGAAATTTTTCACCATACATTGCACACACGATATCTTTTGTTCAGTATGATTGATAGACCATTATAATAGAATCTCGGACATTGTTAATGAATAGAAATATTTAGACTTCACTCATTTTCTACGTTTGTCTTCTCCTAGTGATAGTATCACACATTGAAAAATCTCTTGATTAATATCAGTTAGCGATAAGAACAAAGATCAATATGTAAGAACAATATTTATACAGATCGAGAAATTAGAATGGTATCTTTAATAGAAAATGACACAATTCTTTTCTTTCGGATGATTGTTTATTTATTTAACGAATTAAATATCTTACGAGAAGAAAGAAACCTGCTCGATGTTAAGACGATTTGTGTTTCTATTGAACATGGAATCGTGCAACTGTTCAGGAGTTGTTGAGTCAATCTATTCATTTCAACTACTTATGCTATTCACCATTCGTCACTTAATTGCATTGCTCACCACGCGCCTGTCTATCTGTTTGTTTGTTTTCATGTAAAAAAAAGACGGACTAACACCCGTGAAACAGACGCATTGGATTAGTTATCAAAACATACAGGATGTTCATTGTATTTGTAGACGTTCGTCGGTGGACAATGATGTTCTCTACATTTCATCATTCAAGGATGATCAGATAACTGATGAGAGAACATGATTGTCTCAAGAGACTACAACATAACTTATCCATCGAGTCCCTACTGAGATCAGACGAGTTTGATTTTCGTCAGGTTGATTTAATTGAGAAAACATTTGTGACTTGTAAGGTCAATCGAACAATGTACTGAAACAGTCAAGTAAAATTATCTAATCATAATTTTTCGATGATTCTATTTAGTAAAATATGCATGTAATTGATTTGATTAGTCTTTTAGAGAAGCAAATGTCAGATTTAAAGTCGATTGCATCACATGAAGATATACATCGATCGACATAGTTATTCCTCATTTTTGTTTCTCTCATTCTCTTGTTCGAAAGGAAATATCGGAGAAAAACTTTCCCTGTTTGTTTCGATGGCATTAAATGTCCTCTGCTAAGTGTCCATCTGTGCTACATATACAAATGACTTTTCAGTGTTCACGTCTTCGGGCGATAGTAGCGGGTGTACTTTCTTTTTTTCTCTTTAATGTGTTTATATTCATTTTTCTCTAGTGTATGTGTCTGTTCATAACAGAGCCCTAACGGCATCTTATGTTCATCGTAGGCCTTGACTAGAGATATTTTCTTTTTAATTAGATTTCATTCTCGATGTTTTGTTTTCACGTATTGTTGGAAAGAAAGAGAAAAGAACGTTGCACTCTTGAAATCAAATAAATTTTTCTCCATTTGTTTACATTTGTTTAGGCCGTATCAAGACGGTTCATTAGTTTTTGAAGTTCGTCTGGGTGATGTTATGGATTTGATATGTCCATTCTATGACGAACAACAATCTTATATGACAAGTGAATTAGAACAATATGATATCTATCGAGTCTGTTTTCAATAATTTCTTCGCGAAAATTTGCATAAAGTTGTTTTCCTTTCTAGGTATCCGAAAATGAATATCAAACTTGTACGATTAATCAATATAACAACGATCCTCTCACCCGTCGTATTATAACATGTAATAGTCCATATGATGTGATGAAATATACGCTGAATTTTCGTTCGTATTTGCCTATTCCCAACGGATTTGAATTTCGTCCGAATCAAACATATTATTTCGTCTCAACATCATTGAGTCATTCACAATGTAATCGACTGAAAATTTTTGTACATGATTATCGTAAGTAAAAATCTCGACTATCTCTCGATGCGAACGCTGTCGTTGTTTTGCTTCAATGCACTTTCGTAGTTATACAAATGAGACGACATGATTGTGTAAGAGAATTGATGAAGTGTAGTAGATTCGATAGTTCTTCGCTCGAGCGCGTTTTTCTACTGATTACTTGAGAGAAAGGAATCAGCGAATGACTAGACAAATCCAATAGTGACTATTATACATATTCACCAATTACTGAACCATAAGCGATTAGTTGTCTGTGAAAGAATCAGTTTTCATCATTGCATTATCTCAACAACTTATGTTTTCAAACATTGATCTAATGAATATTCGAGTGTATTTACCACGCCTTTTGTATTTCTGTTCAAGTCATATGAATGATTGGAATGTTGAGAATAATAGTGATTAGAACTAGATGAACGAGCTGTCGGCTTCTTTTCTACCACTTTCTAGAGTGCGTTGTTTTTTACGTCATCGATATGCTATGCATGACTTCGTCATCAATGTAAGATATACTATTAGTATTTCTCTTCATGTCTACGATAACGACTGAGTAACAAATAATCTTGTTGTCGAGATAAATTACTATCATTGTCTATCAATCATTCCTGTCCGATGTACTTCATCGAATGCTTGACCATAACTTTGTTATTGTTATAGACAAAATCGAATTCGAAACATGTTTTTCTTAATGATCTATTTAGATCGTGTATCAATGTCGACGAGTACATCATCATCTTCATCATTTCTTTCTAATCCAGAATATAAACCTCTATCTTTTCCTCATTATTCTCATCATCGACATGATTCATCTTCATCGGCTGTACATAAACATGACCAACGTCCTTTTCTCCACGCGATCAAAGCTCAACGTCACAGTGATCCATATTCGATCAAATGGATCACAGAAGGACCCTATCGAGATACAGGTAAGTCATTGTTATGTGAAAAAGGAAATCATGTCTTTGTTTCGTTTTGTCAATAGATAAGTCTTATGGGACACGAAATATCGTTGAAACATCCGTTTCGCCACCAAATATGCTTAGTCTCGCATTGAGCTCTTCGGCAAGAAAGATCTCCATATCAGGTTCTCTTCTATGTTTTCTATTTCTTCTAAGATAATATCACGAAATGGTTTTTATTTTTTGACACCGGTGTTTCTCGAAAGTTTTACTATAAAATTCTGTTTTCTTTTTGTCTCTCGCGAATTGGAAGGAGATCTTGATCTATATACTCATCGTGTGTACGGGAACAAATTGATGGAAATATGATCATTGTGTTGTTTTCTTTTTCGGTTTTTTTTTAAATACTTTATTCATCTTTAAATGCACAGAAAATAAACTATCAGAATAATTCAATTTTCTCTGCTCAACCATCAGAATCGAAACAATGTCACTGGTCATCATGAAACGATTTGTAATTATTGTCTACACGATTGCAAAATCACAACGATTTGTAGGTTATCACATCGTGTTACATACAGATATTGTCGTCAAATAGTTTTAGTGAGGTTATGTAAGTCGTCATCATTGATACATATTACATATGTACATGAAAATAGAGATGATGCTAATGAACGTTGTTATTTTTTGCTTTTGTGTCATTATCTGTGTGTTTTTTCCATAATAATGAAAAGATTTGTACATGTAGAAGAGAGATGAGTACTATGTCAACTAAGAAATTTTATCCATTGAGTTCTTGGTGTTGAAGACGTTTTGGAGATGAACTCTCTGTGGCCCATGAAGGGACGGAGTGGAACAGGTATTTCTACACGTTCTTTGTCCTAAAAAAACATCGGTGAAATGAAACTTTTTAGAGCTATGAGGACAATCTCTTACTGGTTTCCAATTTGATTCAATGATTGCTGTCAGCATGCGCGGTATGGCCATAGCTGTTCCATTCAACTAAAATGAAAAATAGTGTGTTGTCAATATCTTAAGATCGATGTTCAGACATACTGTATGGACGAATTTTTCTTCACCATTATCATCGATGTATTTGATATGTAACCGACGCGATTGAAAATCAGTACAATTGGATGCACTGCTTATCTTCAAACAAATCAAATTCTTCTGTTGTAATCGAATGAGATAATTTATATCAAACATACTTCGCCGTAAAACTTCTTCGCTGGCATCCAAGCTTCGATATCATATTTTCTGTAAGCAGAAAGTCCAAGTTCTTCCGATGGCATATCAAGTATCCTAAGAATATATGTTCAAAAAGAACTTCAATTGTACAAACACCATCAAACCTGAAATGTAATCCAAGTTCTTCGAACATAGTTGCTTCTAGTTGCACAATTTCTTTGTGCATTTCTTGCGAAGCTCTCTCATCATCCGTTGTCACAGCAAACATTTCCACTTTATTAAATTCATGTACACGATACAGGTTACCTTCTGTTTTTCCACCAGGTAATTCAGCTCGATAACAACGACTGCATGATGCTAGCCTATCAAAGAAATAGTCATCGAAAGAAAAGGAAATACTTTGGTGAGATGTTTGTACTTACTTAAGAGGTAACTCATCTTTACGAAATGTGTTATGTTTGAGAAGACCAGCGAGAGGCATTTCAGATGTACCAGCAAGACAATATCGACCAAATTCTTCACCGTAATCCAATTGATAAACTTGAGATCGTTTACCTCGTGTTGGAAAACCACATGATTCCTAAGAAGTCAGCATAATCCCTTTGGAGTTTCTATCCAAAGAAAGTCTCTTACAATAATGCCTCGATGAATAATGTCAGGAACCGAAACTAGTTTAAATCCCTATTAGAAATTGCGAATATACAACGATACATGACTTTTCGAATATATATGACTGACATTTTGTGTGAGTTTTTCAAACGCATAATACATTAAAGCACGTTCTAAACGCGCAAAATCACCAAACAGTGCATAGGCACCTCGAAATGACACATGGCCCATATTTCTACGAGTACAAAAAGAACAACGCAGTCCATACAATTGCACGAACTTCTAAACTCACTCTAATTGAATCATATTCAACTCTTGACCGATTTGATCGACCGCAGGCCAAGAATCTGTCGTATCTAAAACTAGCCGTGTATTTTCTTCATGTCTAAGTGGTTTTCCTTACCTGGCTTCTTTCCAACTTCGCGAATTATACGTGCTTGATCTTGAGTACTGGATGACTAGATGAAAACACACAGTAAAGAAAATCTCACATAAGACTCACTCACCACGTCAGGATGTGTGTTGTTGGGTAATCTCAAAGCACGATTGTATAAATCTTGAATTTTCACTTTGATCTGATCCTAAATTTGACTGCAGATCATGAAAATATCGTTGTCATCAATGATTTACTTCGCCTTGAATTGGATCCAGTTTCTTGTCTTCAATACGATGAAAAAGAGTTTGAACATCACGATGTAGAGCATGCTAGAAAATCGCTATTGAACCAGACTAAAGAAGATCAAGGAAATGTTTCCATACAATTTGTTCAATGTCAGCATATTCAGTTTCTTTTCTTCGTTTGATATTCTCTGCGATCGCTTGAGAATTCTCAGCATTTAATATATAATCCCAGTCAAGTACAGCTGAACGAAGATCGAGTTCAACGTATGGATTCAACCGATTGATATATGTTTTTACTTGCTCTAGATATGCACGATAATCTTGCCAGGGATTGAATTTCGGTGGTGAATTCGAATGAAATCGAACCGGCAAACGTAAAACATGTTTTATTCGATACATATCTATCTTTTTCTTATATACATCATAATAAAATGTGGTCTACATGTAAGTGTGATAGTACACTATTCGATCTTACCAATTCAAACAACTGACAAATCAGAAATAAAATAACCGATAGATGGCATTGTCGGAACAGAAATTATCGTCTAATTATTATATATATGAAAATTCAGCTGTAGACATGATCAAAGCAGAAATTCATCTATTCTAGACTGACAGTGACATGCAGTTGTCCTATTCAATGAACTTTTTTCCTCATTAGTGCTATGTTATCACATGTGCTATATATGTGAATGTATATTAGTTGTCATTTCGTCTGTCTTTTGAAGACCAGTATGCATCTATCGAATAAGCAGCGTGTAATGAATAAAACATATACGGTCTTATCGAATAAGTATTGTTCATCTTATGTTGATACTGACCAACAAGATCAAATGCATTCGATTATGGAAAATACTGGTCGATTATTATCACCATTAGACGAGAGTCGTTTTTCTACATTTACAAAGTATAAGATCAAACAGCCAGCTAGCACAATTATTGTTAATGAACAGCAACAACGATATTTCGATTCACCAACAATGATTGTACCAGATGACGATGATGAATACATTCCGATTAGTCGTTGTTCGAACAAAACATCATCTGCTCTGATTGAATCGAATTTAGATGAGACAGAACTTAGTGATCTTTTAATATTTACAAATCGTACGTAAAATCATTCGTGTAATTCTTTCCGTATATGAATCTTTCTTCTTAGCAAATCGATTGTTATCTGAATCGATGCGTGTCGTTGCCAGTCGACATCCATCATTACAAGATTTGAAATATATCAATGACGTTAGTAGTCGATTAGGTGATTCATCTTTACTTGTAAAAGAGAAGGAAGAACCTGTCTATCAGGAGCTGATTCGGATTGAACGCCTAATTACTCCACCACTGACGGATCATATCAATGATGTCGATGAAAATAAAGAAAATCGGCCACCACTGATGCCAATTAAATGTCCAGTATCGCGAATACCGGTTTGGATACCATCATCTATAAGTAAGACCAAGAAACACGAAGACATCAAAAAGAAATCAACAACAAAACCATGTCTTGTTGGTAAATAATTATTGTATAAACTATTATTAAGAAAAAAGCGATATCATATTTAGATATATTGGATCAATGGTCGTCGATGACACCTAAACTGAAAGATTTGTTAACAGATACACGAAAGATGCCTATCCGTGTATGTACTTCTCGTTATTTTCTCTTCGATAATCATACTAATTACTTTCTTTCAGATGCCTCAGCTAACAAAGAATAGTAGCGAGTTTCGCCGTCTGAAACAATTATTAAACGATTTGGAAATAACCACATCTTCATGGACGAATGCGATCAATCAATGTCGTTATGTTCTTCAACATGCTCAACAGCAATTTCATCGTGGATAAGATCTTCATTCATCTCTAATCACGTTCTCTATCTGTTACTGTTAGTCGTTTTCCCAGTTAATGTATCAGTCAAATCAATAGTTTGAACTATTTTCAATGTGATTGTCAGTTGTTGCTTTTTATTTTCAAAGATTGTCAAACATAGTTTAACAAATATCGTTGTATCAATGAATCAAATAAAGAGTTATTCGACGTTATCCAATGTATGCACATGTCCACATCGACGTCTATCTACTTCACTACGATTGTAAATCAATAAACAACGTTGTAGGTCTTCATGTTGGTTATGATACACTGACGGTATGCAAAGATTTTCATCGTCTAATCCATTACAAAGCATTTCAAAACAGAAGTTATTTCAATAATCATCAGACATACATGGCTCGATGTTTTCAAGAAATTTGGCCTGACGTCGTAGATTAGCGGGCGAATTTAGTCGTCTCTTCTGTGCTCTGTTTCTTTTTCGAGTTGTTTTTTTACGTTTTTCTTCACTTTGAATGAGATGATTTACAGTAGCTAGACAGACGTTGAGTTGCTCAACTAGTTCTTGAATATTGTTGTGTAATGATCGGCATTGTAGTGGGGTGTTTGATTCTTTGGCAAGTACTTCTTGTACGATAATAGTTGATAATGAAGTTTGAAGTGGTATACGAGGAGCAATCGTCGAGGAAAAATGAGGGACAATCGAAGAATTAGTCGATGTTAGTTGCCGCGATACATTGTCACTGACTGATTGAAAATCAATTCACAATTCGACTATTCGTCATTAATCATACCGAGTTTCGTAGCTGAATGAACGATATCTTCTTTCAAGTGATTATTATCGTCGGACAGAACATGCAATTTACTTGACTCTAATGATACATTCGATAAATCACATACAGGAATGACCTTCAAATTAGTCGTGTTCATCTTGTTCGACATTTTGTCTTCCAGTGGTATACAATAGTCAAATTACACGTATAGAATATATGTTTTCATACTATTTTTGCTAGTCGATAGTTCATCTGGAAGAATCCCATTCATTGCCTGTCGTGATGAGATTTGTACTTTAGCGAGTAGATGTGTTTCATCTATATGCGAGATATTCTTCAGTAGAACATTGTTTTCTACTTTGTTATTCCTTGGAGTGCAAGTATTATATTAATCTCAAAACTCAGTTTGATTCATACAAAGAAATAGAATTTCCAAGTGATTCCTGTACTGAAAAGTTCCTTGTACTCATAAATACCTTTGCTTCTCTTGTGCGGAAGATTAGATGGTATAGCTAAACATCGAATTTTGTCGAGTCTTTGAACGGCAATCATGTCTTGAGAAGAGATTTGACGAACAGTAATCGTATTTCGATAACGAGACTGACGTCCAGTGCATTTCTTTCGTTTCGATCGTATATGTTTTCGGTGACTGCTTTCATGTTGTCTTGATGAAGTTCGTATAGTTGATGATAATAAGCAGGAGGGAAACAACGGATAATTAAAGCCGAGATGACTTGTTTGTTTACACTGAGATAGATCGATTGTCATAATTCATTCAAGATGTAATGAATTAATTTGGAATTTTGATTAATAAATTCAATAGATCGTATAAGATTCTTTAATTAAGCCGAACGAAATAAATGATGGATTATCCTTTGTATTTTTCCTGTCGGTTGTTGATTAAGGCAACTTAGAGAGGTAAATAATGACCTATATCTATTTCAACTAACAAGAAATCAAACAAAAAATATATCAAATAAATGAATTTCAATATAATTAGCTGGCGGCTAGATTTTGCCTCTTTCTTTTAACAAGCCGCCGCAAACATGTTCTCCCATTTTTACCTGCCTCACGTGACATCCGAACAAACAGGTTAGTTTCGAAATATTTCATTCAGTGGATAATTATTAAAGACGTTAAGTACGGAGAAGATTGATGGATAACATATGTTCGAGCATCTTCTCTTCGACAAGAGATACAAATCATGTGAGATTTGAATATTTGTCAATTACACTGATATTCTCCGGAAGTTATTAGTGTAAATGGTAGTAGATAATTGATTTTCAAACCTGCTTTTCATATCTTCTTCTCCTTCTCATTACCAAACGAAAGAATAGCTATCTATTGTCATGCAAGTGAGAGTGGTTACTTGTTGACATTTATTTTGACGTCATTGGCTTTGTAATTGTAATATTTTTGTTCATTGAAAGTATATCTAACACAAACTAGATAGTTTTCCGAGCTATTTGTTTGACCATGAATAGACAAGAGTCTACTATAAACATTCCACACAGATACAGACAACAGGAGACAAATAACAAGCTCAGTAGACGGAATAGCCTTGCATTTATCATTATATAAATAACACATAAGACATTCATACTAAATCCAGGACATAGGTCTTGATCAAATCTGTCATTACATTTCCATATCTCTGAACGAAAACCTTTGATAATAAGGAGTATCTTATTATCTTCTGCTTTTGACTTAAAGGGAAAGAGAACTACAGAATCTTCTTATTTAGTATAGTCAGTAAGAAGTCCTGGACTTTTGTCGTTTCACACAGCTCGAAAGTGCTTTATTTTCAAGACATACGTCATTTAATCTCCATGTAATCGGATGTCACAAACATATAATCTGTTAGGTATAGAAATGAACGTCGTCTGCTTGTTAATGCACGTCTCTTTCGCTCTGTCTCACTTTGCTTTTGTTCAGTGCCAAAGGCCTGGCATAAGAAACGTCCAAACAGCAAGTAAGTACAATAAGCAAACATTGATAGATATTTCAATAATCATAGAGTGCGCACCCTCGAGAAACAGACAAAAGAAAAGAAGGAAAAAAAGAAAGAAAATTGTCAAAATCTAGCCACTATTCTCTAAGCATTCAATGCAAGAATATTGCATAGTGTATTCATTTTCCTGTACTTCCCTTTCTCTTCCCATCTTTTATTAGCACGCAATGGATAATGTCACACAATGAATAAGGTAAGATAAATTTTCATATCTTTCCACAGTTGTCAAGATATGATTATGCACGTGCTTTTCCAAGCGAGATCATTTAGCTTCTCATGCAAGTTCCTTTCGGATAATGAATACAAAAGAGTGACGTACTTCAATCTAAATTACTCATAAGAAGCGTAATTAGGTATAGTTAAATGACTACAGAGAATAGCTTAACATGGCATATCCGTTTTCGAGTCATGGTACGTATGTTACAATGTAATTTTCCGAAATTGTATCAGATACTGTGTAATGTTTTCTTTGAAGAATAACATTTTTTGTTATAAGGACAATGTGCTAATTGAACAATGAACCTCATAATCATATTAGGATGATAAATCTTACAGCACACATCAGCTAAATGAACATCAATCGGCAAACAATGGAACATGAAATTCCGACTGCGAGACTATGATTTATGTCACTTCTTTATAGCGGCTATTTATAGTGAATGTTTGTTGCAATACTTTATCACATCTCAGACAGAAAGATTTGTTTTTCAGAACGATTGAGTAACGAAAGGGAGCAATATTCGAAGATATGAAACTGTAATTGCTGATCGAAAATGTTATGTACCTGCAGGGTTGTGCGTGACCTTTTGCTAGAGGGCACCGTTATTGCTTCAACTTCGATACCCTACAAGTTTGATATCAAATGAAGGTCCGTAAAAGTCGAATGTACAGCTATTGTCGTGAATTTCAGAGAAGGAATTAAAGCTGTACAAAATACTCAATCACCAAAATATTGCACACGTTGTCCCTCTTTACTATCTTCTTGTCTATTTTACTCCTTCTTCTGCTTCTAAAAGTATTTTTTGCTTTGTAGTATGCATGACGTGCGTTGGGATTTACTCTCTTTTCTTCTTCCTTCTTTGACTGTTCAAGTACCCGGGCAAAAATTGTGGAGAAACCTAAATATTGACGATCCGAGTATTTCCATAGATTTAATTCTATCTCTGAAACTTGGGACGATAAACTTATCGATTAAAATGATGATGGTAGCGCTAAATGCAGCTTTTTACAAGCTTTCATTTGGTATAAAATTTGTAGGGTAGCGAAGTTGAAGAAACAACACTGCTCCCTTGTTATGCACAACCCTATAGATTGAGACAAGGCAAACGGAGAAGATGGTAGACACACTTGCCAAAAGCGCATTTATTTCCGTTTTCATCTATTTGTGACTATATATAAATGATAGAATTCATCTCTTGTCCTGGTATTCTCAGTTAATTGTTAGTTTCATTACGGATACAATTATAGTAAGATGGTTTTCGTCAGATCAAAATTGCAATTTTTAGAATGACTGCCACCAGCAGAGTTGTTGATTGCTTTGAATAGCAGTGAAATAGTAACCAGAGGAAAATATTTTCTATTTTCGCTTGCATACTTCGTTTCATATGGTCATTAAAGATGTTTATGAAGTGAATGAACTGTGTTTAGGATGTTTGATTAACGTGTGGAATGTTCTAATTGGTCCATTGAGTTCAAACTTCGAGAAGATTGCTTGAAAATGAAGACAATTACGATACATTAACGCATAGAAAGTAGTTAACATTGACATGATATCAAGGATATTCGAGTAACCTCATCAATTATCTGTCATTTCCTACAAAATAACATCAGTTGTCGTTCAATGAGAATGAGTGTGCTGAAGACGAGTATGTCGAGAATAACGAGGAAGTCGATGCAAGGACATAGGCATACGCATGACGCATATGTCTATCTGCTGTTATCTGGTCAACGATAGAAGAATCAGCAGTGACAAGCAAGAATAGAAACATGTGTATGTCTATAAATGTAGATTATACAGACAGTAAGCATGTATCCCAGTGCATTTACTTACTAGGTTACTCGCTGTATCTCTCTTAGGTTCGCATTTTTTTCCTTAGGGATTTTGCATCTTTTCTTCTCACGCTTTCTTTCTTTCTTCTTTCGCTACTGAATGGTAAAGAGACAGAGAGAGAGAGATACAGAGAGCATCAAAACTGATAGCCTCAGGTTTTATTAGCGACCTCGCGTTCAGTTTAAGTATGTATTTGTGTGTTGGTGATTAAGACAAAAGAGAAAACGATCAAGACAGGCAAGTTAGTTCTTCCTGAGAGGAAAAATAAAAGAATTGAAGCAAATGCCTGTTCGTCAGCATAATATCCGTTTCTTATTGACTGAGTTTTCTCGATTCGAGAATATAAGGTAAGTAGGTGGTTGGTGACTGAACTGTTTCTAATCCGCATATTTTTCATCTTCTTTTATCATGATTATTACGTTTACATATTCATGTATTCTAGCTTCTTTTTTCCTGCGTTCATAATGATACTTCACTATGATTACTCTGAAATTATATACCTTCTTACTATAAATGGTTTTCTCCTTTACTGTCACTTGTATTTTTTTCTTTGAACATGATCTTTTCTTTTTCTCCGCATTGACTTATAGTTGATTAGAGTAAACGAAAGAACGAGAAGGATGAACTACCAAATGTCTTAATTATTATGATACATAAATTTTCCACCAACATCGTGTAACGCTCTTCGCGACGTCAGAGTTGTGTCCCTCATAGTAGCAGATGTTCCACCTTGAGTAACGGCTCGTAACACACAAGAGATTAGAGATCGATCAAAATGAACATAACGCAGAGATTATGTCTCCTCTGGAACATTCTTCGAATGAAAAACAAAACATTGCTTAATTAAGTGACTCGCATTCTGTAATGAGTAATTATCCATAAGATTTGTCTAGTCTGCATCTAACAAGGTAGGAAACGATTTGATTTCATGTCCTCTAATGAAATGCATTTCGAGCTTAAAAAATCTCCAAAAATAACTAGTGTGCAATGATATAATTGTCTCGTACCTCTTGAGAATGCGCTGTCTTCACTTGATATTTATATATTCATGTATAGATATTCACTTATTTTGCTTCATTGTTCTTAGGAACCATCGTAAATTAATGAGATCCTGTCCTGATTAATTACTATATTTTCAAGTAAATTAACTATTGGAAAGATTTTGCATGTTCCACCTGAACGCGATAATCTTAAGGGAAACTTAGTAAAGCTCAACGAATCGTAAAATTGGCCGAATTGGACTCGTATATATAGTGAAGACTCTTTGGTTCCTGACTTCTTTTTTTTTCAATAAGTCATCATCGAAACTGGTTTAACAATGCAAAATACTTTTCTACGTGCAATATTTGTTGCCATCAATGGTCTGATCTTTGTCGGATCGATTATACTCAATCTCCTAGCTATTGTATATATTTTATCTACACGAGATAAAACAACGATTGCAATGCTTGTGGTTAATTTAGCAATAGCTGATATGATCCATGCAAGTATGTGACTGACGTAAACGCTTTCATCTCCAATATATTTTCGTTTCTAGTGGGCATTATATTCTTTAGTAGTAATTTGTTTACCCGTAGTTGGGTGTTCGGTGAATTTGGATGCATATTTAGTTTAACGGCTGACGTACTTTGTACTGTGGTATGTTGATACTAATCCGCGAAATTCTTTCGTAGTTCAAAAAGGTGAAAAGAGATTGATTCATATTCAGATAAGATACTTTTCTTCTTAGAACAATCTTCTTATTGCAAAGAAAACCGAATCGAGATGTTTTTTTGATCGAAGATATTTCGAGAGAAGTTCAGCAGGCGATGAACGTCCGTGAAAACTGATAGTAATCATCGTTGACGATTTCTAGGTTGTAATCTACTACTGAGTAATAATCATGCAAACGAGATCCATATCATAGTGCATGACTCTAGAGACAATTTAGTACACTGTTGAAGCGAGATAAGAGATTTGAAGAATGTCTGCATGTATCATTATAAACTAGAAGAGATAGTTATTTTTTTCCACCTGAAAATGATTTTCAATGAATAATTTGATCTGTAGAAGGAATCGTTTTTCGTCAACGAACGACCGATCACTGGAAAAAGCTGATTTTCTGCTACTGATTACACTATTGACACATTCATTAATTTAATGTCTTTTATTATAACTAAATTATGGGCATAATATTTCAGCGGAGGACTGGAAAAAAGCCATTAGTAGTTAATAAGGGAAATGTGTGATGACGTGCAAAGGGCACAGCAAACTAAAAGACTGAAAAATAGTTAACTTATTAAAAGTAATCATCTATCGAGAAATGTAGGCTGAACACAAAATTATGTTTATCTATTTCTAGGTTATTGTCTATACTGTTGCAGCTTTAAGTTTTGAGCGTTATATCGATGCTCGTTCGACATTAACAGCGAAGTTTCGCTCTTTAATCACATTTGGCTCCTTAGTGTTGATTTGGACGCTGGGATTACTAGTACCGTATCCATTTATTTTTTATACATATCTAGCGGAATCCAATAGTCCGCCGAGTAATAATAGTCTGAAAAATTCCACACCAATGTATACATGTCAATCGCATTTAAGTGAAAGAGAATTACTTGTTCATGAAATCATCTTATACGTCATCGCATTTATAATCCCATATTCGATAATTGTTATATTTTCATTGAAATTATTGAAATTTCTACGCGATTGGTTGAAACGGAAAGAAAAATTAACGCGTACAAGTGTAGCACGAAAACGAACACGCGGTGTTAAACTTGTTCTTTGTATTGTCTTATCATTTCTTATCTGCTATACACCATTTTGGGCATTCAAATTTTATACACGTTTTATTGTTGATGAAAATGTTGTGCGACGACCTGTTCTACAACGCATTCTCTCCTATGTACATTTACTTGTTGTTTTACTTAATCATTTCGAAAGTATTCTCAATCCGTTATTTTTTATTGTTTTAACGGAAAGATTCTGTTTGACATTTTCAAAACATCGACAAAGACGTTCCAGGTTATTTGGAACACCCTCATCAGCCATTATCCTGGCTGGCGGAAGAAAATCGATGAAGATGGCAGCTTCAACCTCAACTGTTATCGCAAAAAGTGCCAAAACCAACGGTCTGCTAGCTGGACATAATAATCACTACGACAATAAAGAGAAAATGCCTGTCATTGTTCAGTCGCTCTAGTTGTCTTCTTTTTATAGAATCAAATAAATGTATCAATCATGATATATATTCAATAGTTCAACGAAAGATGTGTATTTTCTTATTGTAATCATGTGTTAGTTGATAATAACCATAATAAAAACATCTTCTCAAGATAAAATGTATTTTTTTTGTCTCTCGTTTCAGCACGAGAATGATTAGCTCATGTATTAGGTTGTAAACGTCTTCACTTGTTTGAGGAATACAAAATATTGCAAGGTCATTTTGAATATACATTGACCGGCTGCAAGTGCGTTTAAGATCTAATCTTACTAGATATTCGTGAATAATTATGATAATTATGTGTGAATTCAATCGCGGAACTCGTATTTTCTTTCATGATTTTGAAAAATCAGTGTACGTAATGAGATCACTGTCTCATGACTTTATCAAAATCAACAAAAACGAATAGTGTTCTGTTTCTTTTTCTTTACGATGGTTACTCATACGATGTTTTTCGTTTTTCTCGTTGTCAACTGAAATGCTTTCGTTTTGAGTGATTATTTGCCGTCTACGAAAAATCTGAAGTATGCGACACGGGTTTGCCAAGAACGCTGTGTCATGCATATTTTTTGTCTTTTCTGTGCTCAGATGTAATCTCATAAAGTAGAGAGAACCTCGTTGGTCGTAACGAAAAAAACTAAAAGTTGTTTTCGTACGTAATTTTTATACATTTTCTTCTCTACTTCCTTCGCAATTCCTCGCATACATTCAATCAACACGATTCATCGCTAGTAGTTCGAGATCAATCTCGTCAAATGGGAAACTCTTTATCTGAATTCAGTAAACTTAAAGACAAATCTCAGAATTCTATCGACGCAGATATTGACGATACCAGTTGGCTCAAAGCTGTTGACAATTCGTTCGTTTACGTATGGTGTGATGAATCCATCGGCACACAGAAATTTGTCAGCGATGCTAACAATACGCTGAGAAATATTGCGTCTATCGCCAATCCAAAGCGGCAACTTGTTCATACTTTCAACGAATTGGACGCTTGTAAAGATTTCATCATGCATGTCAATAATGTATGTTTAATCATTTCTGGAAAGTTTGGGGAAGAACTTATACCAAAAATTCATAATGCCGAACAACTACATTCAGTGTATGTCTTCTGTATGAACAAGCCGAAACACGACGCATGGGCGGTGCACTACCGAAAAGTTCGTGATGTGTGTACTAACATTGGAGATATATGTAAATCGTTGAAAAAGTATATTTCATCACCAGCGATCATTGACTATGATCGAATTGATTTTGATATTATCAGTACAGAGGCATATTCAACAGAACCGCAGCAGCTCGATCTAAATTTAGTTTATTCAATTCTAACAGACACTTTCATATTGGGAATGGTGGACTCAGCGGATCATGGTAAGCAAGACATGGTCAAGTATTGTCGAAATGAATATACGTCTGATTGTCAACTTTATCTAATCGGTGATTTTGAAAAAAACTATTCACAATTCAGTCCGATCTGGTGGTATACGAAAAGTTACTTTTTCCAAGGAATGATCAATCGAGCATTACGAACACGTGATCTCTATGTGCTTTGTTCACTGCAGCGCTTATTAAAAGATTTAAACATTGAATTGACACGATTGCAAGAAAAGCAAAAGAAAACGACTGGATCACTGGATTTGTATTTTGTTCAAACGCTCGCAACCGCTGAATTGCGCCGACTACAAGCATCATATGGTCAATTAATGTGTATCAATCAATTCATAAGCGCTAATCCAGATAAAACGATTGCAATCGTCTTTATGAAACATCAAGCTTTGAAATCGAATCAAGTTCGCATTCTTTTTCACATTCATATTGACCAAACCTTGTCAACAATTGTTCCATACGCCAATATTGGTTCGAATAGTGATTTCGTTCACGAAAACGAACATCTTATCTCAATGTTTGGATACTATCGTGTTGGCAAAGTGGAGCAAGTCGCCGACTTTCAATCGACATGGCTAGTAAATTTAACATTAATCGGGAAAGACGACTATCAATATATGCAACTGAAACATCATCGACTCGAAAACATGTATCTAGTTGATCTGGATCAAACAGTTAAAGATCGAATATGTCGATTCAAATCGGCCAATAAACTATTTCGACAGGCTTTGTACAATACGAACAATCAAATGGAATTACGGGCAATCGTGTTACATTATAATTTGGCTTTACTTTATGATAGCTTTGCTGAAACTAGCAAATCACTCGAACAATATCAATGCGCTTTAGCTGTGGCAAGAAGATCGATTCCAAACTGTCAACACAGCGATCATATATGTCTAGTACCCATCTTTGCCAATATGGGATTAACTTTTCTACAAAGCAATGAGTGCGAGTCTGCTACTATACAGGGAGCTGCTATTGCACATGGGATTCGGGCAATAGGAATCTTATCGAAAAATGAACAAATTTCTACAATAAAGAAAGAACTTGAATCGGCATGTTATATTATCTATGGAATTATTCATGAACGAATTGGTCAAACTTCCGACGCTCAAAAGTATTTCAATGAAGCGTTAGCAATCCAGAAAATGTATTTACCGTCGAATCATCCCGATGTGATATACTCAGAACGGCTTATTGCATTACTTTCATCGAAATTAAGTAGCTCGGACTCGTTCAAAAGTGCGAAATCTTGATGCTTATCAAGCGAAGAATATGTTATTGTTTTGTAGTGGTGTAATAAACATGTCTAAGACTCTTTTCTATTATTGATCATGCTCTCGGTAAAAGTCATTTGTAATTATGTTGGTGAAAGGTATGTATCTGTGCATGATATGATAATTATCTAGTTAAATTCAGATCCTTCTCTGTTTCTGGTATCAGAGGGTGAGGAATTTTCCTTTTTTGACTTCTTAATCTCGTACTGACGTCAGGTAGATCCGCGAACAAACTTATTTTATATCTGCACATAGCCCCCACAATAATTAAACTTCTCGATAGAACGGATCCAATTGGCAATTTGAGTACAATGAAGATGATATTTGATCTCAATTATAATTAGCTGGTCTCGTCTAATCTGAAGTGTCGTGAATTACTACGCCTTACTCAAATGTATCGCGACAAACTTGATACTCTATTGATGAAACGAATCATATTTATTGAGTTTAGAGAGGAGGCAAAGAATTGAATTCGAAACTGACTCAGTTTTATTGTTATCAAACGGCAAATCGATTATAAGGCAAACGTTCTTGTATTGCTTTTCTGAGATCATTATGAAAATGTTCGACTTTCCTAGCCAAATCGTAAGAATCTTCCTTTGTGACCCATGCGATCGAAATCATCTTGAGAAATCAAATCTAATTGACGACCAAAACGAAGAAAAGATCCGTGATTATTCACACGCCGACCAAAGCGAAGAAAGGATCCCGATGGTGACATTTGTCGGCCGAAGCGAAGAAACGATCCCGATGGCGACATTTGTCGTCCGAATCTTAAAAATGTCGTTGAGCGACGATCATAATCATTCTCTTCAGCACTTTCACTGTTGTCATTTGAGTATTTATTATGATTATGAGATAGAACTTGTAATAGGTCGTTGTCAGCAACGTCGGCTACATCTAAATTTAGAAGAAAAAAAGAAAAAAAAACAAAAATACGTGATATTGTACATACCACTTGCAACTTTTGTTACCATTTGTATGCAAAGAAGTGCTGAGAGAAGAGTAAATAAATACATTACATTTAACGGTTGGCATAAAAGGGACATCTAGATCAAGTCAATGAAATCGTATGCAAATTTCCGCTGTTCATCTTGCATGAATACAAACTTTAAAGGAAATTAAGGTGGGCAGCAATATGGTGTTTCTGAAAGAAAAATATAATAATCATAATTGTTAGGCGAATCGATTTTTTATTTGTGAGAGTACTGTTCGAGTTGGTTTCTTGAAACTTTTCCTCTCCGACTGTCACGTTCGATTGAATTTATGGTGGGTTTAAGTGAATGTAAATCATCAGGTAAAAGGCATTTCTCAATATTAGACACAATGTTCTTCGTCGACTAATCACGAGTTTTTCGGCTTTTCAAAAAAAAGATTGACTTACAGATGCACTGTGAACTATTCTATGAATTAATTCAATGTCATTTCGAGTTTTATACTTCATCTACTTTAATACATAAGTACCCACGCAAAAAAAAGCTTAATCTACGACTACTTTCTATTTTCTTCTCGCTTGGACGTATACACCTACATTAATGAAGAAAATCCTATTGTTCGTACGTGTTTCTATGTATAAAGACAGACGAAGGCGTATTTATATCTATTATTTTTCTTTTTTAGAAGGTAGGAAACCGATCTAGTAGTTTAATATCTCATCAGAAAAGAATGAACATTCTTTTTCACGTCAAACTTTGTTCTGTTTTTCATCAGATTGCATGTTTACTTCCGGTATCTCATACTACTAATATTTCTAATGTTATAATTCACTAAGTGAAACACATTCTCTGAAATTTTCTGGGAAAATAGAAGTTTAGACAGAAGAAAAATACACATCCGATAATGAAAGAATCTGTTTGCAGATCTCCTATGCCGATTAACGTACCTGTGTTCTGGTAAAGCTAATAGAAGAAATGGATGTAGGGGTGGATGAAAAGAAAGAGGAAACAAGTAAGACGCGCTCCACGAGCACAATGATGAGATGTTGAAGTTGTTCGTACTTGGAATGTGTTGAACGATAAGAACTATCTTCACGTATTAGATTTATTCATAGAAAAGATAATCAAAGAAATTGAGGAATCTGATAATGTCAAGGTGTAAATGTAAGATTCGGTAACCCGAAAATGATAGGATTGAGCTGTTGAAGCTGCAAGGTTGGCCGTTGAGGCTCTTCTTTTTGTTCGGCAGATGATAATGCTTCCGATGTGGTATCAGGTGGATGTACCGATGAGGACTTTTTATTAACACTACTATCTTTAGTGGACGATGATTGCTGTTTGCCTTTAGGTGATGGCGAACGCGTTTTTTTGTTTGTTGAAGTATTTCCTTTGTTTTTTCCATCTTTTGATGCTGCTCCTGCCGTCGTTGAGTCAGCCTCCACAGGACGAAAGTATGGATAAACAAGTAGACGTAATGCTTGACTTAATGAACAATGTAATGTGGCAGAATCTAAATAATTTGCACGATGACGAGAACAAAGAGAATAAAAACTCATTGATTACCAATAAAAGTATTGATTAATACAGTTTCATTCTCAATCATAGTTGATTTCCATTGATTGAGTACAATTGATTTGGTACCGCCTGAACTCCACAAGAGGGCAATTTCAGTCGAACGATCCAGTTGAATTGCATCATGCTCATTGGTTAATCTACATTTATTTTACGTAAATATGAATTCTACTGTCGAACACTTTCGTTTTCTTACGATATAGGTGCATTGTTAACAAGACATGTTGACGTTCGATCAAACGAGCACATAATCGTACAGCCTGGAAACATTCGAAAATTAAGTAATATAGAACTTCAAATCTCCTACCATTTTTCGACAATGTTGGACATTTATAAGGTTCAACCAATTCACTAAGCGTATGCGCTCCATAGTAAACAACACCTTGGGCGTCAGTGACAATTCGTTCAAGTTCGGCAGTACTAAAGATAAGTGGTATATTTATTTAGCTCAATTGAGTTGAACGGATCGTGACAGACGAGTGTCGAAGAATTAAAGAAGTATTCGAGTAATATGTGGGAAAGGGTTGTTTGTCGGTATAAACTTACGATAACTGTGAAGAAAAGACAGACACACTCTTTTGTGATCTGAAAGTATAGTCTACATTTGTATGACGAGATTCATAATGCACCCAAATTTCAAATGATTAGCACTCTCAAGCTGACTAAAAAAAATAAGCTTACTTAATTGTTGATCCTTCTTGTTTCACTGTTTTCCATTTGGATATAACTTGAGGAAGCCGTTGTCGAAGAACATCAAATGGCGTTGTTACTTTCGTTTCTAATACTTACAAATTCTTATTCGCCTATCATTCGAGAAAATCAATTACCTGCTGATGATGATTTATACAAGATCGGTTCCACCAAATAGTAAGTATTCGATGAATCGATCACTTGCAATTCGCTTGTTACTTCGCCACCCTGGAAACACATTCATATTATCCGAGTTTCATCCGAGTTATTGGAAATATTTACTTCTTTGCCAGCAGTCTTTTTGTTCTTTCCGTCTGCAATGAGAAAAAAATACATAGTATCAATGGCAGTCTCGAGACAGTGCAGAATACTTACCATCGGCTGGAGCGGTTGTTTCATCAACACCAAGAGTTGGATTTAAACGGTTGTATACAGATTGAATGGAGAAATCTCTTGAGATACCGCCGATTTGAACGTGTCGGAATATATCCAATGATTCCAGAGGTAAATGAGCAAGACGCGGATCGATAAGAAGTAACAAATGATCGGTACTAAGTGCGGTTCGAGGTTCGTATTGCTTGTCAGCACTAGGGCTCAAATGAAGTTTAGTCATTCATCAGAGAATGTTGTCTTACTCGAGATAATTCGAAAGCAAAGGTTTAATTGGAGCAAAATACTCGTTTAATTCAACAAGAAGCTGATCGGTGAAACGTTGTTTCAATGCGTTGATCAAGTTGATATCAACAGGTTCAGGCTAAAAGAAAAGATGAATTTTAGTATCTGTTAGTGTATGAAATGAAAAGTGCTATTCTCAAGAAGTGTTTCAAGTGCTATTGAAAAATATAATCAAATTACAGACAAACAAATATTCAATAATTAGGAAATAGATAGAATATTTCCTAAACTATGAATACATATTGATATTATTGCAAAATAACCTGTGTATCAGTTTTTGACGAGAGATTCTCGTTATTGGATAATATAGCTTTTTTCACCTGAAATGAAATTGATTAGACGAATAATTTCTTTCATTTGTTCGTTTGTCTGTTTTCATGAAAAGGAAAAAGAAAACGTAATAATATCAACTAACTTGTTCTGAATTGAGCATAGCTTGCTTATCACGACTGCGTTGTAGCTTAAGTTCGTATTGTTGTAACAATTGAGAATATTCTTCTTTCCATCGGTCGAATTTATTAATTAGATTATTTAGTTTTCTCTTGTCCACATTAATTTTCATAATTTGTGGATTAGCAAACCCAGTCGTAGGTCCTAAATATCATACATTCGAGTCCTGATCAGTTGTTCAAGTTTTAATCTGTACCTTTCGACTTTCCACCTCCAGTGGTAGTTGCTCCTTTTCCACTCAATGTCCTACTATTGAACAATGCAACATACATCACTTCTCTAGGAAAATTTCAAGATGAACATATTCGAAGATTACAGAACAGAAACAAACCCATTTGTTGAATAGTGCAACACAAGAAAATTGAACAGGGTTGGCATTTCTTTTGTCAATTCATAATACTGAGAACGAATGGTCATGTATTTCCACGCCTAAATCGACGCATTCTCAAATATTAGTCCAATTTCGTTGATTCTATCATACCCAATAAGTTCGCAATCGCTCCATTACAGCTCGATAGACGATACCATTATTTGCATTTGTTATTGTTTCATCTCGCTTTATTCGATTCATTAGTGTAAATAATGAAGCGAGTTCGGAGTTACTGGGCACTGAGCATGCTCGTTTCAAAACGTTCTTTGTATAAATCGATGCATTCGCACTCTAATACGCACAAGGTAAAGAAAAGTCAGTTGTTTTTCTCCGAAATCAAAGCTCATACTTGACTTAAGGTTAAATAAATAATACTAATCACTGGATCGAATTGACCGATGGTATCGGAAATCAATAGACTTATGTCACGAATGAGTATTTTGTCTTGAATAACCAGAGCAATGTTCAGTGCTTGCAAAGCAATTTCCGTTGATTGAGCAAGATACGATAAGGAATGGTTCAGATCCATCTAAAATAAAAAGGTTTGAATTGAAGAAAACTTGAAGTACACGATGGAATTCAGAAGACCTTATCTCGAGTAAATTCATTGAGTAATTCTTCCGGTATCCATTCATTCTCAACTAAATTGATTGATTGATTAATACTATTGCCAGCGCGTGATTCTGCATGTTTCGCTCCGCCTTTTGTTGATGCCAATTCGTGGAATTTGGCGAGTACGTCCTGTGTAGCAAAGAGAGAAGAGGATAAGATTCTGTCTGAAGGACAAACAAACTTTTATTCGACTATTCCATTCTAGTGGATAGTCCGTTCCAACATTTTGACCGAGAATTGAATAGATTTGAGCGAGATAAAAGAAAATCTACGCAAAAAAAAAGACACAGAAAAATATACAAAATAAACCACTCTTTTTCAGCAGACTGACCTTTGCTTTGGTCAGTTTATCATTCGAACCAATGATTTCCAAGACGGACATCAACCTTGCGATTAATTTTTCTGGTAAGATTCTAAGAAAGCAATAATTCATACAATAAACTAAATATTCTTCACAGAATACTTTGTTATCTCGTCCCATTTATTATCTTCCGGATCCTCGCTGTTTTTTTCTTCTGTGCCGACAAAATCTTGCACAGCCTAGATAAAATCAAAATCAAGCACCTTTCTTCCAGTTTATTTTCCTTACTAAATATGTTGCATGTGTTGTCTTTCGTCGTAGACGATCTTTGGCCATTTCCGTTGCATGAATTTTCAATAGATCAAGTAATATCGTGATTATTTCAAGTTGCACACGAACAAATTGTCGTTGTACAGGTAGTTGTATGGATGTTAACTGCAAATAGAATTCTGATCTCCGTTAAATCTTTTTCTCTCTATACGATTTCTTACATCGTTCTGCGACGTGATCTGTCGGATTAGTTGCCATCGTTCAGCGAGTATCTCTGTTAGATGGTCGAGAATAGAGAGTGCACGACCAAGATACTTTTTCTGTTCGTTTCCATCCGTCGAGTCTCGAGCGAAACGTTTCCAAATTGGTATGGATTTCGTCAGAATTATTTCACAGGCGTCATTGTATCGATCGAGGTTGAGCAGATTTGTGAACGACATATCATATTGTTGCAAGATATCGTACAGACGATAGAAGATCGATTTGTTTTCTATAGTGTTTACTGTAGTTTGTGAGAAAATTTCATTCATTTCAACATCAACTTGTCTAAAGAAAACAAATAGTGCTGAATCGTAGTTGGAATCGTCTTACTTTGCTTTGAGAAGTGAGGCTGTATAAGCGATCGAAATGATTTTATTGATATGCAACTGTACGATCGATTCCAATCGTTTAATTGATGTTTCAAGCAAAGATCGTACCTTGAAATAAAAGAAATCCTGTGCTTCTTTTCGAAAAATACCTACAAAGGAAATACTTTTTTCTGTTTGTACGCATCTTGATTATTATCCTGGCATAAAGCTTCGACAATTGTTACAACGGATCTATACCATTCGTATTCATCAATTGCAACTTGCTATAAGAAAATAAGCATGGAAGTTTTTCAGTCAAATTAACTATCCGTGATATTTACTTGTGCTTGTATGGCTAAATCAATGGCTTGATCAAAGCGATGTTCATGCAAGGCAATTTCAGACAAGAGAATGAAAGAACGTTTTTCACACACTTGATCGTCATAGATCTGAAAATATCAGAGATGAATATTATTCTAAGAGATCATCGAGGTGTATCAGTTTACTTTGGCTTGATTGAGAATTTCTTGTAACATTTCTTTCGCTTCTTGGATATAATTCAATTCAAATAAGAGATTAGCTGTTTGCAACCAAATATTTCTCGTTATAAGCTTATTAAATATTTGGCGATCACCCGGTAAGTCCGCCACGAGAGATTTTGCATCACTTGCCTATGAAACAATCGATTAGAAAACATTCACATTTGAGAACATATCGCACTTTATATCGAGATACAGAAGATGAGTACGCTGATGTTCCATACGACCGAGTTTCACTTTTAAATCCAGCACTACCCAAAGCCGATTTTAAGAGTGCTTCATCTTCGCGTTGCTGAACAAGTAGATTCGTATAAATGACCATTTCAGTGCGTGACAATGACAAATCGTCATCTCGGATAGTAAATGGACGTGCTAATTGACATATGGTTTGCATAGGCTCGAGAAGGTTGAGCTCTTGACAGACTTGTTGAATCCTGAATGAAAGGCCAAAATTATCTGACCGTCAATTTCAATGGTCATACCACTTACCGAAGTAAAACATATGTACGCATGGACGAGTTAGGTAGAACAACTTGGCTGATCAATCGCATAAAACTGAGTACAGGTAAACTCAAATGATTGTATCCATATTCACGTAAAAGACGAACGAATACGTCCAAATAATAGAAAGATAAAAGCTAAAATTAGAGAACGATTCGATAATCGTTGCCAATTAAATTGATGACAAACCGGTTTAGGGATCGTGCTCTTGTTAAAACCTCGCTGATTCGATTGTGATAATGTATACGTGTGTAAAATTTCATCGGAGGGTACAAACAATGCCCATTCAGACGGACTTCGAGTTGCTGGTATCTCTGGTAATGTGGTCTTGGCATTCTTTAAACAGAAAAGCAAACATAATCTATGAATAGGCGTCAATGAGCTAGTCTAGATACTCACAACTGCTGGTTTATCAGCACTTTTTCCAGGTGCTACGGGTGGTGGTTTCTTTTTCACTTCTGTGGCAGTCGGTGCTCCTTTTTGTTGCTTTTTGCCTGTGTCACCTGCAGCTGCTGCAGCTTCAGCAGCCGCTGCCGCTTCCATCTCTACATCTTTCGTAATGTCATTGCTATCTGACAAGCCACGCTAAAGATATAATCAAGATAAGCGATAGAGCTGTATGTTTTCCTTTCAATCTAGTTTCTCCTTTTACCTGCCATAATCGAGTGAGAAGCCAATAGGCTTGTTGTAGTAAGGTTTGGTGCTCCGGTTGATTTCTTCGAGTCATATAGGCAAGTAATATATGACATCGACAAAGGTATTCAAGACGGCGAACTTGAACAACGTCATTAATCGATAGATCAGGTTGGATACGATCTGGAGCTAAAAATCAAACACATTTCATTCATTTCTTTTTCCAAAGAATATTCAGTCTTTCGATTACGCGCAGGTTTAATTGAACCCATATGTGGATTTTCAAATTCATCGTCATCGTCTCTTTTCTGCGTTGTTTCATTTCCTACACTCGAAGAATTAACTAAACCTTAACATATAGACAATCATTGCAACTGTATGAACAAGACTAGCCAAATACTTACTATCCATATCTTGTCCATCGCTCGTACTTGCTTCGTCTTGTTTATATGCTTCCGGTGACGTTAATAACAAATCGATGACCCAATTGATCAGATCAATTACATTATCCATAAAATATTCATTACTGTACAACCAACTTGCTAATTCCAGTATGTAATCAATTTTCGTCCAGTAATTATCCAAACTCTACGTAAACAAATACATACGTATGGTTTCACAATCAAAGAAAACTTTGATTACTTGTAATGTCGAAATCGCTTGTTGATATGCGTTTATAACATGATCTCGTTTTCTCGCCATTAGTGCCACTTGCCGCCACATTTTGGCTAATGCTAATTCGCCTTGTTCACGGAATTTGATCATATCCGTACTAATGGATAATCCTAGTTTGGATTTAATCAATACTCGATATTTATACAGAAGCAATCGATGCTGTGTGCGCGGTAAGACTTGTAAAGCACTATCGATGGCGTCCAACGCTGAATGCCACGCATGTCTATCCATATAGATTTGAACGACAATACCATAGAGTGCTGAGCGAATTTGAGCTTCTTCTTGTGGAGCAAGCGATGCGTTTTGTAATGATGGGTCATCGTTTGAACTGGTCTTTTTACTTCGTTGGGTTAATGGTTGCTTTTTTGGACGAAATCGATGTGCTGGATTAGTAAATTCTTCTTTCTAAAACAATATCATAAGTTAATCATCATTCCTTGATTATTCCTACCGCTGCACGATCATTTTGCATTGATACAATTGATTTTGGTGCTACTGAATTGATATGATGGATCAGTTCATTGATTGGATCTAATAGAAGTGATCGTTCCAACTTTCGTTTAATCGAAAGACGACAATTGTTCCAAAAATGACGTGCTAAATGCATAGTTAAATCATATAAATCGGCTTTGGAGGAATAACTAAAAGACACATCTGTTGCTTGTTGAAATCATATTCCAAAGATTGAATTGTTTACCTTGCGGCTTCAACAAAAATAGCAAGTACTTCTTTTCGTTCTTGTTTCTGTCCAGTTTGTTGCCTAACTAAACATTCAGCATAAGCACCACATGCTCGACTGACGTATTCATTTGCTAATGATAATTGAAATCTTAACAATCAGACAGAACGTTTCGGACTTAATTTTTATCGATTAAACAATATTACTTCTCCACTTTTTGTGTTTGAAAAACTGTAATGATCTCCAGTGCTTTGTCTCGACAGAACAGTGCAATTTCAGAATCATTTGCTCGATTCGCGACTATACCAAGACGGCACCATAATTGCAATTCAATCAACGGATCACTCCATCCGCATTGATCAACAAATGTAACAGTCTAGATAAAGGTATAATTGTTTAATCTTTCTTATTCGAAATGCCATCATGGTTGATTTGTCTTATACATATGTCTGTCGCGAAATACACACCCTTTCTACTTGACTTTATCAGCATGATCTGTATGTGATCCACACAATTGGGTCGTATACAGGTAGCTCTAGTTATATAAATGCTCGGGGTACATTTCGATATGTGTGTTTGGATCAATAAAGCTAAGATCTAACAACTAGGTGTGTCTTTGCAGATGTCTAATCATATTTTCTTTTCAAATAGCGACTGTTTTATAATCAAAATGAACTTCATAGCTATGCCCATGTAAAAAAAATACCCCAAAACATCGGATGAAAATCGATTTTTTGAAAAAAATCCATAAAATCTGATTAAATTCCGCAATTCTGATTAAATACACGAGAAAAACAGATTACCACCGATTAATAATCTGACAATCCATTAAAATTGATTAAAGGCAACAAGAAAACTGATTTACACAGATTCCAATTATCCCAACTGATTTCCATCGACTTTTTAGCCGGTAAAAATCGATTGTAACCGATTTTTCCGACGATTGAGCGATGGGCATCTATGAGTGCAGTCAAACCTGATTTTCATCGATTTGTAGCCGGTAAAAATCGATTTTAACCGATTTTCCGATTGGTAATCAATTTTAATCAATTTACTAAATAAAGAAAATAATTTTCTTTGATTAAATTATGCAATAGTAGTTTTAATTGATTATTACCTAGAAAATCGATTGAAATCCTTTAAGTTATTTGAAATCATAAAAAATAATTATAGTCGCCAGAAATCGTAATCGATTTTAATCACAAAAAGAAAAAAACGCCTTTTTCTCGAATATTCAACTTTCAGAAAGTCTTCTAAACCTTTTTTTCGGAATCCTCGCATCGACAAATAGTGACTCAACAGTGGAGTAGCCGGTGATACCCTTGAGATAGTGACAGTCACGATATAGTTTGATACTCACTCATTTAGGAAAAAAAACGATTAAAATTGATTTTTTTATTACAAATTAATTGAAGTCATATAATGAAAAGCAGACCGGTTAAAAACGATTCTCTCAAAAATAACCGATTTTAACTGATTTTTTTTGGATTCAAAATCTGATGAAAATCAGATGAAAATCGTGTCATTTAAATCGATTTTTCATCATAAAAAAATCGATTAAAATCAGGTTTACTCGTGTATTTTTTTACATGGGTGGGAATCAGTAATATGATCAGCGTCAATTTAAGTACCAAGTTAGCTATGAAACACACTAGTCATTCAAATAATTAGTCCTTCTAATGAGCTCATAGATTCAATACTATTTCTCAAATCATTCTATTGTCTACTCTTGAACCTGTCTGGAATTTTTCTCTGTTTTTGTCGTCATATATACTGTAACTAGTAATCGATAGATTTGATATGAAATAATCAACGTGACCAAGACATATAATCACGAATCATTACCTGTTTTAGGTTCATTCCTTCACTAGTGCTATTATAACCACTTTCCAGACGTGAGAGTACATCGACAGCCAATACAGCGCGTGATAATGTATTTAGACTCGATTTGGTTTCCTTTTCAAACAAAAAATGAGTTGCTTTCAATAATTATTGAATATCTGACTAGCTTACATCTTCTTCGCCGAGAATCGTTGTTATAGCTGATCGAACTGACTGTTGAAGTAATTGCTTAACAGTGACCCAGAGTTGTAAAAGTGTTTGCCGATCTCGAATTGAAATTGAAAGAGGTTTAGCTACTTCTTCATTCGTTTGATTGATCGCATATTCGCATACCTTAAATAAAAATCAATTAATCAAATTGTTTGAACTGAAAAATGCGAAGCGACTTACATCAAGAGCTGCTCGATAATCTTCGTTTTTTATGACTGCTGGCGGTAGTGGAACAGCTCCAGCAATTGTTGTTGATGCTTGCTGATCAGTTTTGTTTTGTTTTTTCGTGCCTGGTGCAATTGGTTGGGGAATTATCGTAGTATCTGTATTTGCTGGCGGGCGAGTTTCTTGAGTTGACGATGGTAAAGGAGTAATATATGCATTAGCAAGCGATACACACAGATTGACCAGCAGAATGATTTCTCTACGATAGAAGTCAAATATGTACTACTGGCAAAAGTGAGATGTATTTTAATTAAACTAACCGCTCGAAGCCAACAGTTCGTAGTCCATTAATAATAGTTGTTAATGGTTCTAGAATAAAACGTAAGCGATTACTGTAGAACAAGTGCCGAGTATAATTCCATATATATTCGCCCGCTCGACAGATCACCCATGACTCATTCAGTAGTTGACCGAGACTAGCGCCTGCCGCAAAATGAGCACAAGCACGAATGGATAACTGCTGTAACCACAGACTAAAATGATGAACAGATATAAGATGCATACATCTATTTCGAACTGTATGAGATCGTAGGTCTCATTATCAACAAAGATAACAATTACCAATAATGCTTCCAATCATTATCTGATTCTTGTTGAGCTTGAACTCGTTGTGCAGCTGGTACTGTTGGCATCGGTGGTCGCACAGGCGTGTCGAATAATTCAATGCGGCGTTCTCGTATGAATTCAATCTCAGCCTATTTATTATAAGAAGTGAAAGATATTCGAAATACAAATTTTTAAGTCTTTATACTTCTCCGGCTATGAAATGAATCTCTGCTAGCAGACGAATAAGGTCGCGTTGGAAAACATTGGGTTTAGGCGAGTCGTCCGATACGTTCAGCAGTGATCGACGTTTTTCATTGTCATACAATAGACAAAATCGAGCTGCTGTTCGACATACATCCCAAATTTCTTGTCGACGAGCCATCATTGTCAAATCAGCCCATAGTTTCAATCTTTATGGATGCTTGTATGAAACTCAAAGATAGAGAAGTAGTCATACCTTTTATCCTGATCGGTTTCCGCCATGATACGTTCATAGTGAGTAATGTTTTGTATACATTTTTCATAATGATCAGCAAAGCCTTTCAACTGTGCTGTTGGGTTCGCACGCATTTTTCCAATCGCTGAAACAGAAACCGGTTTCTTTCAAAGTATAGTTTCTGCTTTTTCTACTATTTACCATTTGGATTTTCTGAATCAAGCACGACTTGAAATGCATCCTGTGCTAATAGTAAACATGCCTCAATAAGGAGAGCACGTTGTTTATTTTTATTTCCACTTGCGGTCTTGCCAGCTTGTTCAATAATCATACCGACTCGATCATCAACATTTTCAGGAATTTTGTATAATTCACCACGTAACTGCAGTCTTTCTAAGGCTAAATTAACACGAGCAGAATATACACCTGTATCATCTAGTTGTTTGGCCTATTGAGAGAGATTTAAACAGCGTTTCTTTTAAAGGTAAATATCGATTTGTGTTTATTACTTTGAGTAAATTAGTTCTTGCGGAATCCAGTTGTTCAATATCTTCTTCAATTTTGGCCAATTCAAAATGAGCTTGACTTCGTAGTAACCAGTTAAGACTAAATAAATATACAAACGGACTTTTCGAGAACAATACATTGTGACTATTCCCCAAACCTCTGTATACGTTCCATAGTATTAACAAGTGTTGTTAACGGCCTTCGAATTCTTCCACGAAGATTACTTTGTAATAATGGCAAACATGAATTCCAAAGAATAACACAACCAGTTTGAACTAAATCAAATTGGCCAGTGCGTATCAACGATTCGATTGTTTCTTCGGTTAAGTCGATAGCACGAATACGAATCTAAGAAAGCAAGTTTATATGCATAGATAACAATCTTGTCGAGAAAACTTCCTTACGTCAACGAGTCTTTTGCTGTACAGTTCTTCGCTTTCTCCTAAACTTTTCACCGTATATTCTGCTTCTAACAATCGTACTTCCAACAGATATTCTGCTTCCTTGAGAAAGAAAAACAGTGAAAAATATTCGAGTTTTGTTTGCTGTGCAATCAATTACTTTCAAACGAATATTAGCGAGTTCATCAAGAATAACTTTGGTCAGATCAGTATAACGAAGTAATAGCGAGATTCGACCTGCTTCGACCAACAACCGATGTCTAGAAAAGAAAAGAATCGGATTTGGGATGATTTGGACTGGACGAGTTACTTTTCATATGAAGTTAGGGATTTCTTTCCCAGTGCATTGTCGTTATCACGCGGAGTGGTAATTTTAGTTGGTTTACCAGTGGTTCGTATTTGGGATGCAATAATTTCATCGTAGATTTGTTTAAGGTTCGCGTTTGTTTCATTCGTAGCGTTGTTTTGTAAAATCTCTCTGCAAGACAATAATAGTAAGTTTGGTCAAAAGAGAAATCAGTGTTTACCGATGAAGTGATGCTAATTCAATCAGTAATCGTTTGAATAGCACTGATGAATCAGTATTCGATGCATAGGAGAGGAGATCTTCTTTATCGAGAACATCATGAACGGTCTAAAATAGGACAGATATTCATTTGAAATCATGTCGGACGAGGAGATCTTACAAGAAATTGAAGAACATTTGGAAGAAGTGTAAGTTGATAGTTTTGACATAATTGTACAAGTTCGTTACTGACATCTCGTGCATTGACCATGTCATTTGCGTCCATGTAACATCGAACGAGTTCACTTAAATGAATAACAAGGCTCTTTTCGATAGGGAAACGAGTCTTTCTTCAAACGTACAAGAGAAGTTGAGCTTGCCAAGCGAAATCCTGTTCATCTTCAAGATTTTTCAATGCATCGATGACTTGTTGAAAACTTTCACAGAGATATTTTCGATAGCCATCACGAAAGAACGGTCGAATGTAATTGAAATATATTACGGATGCATTATAGACTAAAAATTGATATCTAAACAATACACAACAGGTTTTGTTTTGATTTAGAATAAACATGCATACGTACCGAGGAGATGCCGAAGCAAAACTAAGGCATTTTTGCAAGAATGGAATAGCATTATTCAAAGATGCCTGAAAAGATTACATTAGATTCATTCCTGACAATCACTTTCGAAAGCATTTACATAGTCAAGTGCTGCTTTTGGCATGTATAATCGAAATTGGCACAGATAAGCGCGTCCAACAAATTGACTTTTGACTGGGCTTGTTGAAAAAAACATCTGAAGACATTCATCAGCGATGGAATTCGCATTTAACTAGAATACAACCAATCACTTCTGTTTCTCTAAAAAATCAGTCTAGATCTCACATCAAGTGCACTTTCTGCTAATAAAACGTAAATGTCTTGGCCAACTGTATCCTTGCCTTGAACGAGATTGATTTGAAAGTTTTGCTTAAGCTTCTGAAAAGCATCCGTTAGAATTTTGACGTCTAAAAATCGAGAATGGATCGATCAGAAAATAGACTGAATAATCAAATGTGACTACGGACCACTTTGTTCGGTACCAGACACAACGAGGCGACGAATTTGTGCATCCATGAATGAATCAATCAGATGAAGAAATTGAATTCTTTTTGTTTGCAAAATCAAACTTCATTGAACAATACTCGATTGGTCGTAACAATCGACATTTAACGAAACATCACTTTGGAGAGTCCTCTCAATCTCGGTACGAATTTATTGATCAGCGACATCTCTCAATAATCTTTCTTATAACATTATTTGATGGTCTTTCAGTAAAACGACATAGCCATAAATGATAAGTGTTTTATTATATGAAGTATGAATACATTCCGGTAGATACTTGTATTTGTCTTTTTTTCTCAGTACGAATTTATAGATACTTTACATTTATAATCGGCATTTTGTTTCAAAAACGAAATATCTTGTCATAGTTTCTCGTACATGAGTTACTCGTTTTCACCTGGACATATTGATCAGAAAACGACGCCGTGTCATATAATGCATAGAATCGATATTTCCAAGTAATTTATTTGGTATTTACAACATACATATATCACACAATTTCAGCTGATTCAAAGAGTACATAGTTTATATATTGATAGAAAATATGACCTGAGATTGTACTGCAATGTTTGATGAACTCAATGTTACATAGGCGATGTACTAACACTAAAGTTGTCAAAGTTTTATCTTCGCTTCTCTTATGTAGTACGATCCGTAAAAGCTAACAATTGTAAAGCTGTAAAAAATGACATATAATATCATATGCTTATCGATATTTTCTGTCATTGATTCATAGTGATGATAAAGGAAATCAGCAAACAAAGACATTCAACAAGTTGATGAATATCTATTAGAGTAATAAATCCAGTTAACTTTATAGAGGTACGAGTATCAATGACTCAGTAGGCATATTTATTTTTCAACTGGTATGCTATATTAAGTGATGTAAACTTTGAATGCAATGAAACTATTTCGGCTATTTATTATGCATGTGAAAAAGAAACTACTCAATATGACTTCTCATTTCTATTTCTTCATCTATTTAGATCACTATATCAATGGTTGAACTATTTGAGGATCCTCGTAAAAATCCGGTGGCAACTTTTCTTATGCAAGTGTTCATTACACTAGTTGTGTGCAAGATTCTTGCTAAACTACTTTCCTACATCCGGCAACCGCAAGTTATTGGACAAATTATCGCTGGTATCATCTTTGGTCCATCGATTCTTGGTAAGCAACAAGATATAAAACAAACGTCTAGTATCTTCCATTTGTTTGCCAGGTAATATTCCTGCCTGGACAAATGCAATGTGGCCAGAATCGAGTCTTGCCTCGTTCAAACTTATCGCTAGCTTGGGCTTGATCTTTTTCATGTTTTTTCTGGGAATTGAACTTGATCTCGATCAAATCAAACGAAGTTGGAAAGTTACAGTACCTGTCGCTGCTACTAGCATAATAATTCCAGGTAGGTCCTGTTTCTAGAGATAGCATTCATTGTCTACATTCAACTTTAGTGGGCATTGGCTGTGCCGTATCTATATGGTTGTATGAAGATAATGAAGGCTTGAGAACAAGCAAAGTAGCTTTTATTCTTTTTATTGGTAATGACACCTCAAACTCCTATCAATTCCAATAAAGCGCATCTACTCCTTCTTCTTCTTCTTCTTCTTCTTCTTCCTAGGCTCTGGATTCGGTTTCTCTGCCTTTCCTGTTCTCGCGACACTACTCAATGCCATGGACCTTCTCAACAAACCCATCGGCATTCAGACTATCTCACTCGCTGCCGTCGAAGATATTGTCGTCTGGGTTATTTTGGCGATTGCCAGTGCTTTCTCGTCAGGCGGTTCAGCACTGCAAGGTCTCTACACACTACTGTTGACACTCGCTTTTATCGCCATCATGATCTTGATCATTCGACCAGCACTCAAATGGATCCATGGGTATTACCTGAGAAGAGAAAACGATACGAATGTATATTTAGTTGTCGGCTGTTTCTTGTTGTTACTGGTCGCATCGTTCACGACAGAAGTGATGGGTAAGCTGTGAAGAAGTAGAACATATTGTGGTGTATGTTTATGTTTGTCGTTCAGGTATTCATGCATTCTTCGGTGCATTTGTGAGTGGATTGTGTATTCCACGCAAGGGTGAACTGTCTGATTTTCTAGCAATACGTATTGAGTTGATAGTTGTAGAGTTTTTTCTACCGTAAGTATTCAATCATGTCCTGATGGTGTACATACGTTGTGAGATATGTTATTTGTAGCCTGTATTTTGCCAATAGCGGCCTTCAAACTCAATTAAATCTGCTCAATACGGGGGACGTGTGGTGGGTACTTGCCGTGCTCATTTTGATGGCTTCGACAGCAAAGATCGTTCCCGTCACACTAATGTCGAAGCTCTGTTCGAAAAAGCCGTGGTTCTATTGTTTATCGATCGGAGTGCTGATGAATACTCGTGGTATCGTGCAGTTAGTTGTACTCAACATTGGTGTTGAACTTGGAGTAATATCTCCGAAGATCTTTGCCATCTTTGTACTCATGGCAACCATTTTAACACTTTTTACGTCACCGCTATTATCATTATTATATCGAAAGGATTATGATATCCGAAAGCTGTCCTTGCCGAATATCGCGACAGACTTACGAATTGTTCGCGAAGAAGAAAAAGATCTCAGCGAGTCAAATGAGGATTCTGATCGAACGGAAACAGTTTCAAGCATTGACATTGATGTCAGCTCAGTTAAACGTCCTCCGATAAGATTACTACGAAAATCCTCCATAGGTGCACACTCACACCCACACGTGCATTCGACAGTTGTGACGTTCGATGATCATGTCAACTACGCAGATGTCGATTTACACTGGAATGAACAGGATTCTAGCGGCGACCATACAACCGTGCATATAACAACAAGTACTCCTCGCCGATCGATTTGTATGACAAGATTCTGATTTTAATATACTGTATATTTTCTTCTTGATCTATCGAGATTCAAAATAAAAAATTATTGAAAATAATTGCTTTTGACATGTTGATCTAATGCACTAAACAGATAAGCGTTCACATGTGAAACATGTACAACTGCCGATTTGAAGTCGATTATAGTTCATGTTACCGAATTGAAGAATTCAATTCAACATTCAAGTGCATCATTACTAGTTGAAGTATGACCGAAGTACAGTCGAATTTGGTAGAGCAAAGCTCAGAGTGGAGTGAAGTGATGCTAGAGTATCAGTAAATCTTTGCTGGTGTTTTGCAGATGTAGTGCGGTAACACATACTTGGATTGTTATTATTTTCGCCTATCTCAACAAATATTCACTTTCATCTTGAGTGATAATAATTATCGTAAATTAATTTACTAGCGTCAAATTGATCTTGTGATGTAACAAAGTCTTTCTGACGTAAATCTGAAAATGACAAAACATTTCCCGATGGCGAATATTAGAAACAGATTCTCAAATATATGTTCGATTTTGAGGATTCTTTCTAATCGATGAATATTCGTTAGTCCACTAAAAGGAAATCTTGGATTATTCGATTTATCGAGGCAATTGTGACAGTTGGCGTTACGTTGAAAAACTCTAGTCCAACTACCTATTGACGACATATATGTACAACTTGAAACGTGAATTCAAGCTAAAAAAGCAGGGCATTGTATTGGTGTTCATTGGAGCATCAACTTCACTATATTCTTAAGCGAAAATTGCCAACAGCAATATTAGGTAAAAAGTATCTACTAAAATGTTCTCATCTGATTATGTTTGGTTTTCGATACTGAAAGAAAATTCATTTTAAGTAGATAGTTAATCATCGAATAATTTTGGTGTTTATGTTAAGAGTTGAGGGGAGCAGGCGAATCTCGCCATTATGAAACTATCAAGTTGAAATCAAACCTGCTTTGTTATGTTGCTGAATTGAAACTGATTGAAAAGAAACCGATGTGACGGAGTTTAACTACATTTTTTCATGAAATTCAATCTTTTTAAAAGAAAACAAATCAAAATTTGTTTGTTTATTCAATTGAATTTCACAATTGAGACTTTGACGGCATATCGTCACTCTAAAGATGGTTACTCAGGCATCCATGCACTCTTTGGTGCATTTGTCACTGGATTATGTGTTGCATCAACCACGCAAATGTCGATTTAGGCTCAATCGAGAGGGAATCTAGCGACGATTGTACAGCTATGTGTATAATAACAAGAGCTCCTTAGCGATCGATTTCCAGGACACAATTCTAATCCTGAAATGTTGTCTTTGACATTTTGAATCGATGTACTAATTAAGATCGGGTCATCATGCCAGACATGTACACGCTGAAGTCGAATGGGCAGAGAGAGAGAGAGAGAGCAAACAGAAGAAACATAACCGGAAGACTCGCACACATAACTATATAGTCAAAATCAATTTTGAAGTTTCACACTACGAAGTAAAAATCAAGTACTATACCAGTTTTATTGTCGCTAAAAACTATGCATTCTCATACTGCGCAATTATCGTTTGATTTAATGTTTATAATTAATATTATTTTCACACAGTTCTCGATAATATCTATACTTATACTACCTATAGCACCTTGGGTGTACGACCAGTCCTACTTTCTATCTACCCAGTATTGAGCGTTTCTCGTAGAAAACAGACATTGGCCTCCAAGTTATATTATGAAGAAACATCTTGTTAAATAGTCAATTGATTTTTTTAAAAATATTCGTAATATCTGTTGTGTAATAAATATAGCATACTTTTCCTCGCCCAGAAAATAATTCTAAGAACATAAAAGGTGTACTGTCAATTGGTTGTTTATATCGGTAATATGCATAATTACTTCTTCATGCTCGAAGGGAAAAATTCACCACTATTTAAGCGAGGGTGAAGGTGTCCGTAATTTTATTCTGAGTGCTGAATCATTTTTGACATGGTCGTCTTATTTGAAGATCCTCGGCATCTTCCATTTGCAACATTTCTTATGCAAGTGTTCATTACACTAGTTGTGTGCAAAGTTCTCGCTAAACTACTTTCCTATATTCGACAGCCGCAAGTTATTGGACAAATTATTGCTGGCATCATATTTGGTCCATCTGTTCTTGGTAAGGAGCAGGATGAAGTACAAAATTCTACCGTCATTTATCAATCTATCTAATAGGCAATATTCCTGCATGGACAAATACAGTGTGGCCGGAATCAAGTCTTAAGACATTTCAGCTTATTGCTAATTTGGGTCTGATCTTTTTCATGTTTTTTCTGGGCCTTGAACTTGACCTCGATCAAATCAAACGAAGTTGGAAAATTACGATACCCGTTGCAGCAGCTAGTGTCATCGTTCCAGGTAATTATTCCGATACAGAATGCCACTCATTTCTCCCATGTGTTCCTGACATATTTATGCATCCTGTTATGTTGTATGTGTGTCTTTAGTTGGACTTGGTTGCGCTGTATCTCTATGGTTATACGAAGACAATGAAGGCTTGAGAACAAGCAAAGTAGCTTTTATTCTTTTTATTGGTAATGACACCTCAATCTCCTATCGATTGCAATAAAGCACGTGTACTCCTTCTTCTTCCTAGGCTCTGGATTCGGTTTCTCTGCCTTTCCTGTTCTCGCGACACTACTCAATGCCATGGACCTTCTCAACAAACCCATCGGCATTCAGACTATCTCACTCGCTGCCGTCGAAGATATTGTCGTCTGGGTTATTTTGGCGATTGCCAGTGCTTTCTCGTCAGGCGGTTCAGCACTGCAAGGTCTCTACACACTACTGTTGACACTCGCTTTTATCGCCATCATGATCTTGATCATTCGACCAGCACTCAAATGGATCCATGGGTATTACCTGAGAAGAGAAAACGATACGAATGTATATTTAGTTGTCGGCTGTTTCTTGTTGTTACTGGTCGCATCGTTCACGACAGAAGTGATGGGTAAGCTGTGAAGAAGTAGAACCTAATATGGTGTATGTTTATGTTTATCGTTCAGGTATTCATGCATTCTTCGGTGCATTTGTGAGTGGATTGTGTATTCCACGCAAGGGTGAATTACCTGACTTCTTAGCTGTACGAATTCAATTAATAGTTGTAGAGTTTTTTCTTCCGTATGTGACTAATCCATTTAGTTATATGGTAATAGTATTTTGTTGTAGTCTTTACTTTGCCAACAGTGGTTTACACACACATTTGAACTTATTAAACACAGGCAAAGCGTGGTGGACACTTGTCGTGCTCATTTTGATGGCTTCGACAGCAAAGATCGTTCCCGTCACACTAATGTCGAAACTCTGCTCGAAAAAGCCGTGGTTCTATTGTCTATCGATCGGAGTGCTGATGAATACTCGTGGTATCGTGCAGTTAGTTGTACTCAACATTGGTGTTGAACTTGGAGTGATATCTGCGAGAATATTTGCCATCTTTGTACTCATGGCAACCATCTTAACATTTCTAACATCGCCCATACTGTCGTTGTTATATCGTAAGAAATTCGATGCCAAAGTATCGACTACACCCAGTGTCCCAGAAGAACTACGTAATATTCCGGTGATAGGAATACCGACAGGTACTCCGGCACTAAGTGTAAAAAGTAAGATGAGTGAAACCCACTCAAACGGCCGTATCAATTCTGGAATGTTGAGACAGAAGGCACTGGAATCGTGGCTGCCATTGCCAGATGATAACCTTTCAGTATCGCCAGCGGTAGTGTTCGACGATCACATCAACTACATAGAGATTGATCCAAATCGAAATGAGAATGCATCCGGTGAATTGGAAGATATACGTCGTCGTTCTGTAATCATGACATTGTTCTAAGTGTAACAAATGGTCTATATTAACAAATAACAATAAACATTCTGTTAATTTTCATTCATCAGTATTCTGTAATCGTGAATATTTTCGTTGTTGTAAAACTTTTCTTTTAACTATCATGCATGGTAAATATCAAAAGTTTATTAGAAATAGTCATAAAATAGTACAAGCTCGAGATCTAACGGTGGTCTTTTGTTCGCCAAGAACGATAGGTGTAGTAGACGTATCGACGACAGACTCATTCAGTGGTTTGATCATTCCCATCATTTGATATTTCAGAAAGAGTGCTCGTGCCGCATCTTGAAATCGAAAGTCGTCGTAGTTCTCATTTTGTTCACTGTTCGTTTGAATAATCCCATCACTCATTCATTCTACTTGCGAATTACTTTGTCTTGTACAGCATAACTATCGCATTCCACCATGATGAATCAGATTACCATGGTTTTCATAACAATTCCAACAAGCAAATTATATCTACGTATGCACGAGCGCCATCTTCTGGAAACGATAGTAAGTTCAGTTTTTTGAACCAATTGAAAATTTACTTTAGTCTTTGTATGCGTTTGTGCGTGCGTGTTTTTATCGGTCAGCTATTTCATTTACAGAAATCGTTCGTTTAGGTAATAAAAACTTTGATTGAAAGAAATACGAAAACAATGTCGACAACCGAAGCGAAATTAACTGGTGAAGTGAACAAGGTTGACCGATCTATTGATCGTCTAAAAACTTGCCCATTGTTATTACGGGTATTTTGCAATAAAAACCGTCATCATCTAGCTCGGTTAGTTGCCTCTTCCCACTGTATTTATTTTCTACTTGAATTCGATATTTATTTCATAGAGAATATGAAAAAGGACATACACCAGAAAATGAACTGCAAATTTATACTTGGATGGATGCAACATTAAGTGAACTAACCCAACTCATCAAAGATGTTAATCCCGACTCTCGTCATCGTGGTACACAATTTTCATTCTCGGTCGTTGCGCCGGATGAAACGCACGGCTACTATTACCTTAACGATATTGGTAAAACAGAAAATGGTCAACGTCGACCTGATGATCAAGTTCAATTAGCTAACAAACGTTTCCGTGTCGGTGATTATCTTGATGTTGCTATTATTCCTAAACGACAAGATGCGCCAGGATCGAATCCGCGACGTGACAGAGCTCCTCAGCAATCGTCTGATGATAATAATATCAAGCGACGTAGTGGTCCTTCAAATGAAAGAAACGGCGGTGGTCCGATGCGATCCGCTCCGCGAAACGACCGCCGTGATCGTCCATACTAGAATCATGTGAACATTATTCACTATTGTATCCGTTTGGATTGTTTTCCTGTATATGTGAATTGTGTGTTCGTACATTTTGTTTATTGTTTTCGTTGGAAATTCTGAAAAAAAGCAACTGAATTTATGGTTCTTTTCTACTTTGCGTTCCAAATACAGGTAGAAAAACATTGATTGCGTATCTATTCTAGAATATTTCGACAACTAAAGCTGCTACAATGCTCGATGATTACTGCGTAATATCTTTTGTTTAATACATTCACAGACGTATGTGGTCCGTGACTGTCGTTTATGAAAAATGGAAATAAGGGACGTAAGTATCGGCACTGGTAAATTTACAAAATGATACTTTCAGTGTAATATCTTTCCTATTCAAAAAAAATCAGACGAGGCGATATGCTTATCTTTTGACCTTCGCCCTCATCTTCGTTCTTCATTCTACACTACACCCGTCATTCAAAGATATTCAATTATAGATGGCAACTACTTATAATCACTCACGAATGATGTCATTTCGATCATTAGTTGTGATTGTCACAATTCTTTTATCTGTATTTATTGCTCGATATTACATTCCAGTGCGTTCACCTGGTCCTATGGGACATCCATGGAAATATCGAATTATATCTGGTACTTTTGCATTTATACTTGAATTTGTACGTTTAGTGTAAATACTTAAATGATTAGAATTTTTACATCTCTCATTGTAGACTCATTTCTTCGAACCTATCATCGGCATTCCATATTATACTCTATTGAATATAATTGTTGATTCGTTTGATCCTATTAAAATACGTCCATTCGATCATGGTGAAGTCTTAGTAAGTAAATTGCATCTTCGAGATGTTTTTCTATTTCATCGTTGTACAGTATCATGATCAGTACATTGCCAACGTTCTTGTGCGCATGTATACACCAACAAATCGTTCGAAAGAATCTTTATTACCAGTGATCATATTCTTTCATGGCGGTGGCTTTTTTTTCGGAAGCATTTGTAAATAATCAAATTTCGTTTTCTTCGGCTTTGCAACAAATTTGAATTTCTTTTACTAGATTCACACGATACGATGAACTATCATCTCTCTATGTATACAGGCGCTAAAGTCATCGCTGTCAAGTAAGTATTGAACAGATATGGAGAGGGCAATTCTTGAGCCAATTCCTATGTAGTTATCGTTTAACTCCCGGAGTTCATTATCCAACACCGATTGAAGAAGGTGTCCGAGTAGCAAAGTATGTAATGGATAATTATCAAGAGTTTTCGATTGATCCTACACATGTTTTTCTGTGTGGTGATTCGGCAGGTATATCAAACTTATTTTCACTTCAAAAATTGCCCATTTCGCTTCTAGGTGGAAATATGGCAGTTGTAGTAGAGAGACATCTTCGTCGTCAACGAAAACCAGTTGTACGTGGTGTTCTTCTACTTTACCCATTGTTACAACTTGTACACTATCGTCTCGCGTCATATCGAACTTATTTACCTTATCGTCTCCTGTCACTACTTCGTGAAGATATGCTTGTCCAAGTTGCGAACTTCTACGTGAATACATCATTTTCTCAAGACGAGCTTTTCCATAATCGACATTTATCGTTCAGCGATTACGAGAAATTCTATTCTAAACTCAATTTATCTAGTCTAGATAAAAACTATGATAATATTCGTAAACATAATTATTTATCTGAATCATCACATCCAGATACATGGAAATTATTTGACGAGAATATTTCACCTTTACTCGCTGATGATGAAATTCTACATGATAGTCCAGCAACATTTATTGTTGCGTGTACATACGATGTACTTCTTTCCGATGCTCAATTGTATTTTGAACGTTTACAACGACTGAATGTTAAAGATGTCATCTATCGAGAATACCGCATCTTTCATGGTGTAATGACATTTGTTGACTTTCCGGTTGCTTTTAATGAAGCTTTTGAGATTATTAGCGACAGTGCTCAATTTGTAATCAATCGAACTGCGCAATAGATGAGTAAGAAAAAACAATCGAATATAATTTTCTTGTTGTCAGATTGTTATTTTCTTTTATTTTGCTAATTAATGAGAACAAATAAATGTCGTTCGAAAAGGACTGACTCTGTTTCTTTTGGTGATACGCCCATTTTAAGATGTAGACACACGTTTCCTATGAGACGAGTTTCCAAAATGTTCTATACGAATGCGTTTACCTTTCGGTAGTGAAAAAACATGAATACTTCACTTTGCGCTCGTAATAAACTGAAATGACGGCCTTGTTTTATCATACTGGTTAACCTTGATTTGGCTGGAAGTAGAAATATTCAAGACACTGCACGATAGTGACAGATGAACAGGTTAAATACCTCTCTTCTCGTAAACTGTTTTTCTCAATATTTCTATATGTCCGAATGAGCGTACTTTACATACATGTTCGACCTTTATGCGTTAACGTTCTTTTACTTTCGACGCTACGAGAAATCGTCACTTTTACCATCCGAGCGAAACGAATGCGCGTCTGATGACGAGCAGTACAGTTGATATTCAAACATATCATATTCTAGATAGCGCATGGCGCGTACCGCTCAACGTTTGGCTATTATTGCCGCAATTACGGCAAGTATCATGGCGTACCTGTGGCGTGCACCGAACAGTGAAGGTATTGAACAACTCGATCGCATTCGAGCATTGACTGCATCAATGAAAGTCACTTATCTTATCGTATGTTCCAATGGTTGTGGCTAGTTTTTATTTCACTGTTCATTTGTGCTAGGGCAGGGCAGCGGAAATGCTTGGTATTTCAGATCGTATTTCAATTGTACGAAAAATAGGAGGAATTACGCGTCTATTGAAGGATGCACAGGATGATGCTGGTCTCGAAGTACGACATGTTCAATTCATTGTTCTTTCTCTATCCAATATAGTCTTTTCCTTCTCTTTAGATTCAAGACACTTTGATTGAAAATGTTCCGGTTCGAATTGCCCGTCCGAAAAATCAAAATGGCAACTTACCAGCCATTGTTTTTTACCATGGCGGTGCTTTTTATATGGGATCTGTAGGTAAGCTAAACTATTCATATGAACTAATAACAACTGTGGAATATAAATATTTATAAACATAATTAGACACACATAATTCACTCACAAGTGGTCTTGCAAGATTAGCTAACGTTGTCGTAGTTTCTGTTGAGTGAGTATTCTTCGATGATATAGATAAATACTCACAAAATTCAACTTAGTTATCGTCTTGCTCCTGAACATCCATTTCCAGCTGGTCTTGAAGACTGTTACACCGTTACCAAACATATTCTTGAAAATGGCAACTCGAACAAATTTCGAATAGATACGAACCGTGTCGCCGTTGCTGGCGATTCAGCCGGTAGGCTCACATTTTCTTGCTGAGTGATGGTTGAATTAAAACCATCCACTATTTTCTAATCTTTCAGGTGGAAATTTCGCAGCTGTGATTGCAATGCGGTTTGCTAGTCAAACTACCAGTGAACGTAAACCACGTCTTCAGATTCTTATTTATCCTGTTTTACAATTGTTCGACATCATGCTTCCGTCATATATGCATAGCCATTTTGAGTTCTTTCCATACACAGTTGATCATACACTATCAACTTATTTTGGCACGAAAGTCGACCAGTCAATCTATGCCAACAACCACTTGAGTGTAGCACAGAAGAAACAATATCGCAAGTATGTGGATTGGTCGTTGATACCAGAAAAATACCGAACAGTGTATCAGAAACCACTTACCGATAATCAAGAAGGCGACCCAACACTGATTGAAAATGCTAAATTAGCTCTGAATCCCGAAGTGTCTCCTTTACTTGTTGATGATGAAAGCTTAGCAAAATTACCATCTACTTATTTGTTGACTGTTGGTCATGATCGTTTACGTGACGAAACATTCATATACGAAGGTCGCCTGAAACGAAATGGTGTGCCAGTTGTTCACAATCATTACGAGCATATCTTCCATGGATCAGCCGGTTTTATAAATGGGCCATTTGCATTAGACATTGCTAAGAAAATGGTTGATGACATGGTGAAATATATTGGTGAAAATTTATAGAGAATACGATTCATTGTCGTACCTTGATTTTTTTGTCCTCTTTTTTCTACACAGAGCTTTTCCCTATATTTCGAACGCTACCTGAAGGTTTTTCAAAATTCATATACGCATTACGCTACCATTTGCTTTTGAGATAATATATTTCGTATTTGAGCAGTACACAGCTTCTACAAATGTCTGTATTGCAAAGACAAGTATTTTGCTCTTGCGAACGCGAGCTTGGTATGCACAGATAGACAAAATTACCAAGCGGCAAAGTTAAACTGACTTCTAGCGTTGATAGATGTCAGTTTTATCCAGTGTGCCGAAATGGCCGACTTTTCTTTTGCAGATTTATTTATTTCTTCATTTTTTTCTGTTAAAAAAATCACTTCTCAATGTTAGTATGTTATTTTTAGCGAATGAAGACTTGCGAGCCAATTAGAATGTCAATCAGTGCAATCGATGACACATCAGATTAGTACGCACTATTCGCACGCACGTACACACCAAGGAAACATAGCATGAATTACCATAGTGCAAAGTCTATTAGGTCTTTAAAGTCAGCAAAACAGAGTCTATTTCGAAGATATTCCTCGATATGTCCGATCAGAAAAATTCTATTATAGAAATGACTGAGCAATCAGATATCGTTGAATTACCAGCTATACCGGCAGATGCCCCTGAGTGGGTACGGGCTTTGCCTTCCAGCGGTCGTTTTGTCGATCGTACTAAACTCTACGACATAACCGGTCATATCCTGTTTGACTCATTGTTAAACTCAAACGGCATTCGACACTTCTTCTATTTTATGAATAATGAACAGAATGTACAACGCGCACAACGAGCGTTTAACGGCATTCTGACAACTCCACTTTCTCCTTCTCACGAGGATTCATTAGATAACGACGATTTAGAAGTTCGTGTTGCTTTTCACCTTGGAGAAGGTATTTGTGGACACAAAGGCATTGTGTAAGTTTTCACCATTGTTTACAAATATTACAACCCTATTCTCATGTAAATAGTCATGGCGGATTGACGGCCACCATGTTAGATGAAGTCAGTGGTGCTGCTGCGTAAGTTAAATAAGAGAAAAGAACGAATTGAGCTTTTGTAACTGCTCTCCACTTAGATTTTCCTGTGTTGGACCTTGTTTTACCGCTAATTTAACTATTGATTATCTTAGACCATTGATGACACCAGCATGGGTTCTCGTGCGTGCTCATGTAGGTCGACACGAAGGTCGAAAAGTGTACATACATGGTACAGTGGAAAATGGTGAAGGTGTTGTGTATGCTAAGTCTGTAGGTTTATTTATTAAACCAAAAGTACCGGTGAAGGAGCATGCTGAACAAAGTCAAACAAAAGCATAATATTTACTCTTTCCATTACTATATGATTTGTTTTTTTTTGAATGATGCGTTTATTTACTAAAATATGTATGCCATGGCGAATCTCTCCGTTTTTTTATCTATTCCATCGCCTGTTCTAGTTCCATATCAGAATGAAAAACGCGCAATAAACTAGAAAAATTTCTCATACATCTTATTTACTTCTTTATGTTCTATCTCTGCAGATAATAAAGACTAGACAACAAATTTTATGCATTAGAATTGTTTTCGTGTACGTTAATCCATAGTGATGCTCATAAATTTATTCTTTAACAATTAATGATATTTAATGAATCACCCTTATGAAGACAACTGATGCTTGTGGTTTTTATACAATGTTAAATTTTCTTATTAAAATTCTTTGTTTAACATTATTGGTATTTATTTATTGTGAATATCTAATTTATTATTGTGTTTTATTGGGTTGTTCATGGCCACAATTATCCAAGCTCGAACAAGATTTTACTGTTCAACCACCAAAAGACGCAAATAGAAAACCGTTACATGTTATGCTAGTTACAGATACACATTTATTTTGTTCTCGGAAAGGTCATTGGTTAAATCGTTTTCGTCGTGAATGGCAAATCTACCGTTCGTTTCAGTCGGCACAGTTTCTGTTTGAACCTCATTTAGTTTTCTTTCTTGGTGATATGTCTACAGATGGTGAATCATGTTCGGATCGTGAATGGAATGCAACAGTGGACAGATTTCAATCTTTATTTTCGTTAGCGGCTGATACGCGTCTGTATGTTCTTCCAGGCAATCATGACATTGGTTTTCATCACGAAGTTACCGATGGTCATTTGAAACGTTTTCAACAGTCTTTTCAAACGCCACATGTTCGTTTATTAACTATTAATGATGATCAAATACATTTTGTATTGATTAACTCGGTGGCATTCGAAGGCGATCAGTGTCGTTTATGCGAACGAGCAGATAACGAATTAAATGAAGTGGTCAATGAACTCAATCGAACGGGTGCATGGACTAAACCAGTACTTCTATCACATTTCCCTCTATATCGTAAATCCGCGATGAATTGTAGTCAACCACCGTTGAGATCGTTTAAGGTATGTTGAGATTTTCGTCTTTCGAAAAAGAATATTTATTTGTTCTTGTCTGCATAGAGTCTTTCAGAAGATCCGCCACTGCGAGAACGTCTGGATGTTCTTTCACAAGATGCAACTGAACATCTTCTACATGTCATTAAACCTCGCCTCGCTTTCTCCGGTCATACTCATACATATTGTTATACGGAACACCATACAACATCTGGTAAAGTCGTGCCAGAATGGACGATTCCTTCGTTTTCCTGGCAAAATCGAGACGATCCATCGTTCATGTTTTTATCAATTACAACCAATAATCAACGTGTCTCCCATTGCTATTTACCGCGTGAAACAACCATCTTTTGGTCATATGCTATTGGTGCTTTTCTGCTTATATTTTATACATTACTCGGAGGCCGGAGACCGTTTTGTTTGTTAACTTGTTGTTTTTTCAGAAAAAATTTTAAAATATAGGAGTAAAAACCTGACTCGATTCTATTGTATTACAGATGGCTGATAATTTAAACGAAATGATTATGTCCATGGCTAAAAAACGAGGCTTAGCGAAAACGTTTTGTCCATCTGAAATTGCCCGACAATTATCATCAAAGGAAGACGAATGGCGTACGTTGATGGATCCCGTTCGAACTGCAGCAGCTAAACTTATCGATCAAGGTCGGTTAGTCTGTAAACAACATGGAATAGTGGTTAACATACGAACTGTCAAAGGGCCTATTCGATTACAAGCGACTGAACATTAACGGTGTATCCATATTCGAATCATTTGTGTATATGTATCTATTTTTGTGAATAAATAAATGAGAAAAAGCAACGAGTGATGAAATATCCTTGATATTTATTCTTTATTTTGTTTTGTATTTTATGTCAAAAAGAACTTTTTTGTTTGATGCATCGGGTGAATGTTTTTAAAAAACGGGTGTTATCAACAATAACAATAATAACAACAAACGACAACAAGAGTAAAGAATAAGTAGAAAAAAAACCAAACGCACACTCATACACCCGCACACGATTGCCTACAGGGAGAAAAGTGAAAACTTTAGTTCATTCATTTGTTCATATGCGAGCATCATTCCTTGTTCGATTCGTCCGTTGGTTTATTTTCATCGTCATCTTTCTTCTTCTTGCCATCACCTTGTCCGGGTCCATCCGTTAATGTACTTGCTTTCTTGGTACCTGATACGATATCATCAATACGGAGTAATAAAATGGCAGTCTAAAAAAGAACGAAAGACATTTTCGAAATAACCAAACGGTAGAAGTGATCTTACCTCAATAGCTGTTTTGATCGTTTGCATTTTAACAGCAATTGGCTCCCAGATACCGAACTTGTGCATGTCGACCAATTGGCCAGTTTCGCCATCAATACCCCAGGTGAATTGATCGGCTTGTTGGCTATGTTTAGCACGAAGTGTGGTCAATTGTTTAATAACATTACCACCACAGTTTTGAATCAATGTACGAGGAATAATTTCTAATGCTCGACTGACAGCCTTGTACGGGTATTTTTCAACACCTTTGAAGAATTCATCGTTTGATGTCCCTTCACTGTTACTCATAGCATCAAGTGCTCTAGAATTACAGATGGCAGAGGAAGATCTTGAACGAAAGGCTCATGATTGAGAAACATACCTTGAAAGTGCCATTTCAACGGCGCCGCCACCTGGTGTTAAACGTGGTTCAAGCATAACGTTACGTGTAACATTCATAGCATCTTGAAAGTTGCGTTCGATTTCATTTAACACGTCCTTGTTAGCACCACGTAAAATGATGGTACATGCTTTAGGATTTTTGCATTGATCGAAGAATGTATAATATCTAGAAGAAGCAAAAGCTTAAGAATATTCTCGAGAAAGCTACCCGTTCGACTTACTCATCGCCAATTTTTCGTATTTCGAAAAGACCACAACCTGTACCGACGTCTTCTTCTTTCAGATCAGCTGTATCGTTAACAATCGATGCGCCTGTTGCTCGAGAAATTCGGTTGTTGTCGGATTTTTTTGTTCGGCGAACGGCTGATATACCAGCTGCAGCCAAATAATGAGCAGCAACATCTAAACAAACAATCGTGGACATGATCAAATAGTCAGGCTATTTTGCAACAGATCTTTGTTACCAGAAATGCCTTTTTCTGTAACAACTACGTCAGGTTTGACTGCGATAACATCTTGGCACATTGCCCGAATACTTTCTTCTTCCAATTGCAACATTCGTCTGAATGAACACAAATCAAGTTTATTAGGCCTTCGCATATTTGATATACACACGTGAAATCGGGTTCGCCACTAAATTCGAGAGATGTTTGACTTTCACCTTTTTTGTATTCGAGTGAACAATCGAGTAAAACGATACGAGGATTTTCAATGCGTCTAAATATACGAAGAATAAGTAGACATTCGCTGAATAAGGTGACTTTTTACCGTTTCATTTTCGGGTGAACAACATCTTTGTTTAACATACAGCCTTTAAGTAAATATGAATCTTCAATTGAACCACCCGGAATCTAAACAAGCCAATCGATATTGAGACTATTTTGTTTCTTCGAAAAATTTTTCAGAACAGACCTTTTCGAAACGAGCATAGCGTTTAATGTCGATTTCTCGTCGGCCATGTTCCTCGATCATGACTGTTTGTACTGCGTCGAGTGATATTTGGCAAGCTAAGTCACTCCTGAAAAAATCGAGTAAATAATTCCGGATGAATCATAAGTTCATCAAACTGACCATCGCGAAAGATATTTTGTTCCAATACAACTTTTAACAACACGTAACATTTCATCACGGTTTTTTATATCAATCGCGATGCTGGCCTTTGTCTTCATGATATCAATACAATCTTCGAGCGCTTTTCGGTACGCACGAATGACTACTGTAGCATGTAAACCTTGTTGAAGATATTGTTCAGTTTGGGCCAACAATTCCCCAGCTAAGACAAGTGAAAAGTTTCATCTACCAGAAGTTCGTTTTGGTATATTTACCCAAGATGATGACACTTGTTGTTCCGTCACCAACTTCTTCGTCTTGAGTTCGGCTGATTTCAATCATTGATTTACCAGCTGGATGTTGTACTTGGATCTGAAATGGAAATATAGTAGATGCGCAATTCCAAACTGAAATTACTGTCCCATACTTCACGTAAAATAGCATTGCCATCGTTGGTCAAAACAATCCCACCCATTGGATCGAGAACCATCTATTCGAGAAGGAAAATTCGTCATACAAAACAGGCTTCGAAGTCGGAAATGCATACTTTGAGCATAGCCCGGGGACCAAGACATGTACGAATGGTATCAGCGATGGTCTTCAAAACAAAAGCATCATAGTTTCCTATTAGAACGTTGCAAGAAAACGAAAAGCATACTTTAGCAGCAAATATATTGCTAAATTGAGCCTTTTTTCCTTGATCGCGTTTTGTATTTGCGTCTAGAAGGGAAAACAAAGATTGATTAGATTTTAATTAATCGGTCAGACAAAGGCAAATTTCGAAATTACTTAAAACCATTATTGGTTGAGAACTACCACCACCTCCGAGCATCATTTTGATTGTTTTGGTACTAAAATCTGTTCAATCGATCTGTAGAAGACAAAGAGAAGAATAGAAAGTGGAGTGTGTAGGCAATGAGTAAATGGTCGAAGAATCTTCTGTTTATTCCTCTATTTACCATTAAAGTCCACCGTTGTCAGGTTAACGACGGAGTGGTTGACTGTTAGTAACCTATTAAATACGTTCTCTCGTCAACTACTGCCATCTAGTGACTAAGTAACTTGTATAATTAAGTATTTCTGTGAAACTAAACGACTATGTAGTAAATTTGTTTGCACTTCGAGCTTTTCACGTATTTCGTTAAGAAAGTGTTATTAGTATAATCTATAATTTTCTTCATGAAAATTTCGCTTAACACCAAGATGATCTCATGAACAAGCACAAAGAATTCTGTGCGTGTATGTGTAGGCATATGTGAAGCACATATAAGTGCACTGTTTACTATTGACTGCACAATATGTTATTTTCATGTTCAGTTCAGTTGTCGAGTAGAAGTGTTTAGCGTCGTTAAAATTGAACGGATGCCTTTAACTTTTATGCATAACATTGTTATTCTTGTTCTTTTGCTTCTTTTCTTCTAACACAAGAGCGTTGTGTATGAAATAAACGAGACGAAAGAAAAAGTAACCAAGACAATCTTATTTTTTTCATTCTTTTCTCACTCTTCTTTCCTTCAGACATCAGCAACAGACAGAAGCAGTTAGAAACAGAATCGAATTGATTCCGGTAATAGTTACTGATTATTAGACAATGGTTGAGAATGAACCTTCGAAATCACCAGTGCCGAACCGTTCGACTTCTTTCGTTCGATTGACTTCATCGAAACAACGTTCAGATTCTTTCATATTTGCTAATGGTGATCAATACGACGGAGACTATATCATTGCCGATGAAGCTCATATTATGCGTCATGGTCATGGTAAACATACAAGTGCCGATCAACAACTTATATATGAAGGTACATGGAAGAATGATAAAATGCATGGAACCGGACGATTAACATATGGAGATGGAACATCTTATGACGGAGAATTCCAATCAAATTACTTCGAAGGTTTAGGAACATACACATGGCCTGATGGCGGTCAATATACAGGTTTATGGAAAAAGTCACGGCCGATAGGTAAAGCAGAATATATCGGACCAAAGTTAGGCGTACCATTTGTTGGTGTAGCCGATGGACAACAGGCACATATGCGATATAAAGTATCTTCTCTGTAGGAAAAAAACGTTCTTTCATTTGTCAACGAATATACAAACTCGGTGTAATAAAGATGTTATTCATTTTGTTTGACTTTTTTTTTGCTTGATAACGAATTTATTCGAAGCGTATTTATTTTCTATCGATGATAGATGAGTAAACATGTACATACGACACTCCTTGATATTGAATGAATATACTACTTAACATAATAAACCATTCTATTACACTGAAGACATTCATGGAATCATTACTGTGACTAATGAGACAACGGAACTCTAAGGTTTAAATGAGGAAACGCAAAATGCGAGTTCTACTTTGATGCTATCTAAAGACATTTTTTGTCATATGAGATTATAGAGAAAGTTGAATGAATGGATGCTTCCTATTCACTGAAAAAAGGATGAAAATGCAATGTTGTTATGGAAACTGACTAACTATGTAATCAGTTGAAAATCTCGTGAAGCCGTATGAAAACTTGCCGTTTAGTGACCTCTTCGTGAAAGAACACATTTTTAGAAGTTGCTCCTATGCAACACACCATATTGATGGTTGCATGTTGTAGACAAACATGAGGAAAAGAAAAAGAATCTCTCTCGAGTACTACAAGAATGAATAAGAGAACGGAGACATATAAGGTTATTTGCCTGCTCATCTTATTTTGCTTTCTCATAGATTTTTAATTTTTGTTCTCGTTTTTGTACTTTTTCAATTACATTAAATCAATATTGGTCATATTTGAAGATATTCAAGATGGGATCTGCTTCGTGTAAAAATTCTAAATCAGCAACACCAGCTGCAAAAAATGAAGAAGCGAAGTAAGTTGGTCAAGAGGTTTTGTTTTCGATTGCAAAGAGAAGTCAGTCATCGTACGAGTTCGGAAAAGAGTTCTGAGAAAAGATCAAACAAGAAGTGACAATCAGTGATCAACAAACATCGACTAGGTAACAAATACTCGCTGTGTGAAAGAACTTCACCTTATCTTGATCAGTTGCTAATATAATCTGATTGTAAAATGACTCTCATTTCGAACGTATTCAATTGTTCTGTTTAGAAAAATCACAATCGGTGTGTTTGGTCTAGATGATGCCGGTAATTTCATCCCACATTTTTAGTCAAAAATTCTATGTTGTACTTTGATAGGCAAGACAACGGCAGTTAAAGCAATCGAAGGAGGTACGTGTCTCGGACCTAGCAAAGGATTTTTTGTTAACTTTTTCCTGGAACATTTGAAGATCCAGTTAAAGAAGCGGAGCCCACCATAGGTACTGACAAGTTAATGGTACCGTATCCAGCTATCGGCAAAGGAAAAGGCAAATCTAAAGAACGTATTGAAATGATTGATGTCGGTGGCGGTAAAAGATTCCGTGATCGCACATGGGGAGAGTGTTACGATAAAGTTCATGGCTTTATCTTTGTCATTGACGCGAGTAATAAAAGTCGAATTGGAGAAAACAAAACGACATTAAACGATTTACTCGACAATAGCAAACTTCAAGATAAACCAGTACTTATGTAAGTCGGGTGATTTAAAGCCATATATATATAGTTTATTTTGCTTTGTAGTTTGGCCAATAAACAGGATAAAAAGAATGCGATTAAAGATGAAGATTATCTCAAAGATAAACTTGAGATCGAAGATTTGAAACATAAACATAGAATTGTAAAGAATTATTCAATGATAATAAAAGGCCGTTGTCGTTCACTTCTATTTGCTTGCTTTAGGAATTTTGCACAGCAATCGGAAAAGACAAGAGCAAAGCTGATGACGCCATTCGTCAAGGATTTTCATGGTTAATAGGAGAAATTGAAAGTGACTATCAAAAACTCAATGCTCGTGTGAACAAGACAAAGACTTCGACTGAATCGAAGTCCCCAGTATCAACAAAGAAGCCTCGAGGTCGACTGTAAGATAAATTCATAAAAAGCGATCTTTTGCCATTGCTACTTCTCTTATATAGACAATCAGAGCCATCCGACATGGATGATGATGGTATTGTCTATGGTAAAAGTCGACAGAAATCCTCGTCACCACCACCCCCCAGTTATCGAGGTCTCGATACACGTTCATCGCAGAATTTATCGACTAGATTACCTCAATTAGATATCAATAAATCAAAACGAAAGCCAACTGGTTATAACACATACAGTGACAATGATGATGAAAAAGATGGCACGAATCGTTCGTTTTCACGTCCAAATGTCAGCGTACCTATGTCTGATCGCACCAATCGCGCCGGTTCACCTCCTCTCTCATCCGCGGCAGCAGCAACGGCGGGCTTTAATAAAAAGAAAAAAGTAGTCGGTACTGGCACTGCTAGTAACTATGATCTTCCAACAAATAAATCGGCATCTAACGAACCGAAACCATTTCGTTCCCCCTATGAAACATTTCCAGATGAGATACCATGGACACCCTCATCAATACGATCCACAAAATTGGATAGCACTCTACCATCAAAAACATATATGAATCCACCAATGATCAGTGATCCATTAAAACGTAGTGTGAGCCCTCTTGTTCGTGATTCCAAGCCTATTACAAGTACTTTACCAAAATCTGGAAAAACGAATGACGATGATGAGTATGGTTATAAATATGGTTCACTATCGAATGATAAGAACAAAGTAGGAGACATTTGTTATCTATAGCAATTGGTTTTGTATACTGTATTCTAGCCATCCTATCCATCAATAAATCGAACGAAAGATGACGACAGTTTTAAATATCCATCACCTCCATCAACTACTAAGCCATTAACGATCTCGAGAAAGCCATTATCGAGTAATTATGATCTTGATGATGATGATTATGGTCGAAAGTCACCCGCTACCGTTCGTCGTTCAAATCTACCTCCTCCAGTAGCAACAACACCGACCACCACGATGACCACAGTCAAGAAAACTAATAGATACGATGATAATAGCGATAATGACAATGATTATTACAAAAGATCAACTACGAACACAGCTAAACGCTTGGATTCGGACGATGATGACGACAGAAATAAAAGCAAATCTTACGATCGTTTATCTGATCGGTTTAAAACAAAAGATGATCCGTATGGAACAACATCAAAATCGTTTTCAACAAAGCCAAAATCTCGCTTTGCAGATGACGATGATGATGACAATGATAAATATAAACCAGCAATAAAGACTCGGCCAAAAATCTCGGACGACGATGACGATCTTCCGTCAACATCAAAGTATGATACTCGTCCAAAGTATGGTAATGACTATCCAACGTCGTCATTTTCAAAGCCCACATCGCGTTTCAAACAAGATGATAACGACCGACCATCTTCTCCATATCGATCGACGACATTACCGAAATATGGTGAAGACAATCGATCCACATCGCTTTCACGATTCAATAATAATGATAATAATCGCACTTCATCGACTACAAAACCATCAACTCATTCAAAGTTCAGCGACGACGACGACGATGATCGACCTTCATCCAAATGGAAACCATCAACCTATTCGAAATTCGATGACGACGGTAATGATGATCGTCGTCCTGCACCACTTTCAAAAATACCCTCTCGTTCAAAACTCAATGAAGAAAATGACGATGATAATCGATCATTTTCTTCCAAGAAGCCATCCAGTTCCAGATTCGACGATGACGATGATCGCCCTACAACATTGTCCAGAGCACCTTCTCGCTCAAGATTCGATGACGATGATGATCGTCGTCCTGGAACACTAACGAAGGTCCCGTCTCGATCAAAATTTGACGACGACGATGATGATGATCGTGCCATATCTTCCTCAAGACCATCAATGTCGAAACTCGGAACAAGTGGTGCTCGAAATGATTATACATCAGCGAATCGATCTCGTACCAATCCTTATCCAGACTATTGAAATTCTGCCTTGTTTTTCTCAATAATACAGTGATACATATTTTTATATAAAGTTTACCAAGGACTTTATATACGCTGATCTTTGAAGAAGATTCACAGGTTTCTTCAAGTTACTTCTGTATGACAATTTCTTCTTTGTTTTCAAATAAAAGAAACTCGATCAAGATTTATTAACATCTGCTTTCAACTCCAACCGATTCGATTTCATAACTTCGCTGTTAATTTATTAGTTTTTATTACACAATGCAACATGCGTGATATCTTTTTTATCCGATGAAACAGAATACGAAAAGTATTGATAAATAGAATCTAGTTTTATCCCAATCTTGCGTGATGTCCTGGACGTTTGTGATGAGCAAGTCGACGATGGTTCATCGGAAACTTTCCTGATCTGCGATAATGAGATCGGGCATCAACTATACCATTAAATAAGCCGACAACAAGAAAGACAACAAAGAGGAGACCGACGAGATGGTGTTGCATAATAATTAACGTATACAGAAGTAATCGTTCAGATAATTGAGAATAACTTAAGGAAAACAGAGATAGAAATGTAAACGCGCGGTTTTCTCTCTCGACCTTGACAATCGAAAACAAATCTCCGTAGCTACGATTAGTTTTCTTAGTGATCAAATCTGTTTAATCTATATTTGGATTTTTGTTTTTCTCGTATACTTTCTTTTAACATGCACATATCGCCTGATGCTGTCTCATTTAATAATAATTTATCTCAGTTCTATTCCGACCACATAACGCTGCTGTGCAACATCTCATCAAGTTCGAACACAACCAGCTCGATAAGAAAGATTGTTTGAAATGTACATATGTTGCATAACGAAAATACTCCATTTCAATCATGCAATCCGCTTGCATGACATTTCTTTCGTTTCTTTCTAGTATGCCATTCGGAAACAAAGAAAAAAAAACTAAAAGAAAAATACACAAATAATAAGCAAGACAGAAACCATGTACAACCATTTGTTATGTTTCGCCTACAAAAGGAAGCTTTTTTTGCATGTTCTCTATTCGTATATGAGATTCGTTCATTTTTAAGTAAAAGGCGATAATAATTGGCATAGTAGTTCATTTTTCGATAAAGCTCGTACGAAACTGTCTTTTGTAATCAGACCTTGTTCATTGCAATGGCAAGAACTGATGAAATGTTTGAGCAATTCTACCGATCCAAATTCATTTCCGTTGCCACCTAGCATTCGCATAACATACTAGCAAAAGAAATACATTTGGCTATTCATTCTAGACGATCAATGTAGATTTCTACCTTGGCCATAATGTCAATTTCCGATTGATCGATGAACCCGTCTTTGTCGATGTCTATACAAACATAGAATTTCATCAACAAAGGTTTCGACGAGTAAAGTTTTACCATAGAGTTGAAAGGTATAGTCGAGTTTCTCTTCGATTGACCCTTTTGTTGTCAATAAGAATCCAATGACAAATTCTTTGAAGTCTACGATGTGAATATTCGAAAGCAAGTAAGAAGGCCACGTCACCGTCAAGAATATTCTTACCAACTTTTCCATCATTATCAACATCGAATGCTTGGTATATCGCGTTGACAACATGCTCAACCTTATCAGCGTCACATGTGCTCAAATCTTTGTAACATTTGACCATATCTCTTTTCGACATTTTCCCATTCGAACACCGCGACTGAAATGAAAATTGCAGGTAATGGAACAGAACTCGCTTTTTATTAATTAGAATTTTCTGTTGACACTCATCCAATCGTTGATGTCGAGTTTTATCGCGAGTCAAGAAAGATTAAGAAAATATTCTCCGACGTGAACAATTTCATTCAAGAGAGATTTCCATTAATAAATTCATGTCTTTTTCCAATACAACTCAAAGCATAAAAAATTCTATTGAAATTAATCAGACAAGTAACACAATCTGCTCGAAGCTGGTTAATTGAATTTGTCGTCTGTTCTGTTTTTGTAAACATATAATAAAAAACCAATCTATACTGACACACGGTCTGATGTACTTTTTTTCCTCGAATTTTGATAAGCTAAAGACATCGTACTCGGAATACGATGTCATGATTCATTTAACTCGTTAGAAAAGCTATTCGTAAGTTTAATGGAAGTATTACAAGTTGTCTGACATAGAAAAGTTTTGAATAAATCTACATTCATGTTAGTTGTATGTCAACATGCATAATTATTGTCGTTTTTACCTTGAGCTCGTTATACCAATTGGTGATTTCAGAAGATTTCATCCGGGTTTTCCGTTTAATTAGTGCCAGGGTAGCGTCGTCCAGCGTCGCTGTACTAAATTGATTCCCCATGAATAGACCATTCACTGATGCCGATCAAAATAAAAAACAATCTTGAAATCAAAGTAAAAAGGAGAAGTCGATTGACACGTAAACAATCAAAACGCAGTCTATGCCTTCTGAAACAAAACTGAATTTAATTAGAAATGTGATTGAAATATTTCGCAGGTCGAACTACTTATTCTGCACGATCGGCTCTTTTCGTTCTCTTTTCTTCACCTCTGACGTCAATGGACAAACCGTATTTGATTAATAACCTGCTACGGTGCGAGTTGCGAAGAGAAAAGGTAAATACCAATGTATGCTTAGTTTGAATACAAGTGTCTATGCAGATGTATAAGTCTATAAAAGTTATTTACTACTCTCTTCGGACACCTACGGGGATGGAAAAGAACGTCCTTAGTTTCTGAGCACGATCATATGAAATCGGAAGATGTGGGCACGTTCTGACTTAAACTGTCGTATATTAGACTATTAATTTGATCCAAAACGAAAAACAATGTTCACATGACGCGTATTCGAGACGTGACGAGAGATAAAATCCACGGAAGTAAAACAGCAAAGAAATATGCCAGTACACCTACTGAGGTGTACCTTGACTAATCGAGTTGTGATATACATTTCATAGCATGGTAGCGAGGGCACCTGATTATTCGAAAAAAACACGTTTTCTGTCCTGTGCGTCATCGTCGAAAGCTAATGCAAGATCAAAAAAACACAGTAAAAAGCTGATTCTTATTGAGTGAATGATTGAATCGCGTAACCTATTGTTTCCGAATGAACGAACGGTGAGATAAGAATAGTAGAGAAAAGACTAGGGTTTCCTGGCTGTGAAAAAAAGAAAAATCATTCTATATTCTTGCACTTGTTTATGCTTGCGCGTAGAAATAGTAAAAAAACGCACGGAAAGAAAAAAAAATATCGATGATTTTCATACAAACTCGATACTCAATGGTAATCATTGTTATAATGTAAGAGTAAGTACGTTACAAGCTTAGAATTGAGCTAGGAACACATCTTTAAGCATAATAAAGAACAGCGGATTAGTGTCATAACAAGAGACCCCGAAAAACTAATTCAATATCGAGATGCGAACTGTGTAAGCGCGTTCATTAATAATTAGTTTTACTTTTCAATGATATTATCTTAACTATGTGTATGTGCATCACCGACTTTTCTCGAATGTGACATTTCTTTTTCCTTCTTCAACGGATAAAAGACAAAGCTTGAAAGGGAAAAAGAAGAAAAAAACGGAGAGAGAAAATATATTAGGAAAAGAGGAACTAGAAAGATATGATAAGCAGCAGTCATCATCAGGCAATAGTCTCATTTTTCTACTAAACGCCTCCATACTCACGGATGGAAAATGATGAACGTCAAAACACGAAGAAATATGATAAACAATTCTTCTATATCAGCAAATGAGTAATGTAGCAATCCTACTAAGCGCAACCAATCGTTCTTTATTTTTAAAATGATGAGTTTATCATCATGTTGCAAGGCTTTCACGCACGTGGAATCCTTTTTTTGCACTGTCAAGGAGAAAATTTTCTAATTTTCATTTGTTAACGTGTAAACAGAAGCGTTTCCGATTGAGATTAGAACAATATTTGTATTCAGGTTCTGTGTGACACATACCTTGACCTAAACTATATATTCACACTCCGAAAAGACGCGCAACGGCACTAATAAACTGATTAATTTTATGAGTAATCGTTCTTATCTTCATACCTGTCAATATTCTTCTCCGATGAGATATTTATTTGAATTGAAAGTCTTTCGGAGAGAAACATAATAAAATTTTTTTGTTTTATAAATGTTTTAGTCACACAGTATAGTTACATCTCTCCGTCAGTCGCTCTTTTATGTACTAATAATGTTTGCTGTCGATCATAAATACGAAGAGAAACCAACTTGTTTTATTTTCTCGTTTTTTTTTCTATTTTCAAATATAGTGTGTACTTACGTGATGTTTCTACTCGACGTCGCACACTTTCCCTTTATGCTTGTAGACGTCAATGAAGTTTTATATGTTGATACTCCTGTCGAGAACATGATTGAATCCAAATGCTTGTGTGAAAGATTGACATCTGCATTGGCAAGATCGATTTACTCATTGAAAGAAGACTTTATTTGAACTACAGATAACGTCATCATGCAATTTGATCGTCATGCTTATCCGATCATGACATCGAATCAGAAATGAGAAAAATTCACATGCGCAATTCTTTCTCGATTATTCTCTGTAATCAATATTGAAGTTAACTTTGCTATTGATCTTAGGTTGTGTATACATTCGACGAGTTTGGTCAATATGCATGACTTGGAAATATATAAATGTGTCAGTCATGATTTTAAGAAGAGAATGGATCCATTCGATGGAGAAGAAAGCTTTGAACTAGGGAAATAGAGGACACATTGTATGTGAAAAGCTTAATATGAAGTAAATGACAAATAAATAATAGAATTATTTCTGCGAAAAAATAGATTCGTTCTGAGAAGAAAGATGATCTAGACTGTCTCATTCATATTTATGAATGAAAGATGAGCATACAATAGTAGATGATTTGAGCATGCTTGAGATCAGTTTCTCTCGTATGATGTAGAAAAACAACATGGGCGGAAACACTAGTTTTCGATGTAGTGATGATCTTCTTATTGAAATAATGAACATTTTTCATGATGATTAATTACAGACAAAAGGTTTTGATTCATCATGCTATTTTCATTCGAACAAATTGCATATAATGAATGTATAGTTAGCAACAAAATAATGTACGAAAGACACGAAAATTACGATGATTTATCTCGTGCGAGAACTTGATCGGTCTTGAGATGTTTGCCTTTTTCTTCGTCTTTTTTCATTGGTATGAGACGTTCAACGATAGTTTTCTTCTGCTCATCATCATCGTCATCATCAAGATCAGCACGATCGGCATAATCAGCAAGTTCAGAATCTACTTCGGATTCCTCATCGGAACCTTTGCTTGCAATATCATCTTCGATTTCATTGCGAACATCTTTGGCAATCATATCACGAAATGTATAATCTTCCGACGTCCAAAAGCCCGTTTCATCACCGGTTGGTTTCTCGTAGAACTTCTTTGTTTCGTCATCAGGAATAAATCCGTTTGATTTCGACGACGACGATGATGATGATGGTTGAGAATGTCGGTGATGGTCTGAACGTTGCTTACGATTACTATTGTACGATTCACTGGTGATACCATACGACGAATGATGTGAGAGTGGAGAGCGCGACCGTGACCGACTTGATCGTTCAATCTTCGGCTAAATAGAAATCAATGATGAGCATTTCTTTCAACAGTGTTCTATTTTCTCTTAAGAACTAGAAAACCGTTGACTTTTCAATTGCGTATTCTTTCTACACCACTCGTCGCTTTACTCAGTAATTAAGATAATAAAACGCGCACCCCAGGCTATTTGTCGGAAATCATGTCGATATCTGCGTAGGAGAATGTTCTTCACATTGCACAAGGACGACTATTCATCTATTTACACTTTGCTTCAGAGCGCACAGTGAGATCATGAAGAATATTTTTGGAAGACAAGCTGATGAATACTGGGTTGCCCAGAACTCACTCGATTTTTATAATTATTGAATTTCTCCGGACGCGGATCGGATCGTCGACTCATATTTGTCAGAAAGCGAGAAATCTTTAAAAATAAACATAATGTTACAAAACAAGATGAGCCAATTGACATTTCAGATAGCATAGCTGAATATGACTCGCTTAATTAATTTATAAAAACAAACCAAATACAATCGATTAAAATTTGAAAAACAAAAATAAAACAAATTACAGCACTCTAAAGGAGAAGCCGAGGATCCTAGAAAATTTCCACACAAAATTTTCTCTTATCATTATGATTTCCATTTTTGCAAGACATTGTCATAAATATAATGGGGAGTTCCGTGAAATAAACAGGAATATATGACTAGTAAGCAGAGTATAGATGGAAATTGCACGATTAAACATTAGAATTTCTATGTTGATCTACCATAATGGTGCGAAATCAACACGAGCCCAATGTTCTTCACGCTTTTTCCAATAGGAATGTGAAGGATCTTCCTCACGAATAAGTTCGTACGAATCGCCATTTGCAGCAAACCATTTTGGACTAACGGCAGAACTGGAACGTGAACGTTGAGCTTCTTCTAGACGAGCTTTTTCTTTCTCAGCTAGTTCAACTTGTCCTAATTCAAGATAACTAAGTGAACACGTAGAACGATTAGACGTACAGAAATGACGAGTAGAAGGATACTTACCGTTGATCAGGTCGAAAACGTGTGTCCGTGGGTGGTAATTGTTGACGAAGATCATCATCAAGTTCATTCAGTTCAATAGCAAATCGAGTAAAACCGTAATATTGTTTGGAATTCTCTGGAACAGCGCCTATATGAAAATTCAATTAAAAATAATCATATTATCAAGCAATGACAAAGCTTTTAAGACACAAAAATAATTGCCGATTGAGTTCCGTACTTTGTCGCCAAATACATTTTGCTGTTTGATCATTTCCACAAAAGACTTCTTCGTGCCAATGGCCAAAGATTTTGTGTATTACATTACCATGAGCATCTTCAATATCACCGGCAACATTATTCAACCGTGTTCGATAATCACTCTAAATTTGTATACATTTATACAGATGACATTTGAACAGAATGTGTACGAACTTGAATGAAACTAATTCGAGCTTTTGTTCCTAAGGAACTCTCAACGAGAACATCACCGTAATGATCAATCCATCGTTCCGAGGAGAGAACACTATGTATGCACATTTTACATTTATTCCATGTGATTGTTTCATTGTATTTTGGAAAAAATAAGACATTTTGAGAGTCAGGAAAGATTTCTATTGAAGTAGAAGAATATCATGCAGATTAATTCCAATTCGTCTGAGAACATTACCCATAGATTTTCCCCAAAATTTGATTTTCACCTGTAATTCTAAATGCAAAAGAATACTCGATGTTTGCAAACTGCAATCCTTCCTCACATACTTTGCGAGTAAATAAAATTTGGTGAATCGCATGTACAAACACTAATTGGTGGATGATGGCTAACCTAAAATTTTCACGAATTCACTTTTTCATATTCCATCGTTAGTCTTTTACCTGTTCAGCGATGAATTTCCATCCTTTATCTTCCCGTATGCATTCATATGTTTCACCTAATAGTGGATTGAAGTTTTTTCTTCCCGTGCGGTAATAGTTAGCTGCATATGTCGAAACAATGAACGCAGCGACATAAACAAGACGTAAATGAACGTCGTCTGTTTGAGCGGCTCGATCAAGTAAATCCGAATATTCCATTTCCTCACATAACTTTTGCAAAACACCGAGTGGTTCATTCAAAATGACTGGCAATGCTATCCGAGACAAATCTTTGCCAATGGCTTTCCGCATTATATTCCATAGACCTACATTGGAAGTATCCGGTGCACATGCACTCAATGATGAACGACGCCATTTCATTTGAGGAGGTTCTGAAAAAAATGAATAAAACGGAAATGTGAAGAATAATGATTGAACTTACTTAGCTGCGGTGGAACAGATGATTGCCGGTCAATATTGTCAGGATGACTTTCATCATCACCATAGCTTGATGATTCAGAATCAGACTAAATACAAATGAATGTGAGAAACCGGCAAAGTGACTGTGTTCTCTGACTTGTAACTAGTTGTTTCTAAATGAGACCTTCTCAATACCTCAAGAGAGCAAAACATCATACCGATAATGAGAATAAACGGTACAGTCGAGAAAAGACGAAATTTTCTGCTGATATATTGATTCTTCTTAGCAAGCTAAATAAACTTTCTCCTCGGCTGGTACATTCCATTGCTGATGCTTTCGCTTTACACAATGCAAATGTGAATGTGTGACATCATTGTACTTTCTGAAAATTCTAATCCAAAGTATCTTGTATCTTAATGTCACACACGTCGTAGCTTCTAATTATCTCATTTGAGAATGTTTTCATGTTCTACATACTAATTTTCCTATTTCATCTTTGTTATCATTTAAGAATATTGCATTGAGAGCTTCGGGTGCGTCATAAAAAATTGATCCTTCTCTTGAGATAGTCGCACGAGATGAAATTGAATGATAACCATGTTCACCCTCCGAAGTCAAAGAATTATTCTAAGAGAAAGAAAAACACAACTTATTTTTGTATTTCAATAACAGCAAAGTATTGATCATTTACCAATGATTGTTGTTGTTGTTGTTGTTCCAAAGCAAATGCAGACAAACGTTTTTGCAAGTTATTCAAATTATCAAAAACTAGAATCGAATTGAATCTATGAATCGTATAAGTCATTAGATGTAACTCAAACCTTTTTTAGCTGTATTATAATAATCTTGTCGTTGAAGATCCAATACTGTACTTGAATTTATACTACTGATGCTAGCTGATGGAGTGTGACCACTCGATCTTGTTCCATCCTAAGTCAAATTAATCAAGACTACTGTCAACGAATCGTATCAGTATATTTACAGTTGATTTCGAAGACGAACTAGACACCGGGGTGTTATTAACATTGAGTTTGATATTTTCCAGAATGTCCGATAGGTTACTCAGTTGTATTTGAACATCAGAAAAATCTAGATGCACGAAATGAGAACATGAACAATATAAATCCATCTATTACCATTGTAAAAAAGTTGATCAGTCGACAAAGTACTAAAATAAATCTCTTAGGCTGCATTAATCTTGTTTAAAAACTAGATGTTACTTGTTAGCCGCTTGATTTTCATTCGAATGATTTGTATCATCCTTTGGTGTGGTAAAAGATCGCTGTTCGAGTATTCCTTGCCGATATTTTCTGTGTATGGCTATTTGATCTAACCATTGGTCGAACAATTTCTTCTCTTTGATCTTCAAATGATAAACACAGTTGGTTTCATCGATATTTATTCGTTGAGATTCCCGAATATACGTAACCATACATAACCCAATATCGCATTTACCATTTAGACGATCACGTTTTACCTTCAAATACAAAGAGAAGGTTTGTATTCATATGCAAGATGAACTATTTGCAACTTACACTCTGTTCGGATTTACCATAAATCATAATACCATTTTCTAACTTGAAGAAACGTTTATGCCAACCTTGATATGGCCATTTCCGTCGTTTCATCAAGTAGTTAGCTAGATTTATCATTGGTTTCGACTGATCTTCACTGAATATCATTGGTAAGATATGCGCATTGTATGCCTGAATTACATTATGAAAGTAGTAGCTCTAGTAAAACAACTTTACTCTCTAACTTTTCTTTGTTTTGGTTTCTTTTGACCAGCTGTTGTTTTTGACTTTTCATTCGCTACTCCCGACACTTCTTCGTCTGAATCATCACCATTATCCGAATCCGTAGGAACCTAGGTAATAAAAATCCATTTGAAATTGTTCTGATTTAATTTTAAAGAATGCATAGAAAGACGGAAAAGATCATTCGTCTCACTCTATCATCTGCATCGTGCTCGTCGTTTCCATTCGGGGTAACTGGTGCACTCGATTTATTTGCTGTTGTTTTGCGCTTTCGCGGAAGAAGATGGATCTCGTAGACAGGATCGTTTTGCAACTCCCCGAATGTTTTCAATCGCAACGGCTTTTTACTTTTTTCGTCACCCATCGTTAGGTCAAATCAGTTGTAAGAATAACCATCAAATGTTACTCTGTTGCTTTTGCTGATGACGAAGACAAATTCAGAACAAAAAATATGTTTTTCTTCTCTTTTTTCGCCCGGGTGTTTCGTCCTTTCAGGGGTATCCTTATTGAAAATAAACGAAGAAGAAAAAATAATGTATATATGTACATTTCTTTTGAAGGACACAGATGAATAGACGTGCTTCTATTTTCAATGAAAAGGAAAGCATGAAAAAAGAAACTTTTCGCGTTCTCAATTAGTCAATCACGACATTTGAACCCTATCGTCATGAATACCATTAGAACGAAACAATAAAAGAATTGCTTCGATACGAGTATAAGTCAGGCGAGATAGGAAACTATAAAACCGTTTCTGATTTATTATTGTCGAATTACTCACCTGCTCGTTATTGATTGACGGTCTCCGCAATCGTATTTGTGATTCATTAGCGTAGGGACGTACGAAAGAATCAAATATCGTTAACAATGGCGTATTGTTATCCATTAGTCTCAGACTATAGACTACCGATAATGACGGATCTGTGAGTAAATAGGCGTAGAAGATGAGCAGAGTGTGCAAAAAGAATGAAGAAGTAGAAAAAAGAAGAAAAAAAGAAATAAGTTCAACTTCTCTCTCAGTATTCGACCGGAAAACAAAGCATATACTTCATTAGATGGTGATGATGGAAAGAAGAGTGGCATTGCATGAAGATAAGCGAACGTCAATAGGGGGTCTTTCCTCGCGTTTATTTCAAAAATAATTGCACGTAATGAGAAACTTACGGAACGCGTCTTTTGAGTCTTATCGGTCGAACCAAGTGAAATCGATGTCATTGTCTTTTGCATATTGAGGGTGAGAATGTCGGAAAGTTACCGGGTTATTTAATCCGTTGGTACATCTAGGAGATTATCGAGAAAGAAACATGATGAGTAACATACAAAAAGATTAAGAATAAGAAAAGAAAAAAAAAGGAACGACCAATTTTCTAAACGAATTATTCGATGATTATTTCCGGAATAAAAATAGTTATTAGCGAATCATAGGAACTACTCCTTCTTGTTGTTGTCGACGACGACTCGCTTGTCAATGTATGGATATAAAATGGAACCAATCTAGAAGGATATACTTGAACAAGTGTAAATGTTGCTTTGCTTATCAAAGATGTCGCTTAGATGATAATCAAATAAGATTTTGTCATCAATGACATGTTGTTTTCTTCTATTGATTCTTGTTCTATTCTTCAGCATCTCTCAGACAGACAGACTTTTGTTAGTAGAGTAAACAAAAGAATTTTAACACGAACATTTCTTCAACCCTGTACAAAAACAAACGGTCTTTTTCGCTGATTTCCATAGAGAGCTTTTTTTCATGTCGACATTTTCTTTTCTTGTTGATTATTCTGTATTGGATCAAGATTAAAAAAATACTTGATATATTTGCCAATCATTCCTCGCCCTTATTTGATTAGCAATCCAGAAAGAACACGCGTATCCAACCGTATATTCTCGCCGTAAAAATCCAAAGAATAGTGCTTTTCATTCATGAACTATATCCGGCAAGATCATCTTTCGTTTTTTTATGAATAACTAGCAATATTAATCGTCTCTCATTTCAACCAACGAAAGTCTTTTCTGTAAAAGTTTGACATCGATTTTTCAAAATGTGTACTCATATGATAAAAGAATGTACAAATAAGAGAACGGTTATGAACTTTGTACAAAGAACCAAAAACGAATGTACAATCCACTGATATAGACAGAGAGAGAGAGAGTAAACGTCAAGAAGAGAAAAAAACAAAGAAACGTTATGTTTAGGAACAGAAAAGATTCACTATCTGACACACACGCACACGCATTGAAACATGGGAAAAGTGAACCTGAGAGAGGAAAAACAAAACGTTAAACTTAAAAGAAAAGAAAGTTTCATTATTAAGTGTAGCGATATTTTCGTATTGAATCTGTTGTTAAATCAACACAAAGCACGCATCCGTCACTTGTTGTTGCCAATGAACATGGACGTCGTAATCGATGAGAATGAGAATCAATAATACGTAATAAATGACCATGACTATCATAAATCTCAATACGAGCAGTACCATCTTTTTCGCATTTTCCAGCTAAAAGAAGGCCATTCTTATCCACGCATAATGCCGTATAAAAGCCTGAAAGATAAAGATTCGAATAAATTCCACAACAATATTCTATTTACCTCCTTTCGATGTCAACGCAGGCATAGGCTTCGAATGTACGGGAAGTGATACCGATGTTTGTAATTGTCTATGATGAGATGAAATTAAATCAGGCGGTTGATAGGCAATATGAACATCAACATCAACGATCTGTTGGGGGGTTAACGATGTTATTTGACGTAGATATTTGCCTTCGTAAGATAAAATATGTATGCGATGATCACCGACAATAATTTCATCTTGTAAGCCAATAGTAAAGCCTTTGACAGTTTTAATCCCATATGAACGTAAATCAATTTTATTAATTAGATCACCAGTACGATTGTCAACAATGAAGAATGTGTTATTGTCATAGATAAGTAAAGAATTTGGATGATGTTCGAATAGAGCAATTTGAACAGGTTCATCAAAAGATGAGCATGTGATTTGATTATGGATATTAATCTGACTATTCGGAATTGATGGCGATGATGATGATGATGGATCAGAGTTGACTATGGAAAATTCAGTTATCAATTTACTTTTCCAGTCTAGTAAGTAAAATATTGAGGTGGAAGAACGATAAGCAAGACCAGTGCTGGTCGTTTCTAGAAGTGTATCAGTTGCTAGAATAGAAAATGAGCAGTTCGAGGATATGGCCATGTGAAATCAATGGTAGTTTACCAAGATGATTGATAAATTTTCCTTCTGATGATAGACATTTTATTCGACTATTTCCTGGATCGAGTACGTATACTTGTTCTCGTTCAGTACTATCATCCACAATCACTTTCACCGGCATAGATAATTCATTTTCAGCACGACCACATTTACCTTGAATAATCAATGAGAAGCAAATCTCATTAAATGTTTATATCTCAAGGTTGCGAATCTTACCAAATGACCACAATGGATTATTGTGTTTCGTGACATCAACAATAAATGGCGAACCTGCTATCGGTCGATCAAATATTCTTATATCAATCTTATGATTTCCACTAATCAACGGTCGAAAAATAACCGTATAAATACCATTTTGTTTATCATGAAAATTATATTCACATAATTTACCATACGGATCCCAAACATTAACTGTCAATGGATCACCACCATCGATGCGTGCATTGCCATTATAATCAACTGTTTCAATGTGTATGGCACATTGAAGATTAGCTACTGCTGGCTCAATCTTTGCTCGGCATAGTGGTGGATATGTTGATGACACGCGTATACGACCAATACTATTCAATGAACGTGCCAGATCTTGTAAAGCTTGGTTATGTCGAAATTCGAATTTCATAAAAGAGTTTTCACGTGGTTCGCCCAAGAGAGACATTCGTTCGATTCGATCGTTCAGTTCTTGAATACGTTGGGTGAGAATATGAATATCGGATGCTTGTTGAAAAAGAGCACATTCTTGTTCGATTTTAGTTTTCTCGTCTAAAGTCAACTTATATGCAAAGATAAACTTCTTCCAAACAAATAATCTTACTTAAAATGACGTTTAACTGATCGTTGAGTACCTTTAATTTATAATCACGAGTCGTTTTCAATGATTGCAAGAGATTATTTTGACGATTATCGACATAACTTTTTATTTCCGTGAACGATCGATTGATCGCCTCGGCTAGAAAAGAAAACCTTTTTGCAACAACGGACTGGTACTTCCAAAGAGAAATATCTACCAGCTTTGTCCATACTACAATCAAGTCGTGTGATTTCATTGTTCACTGCTTCGAGTGCGTTATCCAAACAGCTAAGAGCTATAAATAGAAAAGATGGAGAAATTTTCAATTCTATCAAATGGAAATCTACGTTAATCATTCCGACATATGCAATAACTGTTGTCAAGTCAAAGTTAATATCTGTCAGTCAAGTGTCAAAACAAAAATCCGTCATTTGCATATTGAAAACTTGAAGATATTTTCTCGCTTACTTTTAGATGCTTTGAAAAACAAGATTTCATTCATGCGTTTGATTGCCAAGGAAAATGGCACGACTGTATGTTCAGCTGAGATCTGATGTTGATCACATAATTGACAGAAAATTTTATCGCATGTTTCGCAGAACAGTAATTCTTCATTGGTATGATAACTGCACTTTGGAATGACATCACGTCGTAAGCGGACTAACAGATCGAGCAACTGATTGACAATGAATGATGGCGGAAAAGATGTGACGCCACCTCGAAAAAAAGTTCAATACTGTCTTTAGCTTATTTATTCAAGAAAATTACCTCTAGGTAGGAGAATATGTTCGCGACAAATGGGACCTAAAACGACAACGAGTTGAAGCGAACGATGTTATTGAGTTACTTGTACATACATTTGATTGCATCGGATCTTGGTTGAGAATTGACAATTCGTTCTAAACATTGTCGACAGACAGTGTGTGAACACGGTAATAATTTCGGTTGATGTTCGTTCGAATTCGACGAGAATTGATTAATACAAGTTGAACATGTTAAAAAATGCTCGGTGAAATCTTTGGCATTGATATTAATTGTTTCAACTAATGTCGAACCCATTTGTTTTTTATCAGTCGAGTTATAGTTTATTATTCTTAGAAAGATTTCCTTGTCACATTACATCTGAAATTTAGACATATGTATGTATATCTATACGATCAACATAAACTGACATTGATGCATGATCCGGGAAGAAAAAAGAGAAAGACAAAATAAACTGACTGCAAGGACACATCTAACCTTGTCTTTAGCTCGTCAATAGTGTTCTACCACAATAGTCGATTCAAGTCGTTAACGGAGTCCAATTAGATATAGAGAAATTGAAGATAAGATCAAACAACTAACGATCTGATAAGACGAAAAGAACGAAGTATTCAATGGAAAACTCGACGAGAATCAAAGAAGACATGTTTATTCTCTATCTGTGCGGGGATTTGATTCATTCAAGGACTTGATTAAGATAAGGACTGTGATGAAGATCGTGCAATCGATGTTTATCGAACGCTTCACTCTTGTCTATCTGTGCATGAGATTAAAAACGAAAATTCTCTCGTCACTTCGATGTCTCTGAAGAATTGTCGAATAGATCCAGACAGAAACGAACAGATTTTCCTGTTGATATATTGATTCTTAGATTTCGATCTTAGTGTTTGAAAAGTGTATCAATTGTTGCGCTAAATTGAATTCTCTCAAACGAAATGTAATTATCGACTTACTGTTGTTCTTGTGAAAATGGCGTGAGCAGTGCATTTCTATTACTCATATGCCGAAACGACATGATTTCGTCGTTCGATATATATTTTGAAGTGAAAGAAAGAAAAATATTTTCGTTTCGAGCAGGTCAAATGAAGAAAATAACTGACATCCGAGTTGTTCATTCTAAAATATCTTTTCGCGCACGTCACGGCCTACTTTGATTTGATACTGAACACGAATTGTCGACTTGTTTGTCACTTGATTCATTCAGTCATTCACAATACGAATGAATGACGTTTATATTACTGATAATGATGCTTACTTACTTATTTCGGGATGGCGCGTGTGAGAAGAAACGAAGAGAAACATTGGAAAAAAGGGAGAGAGAGAAGGGGAGAAGAGGAAAGACGAAGATGACGACAGGCGTCGATAACTTTTCTTTTTTTTTCCTCTTTTTCTTTCGTTTCGTTTATTCGACGTAAATTACTTGCAGATGAGACGATCATCTGCTTGCTCTCGTGCGCAGTTACTTTAGATCTGCTGATCAGCGACAAAGGAAAAAAAAATTAAATGTAACGCCCGAGCAGGGGCTCGAACCCTGGACATTGTGGTTAAAAGCCACACGCTCTACCGACTGAGCTACCCGGGCTACGATATACAAACGATCGGATTATCAGATCTTGTTGCAAGAACCGAGTAATGACGCCTAGAAAGAATTCTGTTTTTCAATTTCGTCATTGAAGAATTTTTATGAGTTATGTTCGGTATGATTTGAAAGGTTGGAATTTTGTTGAAAACAATTTCTCATTACGACATTTAATCGCGTGTGCATGCCAGGGTCATCATACACGGTATAAGCAAAATCTCGACCTTGCGTCATGTCATACATTTCGTTACTCGAACATTTATCTCATCTTGAGACAGTCTCCTAAAGACTGATCAAGACGAATCATCGTCATTTCTCAAGGTTTGATTAGACAGATCAGCAAAGAGCAAATAAATGAAAGATTTATTTAATATCATCTAATAACAATATGACATAAGCTCGAGATGTTATTCATCATATCAGACAACATGTACATCGATAACATAAATTCATTTGATCGATCACTTATGTCTTTGGATTAAACAAAGAATATATATATCTATGATATCCATTCTGTTACAGAAGAAAATTCATCGATATCTCCTATTACGATTGATATTCTTTTTCTCCTTCTCTGTTTTTCTAACCTTTCTCTTGTTAGAAAGAGTAAAATAAGATTCAGAGAGATTATTTCTTGAAATTTCTAATAACTTACCTAGTGTTTTCAACTTATAGCCATGTTTACCATCGCGTAGACTGTTCAATGACACAATCGTTTTTCAATCTCCCTTCCCTCCTATTTGGTTGCTTTGCATTTATGTACGACATAATCTTCATTTTTACCTTCGTCTCGTTTGCATTTTCAATTGTGTTTTGTCGTCGCTGTCGATCACGCTTTTGAACAACAATATATTCAAATGAGACTCACCTCCCCTTTTCTTTTTGTCTGTCTGTCTTCCTTTCTACCGTTACTAAACAATAATCATATCAATAAAAGAACATACATGCGAAGAAATGAATAGGGTAAACATTCTCTCATCATTGCTGATTGTACAAATGACAGACAGAATACGATTAGCCTTCATTATGCTACAGTACATGTCTCTTGCTCGTACGCACTACTAATCTTGTGGTGACAACAATGAACAAGTGAAAACCTTCACTGATCTATGTGATGAATACGCGTATTAACTTTTTGTTCTTTATGCCTTGGATAAACTGATTGGTTCTCGACTTCTGAGACGAATATCCTCGATTTAGAGTTGCGAGGATTCTTCTGAAATCTGTGATTGTTGTATGGGAAAATCGTAAAAGAAGGATGTTTGATAGTAAATTTTATCTATTTTATTCAATGAGTTGGGAAAGCATTAGCAAAAAATCCATGTTTCTAGAAGATAAATGGGTATCGATGATTTCATGGATACAAAGGAACAAAGGCAATGTATTGTTGTTCAATTATATCCAGTTTAAAGATCATTAATTGTTGGATGGTTTCTACAAAAAATACTAGGAAGTATAATTAACTAATAACAAGTTCGGCTTACAGGTGATAGGTGTCCACGAAGTGTCGCTAATTTCGATACTTGTCCAGGAACATAAGGTGAACGGAATTCGTTTTGACAGTTTCCATATCCCATTCCGAGGCCAATACCAGTACCCAAGAAAACAGGCCATGGACGACCTAAGTTTTAGAGAACGAAAACGTAAGATATTTAAAGTACTAAAATGAGTACGAACGTCGGAAGAGAACTGCAGAAAAGACGATACCCAAAGCAAGACCGGATGCTAGAATTAGATGAATAAATGAATGATTTGGTTTATGCATATTTTCTTACCTGTTTTAACGATTGTGTCTGAGACGCATCGATTCCATTTCTCACCATAAATTTCTTCAGACGCTAACGGACGCGTTGGTGTCGTCATCTAGAAATGTTCAATACAACAGTTTTCATTCAAATATTCGAGATAGAAACAATATTATTGCATTGAATTGCTTACTTACTTACATTTAGTATGACGAACGATTGGTTTCAAACATTAACCAATCGAAGAAGGACGTTGAGACATTTAACTAACAGGTTTATCCTGTTGTCCAATCAATTGTCGCTGGAGATTTCAACAACGTTTTTCTTTTGTAATTCCATTGATTAAGTTTTGTTCAAAGAAGAAAGCAAATTATCATGAACGTTGATGAACTTTTAAATTACCAGGTATGATTTATCGTCTTTTATCATCTCACACATCATATTCTAATCTTTTTTAGCCAGAAAAACCAGCAGTTGCTGCTGCTAATGTGTTAGGAAGCAAACGAACAACCGATTCGACTACACCTTTGGCTGCAGGTTATCCTAAACGAGCAAAACGTCCAATCTTAGACGATGTACCTACACCATCTAACGCTTCATTGATAAATAACACAAATTTTGCTTCACTAAGTCATAATGAACGTGATAAGCTTTTACAAATGCTCGAACAAGAGTCATCAGTAAGACGATTACGAAAACTGAACTTCAATGACTATTCAATGATCTTCTTTCCTAGGCGGAAGCACTTGATGAGACATCTTTGAAGCGAATGCTTTCACAGCTCGAAAAACGTATTTCGAAAAATCAAGAAATGCGCATTAAGTATCCTGATAATCCAGAAAAGTAAATTCATCAATAGTAAATCGTTCTAAACCCGAAAAATTCTTTGTTTCGTTAGATTCATGGAGTCAGAGATTGAATTGAACGACGCAGTTCAAGAATTACATGTAATTGCAACACAATCGGAACTCTATCATGTTCTTGTCAATATAAACGGCATATCCTTATTGATGAGCTTATTAACGCATGAAAATACAGATATAAGTATCGCAGTTATTAGTCTTGTACAAGAATTGACAGATGTCGATACATTAACTGAAAGTGAACAAGAAGCAGCACTTCTGATTGATGCCTTGGTTAGTAGTTTCAAAAGGAATATGAAGATAGTTTCGTTTTTTAATTTATTTTAGGCTGAACAACAAATCGTGTCATTACTTGTTCAAAATATGGATAGATTAGATGAGAATGTGAAAGAGGAAGCCGATGGTATTCATAATTCCTTAGGTAAGAAGAAAGATCGAGAAGCTTGTTATATTTGTTTTACTTATAGCAATCGTGGAAAATATGACCGAATTTCGTCCTTCGTTGTGTGTTGATGCATGTAAACAAGGTTTATTAACATGTCTGCTAAAACGTTTAAAGGTAAAAGAGAGAATGATTCCAATCTATTAGCAGACTTTAGATGGGCATTTAGACCAAATCTGGATTCAATTCAATTTGTTTGTACTGCTCTGAATTAATGTCAATTTTATTACAAAATCACGATGAAAATAGACAAATGCTTGGTGAACTCGACGGTATCGATATACTCTTACAACTACTTGCGGTAAATTACAATAGTTTGTAAGGAGATCATATGTTTCGACTAATTCTCTTTTAGTTCTACAAAAAACATGATCCACAAACCAGTGAAGAATTTGAATATATGGAAAATCTATTCAGTTGCTTATGTTCGTCGTTAATGTTTCCTGCTAATCGACAACGGTTTCTCAAAGGTGAAGGTCCACATCTGATGAATTTGATGCTCAAGTGAGATCTCGTTTCGCAAATATTTAATCGGTTGATTTTCTGTTTACTAGAGAGCGAAAGGCATCGCGAAATGGTGCATTGAGAACTCTCGATTTTGCGATGACAGGTGATGAAGGAAAAGAGAATTGTCAAAAGATGGTTGATATCCTTGGTCTACGCACAATCTTTCCATTATTTATCAAACCACCGAAAGGAAGCAAACGATCTGGTGAAACACGAGCAGAAAATGAAGGTAAGAATCTTGATCGATCATTCCTGATTTCATTTCGTTTCTTTGTGCATCAGAGCATGTCATTTCCTGCGTGGCTTCATTAGTACGAAATTGTACCGGTGATAATCGACAACGTGTATTCAATAAATTCACCGAAAGCGATCACGAAAAGGTAGAAGACAAGCTATTTATCATTTTTCTCCAGTAATCAATTGTATGACAATTCATATTGTAGGTTGATCGAATAATGGAGCTGCATTTTCAGTACTACGACCGTGTAAAAGCAGCGAGCAACAATATCGAGCAGGAGGATGATGAGGAAGATGAAGATGAAGCTTATCTTCGTCGACTAGACGCTGGATTATTCACTTTACAATTGATCGATTATATTATTATTGAAATTGCTTCAGCAACATCGAACATTCCTTCAATACGGCAGCGTGTTTTACAAATTCTGAATATGAGAAATAGTTCAATTGACTCCATCAAAGATATCGTACGCGGTAAGTGATATCTGAAAGCATGTACATCGGAGCTGGGTATTATTTTGTCTTCTTTAGAATATGCTAATAATTTGGGTAATACAAAGAAAAGTAATGGCGTCGATCATACAACAACCGATGGAGCAAGCAATGGACATAGTGAAGATTCACATAAACAATATTTGTTGGATTTAGTTGATAAATTCTAAAATGATCTCTGTTGTTGTTGTTCTTCTTCTTTTTTTTCTATTCTTCTCTGTATGGTAAATATATGTATGTGATGGACGGTGACGTCACACGATTCTTCTATTAAATCTAAACATCGATATATGTTATTAAAAAGACTGGCCGGCTGCTCTGCTTCTGAAAGACAAAGAATTCAACTTAGTTACTGTTTTGTATTTGTCTTTCTATGATGCGAAGTGTCATGCTATCCATATGATTTCTTTCGATTCTTCTATTTCACTTACAATACAAAACAACGAATATCAATGTCACAACGAATCCTGTCGTCGAACAACGTTCAACATGCTGATAATGATAAGATCAACTGCTATGATTACATCATTGATCAATGCAGTATATATACTGAACGTATTGGAATAGTGGTGAAAAAAATTCTATGCAAATCATGGCCACTTCTATCAAAACAATCGACTCAAAAGAGAAACAAAGAAGTAAATATAGATTTTGTGACTTCGAAAACAAATGACGCATTAACATATGCTGATTTCCTTACTCCACCTTATTTACTATTCTAATTCCATTCTACACATGTGCCTGTAGTGAATTGAGAGAGAGAGTAGTCATTGAGTGAGCACAAACAGTGTTTATGCATATTAATTATCGAATAGTGACATGTACGACTATTCTTATCAGCAAATCGGCAGAAGAGTTCTCAGGAGTATTACACCGAGCTTTGTTTTGACAGAATGTATATTTCCGAAGTTTGAGAAACTGATTTGACGAGAAACGTTGTTTTCTTTTCCTTCATAGAAGAGAGAACGCGTCTAGTCGGGAAATCTTCTTGTAAACATGTACTAAATCTTTATCATTGATGTCGACATACAGACAACTTATGCTAATTTATTGAAGATTGTCTGCTGTCATCGAACGTTTTATTATTCTTGTAAGTGTTCTCGCAAAGCCTTGTATTTATCGCATATTGTTTTGAATCAAACGAAGAATGAATGATCGTATTTGAAGAAAAAAAAAGGAATATGAGATACAAAGGCAGCTGAAGTTTTCCGTTCTTACGCATTCAATTGTCAATCAATTTCTATCAAGCCCAAAATTGTTGACATTGCGTGGGTTGATGCATATTCATCTGCACCGCAATTTATCTTTTTCATTCGCCTATTTATACCATTGATCGATCACATTCGTACTTTATTCGAAGGCGTATTCACTAAACAAAACCATGCTGTTTCTCCCTCTCCTTTTTTTTATCAATGAACACGGAAATTGTAGAATAATTTGCGGTGGAAATAAGTACTAGTCCTCATTGGTAACATCTGCGTGTCTTTTCCTGTCTGGACGTACTGACAATGTAGGAAAAGTGAGGTGTTTTCTGCTTGATTGCTCATTAATTGTTCTGCAAAATAAGTTTACACATTTTTTTGTCAAACTTCGGTATTTATAATCACCAATTTCTTGTCACTTCTTTTTCTCTCTTATTCTTCGCTTGCCTTACTTGTATTTCCATATGCTACACGCGCACATAACGCCTACTCAGCAACGATCAGTCGTCGATAGTAATTACGGATTTTTTCTTGCTTTCTTTTAGACGTGTTTTTCTTCTTTCCTTTTTTTTACCCCGAAAAAAAATGTCACTCAGCATTCTGGTTTTTTTCTAGTTCTTCTTCTCATCCTTGTGCGCTTTTAATAGGGTGACGCAGCTAAACTAGATACCAGCGAGTAATAGCTACAGAGCACATTCTTTTTTCCATTTGCTTGTTCTTAATATCAAGATTTTTTTGTTTATGGGCTTCTTATATTGTATATTATGTCTACAAAAACCTTCGGATATTACTCTCGTATTTTCATGTAGTTGTAGATACTCAGAGATAATTGATTATCGCCGATCGTATTCATGCTATTTGGTTTCTTGTTTTCTTTAGAAATCGTCAAATCCTCGTGGTTGTGAAACGTTATCTACGATCGATGTAATATCGCTTTTTCAGTCGAATACACTCTGTCAACAATCGTTTACTGTATCGTCAACACTTGTTACTCCATTATCCATATCATCAAAACCACAAGCTTCGAGACAATTATTGAAAAGTTTGATACCTACGATCGATAACAACATGCCTTTAGCACAAAATTACAAAGATGATGTGTCTCTTTTGGAATCCGAAGCAGCATTCACAAACGTAACAATGGGACATGCTAATGTCGGCCTCGGTACACGTCAAGGAACTAATTCAAAGCCTAATGTAAGTGAATATTCATTCAGATAGATGAACAATAGAGCTATTCTCTGTAGTCTTCTTTGTGCAGACAACAAAACAATTTCATTTCACTAATTGAAAGATGTCTTAAATGTTCATCAGACGATTTGTAATTAGTTTTTTACCTAATTCAGAGCAGACGTATACTCATTTCAACTTACAATGCGAAAGAAATCCGCATGAATGAAAGATTCTTTGAGATATTAGTATCAGGTGCACCATAGGAATCTTAAATAGGCGACAGACGTAATCATTGCTAGCAGCAATGTATGTATCGAAATGTCAAATGTTTTTAGATAATATTTCTTATCAAGATCGTTATCATAATTGCGAGAGAGAAATATTCGTGTTGAATATATTAAATAGAAAAATATGCGATTTAATTATTATTTACCAGTCATATTCTCGCGAGAATCTGTGCGATCGATGAGAGTAGATCATAAGGAAGCTCAGTCCAAGCAGAACTTCATGTCAGCACTTTGCAATATTATATATAAATAGAGAACATTGTATTAATTATAAGTCAGTAGGAATAATTACATTTATTACAGTTCTTTGTTTATATGAAAGAAAGCTTTCTTTTAGAATCAAACTTTTACATTTTTAAACACGGTTCCTTTATCGTCATAATAGACTATGAAATATTTTTGTCTTCTACCATTGTCTGTCAAAGATTTTGGCGTCAAAAAAGCATTGACATTGTAATCTGATTATTATGTATAGTGAGTTGACAGTTATTGCAGTACCTTCGGAAGTAGTTTCTTACAGTCCGGATGCATTGGTGTCTATTATCTTGACATGCACTGACGTTCTTGAACAATTTAAGCATCTTTTGAATCACTTATCTCACAAGTGTTATGTTCTTTCGAACGAACTAGTGTTGACATAGATAGAAAACGCGTATTTTTTCTTCAAATACTCGACGCGAAATCAAGTTTAGTTTTGAACGAGGATGAATTACTGTTAAACCTTGATGAAAAATATGTTTTGGATTCCCATCAAATAATATTTATGTTTACGGAACATGATCAAATAATATTCGTAAATATAACAAGAAAATCGTGACAATCACAACGCTCTCTCTAATGATTGATCGACAAATACATCGTTGTTTTAGAACATATTTGGGATATTAATATACATATGTTTAGTAATATTCCTGATTAGACAACTTCTACACCAGCATCAGTTTTTCCGTAAAACAAAGTAATCTGACGTGCGAAAAGGTGCATCTCATTATCTGTAGAATGTATCGCAAAAACAGATCTGGATATTATCCTGAGTTCATGTCGGGAGTCTAAACAGATCTACTCTGACGTTTTGTTTTCCTTTTTCTCCTCTTCGAGCACCAACACAAAACCAAGAGAATCTATCTCGCTGCGAAATGCTTTCCGGAAAGTTTAAAATAGTTGTGAAGTACGAGCGCGGCATTCTAAACATCATCGCCGATTTCCTTATTATTAATCTATGACATACAGCTGACATAATTTTCCTCTCGAATCATTCATGTATGTCAATGTAACCTTTATAATAATGTATGTAAATAAGAAAAATTAATAATAAAAAATCGTAGGCCTAATATCGGAAATAATCGTTTCCTTTCTTGTTTTTTTAACTGTTCATTGACATCAATAATAGGAATTAATTTAGTTGTGCAAATCGCTCGTGAAAAGCAAATTTGCCGAATTGTGTCGTGTTTCTCTGTTCAGACTCGACACTAACGAAACGATCGATTGTGTTAGTAACCATAAGTGATTATTCATCTAGTTGCTTCCAATGTTATTTCACAAGATAATGACTCATGTTCGAAACTTAGTAATCATTAGTTGTTTATGATCTATTTTGTTTCATTCTAGCAGGCCAATGATCGTTCATCCACTGTGTCCATGGCAACAACGGTTAGTTCAAATGACAATCTGCTAGCAGACGATGATCTGCCCGAAATTGTACCCACGGTAAGGCAAAGGATTGCTTTTGTTTGTTTTGCTCTATCTACTTATGCATGGAATCGTATATGATTGTAGAAATCTACGTTCACTACCGGTTCTGAAATGGTAATTAGAATGAGAAATCACTGATTTCCTTTTTTTGCGCAACTAACTAACATTGCTATGAATGCTGCTTCTTCTCTCTTCTTGTCTTCCGTTTGATTTATCATGTGAATTAAACTTAATTGCGAGCGAGAAACAAAAGTCTCTAGAAAGTTCTCGCATAGTGTACTGATGATTCATCGATAAGTTTGTAACGATGGAGAAATTAGTCATAAGATGTAATGAAATTCTATCCATTCATTTATCTTGACGATGAATGAAGTTTCCAGTAAAGTATAACGTCGTCGTGCTTATTAAGGGAAACATGACGTCATCCTACGAATGTTGAATAAGTCTTAACAAATGTTCTCTCATCAGATGACGAAGTTACTGTAGACATACTCAACAACGCCCTGCGTCACTATTGCAGAACAGCAGAAATCTATTCTTTTGCTTTTTCATCGTATAGCTGAAGAGAAAAAAGTTTGCGTCTCCCACTCACCCTTTTCGTCTATAGTTTCTCTTCTCCATATATTTGTCTCTTTTTTTCTTTTCTTTTTCCCATATTTTTGTGCTGTGGGTCTCCCCCTTTTTTTTTCCTTTCTTATATATCTTATGTCATAAGTACGCGATGACCACAGTTAAAGGTTATAGTATGATTTGCTTTCATTTACTAAGCAGACGTAACTTAGTCGATTTGCTAATTTATGAAAGATATTTCCCTACACGGTGACGCACGAATGGAGTATCTCGGAGTTCCGCAGGAAGCCGATCATCATACGTTTTATCTGAGTTCATGTGAATCTACCGCTGGTATCGATGCACATGATTCAAATATTTCCTCGAGATGTTCGTCGCTATCATCATCATCGTCATTGAATGTTGCCCTGCCGACCGCTCGATCGCCAGTACACACGAACGTCTTTCTGAATGTTCTCAAACGCCTACACTGTATAACACTTCGTGGTAAAAAACACCGCCGATACCGATCGTTGTCAACGTCGTTACATCTCTTCTTCAAGAAACATCACAAACCGTCGATTGATTTCCATCAATCAACCATCGAACTTTGTAAATCACCCTCTAGTCCACAATTTCCAACAATCAATGTAGATAATGAAAATGAACTCATACGATCAAAGACGCGCTTTCATAGCTGTCAACGAATCTATCATACCGGTGCAAATAAAGATATACATTTCAATAGTAAAACCCAGAATCTCCGCCCACGAAGATCATTCTTACAACGACTGAGACATTCGGATAAGACAGTCAGCGAAGATAATAACACCAATACGTTAAGTTCAGTCGATTTAGCGCTTACGCCACAAATTCTTCCTACTCTGTTAATCACAGAATCAACTTCATCGGTAACGCCAGTTCAACAACTAACATCTTTTGATTACACCCGTGTAAGTCATCATTATTTTTTCTTGTTTTATTCGATCGGACCTACTTTGATTCAACTCAGGAAGAACCATATCTTTTGTCTAGACATTCATGACATAGCCTGACTGTTATTATTTATCTCCCAATGATTTCTCGATTGAAATAATTTCATTCCGTCACATCAATGATGATTTTTATTTCCTTCTTCCGCCATAGGTTCTTCGACTATCGTTATTTATCTAGACATTTCTGCTATTAATCTTCTATACGATGAAATATGCTATTGTTGATGTCGAAAAATAGAATAGAATTTATTTTCTCTTATTTTGATTGTAACTCCGAGACAGAAAGATCAACATGTGACGTGAGTATTTGACGCAATTGCAAGTCGATGTTCTCTTTTTTTTCTTCTTCTTTATCAATTCAATGATAACGAAACAGATTTATTTACAACTTTTTACTTCCAACCTTGCGCACATGATTGTTCGGGTTCTTCAAATTACTTATATTTACATCTGCTGTTACTGATTAATATGACAGGTATTGTCATGTCCTCTATGGATGATTAATAAAAAAGAAAAGCCGTAAATACGTATGCGTAGGATGACATATTAGATCAGCAGTGTTTCTTCCGTGAAAATGATTTCTTCGTGGACAAAAACATGGTTGTGCACTTTGAAGCCAAAGAAAATAAATGCACTTCTTCAACATACTAGAACTAATTATGAATATTTGAGCGGCAAATGTTAATAGTTTGCTGCTTCCTGTGTTGCCCATCTCTTTCTTTCTTTCCTTCATTTCTTTTCTTCTTCGTCTTCTTCTTTTTCTGTTTCTGTTGTTTCTACTTATATTCGATGGCAACCACTGTCGACCTTGCGTTACTCGTAGTGTTGTTGTGATGTTATGCTGTTATTTCACCTTGGAAATGTGCACCAATGTACACATATACATAGTGAAAAGAAAACATCGAAATACATAATAACAAAATATGCCATATGTTATTCGAAAATAAAGGGAAATATTCTCTTCAGATATTTNTCTTCTTTTTCTGTTTCTGTTGTTTCTACTTATATTCGATGGCAACCACTGTCGACCTTGCGTTACTCGTAGTGTTGTTGTGATGTTATGCTGTTATTTCACCTTGGAAATGTGCACCAATGTACACATATACATAGTGAAAAGAAAACATCGAAATACATAATAACAAAATATGCCATATGTTATTCGAAAATAAAGGGAAATATTCTCTTCAGATATTTCTCTGCACAATATCAGCTGCTCTTGTTAGAATCCGGCCTAATACTAATAGCCTTGCCATCCGACAAACTCGATCTAGTCAAGAATTGAACAGATTATCGAGAGAAAGAATCTTGCTACTGATATTTAAGTTTAGGTCATAACATATCATATTGTTGACATGAAAATTAACCTTGTCATGTGGTAGTCAGTTTTATAAACGTCATTGCTATGATCGAAAAAATCCTTTCGTGATATTGATTCGAGATTAGACAGATAGAGACGATAGATTTATAATAGTAGAGAGAAGAGAGAGAGAGAGAGAGAGGGAAAATGAAGATTCAATGTTCTTTTTTTTTCGTTCTCTCAGTGTAGGTAGACGATAAACGACACCGTTTTCGTTGTTTTACTCGTGCTGGAAGATGATTTGATAGTTAGCAGATGCGTATGCTAAACCGAATGCATCTCAAAAATCAGGTATGCATCGCCTGTTTCCTCTCATTTATTCAACCGGCTGATTCGATAATGCATATCAGAGGAGAAGTTCGCGTTTTTTCCTCCAATTATCTCATTAACATATCTTTTTTAATGTTAGCCCACTTATTTCCTATTGTGTATTCCATTGCAACCAACTGATTTCTTTTCTTAGACACTAGATTACATAAACGAATTCCTATGATAAAAATATTTGCTTCCTTTGCGCCGAGTACATTATATGGAAATAAGAATGATAAACAAACATCGAATTTGAATGTATGCTTAACATAAACTTCGCCATGATTGACATAATAATAACAAATGATGCATCAGTTTTCCATTGACATTTCATATGAGAAATTACATTTGCTTTTTTGTTTTTGTTTNTTCTTAGACACTAGATTACATAAACGAATTCCTATGATAAAAATATTTGCTTCCTTTGCGCCGAGTACATTATATGGAAATAAGAATGATAAACAAACATCGAATTTGAATGTATGCTTAATATAAACTTCGCCATGATTGACATAATAATAACAAATGATGCATCAGTTTTTCCATTGACATTTCATATGAAAAATTACATTTGCTTTTTTTGTTTTTTGTTTAGGATGAACATAATAGTAATGAACATGAGATTGAAATTACTAATATCACAAAAGAAGGATGTGAACGCGCAGATTCATCACATTTTGAATTGTTACAAACATTGGGCGCCGGTTCGTTTGGAAAAGTAAGAATCACTTTTATAGTGATACTCAGAATACAAGAACTAAATTATTTTTTGCGTTCATAGGTTTTCCTCGTACGAAAAATTATCGGCCCTGATTCAGGCTCTCTCTATGCGATGAAAGTACTGACCAAAGCGAGCCTTAAAGGTGAGTATTTGACCACAGGGATTTACCGTCTGTTAATAAGATGAATTCTAGTTCGAGATCGTCAACGAACGAAAATGGAACGCGATATTCTTGCCCAAATCTCTCATCCATTCATCGTTAAACTTCATTACGCTTTTCAAACAGAAGGCAAAGTTTATTTGGTGCTTGATTTCTTACGCGGCGGAGATCTATTTACACGTCTATCTAAAGAAGGTACAACATCGATGATTTTCTTCTCTATGTAAAAATCAATTTTCGTTTTAGTCATGTTTACGGAATGTGACGTTCAGTTTTATTTGGCCGAACTGGCTTTAGCACTCGATCATCTACATTCACTCGGCATTGTTTATCGCGATTTGAAGCCTGAAAATATTCTTCTGGATACCGATGGTCATATTGCATTGACTGATTTTGGTCTGTCTAAAGAATCAATTCCCACACAAGATTCAAAAACCTTCTCATTTTGTGGCACGGTTGAATATATGTCACCAGAAGTCGTTTCACGCAAAGGACATTCACATGTTGCTGACTGGTGGTCATTTGGTGTCTTAGCATTTGAAATGATCACTGGCCATTTACCATTTCACGGAACGAATCGCAAAGAGACGATGAATATGATTTTAAAAGCTAAATTAGCAATGCCAACATATCCATCATTAGAAGCACAAAGTCTATTACGTATGTTATTCAAACGTAATCCAGCGAACCGATTAGGTGCTGGACCAGATGGATTTCGCAATATTCAAAGTCATCCATTCTTTGCTACTATCAATTGGGATAAATTATACAAGAAACAAGTCGAACCACCATTTATACCTCCTATTCATTCCGATTTTGCACATTATTTTGATAAAGAGTTTACTTGTAAAACACCAACAGGTACGATCAGAGAGTAGTGATTGATGTTTAAATTCGTTTTTGTGCCATTTTTTGTTTCAGATTCACCGGGTATTCCACCGAGTGCTGACGCTCACGACTCATTCCACGGCTTCAGTTATATCGCGCCCGAATTGATTACTGCGCGACAAAATGATCCCACGTATTCAAATGACGTCGAAAGACGTTTACGATCAATTGTTGGAGTTAAATTAACACCATTTCAAGATGAATACGACGTGAAAGAACCGCTAGGACGGGGTAAAACATCTACATGTTATCGTTGCATTCATCGACAAACTCGACAAGAATACGCCGTTAAAATTATCAAAGATGCTAGTATAAATGATCCATCGGATGAAATCGAATTGCTGTTTCGTTACAATCAATTGACACATATTATTCGAGTACGTCAAAGAAGACAACTTCTATTCGTTTTGCATTGGACTCTTTCAGATGCGTGATGCGTTTTTCAATGCACCCAAAGTGTACATCGTGACTGAATTGATGCGTGGCGGGGAATTATTCGATAAAATTCGTCAAGAGAAATCGTTATCCGAGCGCGAGAGTGCAAAAATCATGAATGTAATTATAAAAACTATCGAACAATTACATCGAAATTCAATTGGTAATGAACAAGACTAATTGATTTTTGTTGTTTCAACTAACAAAAACATATTTTCATCCTAGTGCATCGTGATCTTCAACCTCGTAACATAATGTATGTCAATGAGAGCCGTCAACCATCATCACTACGTATTGTTGATTTGGGCTTTGCTAAACAACAACGTGCTGAGAATGGCCTGTTGATGACACCTTGTTTTACCAAAGAATACGCTGCACCAGAAGTTTTATCAAGGAAAAAATATGATGAATCCTGTGATATTTGTATGTCTTGATTGATGATCGATGATTCAATTGAAGCTGATCTGTTTAGGGAGTCTTGGAATTCTTCTATATACCCTGCTGGCTGGAAATACACCATTTGCACTTGATCGAAATGATTCACATGATCTGATACTTGCACGAACAGCGGTCAAATTACAATTTACTGGACCAACTTGGGATCGGATAACAGATAATGCAAAAGTAATGTGAATCGAAACAAGTTTTCGTGTTGAAATCAATTGTCTATGTCGATTTCTAGGCTCTTGTCAGTGCAATGTTGGATGTTGATCCGAAGAAGAGACCAACAGCTTTGGAGCTTTGTAAGCATCCATGGTTTGCAGATATGGACAGTCTTCCGAATACGAAATTAAGTAATATTCAGGATCATAATCTTGTTCGAGTATGTTCATTGATAAATGAGAGGACAAATATAATTTTGATTTGTCTTCCGTTAGCATAATCTCGACGCAACATTTCATGCGATCAATGCTAATCCCAGTAAAAGTTTAACCCTCGGTCCCATTGGTGATTCCAATCTATTCAAACGACGTAATGAGCGAACTAACCATCAGCAGCAAACAGGAAAAGTGAAATAAAGAAATTTTTACGTACTATTTTGTTTATTTATTTCTTCTCAAACAACTGATATGTTTGTGTCTGTTTTTTTTTTATCCGTTTTGTTTTTTTCTCTCTCATTGTTTTTCTGTCTCGGTGGTGTGTATAACTTTCTGTCATGTTTTGTTTATTTCCTTCTCTTCAGGCTATGTATAACCTGAACAGTATCTATATATTTTGTTCTCTTTCTCTCTCATTCTCGTTGTTGTTACTTCTATGATTATCATTGTTGCTGTTGTTCGTTTTGTTCAAAAGTTTTTCACATGTTAGTACGATGCAAATGTACAAGGGGGAAAACGTATACATACAGACAATACGACTGGTTCCACATTTGGGCTTCTGTTTTCCGTACATGAGCTATTGATGATGAGCGGTCGCAAGAAAGAAGACAACGAAGGGGAAAACTTTGCACAAGAATGCTTCATTCCAAACGAGTTTTTTTCTTCTCAAGTGAACAGTTCTTTGTTTTGGTTATGTTCTTCGTTCTGTTTTTGTTTATTGTTTGCCTTTGAGACAAGACTTGTATGACACACTGACTGTTCAACAAAACTGAAACAACAGTGAGAAATAAAAGGAAAAAATCTATATGTTTCAATTGATAGAAATCTTTCAAATCTAACTTAGATAGAACGACGATTACCTTTGGATTTCAACGGGGGGGTTTTGTCTATAAAAGTAAACTCTTTAGATATTATCTTATTCTTATCTCATATCTTGTGATGTGATATAAATATTACCATAGGTGGTTGCATTATTAGTTGGGATTTCTTTTTTATTATATAGATATTCTGTAATTATTTGTTGGGATACGATGAGAATACTGAGTGTACCGATAATTGTGTCGGTTTTATTGGCAAGTATTCTTTCGAACGTGAATGCTTACAAATCCTATTCGAAACATGAATTATGGCGTGTGTATGTTCGAAATAATGAACAAGTTGCTCGAATGTTAGAATTTAGTCGGATTGCACATCTCCATGGAATTAACTTTTGGTCCGAAGAATTTCGTATGAACATTCCAGTAAGTGATTAGCTTTGTTTCCTGTCCACTATTCTGATTTATCTGATTAGATCATTGTTAGTGTTCCACCTGAATCCGTTGAAGACTTTGCCGAATATCTATTATCATCTGATAGTAAGATCGAATATGATATCATGATGAATGACATCGGCGCAGTTATCGAACAACAAAAATTGACACATAAGATACGACCATCGGCAATGACTGCTGATGATTTTGCTTATGATAAATATCACACAATTGATGAAATTCATGCATGGATTGATAAAATGGTTCAAACATATCCAACATTAGCATCGACATTCACCGTTGGTCAATCATATGAAAAACGAGATATGAAAGGTTTGAAAATTTCATCAAGCAAACTCGCCAGAAAACGTGACGGAACACCAGTCAACCAGAAAAAAGCCGTATGGTGGGACGGAGGTACATTTAGGAACTTCGATGAGATAAGATATATATCGTCTTTATTTCAAGGTATTCATGCTCGAGAATGGATTAGTCCAGCGACAAACATCTTCATTGCTCATGCACTTCTATCGAATTATAGCAAAGATCCGAATATCACACATTTGGTTGATCAATTTGATTATTATATTTTACCGGTGTTCAATGTTGATGGTTATGCTTATACATGGACAAAAGGTAGAAAAGAATCGTCTTGAATGAACGCATTTTAGTTTTGTTTAACCAGATCGTTTATGGCGTAAGACTCGTAGCAAAACAAGCATTCCACTTTGTTACGGTGCTGATCCGAATCGTAATTGGGATTATAAATGGTGTGAAGGTAAGAATCTGAATAATACATAAATAGAAAACAAAAAGCTCTACATTCATTTCAGGTGGTGCTTCACGTGATCCATGTTCAGATACATATTGCGGTCATAAAGCATTTTCCGAAGTTGAAACTACACAAGTTTCTCAATTTATCGGTGCTCATAATGATACAATTGTACATTACATTAACTTTCATTCGTTTTCACAATTATGGATGACGCCATGGGGTAGGAATTTAATGAATTTGACTGTTTAACAGTCCTATGTTTTTTGTCTATAGGCTACACGACTAAAAAACCAGATCAATTCAAATTACAAGATGATGGTTCAGCAGCAGCAGTAGATGCTCTCACTGCTGTTTATGGTTCGTTGAAAAGGTCAACTATTTTTCATAGTTTATCTTCGATTTTCTAGGTACCAAATATGTGCATGGCAATATCGGTGCCACTATCTATATTGCATCAGGCAATACAGTCGATTGGACATCTGGCACAGCTAATGTAACATTCAGTTATGCTGTTGAACTTCGTGATACTGGTAAAGAAACTCGTCATTTCGAATAGAATTACAGAGCATTTTATTTTTCTAGGTGAATATGGATTTCTCTTACCAGAAGATCAAATTATTCCAACTGGCCAAGAGACATTAGCTGGTGAAATGGCTCTGTTGAAGTATATTGAAGGACATGTTTATGGATAAGAGCGCACGTTGGTTCCATAAACATGAAATCAAAATTGAACTCACATTCCTATTCCGTCTTTTCCATGTAGTATTTTAGAATACTAAACGATGATTTCTTTTTTTTTTCTTTGCATACAATTTTCCAAACTTAATTATTTTCATGTTTATTCATGTAGTTGTTTCTCAAATCTTGACAGAAAATATTTACTCAACTGAATCGTGAGCATTGACACTTCGAAAAGCTAATATTTCTTCTATAAATAAGCGAGAAGTCTGAGAAGTGAACGCGCAATACATTCCAAATACGTCATGTGCAGTTGTAATCAGTATCCGATGATGTCGTACAAAAGTCAATAGAAATCTGCGATCGATCGTGTTTACTTCTTATCGTTCAAGAAGAAAAATATAATTCGGCGTCATAATAAACAAGCCGAACGTAACCTGCTAGCTTCTAGTCACTCTTCCCTTTCAAGTCTTCTTTCATTTAAATCAAATTTATCATGGGCGTTTACAAGCAACATTGTTACATCTAGACAACTTTCTTCTCGTATTGTAGCAGACTGAAATCAAACGAAAACATCTGCTTTCAGTACATCTTCAAATCGGAGAGATGGTTGCTATACAGAATCAAACGATTTTCAAACCATGGTAAGTCGTATAATTGTTACTTATCAATATCAATACAATTCCTTACAGTATATGACGTTCTTGAATAAATAGTTACATATATAAAGTTGGAGAACTTCTTTTTTTCTTCACGACGTTCTTATCATTGAAATATGTGTCCTTGTGATGAAAGATTTTCTTTTATTGTTTGACTGTATACGTGTTTCTTATCATCATCATCATCATCGATATGGTATTTGTCTTTTCTCGTTGCTAGGATGACGTCTAACGAAACAGCAGTTATCAAGCCACTTGTTCTTGATGAACATCTATCGCGTTTGAAACCTATCGATGAACAGCATGGACTTGCAGATAAACAAATTCTTCAAGTACAACCTAAACTTCGTAGTTCATCTTTATTTCCACCAATTGCACGTGCTGCACCACCGAAATCAATGGTAACGAGTCGTCATATGGAATCTCCGGCGTCTTCGATTGTCGCTGGCTTGATAGGTCGTGAAGGATTTCTACGTTCGATTTCACGCAATAATATGTCATCAATCACATCGGGCTCGCCACGATTACAAACCGGAATAAATACGCGTCCAAAACGAACATCATTATATGATCATGTTGGACCGAAAATTAATACAGGTTTAGCCGTACGTACAGAGAGTTTAACTCGAGTCGAGAATGATAGTCATCGACTGGGACCTATTCGTCCGATCAATTGGCGTCTATTGAAACAAGAACTAGAACGCGATCTGGAAATACGCGCACAGACAAAACGATTACAGTTCAATTCTGGTATAATCTATGCTCAACAACTAGCAACATTAGGAGATCTTGTTCGAACAAGGGTTAAATCTCATGTCGCAGCAACAATGAATTACATTGAAGAACGCTATAAAATTGTCGTGCATCTTACGGTTTTCCAAACAAGTACTGCTGCATTACATGTCGCGTCGAGATGCCTATGGAATTCGTATACAGACAACTCAATAACAATTAAAATGCATGGCATAGATTGTGATATACTTATCGTTGTATTCCTATGCTATACAGAATTGGGAAGTGTATAAAAGTATATTTGTGAAGTTGATGTTTCAGCATTTGAAAATGCTTCGAATAAATATGAATGCTTCAATACTTACTTGTGCTTTTACATAGATAATAGACTAACGACACAGTAGGCATACTAGAAAAGGTTAATCCAAACCGGTCCGTCTAGTTCGGAGAAATATGCATAATGATATATCACTGCTAATCGTTCTATCAGTTCTCTAATCGATTCCCATATCTCAATACGTTATAAATTAGCAAATATATCCCAGTGTCGAACGTGCGGTTGTCCGTTGACTTACATTACATCAAAACAAGTACCAATTGACACTTATTGGGTCAAACACAACATAAAGAATCTATTGCATCCAATGCAATCGAGATTAGATCATTTTCGGATGAGAAAATTGAATGACAACGTGTCGATGAAAATATTTTTATTTATATATCGAGTTGGCTCATCAGCTGATCACAGTGATTCGTTTCAAAATGGAATTGACCATTGCATGTACATTGAGTTGGCTTCGTCTGACGGTCGAATTTGATTGAAAACTGACAATGGACATCTTCCGAGAAAAAAGACGACTAATATTCAACCAAGAAGATAAGAAATCGTTTATTCGGCTTTACCTGATTTGCAGGAAGATTTGAGGTGAACAGATTGTTTAATTAATAATCCATTTGCATATGTCGATGAAGTATTGATGACTGGTTCCTGTAAAAAAATGAGGATATGATATTCGATCAGAGACTCTTGTACAAGAAAACGAATACTTTGTAGCACGAACATTGACGATTGAATATTATCGAAGAAAACCGTGGTGTAACAAGAAGAAAATCTCTTCCATTATCAACATAATCTTTCGATGACGACATAATCGTTGAGAATTGATTATTTCCATGATCAAGACCAAATAGATGTCCGAGTTCATGTAAATAAGCCCCAATAGAATAAATGAAAGCATCTACTCTAAGAAGAAAACATCAGTGAGTCGATTAAATCACTCCTGTTTACTTGTCAGTCATAACATTTCCATAAAACTCATCGAATGAGCCAGGCAAATGAAGAAAATATTCAGGCAAATTCAAAACAATCACATTCTTAAACGCTATAATCATTCAACAAGCGAAATAATTTCAAATTTCGAAGAAATCATGAACTAACTCGAAGCAAATGTCAACGATGGTGAAATCGATGAATTGACAACCAATTTAATAGTTGCATCTTGAGCAATATCCATGGTATATATCCGCCGATAAATTTCTCTGAATACATCTTTATCTGTAGTTTTCTCTTGGAAATCTTCTCTTGACATTGATACATGATGAATTTGATTTTCGACTTGAAATAATAACGAACGTTTACAAGCTGTTTGTTTATGCAAAATTTCATCGAATGTACATCGAACAAGTTTAGTTAAGAATAGATACTGCTTGCATGCTCGTTCGATATTACTAGTAATATCATCTGGATAAGTGACATAGATTAATCGAAGAATAACATTTTCATTTGATTTTAGAGGATCGTAGAATAATGTCAATGATAGGTCAGACATTTTTGTTGACAAATGAATTTGATTTTCACCAGGAATGAGTTCAACATAGATCTACGACGATTTTGAGTCACTAATAAATAAAACTTTCGACTTTACTTTGAAAAGTCCTTCGATTATTGGCCATTGATATTTTCCATTGACCAAAACAGATTCTTGATAGATACTATCATATCCGAATAGTTGAACAATCGGTTGATGGACAGTTTGTCCTGCTTGATAATTGATAATCCAAAGGCACATTATAAATCTGAAGTGAATTGTTACAGAATATTTGTACCCTCCAATAGTCACACAGTTGAATACTTCTTTTCTAAACACTTCCAGATTTCCTTTGAGTAGAAAGCGACATACACACGAGCACAACAGGCGTATATGTAAATATTTCGAGTTGAATAAACAAAAATAAAAATAATCAGCATCCATCCATTGAAGTTCGACATTTTCACCTTTTGACATAAAAATAACACCAACTTGTCTGACATATTTATTCTAATTGAAACCATTCCTTCAAAACATCTTTCTTTCGCACTCCTACGTAGTTCTCTATCGATCAATTATCTCCTACACACAATTGCGAAGCCTATTGATCAACTGCTGAAGAACACCAAATGACTCGAGATCTTGCAACAGATGTCAAACAAATTGATGGTCGTTAATGTTCTACTTAACTTTCTCAGTTAAATCTTTTCACGAATCTATATAATAGATAATGATATTTGCTTTTTATCTATTTCAATATCATTGATGAGATCGAACAAGAATAGAACTTGCCGTATTCGATAAGCAACAACCCGTACAGTGCAAAGCAAATGAGATCACAACAACAGCAATGATAACTATCAACACAACAACAAGAAACAATCAACAACTATCATAAAAAAAAAGGAAAGTAGTCGGTAAGTTGTTATACAGGCGAAAGTATGGAATGATAGTGCCAGATGAGAAAAATGTCATCTATCATGTCAATCAGCCGATCCCGAGTGGAAATTGAGATGGGCAGAGAAAGGGAGAGAGAAGGAAAAAGGAAAGGAGAGACCTTCCTAGACGATGCAAGATATACCTCTAATGTTCTCTCGTTATTCTATTCGACAAGAGAAAGACAATTTCCGTAATCATCTTCATAATATCATCGTTGTCGTTCGTCGTCGCTTTTTCTTTTATTTCTTGTTTGTCCGCTATCACCGCAGTTGCACTCGTCGCATTTGATCAAATAATCTTTCGTGTAGATTCCTATCAATGGCATCAGCAGGTACAACAACTGATGTCACATCTACTAGCGGTCGAATCGATGTTGTTTCATTGATTGTTCTCGTCTCCTATCCGAAACATTATCGAATATTCGCCGAAAAAGAACTCGTTCATGAAATCCTCCCCAATGCAGCTGAGTCCGCCTTCGTCTGGTTTGGAAACTATTCAGCTGAGAAAGACGAACATCCACTTGTTTATATGGACGTGCTCAGCAAAATGATTCGTTTAGGTTATCAAATATCAGCATCGACCGGTGGCGGTGGCAATCCAGCCATTGGTGATAATATGTCAACTCATACATCACACTATATTTTAGTGCGAAAACGAGACTGATCAACAACATGAATGACCAATTATTGATCAAAAAGCAAATAACACGGTGTTTGACTTAGTAGAAGCATTTCTTTTCCTAGAATGTATTTTCTTTTTCAATATTTTTTCTTTTAAGTAAAATTCTTTCTTTCTAATATATCCGTCATATCTTCGCAATATCAACTAATTTCTTTCACACTCAGCTAGTTTTGTTTATAATGTGAAGAGAATAGAAGAACAAGACCAGATGATACTCATCAAACTATTCAAGCAACATGTGTGTGATATATAGATAGTGCAATGATATAGAGAACTTACACAACAGGAATACAATAATAGACAACCTTGGATAATTGGCATGAGTGCGATCACCAAATCAAATCTATAATGAGGAATTTGAAAGTAAGAAAATCAATCGAGGGTTTTGATTTCAAATGGTATACAACTGTACTTGTTGTCATGCAATGTAGATCGAGAGATAAGAATCAACACAGATCTCATTTTCAACTAATTAATAAAATGTCGATCTCGATGGACTCGTTTCTTCTCACATTTTCAGGAAAAGAAGATTTCTTTCTCGCAAACATGTCTGATCTGAATCTATCCATCGTCTTCTTTTATCCAGATATGTGCGAGAAATCTGAGAGCTTAATGAATGCACATACTGTGCTATCGTTTAAGAAATGTCTTGGATTGATTATTCGATTCTGTTATTTAATACAATTACGACAACTCGAAGATATGCACTTTGAACTATGTGATTAAGATATATGCGCTAGGAACCTTCAGCCATACAGTATACCTCGACCTTCGTAGATATTCATGTCCAAGAATATTTTCTTGTTTTCTTTCTAATCGATGGTGGCTGTTCTTCGATTTGATTTGTGAACTTTGTTTTCTAATCGATAATGTTAGATGACAGTAGTTATCAGGATGAAACATTGATGTCTCGACAAGACAAACATGTTAATTGATATTTACTAGAAAATATCACAGTAGAACGATAGTATTAAGTTTGAAATGTTTCACTGAATAACAATGATTTTTGTCGCATGTGATTATTCATCGGAAGGAAACGCTTTGTTCTATAATTCTACATTCAAAGGTAAGTAAACAGAAGAATGTACCTAGATGGAAGAACACCTATTTCCCATTCGATGAATAAGAACTGTAGTGCGAAATTGACAACAAAACGAATGCAATAGAAAACTGTCAAAGGTCATTCGCGTTTCGAGAATGTATACCAATACATATTTCAAGTCATTTGATCTAATTTTGATACGAAATGATTGAATTATCCTCTGCACACGAGCGTAGGAGAGAAAAAAAACTACAATGTGACGGCATTGATCTCGACCCGTGAATATTTATTTCGTTGTTATACTTAGACTTAGCGCAGGCAAATATGCCGATTGACATCGAACACAGATTTGCGAGTGAAACGAATGTTCACCCACATCGTCGATATGTAATCTTCGAACAGAACCTCGATGCTGTGAAAACTAATAATCATCATTCATCATAGCAAACTCAGACATCTAATTGATATTTGTTCGAATATGCACATCCTGATTTGTTTTGGAAAGATCATGGAATGCGTTGGCGTCAGTTGAGGAAACGTGAGATGCACAAGTCAGTTCGAATCGAAAGCGCGATGTAGACATGACTCTTTTTGTTTCGAAAACAACGGATTGTGAACTGATTACTCTACAAATCTCCTTTTTTTTTCTGAGTCCATGTAGATTAAATAATCAAATATTAATAATTTTGTAAGTTTGAATATAAATCGTACTACTTCCGATTTTTATTAGAGAAAATATTATCAAATATTCATTAATATACATAATAGAATTTCGTCTTCTTTCTCTTCCATTCATAATCGAATTCCTTCTTCTTCTTCTTCTTCTTGTTCTTCTTCTGTTAATCATTATTTAGGTTAAATTCCAATGATTGAAAAATGAGAAATGACTTTTTTTTCTAGCCTACTCATCGTGTGTAATTACACGCTGGGGTCATTAGAGCAATTAGACTTGATAACTCTTTTCGAAAGAGACAAACTCACCGGATTCTGCCTGATTAATCATCATAAAAAAAGATAACTATTGAGAGCCAAGTTAAATCTCTTGGATGAGTGTAGGTACCCATGAAATACAAGTCATATGATAGTATTTACGAGAGATGGTCAACCTATGAGAACAGATCATTGATTTACTAAATTGCATGTAATAGGAGAAAGTGCAAAATATTTACTGATTATAACTTGATGAAACTTGTGACTAAAGTTCCTCTGTACAAGAGTGAGAAACAACGCGTTTTTCTTTATACTGAGATTATTAATTGATTGCTGCAGGGCAACAAAATGAGTATATTCTATGTTATAAAGATGACTAGCTTTAGATTGACGTAGAATTCAATCTTACTGAATAGATTTGTAATTATATCATTGCGAGATGAGCTGTCACACAATGATTGTTAGCATACACACGACATAGTGACACGAACAGTTTGTTCCATCAGTGAGTTACAGAAAGGCTTCTACTAGATTTGCTCATATAAGTTCGACATATGAACATTAACTTTCTAAGTGCGTACTTCTTCATATTTGAATATCATTAATTATTCCCGATGAGATGACCTTTCGTCTATGTTATTTTCCGAAACTTTATTTGATTAGATGTGTAGATGATGTTTACACATATCGAGCAACGAGATTTTGTTTTCTTTTTTTTTGCATCCGATATTTTTTTGCAAAGGAAAGAATGACGATGATAAATGTATATGATTATATTTCCTGCTTTTGTCATTATCGTATGAAGAGAGAAATCAGTGATCAAAATAAACAAAAGAAAACGACGCAGTTTGGAGAATTTCGATTGCCCACTTCGTAAATATCTGCTATTCAAGTCAGAGAAAAATTCTTTCGATAGTTCTTCTCTATATCGCGAAAGACATCTCGTTCATTTCTGCACGCAATTACATGAAAAACTCAATTGTGTTTGTCTGTGATGTTCTAATGTAAGGAAAAAATGAGAGAGAGAGAGAAGATGAGACAATGACATTCAGCTTCGTTGAAAATCACGATGAAAGAAAAGGGAAGACGAGAGAGGCACAGACGAGTAGAGACAGCAATTCTAACAAAATTAGTATATATACTTATGAAGTAGTAAAGGATAGAAATCGAAGAAAACGAGAGAAAGCATACAAGATATAAGAGGAAAAACAAAGTGTTTCCGAGTTGCGTGTCTTGAATCGTTCATTTAAATCAAACAAAAATATATTTCGAATAACTGAAATCATTTTATAAAGACTTCAGTTCATATTTTCTATTCGATCATATATGAACGTAAGTTTGTTTTCTTCTCTCTCTCCCTCATTCTTGCATATCTAAGTTTATTAATTCATTCATTCAAACGATTGCGCTCTCTCTCTCTATAGATATATATATATATAAAGATCGATCTTCTAATTAGTTTTATTTTATGAAAAAACTACCGGCAGAATGTATTTTTAGATTTTATAAAATTTTATTTGCCCTACTCTTCATTTCCGTATTTCTCCAGCATAAAGACATGAAACCGGTGCTGTCGGTCTTACTTATCTTTGTACTTGTTGTTGGTAAGTATTATCAGTTAATGACATCGTTGGATTAACTAGAACATTCGATCGTTCTACATGATTAAATTTCTTCTTGTCTTCCTCAGTTTTGGCGCATCATGCCGAAGCAATGAACAAACGTTACTATGATTCATGGAACTCGAATAATGATCTAAGCAACGATGGAGACAATGACGATTTATCAAGAATCTTTCCATTTCGTCAAAAAAGTTCGAAAAAAGAAGATCCATGTGCCAATAAACCGTTGTGGTATTT